GCGCCCGAAGGGCGCGCGCTGTGGCGACACCGTTGGCGTCGGCCCGCTGCTGCCCGAGCTCGGCGTGCCCGGGCTCGCGGGGCTGCCGGGCGTGCTGAAGCTGGTCGGCTCGTAGGATGTGGGCGAGGGGCAGACGTCCGTCATGACGCCTGCGGGGATGTAGGTCGGACTCGTCGGCGAGTGCGGCGACGGGTCGAGGATGAGCGGGGACGCATCTGTGCCTTCGGACGTGTTGCTGCGCGACATGGGCGCCGAGGCGCATACCCTACTTCCAGCGCGGTCCGCGCGGTGCTGCAGCTGGAACGGGAGCACATTCTGGGCCCACTGCTCGTACTGCACCGCCGCTTGGTCGAAGACGCGGTGCGAGTTCGAGTTCTCCCCGTCCTTGTGCGAGAGGTCGTGGAAGGCGTGCAGCAGGTCCAGGTGGTCGATCACTGATGTCAGTGGGGAGATCTATAGATAGCAACTGTGAATGCCGGGTATGCCGCACTCTGCCGCTTGCGCCGCACCGAGAGCCGCCGAGTGGTGACTGTCTACCTGACATGCAACGCTTCGTAGAATGCACCACCGGCTCTGTTAACGGCTGCTCGGCCGCCGGCACTGACGGCCACCGCCGATGACTCAGGCAGTCGAACTGGACAGCAACAGTCGCGGCTGGGGGCAGTGCAAGCAGCAATGACACCCCTCCAATACAGCTCCTCGCTACCAATGCGCGCATGAGAACCAGTTTCCAGGTCCAGAAGGCACTACTAGGAGCGTTACTCACCGTCCTGGACCGATACGAGCGGTTTGACGAGATACTTTCCAATCTGCATGCGGTCGGGGAGATGAGTGACCGGGTTGTACTCGCTCTCAGGCATGTCGAGCACGCTCGGCGTGCGTTTCCGCAGCGACCCGAACGTGAGCCGGGGCAGGGTTGGTTTCCGCATGACAGCTGGGTCGCCGGAGCGTTACGGAGGCGGCGGCGGTAGATATTCGCGTGCCGTGATAAAGGCTGGGAAGGGCGCCCCTGTTGTCGTTGTCGCGCGACCAGGGCTGCTCCACGGAGGAGACAGAGCTGCGAGGGGAACGCACTCGGATCGAGGCGTTATGCAGCGCCTTGAGAAGAGTGTGACGCCGTCGCGTCGCGAAGATCTGCGCCGGGGCTCGGTCGCTGCGTCGGTCGCTGAGGACGGTGGTTCGCGTGATCTGGGCCAGAAACTTTCACTCTTCTGGACTCGGTGGCCGGTGGCGTCGACGAATTCGCTGCAGCAATGTCGAGCTCGGTCTGCTGCTATTTCTGTGACTTTCCTTATCGCAGATCAAACGTGCGATATCGTCGCTCGTAGTTATGCAAGATCGTGTTCGTGACAAGAAGGAAGAGCAAAGCACGAAGAAGCAACAGAACCGTACAGGTAAATCGAAGCGATGAGCAATGTCCCCACCCCACCCAAGCCTAATGTCTGACCAAATCTGGCGGCGCTCTGCGTGCGGGGAAGGTTAGTCAGTGACGGCTCCGGAGGTCTCGGCTCGCTTGCAGCGCAACCAGCGCAGCGCATCCCCCGCAAGCAATCTGCGTCCGGACTCCGAGCCGGGCAGCTGGTCGTTGGCCGGTGACTGGCTGTGGCTGCCGAGGGAGCCGGGGCGGTTACGTCGTCCCTCATCCTGGGTTATGGCCGCATTTGTCCGCGCGTCCGCGGGCGTTTGGATTTCATCACCTTTGCGCTCTGTTTACAGCTGCATTGCTGCAACCAATCATGCCTGATAGTCGTCATACTGGGCGTCATGCATGCTTTATCTCGTTCTCACGATGCATGCTTGTTCATTCGTGAAGAAGAGGAAGACAGTCCGCCTCGGAGCCATGTTCCTCCACTCGAGTGAGACGTCACCTGCCGTGCCTGGAAGTCACCGGCCCGTTCTACGGCCACCAGACCTCCACTGGCCAAGTTCACCTGTCCGTGCTGCCCCCCCACAGGCTACAGGAATCGTACATACAAGCTTCGGATCACACAGATCCCCTATGCACAGACTTGCACAGACTGTGTGCTTCTTGAGTTGGGCCCTCTCTGGGAAGCAAACTGCATCCCAAATGAGAAAGGACATGAGAATGGCTGGAGCCGATTAAGGCTCTGGCAGTCGATAACGCTGCCGATGGCAGAGAAAGCGGAGCACCGCAACGCCACTGTCTAATCGGCCATGTCTGGACAGAGATCTGTCCGTGGCTCAAGCCTCCAGAGATCCAGATACCAGAGATGACTGATGGTTGACTAATGCATACAAACAGAATTCCTTGTACAACAGATCGGACGACGACGGTCCAAGTAGTGTGACTAAGCGTTCAGAGCCGCTAGCAGCCGCTTGCGCTCCTCGCGCTCCTTTTTGTCTTTCTGCGCCCACTTCACCTTGCTCTTCGCCGCATGTTGATGCTCGCCCTTCTCACGACCGGCCCGCCGCTGCGCACGTCGGATTTCGGCGTGTGTGTGTGTGACCTTCTTGTCGGCTTTGCCGCTGCCTAGTCCCCTGCGGTCGAGCTTCAGGGCAGTCGCGACGGGCTCCGTCCGCCCAGGACCTGATGGTCGTCCCTCCTCGTCTTCCAGAGCTGCGAGCTCCAGCTCATCATTGGCGGAAAGCGCCTCGAGCGACGCTCGTGAATCTGGAGATCGTGATCTGGAGCGCCCGGATCCCTCAGGTGTCAAGGTGCGGGGTCGATTGCTGCCCGGGGAAGGGTCTTGCGGTCGACCAAGGCCGCCCCCGCCCCAACCCAGATTCGACAACCGAGCGTACCCCACATTGTCGGGCCCGATGGCGTATGACGGTCGAGGGGGTGGTCGCGTCGATGCACTGGCGATGTTAAGCATTCCTCCTATAGAAGAGGAGCTCTTCGGCGCCGGCGGCGCCGAGTCTGGCGCCGCAGCATGCTTCTTGGCAAGGGCACGCCGAATGAACCACTCCGATGCGGGAATGCGCAGCGGTGCAGGAGAAGCGCGAGCTGCGGGTGTGGACAAACCTGAGTGCGATGCTGATGAAGTCACAGCAGGCTGCGAGTTACCCTCAGCTGAGAGACCGTGCGTGATTGAGGCCAAGGGTGGGGGCGACAGCAAGGGCTTTGTGTCCGGCTTGACGTCGATGACAGAGTCCCCCAATGGAGCTGAGGAGGGTGCGGCAGGCAGAAAATCAGGCGCGTCGGGCTCTTCTTTCACTTCTACCTCAGGAGGACAACCCTTCGAGGTGGCCCTGGTTGCGAGATTCCGGTACCAATTGGCCAAGTCACTGCCTGGCATCTTCCCTTTCTCTTGAATTGCAGTGGTCTTTGGGTCTTGATCGCACTTGATCTCGACGTCAACCCCAAATCCTTCCTCTTCACCTTGCTCGAACCCTGTTTTGACGACGTCAGGCCGCACAAACACGGGCGGAGGCTTGTGCGAAAGAGTTGAGGCATGTCCCGTGTTCCAAGCCTTCCACTCTTCCCACGATGAGTAACTCTGCGGGACGCGGACGGAGGCACCCCGTGAAGGTCGTGGTCGACTGTTGGCTTCATCGAAATCATCGCCACCAGAATATGGGCTCGACTGAATGACGACAGGTTCGGGGAAGAAGCCAAGGCCTCTGCGACGCGAAGGTCCTACGGTGGGTGGGTCGTCGGCATCGTCGCGTGGCTCCATGCTACGCTAGGCAAGACGCCGTATCGAGTGGAGGAGGCAGAAGCGATGCGGTGGCAAAGAAGGAGATGGTGAATGTCGAAGGGTTAGATGACAACTGAGGCGATTACGATGTTGCTGGATGTGAAGAAAGGGATTGATTGCCCTGGACTACAGTAGGGTCAGTATTAACGGAAGCAGATTGCGGTTAAGGTGGATCGTGGCTGATTTCAAGTGTATCCAACCTGAGGCCCAGCTGACCGATGCTGGAGGATGACATATGACACAGGACTCGGTCCGAAGCATAGTGGGTTTCGAGGACGATTCAAGTTTGAGGTGCGCTCCAGCCGCGCTTATCTCTGGGCGTTACAGAATAAGCTCTGTGACATCGCTGTCCAGGACTCCAGGCCCACATTGCAGGATCCAAGTTGCAGGAAACCTCGTGCCCAAGACGCTGTTTGCTGCGTTGCCAAGTGTGCCAGGCTCCGTGCGCTGTGCTCCGAGTCGATCTGGCTGACCGCCAACCCGTCACTGCGACGTAAGAGTCGAGCAACGTTGCAGGGTCAGATTGGACAAGGAGCAATAGAGGTTGTGCGGTCATGTTCTCTCTCCCCTCACCGTCCGTCCCCGCTATAGCCGCTTCCCACCTCCCCGGATCCCCCAGAAAGTCAGAATGCAAACCCTTCCCCCGCACACGACGCCGCAACGACACACGACGCACGATCGCACTCCCTCCTCTCGTGCCGCTCGCAGCCGTACCTTATTCTCCGCCCGATCCCATCTTCCTCCATCTCCACGCCTCAGAGCGTGAGTGCGCCCAGACTCACCCAGGCATCCGTGCTTCACCTCTCTCGGCATCCTCCCACACCCTAGACCAATACTTAACCACCCTCCAACATGACCCTTCCCCCAATCTCTCTCCCACCCATTTCCTTCTCTTCTCTCCACCTCACACTCTCTCCTCGTCATACCTGACGATGGGCGCGGTCTTCTCCGCCCCGTGTCGCCGTCGCCGCAGAGCGGCTCCGGTCGTCATCTCGCACCCGAAACCTCTGTCTCGCTCTCCCTCCGGCATGTCCTACATGAGTTCACCCTCAGCGTCATTCGTGTACCGCTCCCGTCGCCGGTCAAAGGGATCTCGTCCGACGTCGCAAGTCTCCGTCATATTCGACGACAGTACGAACAACAGCTCGAACACTGCGACTTCGTCGCCGAGACACTCCAAGGACAGCAATCACACGCTGGCCTCGGTCTCCGATATCGACCGCGAGCTGGGCTCGCAGGAACAGCTGTCGGAGAAGACCCAGGGCAACCTTCGCAAGAGCCCGAGTGCGAACTCACTGGCGTCTTCGCTTGCTTCTCAGCGAGCAAACCGATCGACGCTCCCCGACGTCCCGGAGGAGACGGCACACACCGACACGCCAGTCTCTGTCACGACAGACGTCACGTCTCCCGCTGAGACCGGTGCGCGGGCCGCTCCTCACAGCATTGTACCTTCCTCGAACTCTTCCGCGATCCCGACTGTGCAAGCATCGCACTCGCCTACATACCATAGGGTCGGCACTTTCCGCAAGCGCGCCCGCTCGACGCGGCCGCCTACGGCTTCCACCTACACGCATACCTCTATCCACTCCATTATCGACTCCCCGCCATCCAAGCAGTCGGAGCAAGCCCAGTCTGGTTGGCGCCAATTCGCAGCGCAGAACATGGCATCGCGGTATGCAAGGCCGCACGTTGCATCGCACCCGGAGCAGAGAAGCCTCGACTCCTCGCACATCTACATCTCGCCGCCCAGCAGGCTGCGCGAGGCTTCGACCCTGGCTAGGAAGCGCACCCGCGAACGACCGAACCACCTCCGCAAGGTCAGACGTGTCGAGGGCTATGACTGGATTCGGCCCGAAGACCTGGACGGCTTCGAGAGTGCAGAAGGCTTCTCAACCAAGTCAACTCAGTCCCTCGAAGTGTCCCCATCGCAATCGCATGCCCCAATGACGACTACATTGTGCGTATGAGAACTGAAGATCCCCTCCCTGCAATCTCCCTGCAATGAAATTGTCAAGCTCAAGCTGCGCGTTCACTTTGTTGTACCGGAAAAACAAAAAGTGAAAACAAATCTGGAAACCACACTACACGTACATACCACATCGCCTTCGTCCATCACATCCTTCAAAGGTCACGAATGGCAACAAGCGCGACCCGGCGAGGCTCTGCACCCTGCATTCGCAACGCACGATGAGCCTGTTTAACCTTCGACGCCCTGCGACCGGAAACACAAGGACATCTGGACATTGTTTACAATCCTCCAAGCCATCATCTCAACTGTATGTATCTCCCACTATCTCAAACCCTCTGCCGCCACCGCTACACAGTATCATCAGAACTATAGGTTGTCACCACCCTCCCACTCCCACCAACAACATGCATCTCTTAACCTTGGAAACGATTTAAGCTTGCTTTGGTCGCAAAGGGTCAAAAGAACGATCAACTTTCTTTCTGTGACAGCGAATGCCGTGCCTCTCCTGCTCTCGACATCATTAAACAGTGCCTGGCCTTTCTGACTCTGATTGATTCATTGAGCAGTGCATGAGTAATAATTGTCGAGGCGGGCAACAGATCTCCTGTGTGCTGAGAAAGGTGTGTAAGATTGCGAGTTTGACCGCATTGAATGGTTGCCCGTCACATCAGGAGGCTGGCGACGAGCAAAACATTGATGGCCACCGTTGTCGTTCCCACAATTGTAACGATGACATGAAGTGCAGATGGCTTATCTCCACCGGCGGTGCGAGAAGCAACAGCGTGACACTTCTCTGACGTCTCAACGAGTCGTCAGTTACGAGAAGCGTCGCATCGAACAGCCGTAGGCGCTGCAGCGGAGTTTCAACTTGGCACGCAGAGACAACGTCGTTCCCCAACGTACCCATGACATGGGTGCCGAACACTTTGGTTCGACCTCTGGGTCCAGGGTCGTACCAGAAACCTTATCGACGCTGCGCACACTTGGCACGTTCTCTCGTCATACAAGCTCATGTGCAGGCGTGCCCACTGTTCACATACCTTAGTGCACCGCATATATGAACGCTTCGCTGCCGTTGTCATGGCAAATCGCCCGCACTAACCCTCCGCTGGAAGCACAATCTGCGCTGAAGCTCGGCATCAGGAACATCCCACTCCGCACCCTCGGTGAGGGTTGACACGATCGCAGCAGCTAAGCACAACGTTGAACCAAGCCGTTCTGTACTAAACTCTGCAACTCTCCGCTCGAAGCCGAATGGCGCAAAGCCGGTGGTCTCTCATTGCTGGAGGAAATGTACCGCCGGCCCCGAAATGTCGACCACCACAACGCAGATCAGTCAATGTGCGCCACGATGGAGCTCCACAGCACGTGATCCGGGGCTGAAGAATGACGTGTAGCCATTGAGTGTCTCATTTCGATTGTATGTGCCTGGCAGTGGGCGTTATCAAAGCGTCGGACGCTGGGCGAGCTGCGACTGGGCAGACGCCTAGCCGCTCGATGCCTGTGCATGGCGCGCCTGCACCAGTGCTGGGGCAACCCCACTCCAGAGCTCCCAATCTCCGTCTCACCGTCCTTCTCGTCCTCACCACACTTCCCCTTCGCCGACCAACTTCTGCACCCCACGTTCCTTCAATCGGCACAGGAGGTGACTGGAGTCTTGCGTTTGACCTCCCCTTCTTGTCGATTCGCATTCATCTACCCCACACACGCGACCGCAACCCGCGACCGATTGCTCCGTTCACCCTGCGCATTCGTCACCACACTCTCTCACTTCTAAGTGGGCAGCACCATTGAGCCCTCGGTATCCGATTGTTCGACAGCCCCGACAGCCCCGCTTCACCAGGACCCTGTGCATCTGTCTATACGCTTCCCCTAGCGCCGCTGCAAGGTCCCTACGATGTCGTACAACCACTACCTTCCGCAGAAGGTCGATCTCACCCCCAAGCGCCATCATGGTTTCCAGGTCGTCCTTTTCTTCCTAGGATGGCTCCTGCCGCCTCTTGGTGAGTTACTGGAGAACAGCGCTCCTGCGACGGGGCTGTGTAGTTGCGGCACAGCTTGCCGGAGCGTTCGACCACGCCGGCTCTTGCCGCGCCACCCTGTGCGGCAGCCCTCTCATACCGACAAGGCTCAGCGGGGCACTTTTCCGATCACACAGAGCTTCAATACTGACAGCGCCAGCCGTCGCCGTGCGTTTCGGAATCGGGAGGGACTTCTTCATCAACGTGGGTACCATCACAGGACACCATTGCAACTCGGAGCTGGGTGCAGCTGAGACCTGGAACAATGACGGCGTCGTGTCGGCGTGTGGATCGTGATCTGCTCCTTTATCGGGCCGTTTACGCACCTCACCCACGCGACACACAATTGGTTCACATGCTGACTTCTCAGATCATCTTGACGCTGTGTGGCTACATCCCCGGACACGGTCACAACTTCTACATCCAGAACATCCGTAACAAGTGAGTACAACGCTGGCGAATGGTGTCTAGTCTCCAGCTGACGACAGCTCGAACAAGGCGCGCACGCCCAAGTGGGCTATCCGTTACGGCCTTGTGAACAACGCCGAGCGGGAGCGCAAGGCGCGCAAGAGCCAGTGGGCGAAGCGCTACGACGAGCGGCTCCCGGAGTCTACGTTCGTCGGGCAGGAGCTCGCCGAGGGCGAGGAGGGCCCGAACTATGTCCCGACTGTTCCTGGCCAGCAGAAGCGCCGTCCTTCTGAGGGTCTCTGGGACCGCGAGGACGAGATCTACTACAACGAGGGTGAGTCGACGATGGGATTCAGCTCACGTGCTGGATGATTGTAGCTAACGATCCAGACGAGGCGCCGAACCAGAGCAACTGGCACTACCCCATGAACTTCGAGGGCACCGTTGGCGACGGCCGCAGCCGCCGCAACCGCCTGAACCGGACTGCCTCTCGCGGCAGCGACCGCTGGGAGCGCACGCGGACCGCGCGTGCAGACACCGCCTCGTCCCTCCCAAGGCTGCCACGGACGATGATGTGCCCGTCTGGGGCAAGGACTATGGCCGTCAGCGCCGATCATCGCGCGGCAGCGGAGGCAGTGGCGGCAATGGTGGTCGCAAGAACGACCCCGACGCCGTCTTCAACCACGAGTTCTAAGCGCACCGGCGCGCCGCACCCTCTAACTAACACGCTCTGACGTGAGCCACAGCTGACGGCGAACGGAGAGGACACACCCGTGCCCCGACCGAGGACTGACTGTGGCGAAGACAGTTCGGGGGACACGGGCGAGTGAGGCGATAAAGAGGTATATCGCCAGACCGTCAATTTCCAGTCGATTCATCATATCCACAGCCACTGTACATTAATTGATATTCCCATTACCGCAAGTATTTTAGTATCGTTAGGGCCTGCACGTATGCATTGGTGATCTCAGCATGTCTGGCGGCACATTATGCGACGGAGAAGCGACAAGCAAGCGTCGCATGAAACGGTGTCGAGATGACGAAAGGAGGTGAGGGGATAGCGAATAGGCACCTCGGACATGGATGGCGCTTGGGCGTGGGTGACAGTGCACAGTGCGCCACCGTGTTGCGAGTGGCCGAGTGTCCCTTGCCAGGCGCGGCGTGCGCCCGTTCCCAGGATTAAGCCCCGCAGCGGGCTGCTCCCGAAGCCTTCTCATGCTATTGACGCGTTGTGACACGCAGCGGAGGGGCAAACACAGACGCGACAGGTTCATATGCATCGTGACGAAACGTTCTCGCCCTTGCAGACGGGGTGCTCTGTTATTTTTGCCAGCTAGATCTTGTATATCCGGTGTTGACTGGGATTGGGCGGCGAGTGGCCAAAGTCATCGTGAACCGACGATCAATTCCTCGCTTGGCTGGCTTTTCGTACACACCGAGCAGAGAGAGCACCTAGTCACTCTGCAACGTCTGTAAACTTCCTCCGTCTTCATCACTCTTGTTCATACACCATCCCCTCACGTCTCCTCCTTGCGTTTTGCAGTTCACTACCGGCAACAATACACGACCCCCTTCCGCCCCTTTGCAACAACTCCCTTTCAAACGATCGACACACCGCCCAATTCGATTCGATTCGACCCTGCCGCACTCCATCCTCCCCCTTCCCCTCGTCCCGCCGGCGCTTTCGTCGGCATTGGTCCGATCGCCTATCGACCTTAACCTTGCTTCCAACAACTCACCCTCGTGACATATCATTCCATCTTACCATTCATCACCCATTTCAACAACGTTCACCATAGGCGAAAACGACGACGCCTCGGCCGCGACCCCGACCATGCCTACGGCCATCAGCCCTCCTGCCTCTCCGGCGCCGCCTTCGACCTCACCCATCAAGGCCGTCCTCCCCCGCCGCGCCAAGGCTGTTGCTGCCGCTGATGGCATCGCCGCCGCCCTTCCCTCTGCCCGACCGCAGAGTGCGACCACCATCCCCGCGACGACGGCAAGCCTGACCACCGGCTCCACCGCCGCGAGCTCCGAGGTCCCTAGCCCGGCTGAACTGGAGAGTGGGGGTGGCCCATCAAACACCTCTGCTTCCGGGTCTGGCGAGGCGCGTGATGCGGGACCAGGCGAGCTCAGGCCAAGTGGCAATAGCGACCTGGCTGTTCCCAACGTGCGATTGTCACCCGCCTCGGTTGCTGCCGGCAGTAACACGCCGGCTAGTGGAGCCGGATCACAACACGCTGCTAGCGCTGTGCCGACGCCCGTTGGAGACGATGCAGCCGGCACCGCTACGTCGACGACTGCTTCTGGCCGCGTGACGCCAGCGACCACCCACGGCGCGAGCATGCTGGCGCAGGCGGCTAGAAGAGGAATGGTCGAGGAGGACAAGGACGAGCATCCTCTGTCGGACCGGAAACTGGCCGAACGGTAAGTCCACACACGCGTTCTACACACTTCTGTGTTATCATTGCGTAATGCACTTGTGTGCTAGTCGTGCTAACTGAATGCAGGGGGTACCACACTATCCACGCGATGAACCACCTCTTCCACGTCCCGGACCGATGGCGCCTACTTCGACCCCTGGGACAGGGAGCGTACGGCCTCGTCGTTTCCGTTCAGGACACGGTTTCCGGAGAGCCGGTCGCCATCAAGTGCATCACGCGAGTGTTCGACAAGCCCATCCTCGCCCGCAGGGCGCTGCGTGAGATCACGCTGCTGAGACACTTTGGAGAACACGAGAACCTGACGGGTCTGATTGATCTGGACAATGTTTGGGACGGGTACAACGAGATTTATCTCTACATGGAACCCATGGAGGCGGATCTGCACCAGATCGTGCGAAGTGGCCAGCCTTTGAGCAACCTGCACATCCAGTTCTTCCTGTACCAGCTCCTCCGCGGCGTCAAGTACATCCACTCGGCAAACGTGATCCACCGCGACCTGAAGCCGGGCAATCTTCTCGTCAACAGCGACTGCGAGCTGAAGATTTGCGACTTTGGACTCGCACGAGGGTACCAGCCCGTGACGGGCGAGGCTCCCCAGAACGAGGAGCTCAGGATGACCGAGTGTGAGTACGACTTACACGCATGTTTGCTTCGCAGCACTGCGCAGTGCCTGCGGTTCCGTGGGACAGACTGCTCCCGTCTGAGAAACAAGACATTGACTGTTCACAGATGTTGCAACCCGCTGGTACCGTGCGCCCGAGATCATGCTGTCCAACAAGCGGTACACGTCGGCGATTGATGTCTGGTCGATTGGGTGCATCCTCGGCGAGCTTCTCGGTCTCAAGCCGCTCTTCAAGGGCAAGGATTACGTGGACCAGCTCAACCTCATCTTGAACGTGCTTGGCACCCCGGACGACGAGACACTGCAGCGCATGTCGTCCGAGAAGGCGCGCATGTACATGGCCACCCTGCCCCACAGCGAGAAGCGTGACCTCGCCGAGGTGCTTCCGGGCGCCGATCCTGCCGCCCTCGACCTCCTCGCCCAACTGCTGTCCTTTGACCCTTCAAAACGTATCGACGTGGTGCAGGCGCTGGAGCACCCGTACGTCGGCGCTTACCACGACCCATCCGACGAGCCGACGTGCGAGCCCTTTAACCAGTGGGAGCAGGTCGAGGGTCTTGAGACGACCGAGGAGCTCAAGGCCGCTCTCACAAAGGAGATCATCGAGTACCGGGCCGAGGTCCGAGGCATGGCCGAGCAGGACATGCTTGACGAGCTCGAGCAGCAGCGGCAGCAGCAGAGCCAGCACCTCGCCGTCCAGCCGTCGGCTGACGTCAACATGTCCCAGGGCAAGCGTGTGGCTGACGAGGACCTGTACGTCGACGCCGCCAAGCGGCAAGTGGTTGAGGATTCGGACGACGAGGACTCGCCTGTCGTCATCAAGTCCAAGCTGGGTCTCGCGGCGCAGGCGGGACGGTCACCGCGCATCGGCGGACGGAAACGGCTCGAGTCGGATGCGTCCGTGCGTTCCGTGGCGTCGGTCGCATCGGCCGTGTCTTCCTCCTCGGGCGCCTCTGTTGTTCCGGGCTCGCAAATCGTCGCCGGGCCGCGGCATAGGCGCTCCTCGTCGCGGTCCTCGGTTCGCCGCTCGATGAGCCTGTTCGGCACGGTCGGCGGCATGGCCGCGCTGGCCATGACGGCCGCCACGCCCAAGAAGGAGGAGGAGGACACGGCGTCCGAGGGCATCTACTCGTCCATGGTCGAGCGGCGCAACCGCGCCGCCAGCAATACGACCGTGGACTCGCTGCGCCCCCTGATCCGGCATCTGAGCACGACGTCGCTCGCGGATCTCGGCATCAAGAGTCCCGATGCGCTGACGGATGACGAGCCGCTGATCCGGCACTCGCCGCATCACTCGCCGCGGCCGAGTGGGCTCAGGAGAGGACGGTCCCGCAGCAAGTTTGAGGTCGGCGAGCCGGAGAGCGCATAGCGAGCGAGGCGAGTGAAGCGAGCGTGAGCGAGCAGATCGTGCACAGCCCGTGGATGAGAGGGCAGCCGAGGAAGAGAGCAGCAAGAAGTCACATGTAACGACAGCAAGACACCACGAAACCAACCACAAGCATAGCATTCAGCAGTAAATCCACCACGAGCCACGAGTCTTGAGCAGTCCTTATTTCCAATACAACACTAGATGAGCAGCATTCCCAGCATCCTATGCATTCAGGACCTTTCGTGCATGCCCATCGGCTCTTATGAGGCACTGCTGACTTGTCACGGTAGCTCACAGTAGGCAATTGACGAACTCAGAGGTGAGCTCTGTGCGACCGCGGGAGACATTGGAACTAGCAAAGCTCTGCTCCAATCTCGAATCCCGGCCTGTGCGAGTCGTGCATGGCTCGTGTGTGTGCGTGTGCGGAATGCTTGCTGGCGTGTGTAAAGGGATTGTGTGGCAGTCGGCCGCCAGAGAGGTGTCCGTGAGAAAGCGTGGATCTAGGAAAGGCGTCCTCCGAGCTCGCATGTCCAGAAAGAAGTCGTAACGTAGCCATCCCCGCATACATATGAGGGAGGCACTTTCGCCATGGGATTCGTCACTTTACACTTCACACTTCACTTGTAACCACATGTTGCTCACTGGTCAAGCCTCGTGGCCTCGTGTTCTGCACAACCCAAATGTTGAAGACGCAGGATACGTACATGCAGCTGCTCATGCGTGCATGCGGCGGACTCCCGGCCCACATGGGGCGGTAGGGGAGAAAACCCTCAACTTGCCACAGTCGTGCTAGCTTCACGTCCCGCCATTCGTGCTTAGGAATGATCGCGACGGGAGTGACCGTGGGAGACGTTGAAACTAGCGAGGCCTTCCTCCGAGCTCGATTCCTGGGAGTCCAGGCCGGTGCGAGCAGAGTGCGTGTTGTGTGTACGCGAGCACGACGCGTGTGTGGTACCAGAACTCCTTACTTTATCTCTGGGGCTTGGGAGTGGCACTTGTCCATCAATAATTCGCACTACAGCACGCTCGCTGAGCTGTTTTACGCAGTGCGCCCCCCTTCAGCGTTCGCACGCTAGCGGTTCGTATTACGCTCACAGAAGGCTGATAGCACGCGCTTGATTACTCGAACCTCGCGAGGGCGGTCATCGCCACATATTGATTCCGGCGACCAGCCAGCTGCGCCTCAAACAACGACCTCGTGAGCGCGGGCGGCGCTAGCAACGACCTCCGCCTTCACCATGCTCCTAACTCAACTGCCATCCCAACAACGCACGTTCAGTCCCCTTCTCCTCTCATATCACTCTCCAGCTCGCCTGCATGCTAGCGAGGACGAAAAAGATGACCTCTGGCGGGGTCGAACCGCCGACCTTATGCGTAAATCTGTCAAGATGTTAAGCATACGCTCTAACCAACTGAGCTAAGTGGCCTGAGCTGTGTGCGGCTTCTCCTGCAGAGTTGCAAACGGCTCGCTGGTCGTTCGAACTGTTGGAAATCACGTGATTTTGTGCCAGTCTTACGATGCCTCGAGGCCTCGTTGCAGCCTTATTCTCATTTCTATTGTCCTCAACTCTCGCTTACTCAGCTCATTTCTCGGCGCAGTGGCAAGCACTCGGCGCAGCCCTATTGTTCTATAGCAGCCTGTAGATATATAAACGGCTCTCTGAGCGTGCAATGAATCACCATCTCCAATCAGTTCTACTACGCTCAGCCTGCCAGATCATCGATCCAGCGGCATCACGAGCCTAAGTTCCCAACATCGAACGAGAAACGGATTTGTCGGCCCCTGTGAAGAGAGATCTGAGAGAAGCTGAGGCGGTTGTGTGAGACTTGGGCCGATGAGTAAGGATTTGCCAAGCCCAGTAGCTAATTCGTGCTGTGGTACAATCGCACCTTCCCGTTCGAGGCCGCTGTTGCGAGATGCCGTCTCGACGTTATGCTGCACTTCATTTCATTACTCCACGCTACTTATCTACGGTGATGGCATCCGGTCCAGAGGCTGTGGGGCCGTTTACCAGCACTCGGCCACGTTGCCGTTCTTGTTACAGTTCCCGCCGATGGCCCAGTTCTCGTACCCGCCGTCTCCGTGGTTCGTCATACGGCCCCAGCCCTCGAAGATGATCGTATTGAAGTACTCGGTCCTGGGGCCTTCTCGAACCTCGAACTCATACTGGTTCACGAGGTGCGACACCTCCCAGTCGAACTTGCCGTGGTTGGCGTGGTGGACGAAGACGTTCTTGCCTGGGTTCTCTGCCATGGCCTTGTCCAACCACTGCTCGACCTTTGCCCCGCGGCTCGCGGAGACGGGCGAGGCGCCGAGGTACAGGAGGCCGAGGACGAGGAAGAGCTGCTTGCCGAACATTGTGGGAGTTACTTCTGTCAACGCTGGGCTACCGGTGAAGACTTACATTTGAGGGGTGTGAGGTGGAAGGGGGGCGAGTTGCGAAAGTGGGAAGACGACAGGAAGTCGGAGAGCTTGCTGATGTCGACTTCTGGACGCGAAAGCGCTTCTTATATACCTTGCAGAGTGACCAAGACTCTCGCACGAGAGTGAAGCTACCACCAGTACCACCAATACCACCAGCATTCAAGACCGAGCTCCGGCACAATGTCCAAGGAGAGCGACCCCAACGAGCCCGCCTCGGGACGAGTGTCAACCCCAGTAACGCCCAAGAGGAGAGGTTCGACCCCCGTCGCGAGGGGTGTCAGAGCCGGACTCGTGGGCCGAGTCTCAACGCATAACAGCGGTGTGTCTGCAGTGGATGCAGGCCGCCACTCTGCCACAAACCATGCCAAGACGCATGTTCCGGCGGGAGCTGCCGTCCAAGCTGCGCAGGCCGCGACGTGACCTCGGCGGCCTGGTCAGAGCCTAGTTTGCTGGGCTGGGAAGATTGTCACCAAGTCCAATGTACTACGTCCCTGTATGCAGTGCAGTCTGATTCCGGGTCCCGTGCCCAGAGTCCGGGAATCCACACCGGGGCATCATCTGACCCAGTTGTCATCGTTACGCACCGCGATAGAGAGTCAGACTCGGATGCATGTTTTACGCTTGTCACTCTTTGTCGGCTGGGACGGAGCCGGACCATCACCCGGGAAGGGAAGCCGGAGGGGGTGGGAGGGGACGGAGGGGTCAGAGGGGACGGAGGGGTCAGAGGGGGTTGCGCGGGAGATGGCGGTTACGCAACTTTGTGCCGGTTGTGCCACAGTCGTTCTGCGGGCATGGGGCGATCACCGCAGGCACTGAACCGAACCCAAGCCAGGCGACGGCGTCGGGGCACCGGATCTCGGACCGCAGTCTGTGGCCCCGTTGCTACTCCTGGCGGAGAGAAGCGCACTGCTATGCTTATGAGGTTGGAAAGCTAGCTCATTCTTTTGTTGTCGTTCGTGACTCTGCCTGTGTTGTCGTCGTTTGCGGCTCTGACTCCGTCGCTTACGTTTGAGGCTGTGTTCGTCGCCGAGCTGGGGCCGTTGTCGTTGATCGCTGGGGGTAAGTCGCCAACAGGCAGCAGATGGAGAGAAATGCATGGGCATGCTTACAACGTTGGGATGATAACTGATTCTGTTGCTTTCGTTTGAGATCTATGGAAGTTGATGTGTAGGAGTCAATGTTGCTGATCGTTGCTTGCAGGACAGTCGGAGGTGGGGAGTCGGAGGTGGGTGGAGGGGGAGTCCGCTTCTCACTGGACCATCCATTCACAATATCCCTGGCCGCTCATGCCCACAAGTCTTGGGTGGTCTGCCTAGAGAGCGAGGCCCGCCTGGTCCATGCGCCAGAAGAGCCACGCCGTGGTGATGAGGAGGAGGATGCCAATCTTCCACCCGACCTTGTACGCGACGGCGTCCCAGTCCCACCTGCGACCCCACGTGAAGACCTTCCAGCCGGTGAGTCCCTCGGGCGGCGGGCGGAATGCAGGCTTCGGACTCGCCGTCTTGCCCCGGAACGGACCTGGCGTCACATCGCCCGGACTGCCGGACTCTTGGAGCACATTGCTCGTGACCCACATCTGGATGCTGCGCGAGCCGCCAGTGGTCACGCCGATGCAGATCCACGCGAGCAGCGGGCGGGCTGGACCCAGGAACCAGAGCGTCAGGTACGTCGCAGGCCAGCAGAGGCACTGCAGCGAGACGAGTCGCGTGATGGTCGACGGGAGAGAGTAGTAGCTGCGCCAACGGTACGTGAGGCCGTTCGTGAGGTAGAAGCAGAAGTGGGCCGTGAGCATTGCCTGGGACGTTAGCTGGGACAGAACAGAGAGCTTACCCAAGCCATGGCGAGGAGCATGTCGCCGCGGTGCACGGGACGCTTCACGCCCTCGGTGATGTTGCCCTGGACGAGACGGTCGAGCTGCTCGCGACTAAAGTCGACGCCCCACGGCCACGGGTCCTCCCACAGGTATCCAGTGCAGAGGGCGTGGGCGAGGACGGCGCAGCCCCAGAGGGCGGGAACAACGGCAAGCAGTCGCAGTCCAATCAGCGACGAGCGCTGGAAGCGCGCCTCGATGCTGGCGGCGCGAATATCGACGATTCGAGGGGAATCTTCCTCGCTGTGCGTGCTGTCAAAGACGAGACCGAGTGCTGCAGCAGAGCGAGGCGGGCCGATCGGAAGCGAGCGCTGCCGCCGCCTCGCGCGAGGGCTGAACGAGATCGATCCACTCGACGGCGAGTCGCCGTCCAGGTCATCGTCCGCGTCCTCGCTTCCCGTCATACCGCCAGGCGGGCTGTGGAGCACGGGCGACTCTGCATCGGAGCTCTCCTGGCTGCTGCTTCCGCCCGTACCGGAGCCGGGCGTCCACGTCGTCAGAGGGGAGAGGTGGGGCGCAGGCTGGCGAGGCGAGTAGCGCGCCGAGCTGTAAGCATTCAGCGGTGTCGTGAGCGTCTGCGCGCGGATCGGCGGCGTCTTTCGACCCTGGCTCCGCCGCCGGACCACATTGCCCTCTGTGCGCGCTGCCTCTCGCCGGCGCTCCTGATCCTGCTGCGTCGCCCAGCGCTCCACCGCCTTGGACCGCAGCGCCTGCAGATCGGGCTGAGATCGGGAGCGATTCTGCTGCGCCCGGATGCGCCCCGGCACGAATGTCGAGTCCGAGTCGACCTCGGTGTCGTCCGACGACGCATTGGACGCCTGCGAACTGATTCGCGGCGCCATCGGTGCCACGGGGCGCCGCGCCTGCACTGACGGCACCGAGGGCTGCGGGTGCGACATGCCACGCCCGCCCCCCGCCCCGTTCGCACCAGCTCCTCCGTGGGCGCCCATCGGGAAGCGCATCACGCCGCCCGGCTGCGCATTAGGCGGCACGACTGGCTGGCCCGCCGCCAATCCACGCAGCGCGATTTCGGGCGAGACGTTCACGTTGCCGGCTACCTGGTTCGGGGCGTGCAAGAGTCGCGGGTCGACGAATCGCTGCTGCTGCTGAAGCGGAGGCGGGAAGGTGTTCGAGTGCAACGGGCCGTGGCCGTTGGGGAGATGAGACTGAGACTGAGGTGGTAGTTGCTGTGATGGTGAGGCTGGCAGACCGGTATGCGCCTGCAGGCCAATGTCGAGGGGTTGGATCGTGGTGAGCGGGCTGAGGCCAGCTGTCTGCGGCTTGCCCATCGGTGACGACGGAGCAGACTTGGAGTTTCGCCCGTCACCGAGTTGCGCGAGCTTGATCGACGACAGGACGGGAGGGTGCGGTCCGTCCTGTGCTCCACTGATGCTCGTGAAAGCGGGGAGGGCATGCTGCCGGAGACGAGGAGACTGGCGGGGAGAGGGCGCAGACAGTTTCCGCTGGTGCGTCATATGCTGTTGCTGTTGTTGTTGCTGCTGCTGTTGGAGCTGCTGCGCCTGCTGGAGGAGGAGCGCCTGGTGGACCTGCTGCACTTGCTGAGCCTGCTGCTGCTGCTGTTGCTGAGGCGTCGGGGTGATGGTCGTCGGCTCGGTAGCGTACGGCAGGTCTGGCAGGATAGCCGCGCCTCCCGAGAAGGAGCGCGGACGAGCCTCAAACGACATCTCAGAGCATGGCGCAGAAGCAGCGGGTCACGATGAGGGAAGGCAGTGCGGTGTTGCGAAGGTCGGGCCGGCGGTTGGCACTAATGAGATCGCTGGACCGTCCGCTGCAGTGATCCGAAGTTTCTCGCTGGAGGTAAGCGCGATATGCGATGCGAGCGGCTTTGGTCCGGAGGAAGAATGTGTTGTTGAGCAAAAGCTGCTCGTGTCGAAGGCGGAGAGATCTGATTCGAAATAGACTCGGGGTGCGAGAGAGCGATGGTGTGGAGGAGAGGAGAGTCGAAGCTTGTATCAGGGGGTTACAGGTGCGGTTGCTGGCGGGGAGGAGGAGTGTAGTTGGGCGATGATGGCGATGACGCTGCTGTGTGGTTTGTTGGATAGGGAGGAACGACGAGGTCAGATGACAGGTGACTTGGGTGACTGGTAACTGGCGGAGGTTGTGGTGATGCTTTGGTGGTTGGCGGTCCAAACCTGAAACAGAGCAGGTATGCGGAGAGCGGCGGCGATGTGGTTGGCTGGAGCTACACGCCTTTGTCGGGACCTCTTTCGCAAGCGAGCGACTGGGTGAATGCAAGCCAGAGCTTGCTCGACGGGACGGATAGGGTGTTAAGCGTATAGGCGAGGAGACGACGCTGCTGGTGCATACGATCGCGCTGAAGCAAAAGGTACGCGGGGTGAGCTGCGTGCTGCGTGCACGATGAGGCTAGCCTGCAGTCGATGGCGACAGGGCACCAACGACGAGCGGCGGCGGTTGTACCGCATACGGTAGTCGGCATCAGGCACGCACCCACCGTAAGTACCTACCTCCACCCACCTCCTCCACCCAGCCACGCATCTGACATCAGACTCATCCCAGCCTCTCTGCCAACTCTAATCCATCGCTTCCATACTCTCGGCACTCTCCTATACCTACCTCCCAGCAGCCTCGACCGACAGCGAGCTTCAGTCTCAACGACCAACCGACAGTCAGCAGCGTGCTCGATTAGCGTCTTTGGGTCCATCACGTTGCCTATTCAACAAACTATCAGACGTCATCATTCGACGCCGTCTCGCCTGCACCGCCGCCAGCTCATCCGGTGAGCCAGCTCCGTCTAATCGTTTCCATCGGAGCTGGGTCCAATAGCGAGATCTCAACCCCACACTGCTCCGCTGCGTCACTGTCAACTATACAGATCTGACCGCAGAGCTACCAGCGTAGAGCCATTCGGGCTCTCCGATCAGTCATCTCCGACACTTCTACAGGTGGCTGTCTCGATCGGCCCAAGCTCGGCGACGTCATCCTCGGTCTCAATCTCACTCTTGATTCCCGCTCCTGTCATCCGAGAATAAAGAGACAGCACCATGCGAAAAGGCGCAGGCATCTCCGCCCTACAGCGACACACAGCCACGGCCTCCTCCTACTCCGCGCTCTCCTCGACTCTCTCAAGCCAACAACTCACCTCGCTGGAGACATCACTAGCCTCGTTCCGCGAGGAGCTTTCCCGCTTTGCGTCTCTCCACGGTGCCGAGATCCGGCGCGACCCAGCCTTTAGACACCAGTTCCAGCGCATGTGTGCTGCACCCGCTGGCAGCCAGCGGGTCGGCGAAACCGTCCTGGTTCGCCGACAGTCTGGGGTTGCGGGAATGGACGTGTGCCTTGGCGTTGCAAGTTGTCGACGTCTGCGTGTCGACTAGGGAAAGGAACGGGGGCGTGATCGAGCTGGGCGAGCTCACGCAGCGCGTGAGGCGAATGCGCGATACGGGCTCGAGCAAAGAGGAGATTACGGAGGAAGATGTGAGGAAAGCCATCGACACCCTCGAACCCCTTCATGCCGGGTATCGCGTGAGCGAGGCCGGCGGCGTGACCTACGTCCGTACCGTTCCCCGCGAGCTCGATACGGACCAGAGCATGCTCCTCGTCCTTGCGTCCGAGACGGGTGGACAGCTCACGGCCGGCGGTATACAGAGCAAGACGGGGTGGAGTAGAGTTAGGGCCGAGACGGCGCTGGGCGACTGTGTCATGCGCGAGGGCATGGGGTGGGTTGACGATGTGGATGGGAGTGTGTGGCTCGTGGCCGCTGTGGATTTCGAGGATTAGGGAAGGTCTGTGTTTGTTGTATGGATATCTTGCCTCTTTGCCTGTTCCAGTCCTGCCTGCATCGCTATACAAATCTACAATCTTCACAACTAGTACCCGAACGGGTTCTGCTGCTGCTGCATGTATGGGTTGTAGCCCGTCATCTGCGGGCCCATCCCCATCATGCCCGTCTGCTGCATGCCCATGCCCATGCCCATGTTGCCGCCCATCATACCCGTGGGCTGCATCATCATGCCCGTCTGCATGGGCTGCTGCATGCTCCCGTTGTAGCCCGTCGTGAGCGGCCGCAGCGCATCGTACTTGTTCGACGGCTGGGGGTTCTCGTTCTCGTTCTTGCTGAAGTCGGTCCGCTTCATCGCCGAGAAGATGTTGGACGGCGCGAATTGGTCACCCGACCCAGAGGACTGCTGCTGCTGCTGGGGCATGCTCGGCGGCGGCGCCTGCATGTTCGCGACAGCGTTGAAGGACGAGTTCTGCTGAGGTTGCTGCTGGAAGCCGGGGAAGCCCGTATACGCGGGCTGCATCGGCTGCTGTCCGTAGCCGCCCGGGGACATGCCGGGAGACATGCCAGGCGACATCGGAGACATATATCCGGTCTGCTGCGGCATCATGTTGTTCGCCGTCTGGTGCGTCGGCACGAAGCCCGTCCGCGCCGGCTGGAGCGGGTTGAGCAGCGCCTCGTTCGAAGCGACCGGCGCAAGCGGGCCGCGAGGACCGTTCATCGCCGTCATCTGCGGCTGCAGCTGCTGTTGCTGCTGCTGCTGCTGGAGCTGGCTCATCGGTGTCGTGTTGTTGCCAGCGCCAAGACCGTAGGCGGAAGGAGGGGGCATGTTGCTCGCCTGGCGCTGAAGGTCGGCACGACCGGCGACACCGGCCTGCGCTGCCTCGGCCATCTCGCTGCCGCCCGGAGGAGGTCCGGTGGCGGCGGGGCGCATCGACTGGATCTGCGCGAGCAGAGCATCGGTGCTGTTCGCTTTGGCGGCGGCAGGCGCAGGCGATGGTGTAGAAACGGGAGGAGGGGCAGGCGACGCCGGCTTGGCAGCAGGCTTGATTGTCCACGCGTCGTCGTCAAAGCTGAACTTGGGCTTGGGCGGCTCCTTCTTGAGCAGATCAACCTCCTTCTCGGGAGGCGCCGGAGGAGGGGGCGTCGGAGCCGCCGGTGGCGGTGACGGCTTGCGTACGGGCTCGGCGGGAGCAGGTGAGATTGAGGTCTTGGACAGCTGCTCGGTAGCCGCAGTGAGGGCGGCGCCATCAACCGAATCGGCTCCAACAGTGTTCTTGCGCTCCGGCCGTCCGCGGCGGGTGTTGTTGGCGAGCTTGCCGTCGGGGCCGGTGAACAAACCAGGCGCAGGCGGCGCAGGTGCCTTGCCGGCATTCTCCTGCTCCTGGAGCTTGCGAGCATACTCCTCGTCCTGGTCAATCTGGCTCTGTTGTTCGGGCGTCTTCTTGCCGTACTTGGCTTGGATCGCCTTGCGGACACGGATCACGTCACCCTCGCGGAGACCGAGCGAACGCATGGTCGGAGCGTCCAGGTCGCCAAGAATCGACTCATCGATGCGGTCACGGTCAAAGTTCGATGCGTAGCGCGTGCAGTCGTCGACGTCACAGCCGGCGTCAAGGAAGAACGCAAACCAGTCAAAGTGCTGCTTGGGCGGACGCTGCGAACGCTCCCTTCGCTGATGCGACTCATAGCTGACCTGCTGGGACGGTCGGCGAGGCTGGGTCTTGGCGAGTGGAATGTCATCGTCGTCAACTGGCGCAGAGGAGCGGTGCTTTTCCCGACGAGCCAAGTGCTTCCTGATCATCGCAGCGTCCTCGTGCGACATCTTCTCGATCGGAACCTCGATGATAACACCGTTCATCTTGTGCAGGCGGAGCTTGTTGCCGTTCATGCCAAGGAACTCGGCTTCCACCTTGAACTGGCCCGTTCGATCGCTCCACACGCGGGTTCGCGCGGGATTCGGCTTCGGGCGGTTGTTCTCGCTGGGAGGACGCTCCGGGGCACCCTTGTTCTTGCCACTGGGAAGGTTGCGTGCAGCGACCTCAACGTCTTGGGCTGAAGGTCGCTTGCTGACCTTGGGCGGCTCCATGCGTCGGGCAGCCTCGCGTCTGCCTGTCAGCTTGATGATACTACAAACGCCAGCTAGGTATACTCACCGCTTAGCAGCCTCCATCTCGCGCACGCGACGCTCTTCGTCCTGATGAGCCTGGAGAGCGCGCTCACGCTTGGCACGCTCCTCCCGCTCAACCTGCTCGGCAATTGCTCGGTCGGCAGCCTCCTGGGCCTCTCGGTCGCGAGCCGCCGCTTCGATAGCACGACGCTGCTCCTCTGCCTTACGGGCCTGTTCCTCGCGCTGGGCAGCCTCGGCCGCTGCCGCAGCGGCGGCAGCCTCCGCATGTCCGTTCTGAGCAGGGCCGCCGGCAGCGGCACCACCCTCTGCGATTTCGACGTACTGAGCAGGCACGACTCCCTCCTGGCCGCGCGAGTTGCGGACGAGCCACCACTCATCGTTCTCCTTCTCAACAATGGTGAGATTCTCGCCCTCAGACACAGTAAGCTCATCGTCGCCACCGGCCTCGAAGTCGTAAAGGACCACGCAGACTTCCTCACCGGCCGGTGCAGTGGCCGCAGGGACTGCAGCATCCTCAGCCCATCGCACCGACTTGGCCTCGGCGGGAGGAGACACATTGTCGTCCTCTTCCGACGTGACCCCGCTGCCGGCATTGGAGGACACCTGGAGAGCCTCGCCCGTGGCCTCCTTGCTCTGCCTGAGCTTGGCAATAATCTCCTCGGCGGTCGACGGCGAACCAGTGTTGAAGACGAGGGGTTGACCGAGAGTAGCGATGGTGAGGTTGATGACCTTCGACGACGTTCGCTCAACATAGGTGAGATCCTCGATCGGGAACTGCTTCACTGGGGACTGCCTGTCAGCTTGATGGGCATCGGCCAGCTCACCTTGTCCATCTCTGACGCGAAGAAGATTGCGCCGTTACCGACACTCAGAGTACCCTTCTTCTTCAGGCTGCCCTCGACCTCCGAGATCGACCACATCTCCAGCTTATCCTGACGTTTGAGCTCGCGCTGGTGCTCGGCGGCAGCCGCACGCTCCTCCTCGGCTGCACGTTGCGCCTCGACCTCTGCAGCCGATGCGGAAGCGCCCTCTACTTCCACCTCATTCGCTGCTTCCAGGGGCTCGCAGTAGTTCTTGGGGACAAAGCCCAATCGCTCGTCCCCACCCTCTACCCGCACGAGCAACCACTCGTCCTCCTCGGCGAACACATGCAAAACGTCGTCCTCCGCCATCGACAGCTCCTCTGGGGATGTTGACTCATATTCGTACAGGGCACGGGTCGAGTTGATCGCGGGGATCTGCTTGTTAGCTCGACGCTTCCCCGCCGCTAACGCACCTCTTCAACGTAAGTGCAGGGAATCAAGCCGATAGGTCCCTCTGCACCTCCGTCTTCCTTGAGCTTAGCCTTCCACCATCTGAATAATTCGAGAAACGTTTACAGACGCGTGATACGCGGGGAAAGCCATGTCAGCGCCAGCTTTCTAGGCAGCAGCGGTCAACCTACTCGTCGTCACCCTTCTCGATAATGTACAGGACCTGATCCTCCTTGAACGAGATCTCGTCTTCTGGGTCCTGGGCTGCATAGTCGTACAGCGCCTTGACGACGGCGACGTAGGCCATGGCGCCGGTGTGATGCGTTGGTGTCTAGTGGGGTTGAAGTGGGCGGTACAAAGGTGCAGTCGGGTAAGAACGATGGATATGGTATAGCTGAATGAAGAATGAGAGAGTGAAAGCGGTGTACAGCGACCCAAAGAACGAACGAGCTCGAGAAGAAATGTTGGTGATAAGAGTGAACTCAATGCGAGCAGCGATGTGTCTGGCAGCGTGTGCGCTGGCCGTCGACGCCGAACCGAGCACAGCGCCAGTGACATGACACCACTGTGATCGCCCTAAGAGTGGGGGTCGAATACGCCGTCTCTGTGCCAAGAACCGCAAGCGGAAGGCGGAGTCACCTTCCCTGCGCGCCTCTATGACGCTGGCTGTTGCGATCTGGATGCTTGTCCGGCCGATCCAAATAATCCATGCTCCTCTGTCTTCGTCACTCTCGTCACCGTCGTCGCCATGTCTAGGCCAAATCAGTCCCGGCCGCTGGGCAAAACGCCTAAACCCGCTCCGCCTGTCCCCAATGCACCCGGCGCTACTGGTGGACCCATCCCCCGTCGATCAGCGGGCACGTTGCCTGGTATCGCCCGTACGGCGTCGACGCTGCGTCAACTTTCCTCGTCACCCGGTGGCCCGAATACGCTCGCCTCGTTGCCGGCACACCTCCGCAATCTGTCCGCCCCCAGAGTACCATCGCCGCTGGGACAAGGCACGCCGGGCCGCGCCATCCGGCAGTCCTTCCCTGCCCGTACTTCGAAGACGACCGAGAAGCATGTGTTCCTGCCTGAAGATCCCCAGCTGGCGCCCCTTCCACCTGGACGAGGTACAGGTGTTGAACCTCCGCAACGATCAGGCAGACCCCGGTCGCATTCGTCCAGCAGTCTCACCCACCATGGCTCCTCTACCCAGCTGTCGCGAAGTCAACAGCAGAGCCTGAATCCATACGATGAGCAGAGCGATGCGGAGAAGATGACAAAACGCGAAAGGCAGGAGAATGGCCTTCCTCGGCTCACTGCCTACAACACAGCAGAGGGCTATCGACTCAAACTGTTGCAAGCTTTTCTCAAGCGAGAACATGGCGTTGGAGTCGTTCGTGTGTACGACGACTGCGTGTACGCTGTAAGTTGTGAGAAGCGTCTCCTTCGCTGACAGCAGGTCTACAACCTCCCCCTCTTGCCCGGCTACGGCGCTGGAACACGGGTCCGGTCCTCTCCAACTGTCAGGTCCCCTGGTGGAACCTCCATGATGGAACAGATGACTCAGGCGGAAGAAGCTGGCTACGACGACGAATACTTCCCCGTCGTCCCCGAAGAGTCTGCTCCGCCCGTCACTGCTCCCCACGACCCCTCAGAATACATTCTGAGCCACTCACCGCCGGAGCCTATGCCGATTCAGGAGGTGGACATGTCCATGGAGACTATCATCGAGCAGCCTCTAAAGGAGACTGACGACCCGACGTCACCAACCTCTGCGACGTCCAGCGAGGGGCAACAAGCGAGCACGAGTCTGTCCCCGCCGTCTGACATGTCGTCGTACAAGCGACCTGAGCAACAACAGGAGGATGGAGAACGCCAGGGTGTCCACATTCCTGGAACTCACATGTCACCGACTCACCCGGGTTTCCTGGAGCACGTTCCCTCGTCAGCCCTCTCACCCTCTGAGTTGCATCGCTCATCTCGCAGGCGGTATCCTTCGCCCACGAAGCGCCGTCGTGATCGTGATCGTTCGCAGAACCAGGTTGCCGAGGCCGTCTTCTTTTCTTATGGCGTCAGCGTCTTCTTTGGCTTCCAAGCCGACGAGGAGCGCGAGATCATGGCCGACTGTGAGGCTGCTGGTGTCTGGCAGCAGGGTCTCAACGAGGACGACTGGGAGATCGAGGAGTTCCACTATATCGTAAGGCCAATCATGTCGAGCAATACTGACGTCTCCAGTACGACGACGACGCAGAGTCACCCCGTATCTACAATGACATGTTCAGTGAGTAAAGCTGGGGTCCTCTTCCGGTGTAGCTGACATCAGCCTTCAAATCGCGTTCGCACTTGTTCAAGCTGTCGCTTGCCCACGCCATCGCTCAGTCGACGAAGCTTTCCGTGTTCGAGAGCGCGATGCAGGAATCGCTCGAGCTCACCTCGACGTTCCCGAAAGAGCTCAGCACGACTGGACATCTGCAGATGAACCGTATCGAGGCGCTCAAGATGACGGGCCGTTTGTTCAAGCTGCGCATGGACGTCAACCTCATCAGTGGCGTACTCGACACGCCCGAGCTGTTCTGGTCGGAAGCGTCGCTGTACCCTCTGTACGAGGCGATCAACCAGTACCTCGAGATTGGGCCCCGCGTGCAGGTGCTCAACGATCGCCTGTCCGTTGTGGGCGACCTGCTGGAGATTATCCACGACTACATCGACCAGCGTGCGACGCACCGGATCACGTGGATCATCATCTGGCTTATCGTTGTCGCGTGCATTGTCGCGTTCGGCGAAGTGTTGGCCCGACTGGTGTTCCATTCGATGCCGAGGAACAGTGGCAAGTCGATGCTGATCCGTGCGGCTCGCACCGTTCTCGGCGTTCAAAAGTGAAGGCCGCCCTGTGCCCTGCCGCGCCTGCCGAGAGGGTGCGAGGCTCGGGACGCCACGGCCGCCGGGAAGCCGGATGGTCTCGTTGTAGCTACTTTTGCATTGAAGTATCAAGTGTGACACGATGTATAATGCCTATTCTTATCAGTTGGGTTGGTTCCACAAGCAGCGGCGTACACGAGTGAGCAAGTTGAAGTAAAGCATTCAACGGGCTGGCTGTATGCTGAATGCCGGGATGAAACGTGAATTACGTTAGCTCAGAAATGACACTTGCACGTGGGGCCAGTCTGAGGGTGATACGGAGAGCGACCCAGGACGAGGGATAAGATTCAGAACGGGAAGGGGGTGTGAATGAGCCTCGAGCTTGATGAGCATCGCAAGCTGAGACGACTCCTTAAACTCTTTCTCCTTGCACTTCCCCTGATCCCCTACCCACAACAATCCGGGCCAGCCGAACCCACCATGCCGGACCACCTCGCAATCACCTAAGAGAAGAGCATGAAGCGTAAACCTCAGCGTACGACGACGGTATGCGCCGTACCCACGGTGTGGATTCGAGGACCAGGGCCCAGGACTACGCCTCCCCTTGCTTGACCCTGCACTTGGCCCGGGTCGCCCAGGCGGTCGGGGCCTGACACAGACAATAAGGTCGATAATGAACAAAGTGCGTCACCATCACTGTGCCTTTTGTTGTGCGTCGCGTCCCGGGGCAAGAGTTCCATGGGAGATCTGTCGCATGTCGCAGTTCACTTTCCTCTCACACCACTCCCAAAGCCTGCGCACAGGATCCGACAATCAGCAGCAGCAGCAGCTGCCTGGGATGACCAGGGCGATCAACCAGTTCCTGACAGCCTGGCATGCCCCAATCTGTGTGATCCTGCGACCTGATATGGCTTACGACCTACTCACGTCCTGCGCATCGCCCGAGGGCACGGGCATCGCGCCGACGCACAGGTGCTGTTCTCGGCGAACACGCACATGCCGTGTCTACCAAGATATCTAGCTGGTCTACATAAGACTAGAGTTTGTGCCTTCTCGTTCACCCCTCGTTCTTCTACAAACACTACTTCACTTCTTTACAACACCGCCTTCACCGACGGTACCGATCTTGGACGACGTATCCGCTTCTTCTCTAGTCTACCACTATCCACCCAACTTGCAAGACGTGAGTCACGAACTATCGCCGCCCAGCTGACATTCTAGACTCTCTACCTTCCTTCGACATGATCCTCCCCTCCCTTCTTGTCCTCGGCGTCGCGGCGGCTCTCCCCCTCTCCGCCGAGAACTACGACTTCAGCGTGCGATGCGAGCACGGCCCCTCCTCCACTTCGACCTCCTACGCCGGCGAGCCAGATACAGGCTGTGTGAATGTCGGCGCCGCGGGCACGAGTAGCTGCTTCTCCTCGTGCCAAGCCCTAGCCCACGACGCCTGGCAATGGGGCGCCGGCTGCAAGATGTACGTCTTTGCCGACCGCGACTGTGGAGGCGACTACAACTCGGTCGAGCTCTGGACGCCCCGCCCCGACTTTGAGCATCTCGCAGGACCGGCCATGAAGCTCCCGTCCGAGGGGTGCGTGCGGTCCTACTCCGTCCACTGCCCCTTTGGCAGCGTTCGCTGGCCGAACGGCGTCAAGAAGGGAACGGCACTCGTCATTCAGTAATCACCTCAGGCGGCGCCGCATGCTCCACCACCGCAGTGCCGATCAGCAAAGGACCCGATCGGCACAAACAGCACCCCAAGCAGTACACGGCGTGACCGACAATCATTCATTTCGCGCGCAACACGCGCGCACACACGCACACACGCACACACGCACACACGCACATCAATCATCGCTTAATCAGTTGTATCTACATTTCATCGGCATCGCGCAGCTGCGCGGCTTGTAAAGGACCCCTGTATAGTCCACACGACATGACATGACATAAGAAAGACCTCGCAAGTTTCTCGTGAGCTCGCCTGTTTGTCTGCTCGGCAGAGTTGCGTTTCCAGGAGTCAGTTGGGGGTCGGGGACATCGCCGTATGCTTTTGCCGGAACATCGGAACGCCGGAATGTTGGAAGTTGCTGCGCAACGAGCACCGATGAGAGCGGCGTACGCACTGCGATCCTGGGAGCACTGCACACAGTGCACACTTGTGCAGAGCTGAAACTGACAGCCCTTGGTCAGCCCCTGTTAATGACCTCTGCCCATCGCCCGGGCTCATGTCCGGAGTCGTAGCAGTTCAGCAGTCATAAAGTGCGAGTACGTCTGTCCCAAAAGAGCGGACGACCTTTGTCGACAAGGGGGGGGTCAGCAGTGGGACCGAAACTACGGGTCACAGTGCAAGTGTGCCGTAACGTTCTGGCCCTGGGACTACCACCGCTAGGTGCGCTTGCCGAACTCAAAATGCACCCCTCCCCCTCCTCGGTAGTGTGCTGCTGCATGGAACATCAGCTTGCAGAAGTAGTCCGAGACGCCGGCGTCGCAATCTCTTCCCCGCCGCTTGCACCAATGCGCGTCCAATGGACTCGGTGCTCGGTGACGGCCCGCGGCCCACAGTCCACGGCCCACGGGGTGACGGGCTTGCGAGCTTGCGACGAGCTTGCGTGCGTCCACGACCCACCGCTCGTCACATCCAGACCAGGCTCCAGTAGATGGGACACCGATCGCTGCGGCTCTCCCTCAACTACCAGACTCCACTCTCTAGGCATATCTCGGCATGTATTGCTCTATGCGCAGGACATGCCACTCCGCGCTCAGTCTCAGAGAGCTAGCTCAAGAGGCACAGGTGAGCATGAGAGGCGATGAGATTGTGGGTCCTCAGGAACGCGTCGTCGTCCGGGGTTTTGGCAGCCCTGATGTGTAGGGCTGACCTTGTTTCATGTTTACTGGGACGTTGTGACGTTGGCTTGCTGATGAGATGCGACAGACTCGTCGTGGTGCTACGGCGTAGGCATACAGCAAGTACACGTACACCGAGATATGCTTCTCAATCGACAGAGTTATCATGCTTCTTGGGCTCTATGAGACCATCCTGCTGTCTGTATTGGGACGTGAGCTGATGGCGATGCCGCGAGGAGCGAGGAGATTGCACTGCCACCGTACCACCGCGCTGCCCAGGAGGCCAGGCTGGCCTGCGTCTCTCGCAGGCTAGTATTCCCGAGCCGAAACTTTGGGTTTTCATAGCGTACCTCGGTTGCTGAGCATGCTGAGAGCTACGGATCGCCTGTAGTTCTCTCCTAAAGTATACCCATGAACACCCATTCTGAGCCGGTGGTCGGCCATGCCACTCAGACTATGGCCCACGACCCATCTCGCCGACTCGCCGACTGGCCGACTCGGGGCCGCGACTAGCGCGACTCGGCCAGCTTCAGCGGAATTAGTTGCAAGATCAGCTGCCCACTGTGTGCTGTGACAACGCAGGGTCGAACAGCTCGGTGTGCGTGTGTGTGTGCGTGTGTGCGCGCATGTGTGCAGGCCGTTGCTGGAGGCAAATGTGCAACGCCAGGGGAGACACGAGGGGCAAGAGAGGCGTTTCAAGTGGCATTAGTGTCGATGTGAAACGGCACACGATCGTGCGCGCGTGGACGTGCATGGGTTGACCACCAGCTTCGTATTCTTCATATCGACCACCAGTTCTTGTCACGGTGCGCATTAGAGTGTGTAGTGTGTGCCGGCAGACTGGCCAGACGAGGCTCAATTGTCTTGATGCAGATGGCAGGTTGCCACTTCCGCAGAGACGATCGGCAGCTTGTCCAGCACATTACCCGACGAACGTTGAGGTGCACTCGTTGTCTGTTGTCTATCTGGGCACCATGAAAGGGCATAAGGGCATGATGCGTACCGCTTGCGTACCGATGATCTGTGTTCTCTGGTACTCGGCCATGACTGACGAGCAAGCCGAGTGGACTCGAGTGGACGCCTTACGACACGCCACTAGCCGACCTTGTGGCTAGTTTCAGCCTCTCCCACGCTCGTCCCCACACCTTCTACCAGTCATGCCACTGCAGGAATTGCAATGCATGCAGTGCGGTCGATGCCTTTCCCAGTGCCCCTTCATGAGCATGCGGAACTAGCTATAGAACCTTTCTGGAGCTTGCATGACACATATCAGAAGCGGAGTGTCCAGAGTACGTCGAGACGTTTGGCCGGCCTCCCAGCACCTATAGGTTTCCCCACGGTGTACCCAGGGGTTCAGAAACGAACTCTGGATGAGATCTCTGCGTCGAGCTTTGGAGGAGGGGTTTCCTAGATTCAATGTTTCCCACGGCCGCCCTATCCCGTCCGATTGTCTTTCTCTTCGGCAAGTCGGCATCTGCACTGCCTAATCGGACTCACAGTGAGGTATTAGTAATGACAGCGCTTAGGTAGTATACGTGACAAGTGTTGTTACATTGGTATCAATATGTATATCTACTTCTTCGTCTAGTCATGCCTATGCCAGTGGTGATGATGATGATGATGATGGTGGTGGTGATACAATACTTCTCCCTTCTCCCTGACTGCCTTCCCTATCTCTCTGATGAGGACCCCAATATCGTGCGGCACGTGTCCCTAAGCGTGCGCGGAGTGGGGGCTGCCCTGATGTTGCTGCTCATGCTCGCGCTCGTGCATGGCGCGGAGGTCCATGTCGCTGCGTGCGCGCTGGATCTCCTCCGATGCGTCGTACGTCGGCAGACTCGGGTCGAGGGGCACGACAAACGGCTCGGACGAGTCGGTGTACGACGGCACGCGCGAGAGCTCGCCGTCGCTCGCCCCGCCAATTGAGAACGTGGCTGGCGCGCGGTGCGTGGATGGCCGCGCCGGCTTGGGCGGTGGGGCAAAGGACACGCTCGGCTCGCGGCCCGAGAACGCAGTCCCCGCCGCAGTCCCCGCCGCACCGGGGAGAGAGCTGAAGCTCCCGCTGTGCCCGTTCTGGGCCGACAGGACGGGCGAAGTGTGGTTGCTGCCGTGCCCGCTGTGGTGTCCGCTCGCCGGTCCAGAGGCACTACCCCGGCCGATCATGGAGGACATCTTCAGGCCACCGGGCAGGTGGAACAGCGAGCCGAGACGAGTGCTGCTGTGGCTATGGGTGTTGTGCGAGTGTGAGTGCGAGCTGTGGTGCTCGCGCTCAGGTGACGAGGCACGGGAACCCGCTCGAGATCCGGCACGCGAGCCTGCACGAGAGCCAGCACGCGAGCCCGCACGGCTGCCGAAACGAGAAGCACTGCTAGAGGCGATCGCAGAGTTGGAGGAGGAGCCAAAGCTGCCGCTGCCAAGCGAGCGGAGCATGGCCTGCTCCTGGTCGGTGAGCTGGCGACGGGGCGGAAGCTCGTTGTCGGGGGACGCGGGGCGGGAAGGAGGGCGAGAGTGGGGCGGCGAGGGGTTCGGCGAGTTCTGCGCGCTGCGCAGAGTCGAAGCGCTCGAGAAGCCACTGAAGCCGCTGCTGCCCGCAGCCTCGGCGATGGCGACGCGGTCGTAGACGTGGTTGCTGTACGACGGAAGCTCGTTCTGCTGCACCTCTCCCTCGGTCGCGAGACCAAGGAGCAGGTTGCGAGCGGGCAGACCCGACTGGTGCGCTTCCTGCAGGAGAGAGTGGTCCAGAATGGTGATCGGCAGCGCACAACGGAGCTCACTCGTGTGTCCGTCCGCGTTCGTGATCGCGCACGACCACTTCAGCTTGTGCGTGACCTGTACCGGCTTCAGGGACGCGAGCCCGCACGGCTGCCGAAACGAGAAGCACTGCTAGAGGCGATCGCAGAGTTGGAGGAGGAGCCAAAGCTGCCGCTGCCAAGCGAGCGGAGCATGGCCTGCTCCTGGTCGGTGAGCTGGCGACGGGGCGGAAGCTCGTTGTCGGGGGACGCGGGGCGGGAAGGAGGGCGAGAGTGGGGCGGCGAGGGGTTCGGCGAGTTCTGCGCGCTGCGCAGAGTCGAAGCGCTCGAGAAGCCACTGAAGCCGCTGCTGCCCGCAGCCTCGGCGATGGCGACGCGGTCGTAGACGTGGTTGCTGTACGACGGAAGCTCGTTCTGCTGCACCTCTCCCTCGGTCGCGAGACCAAGGAGCAGGTTGCGAGCGGGCAGACCCGACTGGTGCGCTTCCTGCAGGAGAGAGTGGTCCAGAATGGTGATCGGCAGCGCACAACGGAGCTCACTCGTGTGTCCGTCCGCGTTCGTGATCGCGCACGACCACTTCAGCTTGTGCGTGACCTGTACCGGCTTCAGGGAGTGCGACGGCGTCGTCCATGGCGGGATCGGGACCATGAAGATGGTGTTGACCTCCTCGTCGCCGACCATGAGGTCATCGGGGTTGGTGTCATCGCGGGAACTCGAGGCGACGTTCGAGGTCGAGGCCGACGCCGATGCGGGCTCGGAACCATCCGGCGTCGGCACCCGGTTGCTCGGCTTCCAGGCTGCCGGGTTGCCGCCGGCCCACGGGTGTAGCGGCTTGAGAATATCTTGGCGCTTGAGCACGGCCTTGTTGTCGCCGACCTCGTGACGCATCGTGATCACGTCCTTCTCCTCTTGATTCACGGACCCACGCGTGTACACGAGCGTAAACTCCTTCAGCGTCGTCACGATCCAGCTCACGCGCACCCCCTTGGCGATCGGCATGAACTTGATCTGGACGGGGATACTGTCACCCGCCGCGTACGCCTTGAAGGGTAGCGTGATGCTGTACATGATCTTGCCAGGCCACGTGTTCTCGATCTCGAGCGTCTGGTTGAACTCGAGCGCCTCGGACGTGAATGTCCGCGCGAGGTTGAAGCGACGCTGCGCATGCAGGTTGAAACCCAGTCCCGCGCGGATCACAGTTGCGCGCAGCTTGTACTGGATGTCTCCCGTGCCTGTCAGCGTCGTGATCGAAGACGGCAGCGAGTTGTCCAGCGTAAACGAGAACGGATACGTGTGCTGTCCGGCTTTCAGCAGGTGCGTCTTCTTTGACGGGTTCGCAGCGTGCAGGAACGACCAGTCATGGGTCAGAATCGGGTGCGTGAAGGAATGGCTGCTTCGTCAGCTCGGTCACTCGGCCATGCCTGCGCCCCGGCAATCAGCATTCCTCGTCGCCGGTTGTCGCGACGACGCCTCGTCCATTGCGCCAGCGCTGGGTCAAACCGGGGATGAAAGAACTCACTTTGAGCCGTCCGTGAACTGCACCTTGGCCTTGGCGGTTAGGTGAAGCTGGACGTCCTTGACGTTCATGTTCTCGGGCAGTCGGAGCACGACGGCGCCAGAGAGATAAGCCGAGTCCATCTCACCACCCTGTCCACGGAGGACGAGGTTGTCGCTGTCGAGCACGATCTCGACGGGGTTGCGGTCAGAGCCGGGAGTCGGGTGATACGGCTGTATCGTCGGGCTGTAGACGGGAGGGAAGGCACTACTGGACGCATTGCCCATGACTGGAGTCTCGGCGGGATAGCTGGGCGCGGGGTTGTGAGGAGGATGAGGGGAAGTCGCCTGCGACGAGGACGCCGTGTGCTGGTTGGAGAAGTAGTCGTTGAGCGGATCGTCGGGCGTGATGGCGGAAGAAGCCATTGCGGACGAGAGACCTGGTGACGCCGGGCGGCTCACCGCCGGCGTATTCGTCCCCGAGCCTGTTCGCCACGGCATTGCGGAGTGTGTGATCAAGGCCTGGGTGCGGCGATGCACTCAGGTCAGCGGGTGTGGAAGGGCTGGAACACGCTGTAGCGGTGTTCTTCCTCGTCGGAATGTCTGGATTGGCGGGTGGTCGCCGATAAGTCGTATCCGAGGCTTCGTGGTGATCGATGTTGCGGATGCGAATCGAGTGGGTGTTACGCAGTGATGTTGATGTTTCGGTGCCGGTGGTAGTGTATGTGTTGACAAGAAGCAAGACAGAGATGCGTGGATGGTGGTGGAGCGTGGTGGTGATGGGGGTGGCCACTTCGTTTGCTTCTGGAATGACACAGCTTGGCGCGCGCGGACAAATATTTCGGTCACGTCGGCAGTAAGGTTGAAGATTACGCTGCTGCTGCGGGTTGAAAGGCTTCGGATGATTTCGACCCGCGTGGTGTCAGGTGTCGTGCCGGTCGTGTCGGTATTCTCTCAAGCGAGCCTGTGTCTCAGCCCCTGGGCGTCAATCGAGTATTCTGGTGTGTGGGAGGCGATGGGTAGTGGATGAGTAACGATGATAGATAGCAACAAGAGACGGTGAAAAGATGCATAGGTTGCGTGCTGAGGGCTGGACGGGATGCGGTGCGGGGTACCGGTGCGATACGCATTGCGGCGGGGACCGATTGCAGACGCTCCTGCAAAGATATGGCCGGCGAAGATAAACGGGGACCCGAAGTGCGTGCCCTGGTCCTTGGCACAGCAGCATAGCGCGGCCAGATTCGCTCCGCCCAGCTCAACCGCTGCTCCCCCGCCTACCACTAGATTCCAATTGTGTCCCACCGCCCTTGGCCCTGATGCCTGCCCTGGCAGCTCGGCTGCTGCATGCTGCCCTTTGCAGTGGCCACCCTCCGATCCCAGTAAACCTTGAACGTGGCTCCACAACCACCTGGATCTTGATCTCGTCAGCAGGCCGGCCAGGCAGTCATGCATTCGCACCCGCCGAACACTTCTTTACTCCGTCTCTGCCAGAATAAACTCGGCACGTGTGTGTTGCTTTCAAAGTAGTTCCCTCGGTCAGGAAGTAGTTCGGGTGGAAGCGCTAGATGCGCTTGCGGCTGCGGTCTGCGGTCTGCGGTCTGCGGGGATCACGCAAGCCATGACACGAGACCGAAAAAAAGCTGCAAGCGAAAAGGAAAAGAGATCCCACTTTCTAGCGGCTCCGGTGACTCACAGCTGTGTGTTTCGGCCGTTCCTACGCTCATCTGCCCGACACGGAGTGCTCCCATCTACATACAATGCATGCCCGTCTAGCCCGTCTTCCGGCCGTTATTCGACGCTTAGTCTGTTCCATGCGTTCCAACTATCAATCACTCGACACGCTAGCATTCAACCCACAATAAGCTTCGGTACATTTTCGGCGTATCTATCCAAGCTGGCCTGACGACGAGCAACAACAACAAAGCGTCAAAACAAATCTTCACACATGCTTCAGTAGCACGTTCAGGTGCAAGACTTGCAAGGGGCTTACGAGATGCCAGTCTGGCAACGCATCATTGGCTGATACAGCAATATCGACGCAACTGCCGCTCATTATCCTGAACACTGCCGCACGCTCGCACCCCGCCCAGGTCGCCCTTAGATGCGCGAGCCGTGATATCGCACCACAACAAGCCCAGCGGCCCAGTGCTGATCGGACGTTGACCGCCGCTCATCCCTTACATCGGCGCGGCACAGCACGGCACTGATAAGAACACGTCGGCGTGCCGCGTCCGCGCCACTGACGATGCGCCGATCTCACTGGATGTCGGGGAAGGGCAGGGAGAGGGAGAGGGGGGACTGTGAGGGTCGCAATCGCACATGTTCATGCGGCTGTGGCTCCCTGCCGGTCTCCGTCCAGAGTCTAGACTCTCCGCAATACGATCTTGCGATCTTCGCATCCCCCCGAGACGCCGGCCCAGCCACACCGCACCACGGTCGAGTCTGCCTATCGCAGTCTGGAGAACATTGCTTTGGCGCTGGCTTTGGTGCGGGATTGGCTCGCTCGCTCGCTCGCTGTTGCAGCCGCCTGCAGCTTTTGACCTGACGCTCATCCGAGGCTCAACTGACCCCTTGGTTGCCGTTCACGCTGCCCCGCGTCCCGCCGTACCGATGATACTGGCCGTGAACCGCCGGTCTGACCCCCATCGTCCAGTCATAACTGTGGTAGCCCGGCACAAAGCGGCACGGCGACCATGTTCCGGCTAGCCCTGTGTACGCCGCATGCCACATACGCTCCAACCCTCAGCGTGAAGCCTTTGACCTCATTCCCAACCCCGCATTGTTGTGCCGTGCACGGCAAGAGGACACACGACCGACCCCACATGTCCCGTCGAAGAACCCGAAATGCACAGAAAGGCGACAGGATGGAGCATTCTGGTTGGTCCTTCGTGGACACATGTGCAACATGTGAAAAGCATGTGGGCGGGATGCCGGAATCAGTCCGCGATCAAAGGTGCCTTACGCCTGGGACGGTGACGGACGTGACGGTCGTCCACACGGTCGTCCGAGCTGCTCCTTCCCGTGGTGGGCCCGGATCGGAGAGTCTGTCGGAAAGTCTCTCCTTTGTTATTGTTATTATCACCTCGCCATCACAATTCGGGACATCGCAGCAACTCCACTTCCACACGTAGCCGTACTAGCCGTCGCCCTCCGTGATCGAGCATTGTATCGTGAGTGGACGCCACGATGTGAGTTTGGCATGAACTTGTCTTTTGCAGCAGAAATACAAGGCTACATAAATTGCTACGTACGACGACCCTCTCGCCGCCTACAAGACCGTCCCACTTCTTCACACGGCGCGCATTGCCCAAAAATAATAATCGCAATGAACGGGGTGGATATTCTTCGTAAAGAGGAAATTAACAATCCGGACGTCGTTTCAAAGTCCTCGTGTCCGCAGGCCAGATGCTTTACTGCCAGTACAGCGTCTGGCAGTCCTCCTTTGCAAACGCAATGCCGCACGCGGGGCACTTGCGCTGGCGCGATGCGATTCGTGAATCGAGACACCTGATGTCAGCTCGACCCGGGAAGACGATGCTTACTCCTTGCAGAACGTGTGCATGCACTTGACAATGACCTGCTGCTTAAAGTTGAGGTCGCAGCAGGAGCACTTGAGGAGTTTCTGAACGTTAGCCAAGCCCCCAACTGAATGCATCAGGGCTCACCATGCACTTGTCGCGCTCGGCGATCGCCGTCTGCGCAGCGACGTTGCCGTTGCCAGAAGCCGTTGCCGCCAACAGCGTGTCCTGCTTCGCGCGCAGCTTCTTCACCGTCTTCTGCGCAGACTCGAGCTCCTCCTGCGCCTTGGTGCGTGCGTTGCGGTCGGCGACGGCCTGCGAGTCACGGCTCTTCGACTGCTGCTGCGTCTCGCTCAGCACGCTCTGGCTGTGCTGCAGGCGGTGCTCCAGCTGCGCCTTCTCGGCGGTGATTGTCGCCAGCTGCGTCTGCAGCTCCAAAGTCGCATTCTTCAGCGTCGTCATGCCCTGCTCCTGCTGAGCCTGACTGTCAGCTACGGCCAACCCTACTAAACTCACAAGTTGGTTGTTGAGAGCCTTCTCAACCTCATGCGCACGCTCCAGGAGCTTGCTCTGCTTGTCGACGCTGCGCTGGGCGGTCTTGCACTCGGCCTCGATCGCCTCCTTCGCACGCATCGCCTGGAAGTACTTGTTGGCGGCCTTCGCCTTATCCGTCTGCAGACCCTTGATCATCGCTTCGTTGTCTTTGACGGCGAAGACCTGGCTGCGCAGAGTCTGCTCGAGGCCGTCCCAGAGCTTGGAAAGACCCTCCACCTCGGTGTAGAGAGCGTTTGTCGACTCCTCGGCCTCGGCGACCTTGAGCTCGAGCTTGCGCTTGACCTCCGTCTCCTCCTCCAGGCGCGCGGCAAGCTGCTTGACGTCGTCGGCAACTTCCGGGTTCTCCCCAAGCACGCGCTGGTACTTCTGGAGCAGACGCTTGGCTGACTCGAGCTCGGTGCGAACCGCCGTCTCAGCTGCTGCGGCGGCCGCCTCTCCAGCCGACAGAGACTCGATCTGCGCGGTGAGAGCTGTGACCTGATCACTGGCTGTCGCTAGTCGTTCCTCCAGGTTCTTGATGTAGTCGCCATCCACGCCACCATCCGATTTCAGGAACGCGAGGTACCCCTCGGCACCGTCCTGCGCAGCGAGCTTTCCCTTGAGTCGTCGCACCTCGGACACGAGGAACACAATGCGCTCCTCTCGCGTCTTGCACAGCGCCTCGAGGCCCTTGGTTGTTCGCTCCTTCTCGTTGTCGCCGGCGATGCGCTCGTTCAACTGACCCTGCAAGTCGTCACGAGCACCGCGGATACGCGCAAGATCGGTGTCCTTCTTCGACATTTGCTGTCGGAGCGTCTCCACCTCTTGTCGTGACTCTGCGAGGACGGCCTCGCGGAACTCCAAGTTGCTATCACGCAGCTGGTCCAGTTTCCGTTCAGATTGCTCGAATCGCTCCTGAGCGGCATCTGCTCGGCTGATGCTGGCGGCCAACTGCTGCAGATAGACCTGGAAGAACGGCGCTTCGCGAAGAGCAGCTTCTGGCGGATGATGGGCCTGGGCGTTAGTAAAGCCGGGGTAGCAAAACTCACAAGAACCTTGATCCGATCCAGCTCCTGCGTCAGATTGACGTTCTCCGTCTGCGCCTCCTCGAGCTGCTTTTGTCGCGCAGCAAGTAAACCCTCGAGTTCCGTCACGCGATCAGCCACATCCTCCGATGAGCTCGCCACTTGCGGACTGCCAGCTTTGCTCTCGGGATCGGCTGCTGCTGGATTCGGCGTCGAGTGTCCAGAACCGTTGGCTATCGGTTTGGCAGCGGCAGCTGTTGACTCCCGCTGTGACCGCAAGCTCTCCCGCTCCTTGTCAAACTCCATACGCTGTCGATCCACACGCTTCTCGGCTCGCAACAGTTCGCTCTGAACGGCATCGCGCGCTTCCCGCAATCGATTGATCTCAGCCTGTTGCCGGGAGGCTGCTGTCTCCAATGCATCAGTCTGCGGGTTTGTCAGTTGAAAGGTTCAAATGGGTAGCAAGTGATGGCTTCTTGCTCACCTTTGATTGCAGCTGGGTTACTCGCTTCTCGAGCTCCGAGGATGGTAAAGAGCTTGGTCGTCCGGAAGCAGACTCGGCAAACGTTGACACCAATCCCATCGTGGCCGAGAGTTGCTTCTCTAGCATAGCCTCCCATTCTGATTGTGGGGACGAAGGGTCGACTGGCGCTTTGTCAGCCAGGGGTACACACAGTCAGCCAAATGACACCTACGGTCCATCACTTGCGCCTCGGGGAGGTCACTTGTCCGTCCTGCTCGATCACGTATGGAAGAAACAAGCTGCAAACGTTAGACGCAAAGCGTTCCCGCGACTTTTAGCTTACCTGAGCCCAGCAGGTTTTGTACCCTTGCAGACTGGCTTCGAAAGCACGCTGTTGTCGTTCGAGGGCGGCGGCGCGCGCCTGTTCTCGTTCGTAAGCACGTCGATACTGAAGCATCTGGCGGTAGATAGCCTCCTTGCGCTTCGTCTCGACGACGCGCATCCAGTCCTCGACGCCATCATCTTCGGGCTCGGGAGCTGTGTGGGAGGACGCGGGTGAGGATCCACCGGCGCTGGAGGCCACCGCCCGTCGCTTGCTAGAAGATGGGCCACCATCGAGCGAGCTCTCGCGGACTCGCTTGAGGTCAGCGTTCATGGTGGCGGAGGGGGGGAGGGGTGCCGGCGATGTTAATGAATTTGCTGCTGACCAAACGACGGCGACGGTGTTGGAGATGTCCAGTGAGCCATCCACCCGCTCGCCTGCATGCACCCGCTGAGTGACAAGTCCCAGCCCTCACCCAGGCGGACGGCGTTTCAGCGGCAATTGGTGCCGTGGCACTCCACCCTGGCCGGGCACCCCACTGTAGCCAGACAACCCGGCTTGTTGTTGACGCGTGACCCTGTCGCGTCCTGCCGACTGACTCTTTCGCCCGCTCGCCACTCTACCTCTTGGTTTCTTGCCTCCACGCGCGCGACTCGAGCGCGCGGACACTCACCATGTCTGCAAGCGCAGCGCTAGCGACCCCGACGTCTTCGACGTTCCCGACCGACGACAAGCTGGCAAGCCCCGCCATGTTCGGTGACAATGACGAAGAGGACCTCACGTTAGTGGCGTTCGCGTGATGCAATCTAGCGGAGCCGGTACTGACGTGCGTTGCAGGTTCGAGAACGCCGAGGAGGAAGCTAGCTACTACCGTGACAAGTACCGAGTCGCGGTGGACTTGCTGAACGAGACGCGAGCCGAGCTCGGTGCGTATTCGAGGGCTTTGCTGAACTAATTGCAGATGACTTTCAGACGTCATCGCGCGAGCTCGAGCAAGAGCTGGAGAAAGAGCTGGAGGCCACCGAGGCCAAGCAGCAAGAGCTGAAGGACCGTATCCATCGCCTGGAAAAGGAGAAGGACGAATGGCGTACCAAGTCTGTCCAGCAGCAGAAACAGCATTCCTCCACCGTTTCAGCAATGCAGCGTGAGATGGATAATCTCCGAACAGAGCGTGATAAGACGCTCGTCGCCCTCCGAGACCTGGAGATGGGAAATGACGAGCTCGAACGGAACGAGCGGTGAGTTCAATTCGCCGTCGCACTGTCTGCTCGGCTAATGTCCAGTGTCGCTGTCTCGTCTCTCCTCGACATGGAGATTAAGTACAACCGTGCCATCGAGGAGAAGACACTGTTGGAGCAGGAGATCATTGTTAAACAAGACGTTGAGGAGGAGAACCAGCGTCTCAAGGACGAGTGCCGAGGTGAGTACCGCAGCTGCATGCGGAATGCTGACTGAAAGACGCCAACAACGAAATCTCCATCCTCCGCGACCAACTCGCGCGAGCCACAGTCCCTACACCCCCGGCGTCCAACTCCCCCATGTCACCGATGCCGGAAAACGCGGAAGCAAGTCAGTCCCGAGCTCCTTCTGCCGCCTCCCGCAGTGAGACCGACTCGCCTGCCCCCAGCGACAAGTCGACCGCAACCCAGCGATCCGAGAAGTCACTGGCCGCTGGCCCCCGCCGGTCCCTCCAGTCGCCCAGCGTCACACCGAGGGCACGCACCACGGCCTCGCCCCGGGTTGCACGCACCGCCATCCCGGCCTTATCGCCTGCGACCAAGCGAAGCACGTCGTCACCTGCGAACTCCGCCATTCCTGCTCTGTCGCGCTCGACCGCGACACGGAATCTCGCCGGGTCTACCACTACGTCGGCTACAGCTAAACGTCTAGGCTACCAGCCCTCGCCCGGAACCGCTCGTGCTGTCAGTAACGTTAACAACGGCACCAACCAGCCGAAGACGAAGGGCTTCCAGCTCCTGCACAATCTTCAGGCACGCATGAGGGCGACCGACGACCGGCTGAACACCCGTGTGTCGAAGCGCAATGTCTCCACGCCAGGGTCGACCATCGGAGGAACAAGGCGCTTCCCTTCGTCTGCCACGTCTGCCAACCTGAAATCGTCGACCGCTGCCCACAACCGTGTGTCGCAGCTCTCAAAGTCGACGACAGTGACGACATTAGCGGGAGACAAGGGGCCGGACGGCCTCTTCTCGCCCACAAACTGGGTCTTAGTGTCAGATGGTGAGGACACTCCGACGGCTAACGGTCACGGAGCCCCACGGCGTAGCGAGCCTGCGTCTCCGTTAGAGCGGTCAACCTTCGGCCCCGATCGAAAGTCGGCTCGGTCTCTTCCCCAACGACCGGGGATCCCGTCCCCGCTTGCCCCAGCGCTGTCACGATCAGTCCGTGCGCCACCCCAGGCCTCGTCCCAGGCCTCACGATTCACGTCATCCACTGCTAGCCGAGCCGGTCTGGGCGTGTCAACGTCACGCCCGCCATCGCGATCTCACCAGCGTAGCGAGAGCGTCTCAATGCGGCCGCCATCACGGACGCACCGACGAACGGAGAGCTCATCGACGCGGCCGCCGAGCCGCAGCCACACTCGCTCTCACTCGCGCGCCGACTCGCGCAGCGGCTCCCGGACGGGTGCGTCGTCGCCGGCCTTCGGCGAGCGGATGTCGCCCGAGTCAGTGTTCCTGGCGGCGGCGCAGTCGTCGCGCCCGGGGTCGAGGGCTGGCTCGCGCTCAGTCTCGCGCGCAAGCTACGAGGACGACGGTGAGCTCATCGACGAGGAGGCGCTCGAACGCGAGCTCGCCCGCCGCAACACGCTCAGCTCGAGCACACTCGGCAAGAGTCGCCTTAGCGCCTCGGCCACGGGCACGTATCGCCGTGTGCCGAGGCGGAGCAGCCTGGGCCCCGCCGAGGCGTCTCTCCCCCCATCGGCGATCCCGGCTCCCAAGACGACACCGTCACGACCAACGTCCTACCCTGTCTTCCAGAATACACCGCCGCCGCCCGTCCCGCGCATCCCGAGCATGCACGCACGAGCGCGCCAAGGCCAGTAAGCATAGACGGCGAGCCTGGCTCGCAACGCGTGTATAACTACTACTCTAGTTTTGCCAACGGGCTTATAGTAACGACATAGATAGACAGGAGTGGACTCCCACCCGTTGTACGGCGCAAACACCCGCCAGCATGCAACATGTACATCATAAGCAATACAACAACAGCATCTTGAGCATTATTCGTTACGGCCCTCATGCCGGCTCACCCTTCCGGCGCCACTTGCTGTCCTTGCGCGCAGCCTCACGCCGGACCTCCTCCTCGCGTTCCCGGACCATCTCGTCAGCCTTGGCATTGACGGCCTCCACGTCCTGCGTGCTTGGGAAGCCAATTTTCCAGAAGTCTGGCGGCGTCGCAGGGCGCTGCCACGTCTCGCGGTGTCGCGAGACACGGTTCCGGTGCTCCACGAGCTCGTCCTCGTCGTCCTCGGTGCGCTTCCACGCCGGGCCCTGGTTGAAGCGGGGCAACGGGCCGATAGCCTCGTAGTACTGATTGTCAGTTCCCGCCCTTTGGAGTCAGCTTCAACTTACATCGCGGCAGCACTCGCAGTCTCCGCCGTGCATCTGGCGGCGGGCGTCTCGGTTTCGCACCGTTTCGTGATACTTGTGCGCCACGCCGTTGTTGCGCGCAGGGTCGATCTCGAACTCGTCCACGACAGAGCGTGTCACCTCCTCCGGGCGCAGGTATCGACCACCGCTCTTGTATTGAGCGTAGAACTCTCGCTTCTCTGCGACAGACATCTGGTTCAACTTTCGCCGCTGTGCTGCACGCTCGGCCGGCGACAGGTGCTCGAAGTCTAGCGAGTGCTTGCGGCTAGCGCTGGAAAGCGTGCTTGGTCCGGCCACTTCGGCAGCAGCGGAAGGACCTCCAACTGTCGAGGTACGTTGCAGAACAGTCTTCAGAAGCGACGTCGTACCCGTTCGATCACGCACGAGAGGCCGTGAAGCTGTTGGCGTAGCGGCAATATCGTCCTCGTCCGAGCCAAAGGACTCGACTCGGCTCAGTTTGCGCGCGGTTTTGGATGAGCTAGGCGTGCCGCCTAGCCACGGCGTCACACGAGAGGGAGCCCGACTCAGTGTCTTAGGTGCGGACGAAGGTGCCGGCACGCCAGTAATGGTGCGTCGTAAGGGCGTACTATGCTCCTGCTTCAGCGCCGCAGGAGTGGCTAACTTGGAGGTAGACGCGGAACGAGCTCTATTCGGCTGCGAGTCTCCTCGAGGCGGCAGTCGGGCTTCAGTGATCACCTCGGGAAGAACTGGTGCATTGGGCGGCTCAGGTTGTCGCCTTTCCGATGGAGGTGAGTGTTCGCGGACAGAGGGCTCGGGGGCAGCTTCGGAGACCTTATCATCCTCAGAAGGCGCCGGCGGATCACTCGGTGGTGGGACAGACGACGAGATGGGAGTGGCGTTCGCCGATCGACTCGCACTCTCCGCCTTAGCGCGCTCTTCTCGCCGCTTCTGCTTCAGCGCCTTGCGCTCATCTTGCACAGCCTTGTACTCCTTGAAATGCTTGATGTCGGCGGCCCGCTTGGAGCGTTCCCGATCGAGCTGCTTCTTGAGTAACGCATTCTGATTCATGAGGTGCTGGAACGCCTTGTCCCTTGACTTGGGCGACAATTGCGACAAGTTCGTGTCGTCAGCGAGCTGCGACTTGGTTGGCGTTGAGGGCACAGGTGTATGGGATCGTGTTGACACGTTTGGGGAGATGCTTTGGAGAACGCGCGAACTGGAGTCGGTTAGTCACACGCAAACACACACAGCCATTACCCACTTCTCGTCCGTTGTTTGCTTGCCTTTCGCACCCTCCAACTGCTTTCTCAATGCGGCGTAGGCATCTTGGGCAGCCTTGCACTCCTGCTTCGCCGCTCTTGTTTCTTCAAGCGCGACCTGCTTCTCCTCCTCCAGTGCGCCTATCCGTTGTTCCAGGAGTCTCCTAGCCTTGGCCTGCTCCTGCAAGGCCTCCTGAGCATCGTCGTAGTGTCGCCTCGTTCGGCGTAGCTCTTCATTCAACGTCGCGTGCTTGTGCTCGAGATTGCTGAGCTTCTCGGCAATGTCTTTCGGTGCGGAGTGGGAGCTGTCGGCATGCCTCAGCTTGCGCTCAAGCTTTGCGATCCTTTGGCGGAGCTGGTCGGCGGTTTCTGCCTCGCTGCGAAGCTGGTCCTGGTGCTCGTCTTGAATAGCGTCGAGTCGTTCCTTCAGCTTGGTGACTTCCTCGTTACGGAGCCAAAGCTGGCGTGCAAGCCTTCCAGCGCGGTCGAGCTCCTGCAGTCCCGCCTGGTCGGCGGTGCGCCAGACCCGCTCCTCCTCACACATAGCAGCGAGCTCGATCTGGAGACTGTCGCGCTCGCCACGCAGACCCTCGATCACGCGGCTCAAGGTGGCCATCTCGCCTTCCTTGGCTGCATATTCGCGCTCCTGGACCGACTTGTCTTGCTGCAGTTTTGTGCACTCGCGCTTCAGACGTGAACACCGGGCCTGCAGTTTCTGTAGGTCATCGCCGTACTTGCTCAGCTTTCTGTTAGCTCCCGCCGAATGCTCCACCGCACCTGGTCCTGGAATGCTGGAAGTCAGTTCCAACCCTTGAGCGGATGACTCACACTTGATGCCCTCGAACTGGCGTTCGAAGCCGACACCGAGACTCTCGCTCTCGTCGGGCTGGGACGAAGGCACCATCCCGGGCGGGTCGTCGTCCATGTTGCTGTTGTCGCTAGGGCTGGGCGGTTGATTCAACTTTAAGGGAATCGGTCAACAGCGCTCATGTCGCGGCGCCCAGGCGTTAAGGGTTAGAAGTCAGACGCGACCTGTGCGGGCCTATTTCGCCACCCCCTTTATCCCACGCATGCCTAACAGTCCCTCCTCCGGTCTCCCACGCTTCGTGTAAACAATCAACCGGCCGGGAATTCTGAACTTGGCGTCACCCACCTCCACAACTGCGATCCGCGACCATGCGACATCAGAGCAAGAGCAAACGACGGCAGTCCGCCATGCCAGGAGAACAGGCGTTGCCCCGCATCATCATCGAGAAGGAGGAGCCGTGGCTCCGCGTGCAGGAGAACGTGAACCGGGCACTCGCCGACGCGCTCGAGGTGCGCTTGTCTTCGTTGCCGGGGGGAGCGAAGGGGGAGCAGGCTAAGAAGCTGCGGCCCTCACTCGAACAGCATCTTGAATCCGTACGACGAAGGATGTGGGAGATGACGAAGCCAAACCTGCGCGTGAATGGGTTCAATTATGAGGACTTTGTTGAGAGTGAGTGCCGCCAAACTGCTCGTGTTCGTTGGAAGCTGACATCAGCGACCGAACCGTTTGACGAATCACTCGACCGACAAATCTGGGCGCTCAACACGGAGCGAGTGAACTGGGAGACCAAGGTTGTCGAGAAGCGCCGTATCAAGGCCGGCGAGGTTGCAAACCTCATCGACGACCTCGAGCTGCGACGAGATGCCGCGATCTGGAAGCCAACCGAGGAAGACGAGAGACAAGAACTGGAAGCGCAGGAGGGTGAGTTGACCGAGCGGGAAAGTAACTGACATATGCAGCCGCGAAGAACGTGTCATCAGCGGACATTGCCAAACCAGAACGACATGCCGAAGTACTGGAGACGTTTGGCAAAGTTGTCAGCAACCTGTCGGAATTGGCCTCGGTAAGCTTGGACGGCGAGAGGGAGCTAACATCAGACCGCTCCGCAACAGTTATCACGAGCCGAGCGGGTGCAAGTTGTGCGCGAGGAGCTCTCACGGTTACCGTGATGGCTTCATATCGTCTCGGGTTCCGGGTGTCCGTGTATCTTTACATTCTGTACTACCAGTCTATAATTCTCCAGCCCCGTGTCACGCGCGTGTTGGCACGTCGCTTGTAACATGTAACGATTGTGCATTCTTGATGTTCACAGAGTCGCGTGTACGTTTCTAGGGTGGTTGGGACGGGGACGACAAATGGGGCTGCGGCGCTCGGCGTCTTGCACAGCCTGCCGTCGTGCCTCGAGATGGGCAAGATCGTGATCCAGCGGGACGAGACGCCTTAAAGCTCGTCCCTCTTCGCGCGCGGCTTAGCAGTGAGCGGCTGCACGTCCTGGACGCCGGGGATGGCCTTGACTTCCTTGAGGAGCTCGGGGCCCTCGCGCTTCCACTGCCTCGAGTCCGGGGCGAGGTATCCGTCCGCGCTGGTGACCTCAAACACGTGCTCGCCGTCGAGCTCTCCAACAGGGCCACGGTACTCGAGTCCAACACCGGGAGAAGGCGACTTGGCAATAGCCTTGGGGTCGTTGGTCGTGACGTGGATGTAGGTGCGGTCGGGGTGGATCTCGGCGGGGGGCATCTTGGCGGCGACGACTGTGGCGGCGGCGAGGAGCCCAGCAGTGACGAAGGTGGAGAGGAGGCGAATGGTGAGAAGGTGTGAGTGTCTGAGGGCTCAGACCTCAGATATAGCGATGGCAGTGTCGGTCGGGTGAGCTCGCTGTTGATGTTGCGATGGACGCTTGGCACGCTTGCGCCTTACGCTTCATGGCCCCGCACCGCCCGCTGTTGTTATGACGCTGCCCCCCCTAACCTCGCTGGGTGACTGGCTGGACGCTGCCAGCTGGGTGGCGGGACCAGATGAACGCAGACTGTAGTGGTGCCTGGCTGGGTCACGTGAAGAATTTCTGTTTTGGAGGGCCAGTCTTGAGGTCATGAGCATTGCGATTTCAAGAGATTTCAGACAAGCATCTGAACCACCCCGACACCACACGCAAGCATGGGGAAGCCGTCAAAGAAGGCTCTCGGAAAACGCAAGGCGCCCCCTGCGCCTCAGAAGAGCGTGAGTTACGACGAGCCGCGAATGAAAGCTGACGACCAGTCAAACAAGAAGGCTAAGGCTGAACCGGAGCGCGAGGTCGGACCGACAGGCAAGCCGAAGCGTCGCCCCGACCAGCCGAAGAAGGTCAAGCTGCGCGACCAGAAGTTTATTCCTGTTCCGAAAACCGAGTTCGCGTCCGACGACGATGAGGACCTGATGGACCTTGGCGAGGACGACGAGCTCGACATAGGTCAGGCTGGAGGTTTCGCCGCTGGACTGGACAGGAATGCCCTGTCACGGTGAGCTTCAAGTGGCGCACTCTAGAGCTGACAGAGCAGAACAACTAAGGAGACGAAGCGTATTCACGCTAGCGAGAAGGCGCGGGAGACGTTCCCGGAGCAGAAGAAGAAGCGTGAGCCGTCACCGGTCTCGGCGTCGGACATTTCGGACTACGACTTCGACTCAGAGATCAGCCTGTCGGGCGACGAGGAAGGCGACGACGAGCCGCTGCCGTCTGGCTTTGACCTCGATGACTCGGACCTCGGCTCTGATCTTGACAGCGACGATGAGGAGGACGACTCGGAGGAAGGTTCTGACGACGGCTCCCTCGGATCGGACGACGAGGACGCCTTCGCCGCCGAATACGACGCCCTCAGTGAGGACAGCGACGACGAGTCCGAGGAAGAGCAGCCGAAACCCAAGAAGAAGAAGAGAAAGGACGAGGAGGCCGAGTACGAGACGGCGGGTCGTGCGCGGTGGGCGGAGCCCGAGTCGGACGAGGACAAGGACCACGCCGAGGTCGGCCGACTACCGATCAAGCTGCCAACGGGAGAGGTACAGCTCGTTGAGGGAACGACGAAGATTGCCCTCCCGCCGCCGAAGAAGCCGGCCCAGCAGCCCAAGAAGGTTCAGCCGGAGTCGGAAGACGAGAGCGACGACGCCAGTGACGTGGACGAGGCCGCCGCTCACCTCGCCGCGCAGCCGGGACGTTTCGGACGGATGAACATTGCTGAGATTGTCGCTGCGAAGGGGTGGAAGAACGTGCAGAAGCTCGCTGCCGCCAAGGAGCAGCTCGCGCAGACGGGAGCGGAGATTCTGGGTGGCGGTGAACTCGTCGACGTTGCCCCGACGATCACGCGACTCGCGACGTTTTCGCTGGCGGAGGTCCAGTCGCCCGACGAGGACGGCAAGATGCTCCCAGTCCCGGCTTCGATCCGTGCCACGGCGTTCCTGTCGCAGCTCGCTGTGTTCAAGGACTTGATCCCGGGCTACCGTATCCGACAGTTGACGGCGCAGGAGGAGGCGGAGAAGGTGCGCGACGAGGTGCGGAGAATGCGTGAAGGCGAGAAGGCGCTTGTTCGCAACTACAAAACGTACCTGAAGGCGCTCGAGGTCGAGGTCAAGGGCAAGACGCCGCTCGGCACCGTTGCGCTCAAGTGTCTGTGTGAGCTGCTGACGGCTGTCCCGCACTTCAACTTCTCGGAGAACATCATGGGCGTGCTCGTCGGCCGCATTGGACGAAGGTCATGGGACGACGACAGCGAACTCATCCTGAACACGTTTGTGAGCGTGTTCCACGCCGACCTGGCCGCGACCTACTCGCAGGCACTTGTCAAGCTCATCGCGCGTATGATCAAGGAGCGCAAGTTCCAGGTGCACCCGAACGTGCTCAGCTGCATGCTACACTTGCGCCTGAGAACGGAGCTGACGCACATGCGTGCGAACAAGAAGGACCTGAAGCGCAAGGGCAAGTTCGACAAGCGCAAGGGCAAGGGCAAGGACAAGGAGGAAGGTCCCAAGTTCAAGTCTGAAATCCGCAAGAAGTGGCAGACCAAGAACCAGCGCAAGCGCGAGAAGGAGCTCAAGGAGGTCGAGAAGGAGATGGCCGAAGCCGAGGCCGAGGTCGACCAGGAGGAGCGCGAGCAGATCCAAACCGAGACGCTCAAGAACCTCTTCGTACTCTACTTCTCGATCCTGAAGAACCCGGGACGTAGCCCGCTGCTTCCGGCTGCTCTTGAGGGTATCTCTCACTTCTCGCACCTCATCAACGTCGACTTCTTCCGGGATCTGCTCACCGTCATCCGCAAGATCATCGCGGACCGCAAGGCCGATGACGAGGAGGACGAGGACCTCGACCCCGTCGGCGCCTCGCAGCGTGTCCGTATCCGTATGCTCGGTATCGTCACTGCCTTCGAGCTGCTTAGCGGACAGGGAGAGGCGCTCAACATCGACCTGGGCGACTTTGTGACCGAGCTTTTCGGTCTGCTCCGCCCTCTCTCGCTCGACACGGGTATCGAGGATCCGCCGCTGATGACCGAGGCGACGGCCGTGGCTGCCGCGAAGCAGGCGCAGAACAAGGGCAGGAAGGCCGAGCGCGCGCCGACGCACACGCTCTCGACGTCTGGCCTTCTTTTCCGCTGTCTCGAGGCCATCTTCTTCCCCCGGTTGTTCGCCTCGACGGCATCGGCGCCGCCCCTTCGTGCCGCCGCGTTCGCGAAGCGCCTCGTCGAGTGCGCCCTTTTCTTCCCGCCCGCCACGGCCAAGGAGGCTATCACCTTTGTCCGCCGCCTCAGCGCCAAGGAGCCCAAGCTCGCCAACCTCCTCGACACTGAGGAGCGCATGTTTGACGGCGTGTACAGGCCTGAAATGGACGATCCCCAGCTCACCAACCCCTACACTACCTCGCTGTACGAGCTCGACGAGCTCGCCGATCACCACTGGGACAACAAGGTCAGGACCGAGACGCGCAAGCTCCGTGACGCCAACTTTGTTTAGACTCATAGATATACCGGGCATCATGCATCACTGTTGTTCAATATGCAATTTGGTATGCAATTTCGCCCGTTTAGATCTGGGTAAGCATGCTCATGGGTCAACTTGACTCCGCAGCGGGGAATGTCTGCGTCAGAGGGACCAATCGCATGGAAAGCCTATGTACGCGGAGTCCGACGCACTTGTCGCACATGGCCGGTCAGTGGCGTGGGTGGCGTGCGTCCCACGACAGTCAGTGTTTACATCATCGAATTGAAGACCGACCCTTCGCTTCTGAGAAAATTGCAGCTAACAGACTGTCCGCTCCACTGCACTTCGTTGTAACGCTGACAGGGGGGTGACATACAACTCGTCTGGAAGACCTATGATACACTGTCGAGAGTCGACTCCGATTAAGAGACTGCGTGCTCACGCGAGGGGTGCTTTCTCCCCGTTCTCGACCGGAGGCTTGGAGCCCATCTGTTGCCGCACGTAGCCTGTCAAGTCAGCGAGGGAAGAGTGGGCAATACTCACGGACTCGCCAGACGACGAGCGTAACGAGGGTGATCTCGACGAGACACAGGAGAGCGATGATAACTATTCCTGCCGGCGTGGCCTGTACTTCGGCGCACCAGGCGTTGAAGGCCGAGAAGCGCGCCTCGATGGCGGGGGCCAGGGCGGCCCAGGAGGCGGCGATGGAGCTGAAAGACGGCGAAAACGACGCCGAGACGGAGCCGAAGGCCGAGGGCGTGAGCGAGTTGGGCGCAGGAACAGGCATGTCCATGTTGATAGAGAGATTGGGTAGTGGTGAAAGCAGCCTGGGAATGATGACCTTCCCCTAACTCCGGGAACGCGATGAGTCACGAGCCTAGCCCAGCCACACTAGGGATACCGAGATGATGTATGCCGTGTCCATGTCATTACCATCCTTCGACAATCGTGCTTCGGGGGGACTTCGATTTCTGCTACAGCTCAACTTGCTTTCTTCCTTCCCACTGAAGTGTCGAATGCATGCTTGCCCGTTGCTGTTGCGGCGTCGCGTACATCTCGCTGTGGTCATCACCTCGGTGATGCGGTCTCAGGAGCCGCGGTTGATGGCGTGGGCCCAGGGCCGTGCCATGTGGTTATTTAAGCTGTCCCACGGCCGTATCAATAAGCTTCCCACGGCAGCTCAGGTTGCAGGTCTCCCACGGAGACGTCTTCCGCAGCCGCTTTGGTGAGCTGTGAGCTGTGAGCTGCGTCAACCTCGAACTCATGTCCGGTGCCGGGAAGTCGTCGTCCCGTCAGTAGAGCAGCGGCGGGACTCTTTCCAAGGTCGTCAAGGCAAGAAAGAAGCCCCAGGAGCCCACATGCCTGATCATGTGGATGCGCGTGAGTAGGAAGGGGCGAACTCGAGGGACATCAGCTGGGCGGTAATGGCAGATGGTTCCTTGGTTGCGTTCAGACGCCTTAAGGTAGCTGTCCAGTCGCGGTCTCTTAGGTCAGCAAAAGATCTCTTGCTACTCGAGGTGTCCGTTGAGCTTGCGAAGGTTCCTTTCGGCTGCCTTATTCGAGCGGAGCAAACGTGTAATAGTGTCAGCGTCAACAGCGTTCGGCCCCGGATGCCCACTTACTGCGCTCAAAATAACACGGAGCTCGAACAGATCAAAGTCCACGAGCAGCGTGCGTGCGTCGCAAGGCAAGCGCGAGTGACAAGACGCGGCGGGAGTCTCGGCGTCTCGGCGTGCCCTTGGGTCATGCTCCGTTCTCCGCGCCGCCCAGGGTTGAGGTGTTTCCCCCTGGGGCCATGCGGAATTTTGGGGTCCCTCCTTTCGATCCATGTCCGTTCCTCCCGTTCCTATCTCGACATGTCCTCGACACCCCTTACTCAAGGTCCGAAGGATGGGACCCCAGTTTGTCTCTGCCCAATGACGGAAGAGTAGCCATTGCCGCCCCAGTCTGCTCAGCGAGGCTGACACACCGTGACACCCCTCGTTCTGCACGTCTGTGATCTTGTTCGCCGCTGCAACCAGGGATGAACAGGGCGGGGAGGCCGTAGCGCCTCCAGTGCTCGTCCGCAAGCTGAGGCCCCGGCGCGCCCCACACCCCAAGGAGAATGCTGGCAGCTTTAGTGTGCTTCAACTGCGGCTTCTCCCACCATCTGGCTTTGACGACAACGAAAGGTGATCGGGGGAGTCAGTGTGGGGCATCCTACGAATCAAAAGCTGTAGCACTCATTGCGTTAACCAGCGCCGAGGACAGATCGCTGGGAAACAGCTCATCTGACAGGCAAGCAGGTGGGGTTGCGCGTGGGGTGAGCTATTGCGAGGATGAAATGTGCTAAAGGCATCTTAGGTGACGGGTGAGGTGACGACAACCACGATGGCGTCCAACTGCATTGCTGAATGGCTATGCTGGTTCAGCGTCGCTGTGCTCGAGACGCCCTTGACTGAGGCGTTATCTCCTCTTCTTCTCCCGTTGCTCCGCTGCTCAGTCCATCAGGCGGTGATCAGAGATAGCACAGACTCTCGGCCGCGTCGCGAGCGTCGAAGCGTCACAGCACACGCACGCTTACGCGAGTCTTTGCGCCGAGGATCGCATCGTGTTATCGAATTGTAAACTGGTATCGTCATGTCTCCCTCGTCTGCGCTGCGATTGGGGTGCCTTCGACTGGAACGCCGCTGCCGCCATTTAAGCTCGTCAGGCCTGCATCAGGCCTGCTCTAGGGTTCAGTCATCTGACCCGTCGAGGGCATTCATGAAACCATGTGCAGGCATGTGACGGCCCTGTCCGCCGCTCCCTCCCCCTTGCGTCGCTTCGATAAGGAACGCGCAATTTGTGCGTCCGAGGCAGAGAGCCGATTGTCAGGCTGGGCTACACTCGCGTGCGTCGCATCAATCGCACGATCTGAAAATCACTCAACGCTCGGCTCTTGGGAGAGAGAGCCAAGCTGCCCAAGAGCGGGCAGGCTCACGCGATTGACGCGATTTGCGCGAATTTCAGAGAGATTGCAGCGGCATATCCTGCCTCGTCCGACGGGCCAGGAGTGTGTAGCTTCTGATGAGAGTTAGGCGACTAGGCGACACACCCAAGGGTCTCCGGTCCCAGGCATGACCGTGGCCTGCGGATGGCATGGGAATCCGGCGGTGCAGGGTCACTTCCGCCCACCTAAAGAATGGATACGCCGCGCGCCGAACCCGGGGCACGCCGGGGGTCCCGGCTGCCCCGGAGATTGTCCCCTTAGATAGGAACTTTATGGGGTGCGTGAGGGGGGCAGGCCTGACAGTCAGGCCTGCTTTAGTCTAGGGCGAACAGGAGCGTCGTCCGCAAAGGATTCCCCGCACGCGAACGGCGCATCAGACGAGAGCAAGACATCACGGCGGCTCCGCCTGGCGATGTTCAGCTGTGCCGCTGTCTCGCCAATCTGCGACTGTTTCGCACAGCTGTTTCTTTTCTCGTGTTCCAGTGACGCGGCGACACCAGCGCGGGGCCCGAGCGCCTTCCACCCGCGCTTCTGTTTGTCTGAACCCCCACTTCTGTCCAGGACGCGTGTGTCGCGCGAGACGCTCAGGAAGGCCGATACGAGATATCATATATAGATAACCTCGTCGGTTGTGTTTCAGCCATCACCACCCACGCCTTCCAACCCTCATTCGCCTCTCGTTTCCGCTTGATCAACCCATAGACGCCACTAGACCTGACCACCATGATGCTCTCGGCCAAGACTCGCTCGTACTCTAGCACGTCGTCTAGCTCGTCGTCCTCGGCCACCTCCCGCGCCGACGACCTCTATGACCGTCTGCTGATCAAGGTGAGTCGCCTTCGCCCAATGCCCTCGCTGACATCACAGCCTCAGGCCACCGTCGACGTCTGGTCAGCTGGAAACCTCCGCATCAACGGTCGCGATCAATCTCTTCCGCCCGCAGAGGCAGAGGAGCTCCTCGCCACTCTCAAGGAGGACAGCAGGGTGAGTTGTTCGGTCTCGATAACAACTAACAGTCAGTTTGAGATGCTCGCCTTCATCGACTTTGACGGAGAGGACTGGAAGGCTTCCTACCGTCTTGCGCCGCCCACGCCGCCAGCTCAGTAGGCGGTGAACACCAGCTAGGCAGCGCCGAAGCTAGGCATGCCCGCGAGCGCCATACACCCACCACCCTCACTCCCCACGCACCACACTTGGGCTCTTCATGTCTCTCACACACCACCGTTGTAGATCTACCGCTATATGCCAATGTGTTTTTACATCCCCATCTAGTTGAGGATACTTAACGAACGTGATATGATTATACGAGGACTCGCCTCAGGTCGCTCTGGTTGACGGCGACACCGGTGATAGGGCAGCGGTTCTTGCCAGCCTCGCCGAGCTCACCTTCGCCACTGATGGCGTCCCATCCACAGCGCCAGCAAACGACCCAGCCACTGGGAAGAATGGCGGGGTTCTGCCACTTGCCCTTGCAAATGGGGCAGTGGCCAAACTCCTTGGCGTCGATCTGGTACGTCTGTTCTGAGGGGTCGGCCTTGAGCTCCTGCTTCTCGTCCTCTGGAGAGTGCGGCGGGGTGAGGAGACCACTAGAAGGAAGGATCGGAAGCGGGCGCGGCGGCAGGACAGAGGTGTGCAGCGACTGCTCCTCGCTCTTGCTCGCGGCGGGTAGCGAGCGCGGCGACGTGGGAGAGTACCACCACTGCGCAAACTTGAGCGCAAGCAGAAGTGGCGGAAGTAGCGGCGGCAGCTTCGAGAGGAAGGACTGGGTGCTCGATGGCGGAGCATCGTCGATCGCACGCTCGATCCGCACTCCAAGCCACCGGTGCCACGGGCGGAAGAACTCCGTCTTCTCGAACAGGTACGCAACGTCGTAAGCGAGAAGCGTCGTCTCGAACGCCGTGACCGCAGTCGGGTACACCTTCAGGAAGATCTTTTGTCCCGTCGTCAGCGGCGGGCCCTGGTCCGCCAGCGACAGCTCGGGGTCGTTCTGCGTCGACCACCGGTCGTAGAAGTCATCTAATCGTGCACGGACGTACGGCAGGCCGACGAGCACGAGCAGCATGCCCCACCGTTGCCGGTTCGAGAGTCGAGCGGGCTGCTGCGCATGAATAGAGCCTAGGCGCGGAGTGTGCACACGGGCGGGCGCGAGTTTGAGTTGGTAGAAGTGCTCAGAAAGAGAGGCGTCTGCTCGTCAGTTACCGAACTTTCCTCTGCGCAACTCACCATGCTTCCACAAATGATGCTTTTCCAGAAGCAGCAAGACCAGAGCAAATGCCTCCTCGTGTCTGTTCACGATGCGGAGGAAGTAGCGAGGGTAATGTTGCGCGAGATACTGGCCGCGTCAGCTTCCCGGAAGTCTGGTTCAGCTACTCACCGTCAGAACATATCGGAAAACGGGATGCAGCACCGTCCGCAGCTGCTCCTGGGGAATGAGCTCGACCAGATGCGGCCTGTACGGTGACTCTGATGGTCCCGCTTCTGGGAACACGGGCGTTGCGTGCGACATGGGAGAATGAAGATGTTGTTGGAAAGGTGCCCACTGGCATATCCCGGTAATACAGCGGACGCTGTGCCGAATCGGCCTCCAGCGAGGGTTCCCACGGTTGCCACCAGAGAGCTGCGGGGCATTGCGCCTCCACTCTCTGTGTGCGAGATTTCTGAATTGACCGCGGATAAGAAAATCTCGTCAGTTCCAACTCACCGCTGCGACTGGCCACCTGCACACCTCGTCGAAAAGCAACCATGGTCTACCCCACTACCGTGAAGACGTACCTCGAGCGCGCTGCCTCGCACCCGAACGCGGCGGCCCGCAAGCTGCTCGAGATCATGGACCGCAAGAAGACGAACCTCTGCGTGTCGGTCGACGTTACGACGAGCGCCGAGGTGCTCGAGGTCGTGCGCAACGTCGCGCCTGCCGTGTGCATGGTCAAGACCCATATCGACATCATCTCCGACTTCACCCCCGCGCTCACCGAGGAGCTGGCCAAGCTCGCGGACGAGTTCGACTTTGTCATCTTCGAGGACCGCAAGTTCGCCGACATCGGCAACACCGTCGCCCTCCAGTACTCGTCGGGCGTGCACAAGATCGCCGACTGGTCCCACATCACCAACGCCCACCCCCTTCCCGGACCTGGCATCATCTCTGGTCTCGGCACCGTCGGCAAGCCCAAGGGCCGCGCTCTTCTCCTCCTCGCCGAGATGAGCAGCAAGGGCAACCTCGCCACTGGCGAGTACACCAAGACCGCTGTCCAGATGGCCCGCGACGCCGGCCGTGACTGGGTCGTTGGTTTCATCGCCATGGGCCGCGTCGACGCCGAGGGTGACCCCGAGGGCAAGGAGGACTTCCTCATCCTCACGCCTGGTGTTGGCCTCGTCGCCAAGGGCGACAAGCTCGGTCAGCAGTACCGCACTCCCCGCGAGGTTGTTTACGACTCTGGATGCGATGTCATCATCGTCGGCCGTGGCATCTACGGCGTCCAGGGCGGACGTGAGGCTGTCCTCGCCGAGGCTGAGAAGTACCGCGAGGAGGGCTGGAAGGCTTACGAGGAGCGCCTTACCCGTGCTTAGGTTGTAGAGCATTAGTGTATGAATAAAAATCAGCATAGACCCATCACGGATATATTGAGAACAGGAATGTCACATTGTAATGGTACATGCATTGGGGAGGATGTGATGGTGCTTCTAATGTGATTAGTCCGAGTCGATCTCAATGACATCGTCATCGTCACTGTAGGCGGTGTCGTCGAACATGAAGTCGGTCTCGTCCATCATTGTAGCGTCGATGACATCCTGCTCCGTCTGCTTGGGCGGTGACGGGGCACGCGCAGGCTCAGGTGCCGGGGAGGCAGCAGCGCGTTTCGGGGCCCGACCAGACAGAGTCTGCCCGCTGCCGAGATTCGCCCACGGGTCAGCCTTCTCCTCCTTCGCTGGCTCAGCTGCAGCCGGCGCTGGTGTTGACGAAGAGGGTGCGTTACGACGCAGAGAGTTTCCCTGTCCCTGGAACGACTGGGGCGGCGCAGGCGCTTCCTCCTTCTTCTTCACCTTAGACTTGTCAAAGGGCACATATTTATACCCGAAGAAGAACTTGCCCTCGGGGAGGACCAGAGCCGCCGGGACCTTGCGGTCGTCGTTCAGCGAGTCAGAGGTGATGATGCGAGGGCCACTGAAGGTTAGATGGTCCTGGGAAACTTGACTTACGTGAAACGGTTGATCTTGCTGTTAGGATCGACCTCCTCGATCTTCTTGGCGAGACCTTTGCCGCGGATACGCTTGCCGCTCAGGCTCTGTCCAACGCCGGTGAAGCTCTCCAGAGGGCCGTCCCCAGACCCCTGGGTCCTGATAGACATGGAAGACACAGGGCGCGAGGGGTCCACCGAAGTCGTCTCTCCCACATCAATCTTCAGCTTGTCCGCCATGGTCGGGATGGGCGCCGGTGCCTTCCGCTCCGGCTCGACATAGCCCACTGGAGGGGCGAAGTCAACCTCGAGATCGGTGTCGATGATAGAGATACCCGTTCCCTCCGGAGTTGTTTCCATGATCAGGAACTCAAAGACGAGCGAGTTGTAAGTAATCTCGATGATGTCTCCCTTGGTGAGAGCCGAGTAGTAACGAAGTGCCGACTCAAGACTGATGGTCAGCATGCCGTGCCCTCCTTCGTAGTTGCACGTACACAGCCTTGGCATCAGCAACCTCCAGGAAGTCAACAGACTGCGCCTGGATCTTGACCATCTTTCCCTTTGGCAGAACAGCTCCGGTCAAACGGACGGGGTCCCCTTCGTTCAGATTCAGCTTCTTCATCATCTGACAGTCAGCGCATGTGGTGTGAGCATACACGGGAGGACTCACCCAGGCAGGAAGATGAACAATGCCTTCCTCAGCAATGAACTCGAGAACGCCTGCATACGTTTGGTTCTCGGTGGGGTTTCGGGGGTTCCTCAGATGGAACGTCCAAGGGCTATCGATATCGAGCGAGGCTAGACGGTAAGCGACGCTCCTACGTCGTAGACACTGAGATACTCACTAAGCTTGATCAGGGCCGAAGGGGGCATGATGACTGGGCGTGTTAGAACGATGCCCAGAATAGCATGTTTCTACCTACTCTTGCCTCCGTACATGAGCTCCGGGCGCTCATGGCCGTGCTGCATAGTTGCCACCGAGTACGCCTTGAAGTAGTCATCGTAGGAACTGATATCAGCAAACACACTTTCCACAGCAAGCTATTCACGAAGCTGATGGCGTCGCTCCGAACCTGCCACCACCCAGCAGCTGAGAAAAGAAGCTGGGAGCCTGCGGAAGAGGCGCAGTGAATTCCTCTACATCGTCAGTACTCCGATTCGAAATGAGGTGACTCAGCGACACGCGTTTGAGGTAGACGGCCGCTCAAAAGCCAAGGCTGAGAGCCCGCACTCACCGTCGTCGTCGTCGTACCCGTGATTCATGGCTTCGAATACTCCAGATAGGGGTGTACGAAAGTCGGGAACGGGTGTGGTCGATGCAAAGGCAGAAGAATAACAATGGCAATACTTGTCGAAAGTGAGTGTATGGAGACTGGTGGACGACTCGTGTCGTCACTTTCACGTGGCTGGATGACCCCGTGGTGCAAGATCTCTGGCGGTGTGACGGGAGCAAACAAGGCTGTTGTCTTTGAGTGGCGACAGTGAAGACGTGGTGGCGACGGGGTGTCTCATGCATCTCAGAGCGCTAGCCAACACTAGGTGCGAGGGCTGAGTTCATGGCGCTTGCATGGTTTGCGTCGGGAACAGTGACATGATAGATATAACCAGGCAATCACCATGCATAAAGGAAGGTGCGATCGACTGCTGTAGTACTTGCAGTGCAAAGCGTTCAGCCCTTGACGGATCGACGACGGGCGATCATGAAGAAACAGAAACACTGCTGTGGTGCATAACAGCACTCAGACTTCACTCTTCCCACCACAACTTCTCGGAGCTCCGACGCCGTACTGCGTCTCGGAACGGCGAGCCATGTGCTCAGGGGACAGGCGACCTGATGGGCGCACCAGCGCCCGGCGCCTTCAGCCGACCGCCTACATCATGACACTAGACCACCTTACTCAACGTTCTTCGGAACCCTGTGCCGTCCGCGGCCCGCGAGCCGACCGGTAAGCTGCTGGTCTTCCTTCACTTACCTCAAGCTGTCCTTCCTTCTTCCTTTCTCTCCACCTTTCACGTCTCCTTATACTCTTCTCTTCCCGCCGAGCTCCCATCCCCCTTCTTCTTCTTCCAGCTCATCTTTCGAAACCTCAATCCAAGCTAGCACAAGGAAGCGTTCCTTACTTCCTGCCTGCTCGATTGCCTGCTGCCGTAACATCTCAACCCCCCCTGCCTCCTCCTTCTTTGCCCTGTCAACCACGTTGCAATCATGCAGTCTCCCGGCTCCGATCTTCTCGAAGTCCGCATGATGGGCCTCAACAAGAGTAGTAGGTTACTGCAGATGCGCTTTGAGCGCGGCCGCTAACTACTTCCAGTCACCACTGAAGCTCTTGGGGAGTTCCTCGGCAAAGGCGGTACGTCGTCGCTCCCAGGGCAGAGCTGACCTCAGAAGTACGCGTCAGGGGCATCCTTCTCCATCCCCAGACCAAGGGACCCTTCCAGTGGGCACAGGTCTGGGTTGGGACGGAGAACGAGGTCATCCAGCTGCTCGAGCTCCGCGACGTTCTCGCTGTCAATGGCATGTAAGTGGTCTTCCTCGCATCCTCGGCCCCGGTGTTCCGATGGCTGACGTCCCAAAGCACCATCAACCGCGCCATTCCTCAGCAATCGTTCACTACTCCCCCTCAGATGTCCTGGGACATTCTCTCCCAGCTCAACCGCTCCGCTCGTAGCCCTACGACTCCCAATACTCCTTTCGTGTCGACTCCTTACCCTCAGAGCCCCTTCGGACTCCAGGCACTTCAAGGCAGCCCATTCTTCCCTCGCCAGGAGCAGTCACCCACTCTTCCTCGCAACCTCTATGTTCTTAACCTTCCTCTTGATCTCACTCAGTAAGTCTGCTGTTTAGATATGGCTGACGCCTAGAATCGAGTTCAAGAATCTGTTCATCAACTTTGGTGTCGTCGAGCATTCCATTCTCCTGTCGCAGCTGGATGGACTTGGGCGTCGCCGGTAAGTTTGGCCGTCAGCACATTACTGACAACAGCGGTTTCGTTCTCATGTCTTCGCATCGCGAGGCTGTTGAGGCAATGCACCAAATGCACGGCAAGTGGATTGAGTGAGTCCATGGCGAGAGCTTGTGCTCACGAGAAAGTGGTTCCAAGCTCGACGTCTCGTGGGCCTTGGTTCAGCGCGAGGCCAAGAACATGCTCAACAACGAAGCTGAGCTGCGTCTGTCTCTGACTGGTGGCTCTTTGCCCAACCGTGTCGTGCACCCTCCCTCGGTGTCCATCCGTCGCGAAGCGGCTCCCGACTGCTCTGTCATCGTCGAGAACCTCGTAAGTCAAGCAAGTCGGGCTGCAGCTTATGGTTCAAGGACTCGTTCCTCTTCCCTGACACGGACACTGTCAGCTCGATCTTCAAGACCTTCGGGCCCATTCAGCGTGTCGTGAAACTCACCGACTCGCCCTTGTCCGTTCTCATCCAGTTCGAGCACGCCGTCTCGGCGACCGCACTTGTGAACGCAAACGGCCTTCAGCTCGGAGACCGCGTTCTGAAAACCCGCCCGTTCGCAGCTCCGATGACTCCTGGTGCCTCCGACCCTTTCGCTGAAGCGAGCCGCCGCTGGCTCGATGAGGCCGGCTACAAGGTGGGACCTGTGCTTCCCCAGACGCCCCAGTCGATGCCTCCTCGCGGTACCCGCCTGAGCGCCGATTCCGTCCCTTTCGTTCCCAACTCGAAGGCCGACGAATCTCCCTTGGCGCACGTCGGGAAGATGGTCGGGAAGATGAAGGCGGCCTTGGCCAACCACGTCATCTCCCTCGACAGCGACTCTTCCGACTCGGGCAAGGAGTCCGAGCACTCGGATGTCGGCTGCGACCAAGTTTCGGCGCAGACTGTCGTTGCAGAGAAGGCTTGACCGTCCACGGTCCGCAACAAGCTTAGTCACAAGCCACTCACCGACACCGAAGCCCTTGTCTATTCGCAGTAAGATCCACTGTGTCACCTGTAGCGGCATTGAAACCACGTTCTGCCATACCTTGTAATGCCCATTTCACGCCCATTGACGCCTGTTATGTCCACCATGTAAGCAACGTTCGATCAGACTGTGTTGTATTTCCGCGTCGATCCGCCAGTTCCGGGTCCCTATATCGATTGTACATAGCCAGCGGGGCACTATGCATCACATGAGTCTATCGTACACGGTATCAACACTCTAACGGCCGAACTGAGGTCAGTTGAAGGTCCGAATAAGCTAACTCACAATAAGCTCCGCGGCACGTCCAAGAATGCCTGACGGCTGCTCCGGCTCCTCCCAAGCGTAGTCCTCCTTCGCAACTTCGCTCGCTTTTGGTTTGGGTCGGATAATGCTGGCACTCTTGAGCTCGACGGCATTACCCGCAGCCGACGAGTTGACAGGAGCAGGTCCAACACCGCTAACGAGGGTGAGGCCCTGCGTCGATCCCGGACCCGCAATCTTGAATCCCAGCATCCACCGCCCATTCACAATCTCTCCGTGGCGGCGCAGCGCATAGCTGGCAGCGAGGGGATCTCCATAAGTGACGACCCACCAGTTACTCCCGTCCGGGCCGGGGACGTAGCTGATAACGGGGCCGATGGACTCGAGGTACGCGCGCAGCGTGGAGAGGAACTCGACGGGCGGACCAAAGACGTGCAGCGTCGTTGTGTCCGCATCCGGCTCGAGCGCGGGGGGAACGGGAATGCTGGCGGGCGCTTGCGGGGTCGCACGCGCCGGCGGGTCGTCGTGCAGCGACGAGGTCGGGATACCGTCCTCATCGGCCTGGGAGGCACGGTACCGCGTCATGTTTCCGCGGGGGGAGGAGGTCGACTCGTTGATAGAGGAGGAGAAGCGCGCAGTCGGAGAGCGCTTCGGTGCCGGCGGCGAAGCGGCGCCTGGCGAGCTGCCCTGAAGGTTAGCTGAACCTCCGAGCTAAACAGCTTTAAGTCATTCGGTCGAACAGACATTTCCCATAAGCCTCAGACTAACGGGCTGTGCGCTGTGCAGACAGAACCGAGACTGGACTCACAAGAGCAACCTTGGCGGCGGGGCTGGCGGCGAAAGTGGGTAAGAACTTGGGTGCCTCCGAGTTCGGGTCCGGGTCATCGCTGACGAAGCGCGCGCGGGAGGACGACGCACGCGCAGGCGAAGAGAACGCCGACTGGCGCGCCGGCGTGCTCGGCTGCGTCCACCAGTCAGACATGGTGATCGGTGTTCGTTCGTCTGTTGTTGTTGATGTCGTTTTGTTCGATCCAACTTCAGCTAGCCAGGCCCTCTGCAGTGACGATCGGTGATAGCTGGAGCTGAGCCACACGTCATTGACTTGGGACTGTCACGTGACTGTCCCAACCTCACCACAGATGGATCTGGGTGATGTCACCTCGGTACCTCGAGGTCTCGAGCCTGGAACCGTGGCTCTGCGCGATCGAGCACTTCGAGCATCAAGCGTTGCCCACCTGTGTACAACGGGGAACGTTCTGTCATCGCGCGCCGAAAGCTTGTTCTGCAACGGCCGAAAGAAGCTGCAATAGTGCTACGGCCGTCTTGAAGACGTCGATCTGCCCCATGAAAGCAGGTTCACATCCGATGTATGCTCTCGGGTGCTCCGTGGGGTGGGAATCGAGCACGAAATGGGAAGAGCGGGCCGTTTGCATACCCGTGATGGTGGCATGCTCACGGGGCACAACGACCGACGCCAAGAGACGTCCATTCTCCTCAGCCAGGTATGTGGAGGAGACTGGGGCTCCGAGCAATCGACAGCGAGGAGCCCTCAGATGCAGAGTAAGACTGTGGTTGTGATCCCACTCTCCCTCTCCTCTGAAGACTGACGTCGTCGAGTTATTGTGCAGGTTGGGGAGAGGCTCATCGTGGCATTGCCATTCACGTTCTGGCTGGAATGGAATACGATGAAACCGCTTCGTAGGTGACACCTCGTCTCAGCAGCTAAACAACGTTGAGGTCAGTCGCGAGGTTCAGCTGCAGCAGCCCGCCGGCGACAGCGGTCTTTCCTCACCGCGCAGCCCAGCTTGTTGGATATTTTCCAAGGGGGCAAGCCGCAGAGTTCGAAAATGTCTTGTCAGTGGGCCCCACACGCCCTCCTGTATGGATATCCGTGCCTACGACCTGAACTGCAACTGGTCATGTTTTCGCAATGCATTCCGCCCGCAATGCAAGCTCCCTCGACCTCTCGGCCGTTAGGAAGGTCGGTCTCCGCATGCGCGATCGGAGATCACCCTTCCCGACCCTCGGCACCGATCTGCAGCACGATCAGCTGGTGCGGGGTAGAGGTCACGGGCTGTCATACCTAGGTATCATGTCATGTCAAGGGCCGCCGCCGGCAGGGACGAATGGCAGATAGCCGGGGTGTGGGGCGGAGGACGCCGGTGACTGGGCACACCCACCCACCCCGCGGTCCACTGATCCACCTTGGCACGGCATGTCGATGCGCATGTCGATGCATTGAAATATCGGTGACCACGAGCTCCCTTCTTCCTCACTCTCCAGAAACAACAACAACAACAACGGACCAGCATCATGAGCAAGAACACCTTCAGGGACGGCATCTTCGATGGCAAGGTGCTCTTCATCACCGGCGGACGTACCGGCATCGGATACGACATTGCGAAGAACATGATGCAGCTCGGCGCCAACGCCGTTATTGTCGGTCGCGAGTGAGTCTCCATTCCGCGCTGTGTGTGATACATACAGGGCATGCTTAGACTAATGACACACATACTGACGCCCGCCAGCGCCGAGGGACTCGCCAAGTCTGCCGCCAACCTCGAGCGTGAGGCTGGTAACGGCAAGAAGTGCATCGCCGCTGCCGCCGACGTCCGTGACAAGAACCAGGTCCGCGCTGCCGTCTCCAAGACGCTCGAGGCGTTCGGCAAGATCGACTTTGTCGTCTGCGGTGAGTAGGCGGTCGCGATTGCTGTCTGCGCAAGCCTGTCTCTGCACAGTATCCCGACATTTGCTGGCGATCCACACGGGGCGGAGGTCTCCACCACCATCGCAGATGGCCGTTAGTGTGAAGTGTGGAGTACACCGTGTGCGCGCGGGAAATGCGGAAAGCTGTTCTCATGCACTGCGGAACCGGAGCTGACGTCTTCAGCGGCCGCGGGCAACTTCCTCGTGCCCATCGACGGCCTGTCCGAGAACGGCTTCAAGACCGTGATCGACATCGACCTGCTCGGCACCTACAACACGATCAAGGCGACCCTGCACCCTCTGCGCGAGACGCAGGGCGCCTACATCCACATCTCGGCCACGCTGCACTACCGCGGTACGCCTTACCAGCCGCACGTCTCGGCGGCCAAGGCGGGCATCGACGCGCTCTCCAACGTTCTCGCCGTCGAGGAGGGCCCGCGTGGCATCCGCTCGAACGTCATCGCCCCCGGCCCCATTGGCGAGACGGAGGGCATGAAGCGCCTCGGCACCAAGGGATACGACCCCCGCAGCGTCATCCCCCTCGGCCGCCAGGGATACAAGCAGGAGATCTCGGATGCTGCCGTTTTCCTCTTCTCCGACGCTGGCAAGTACATTACGGGCCAGACGCTCGTTGTCGACGGAGGACACCGCCACCTCACCCACGCCTCGCTCCCTTACCCCATGATGGTCCTCGAGCCCGAGAAGGTCAAGGAGATGTTCCAGGGCAAGCTCTAAGTCAGTAGTAGTAGTATATAAAGGACGCGCCAAAAGGGGCAAAGCGCGCATGCAGTTTCTTTCCATTCGTTTCAACACAGTGTTCATAAGATGAGCTATGATTAGAGCTTAAACTAGATGTGTTTCGTTATATCCTGTAGGTTTGTGCTCCGTGTACAACTGACTCTATCTCCTCCTCGCTGACTAGCGCTTGGGCTCCTCCTTCGCCGTGGCGTTCGTGACGCCTCCGACGCCGTTACCCGTGCCGACGCCCTCGGTGCCAGTGTCGATGTGCCCCGAGCTACTCTGGGCGTTCTGGGCCGCGTTGTCGCCATCGTCGCCGACCATTTTCGTATCGTTGCTAGGCCGCCAGTTCGCGACCGGGGTGCCTGTCCTGGGATCGATCTGGGCCAGGAAGCCGTAGCTCCAGAGCTGGATCGCGTCGCCCTCCGTGCCTTCGGGCGAGAGTTTGCCGAGGTCGCCGATCGCGAACGAGCCTCCGTCCGCGCTGTCGCCGGCGGCTGGGGCTGTACCGTTGCCGGTAAAGGGGATAGTCGAGTTACCCCGTGGCTGCTTCGGCGGCTGGAACACCGGACTCCACACCTCGGTGTAGAGCACGTCCTTGCTGCCTGCGATTGCGTCCCAGAGCCGCCCCTGTGCCGCGTGTAGCGCGAGCACGAGCTGACGGTCGCTGCACCACTTCGGCTGCCCCTCTGTGCCATTGCTCGGCGCACTGCTCACAGTGACGGACTCGAGACTGCTGCTCCCCGCGCCGCAGAGCGCGAGCTGCCGCCCCACGCCTGCCGCCATCATGCCCTGCTGCCAGCCCCAGGCCACGGCGCCGTGGTACGCCCGGTTCGAGAAAGTCTCGGCGTCGCTGTCGTTCCAGCTGAAGGCGGCGTTGGCGACGAGCATGCCCGCGTTCGTCAGCAGGCCGCGCGGGTAAGGCTGCAGCGCTTGGACGGTTGCGACGATCGCCTCCTTCTTCACGTTCTGCCCGTAGAGAAGCAGGAAGGACAGGTCCGAGTGCTGGATGTGCACTGGCTTGAGGTTGTCCCGAAGCGAAAGGGCGTAGTACGTGTCCCGCTGCGAGCGGGGGTAGGTGCTGCTCGGCCGGCCGCCGTCCTCCTTTCCGTCACTCCATGTCTCGTCATGGTCGTCCTCTTCGTCATTGTCCTTGTGGTCATCACCGCCGCCGTTGCGGCGCTGGTTGTTGTTGTCATCGCTGTGCGTTTTGTTCGGCACGCCGATCGCCCATCCGGGTGCATTGTATCCGTCCGCCGTTTGGGAGCCATTCAGGCTGCCGGCGCCGTACAGAAGGGCGTCCGTCAGGTTCGCCAGCTTGATGTAATTGTTGAGTCGCTCCTTGCTCTTGACGTGCGCAATGTTGACGTGGAAGTACTTGAGCGCGCGGCTCTCCCAGCGGCCGGCGATGTGGCCAGCCTGGTTGAAGCGCTTGCCCTTGATGAGGCCTGCGCGGTGCAGCTGCGAAATGGCGCGCAAGGCAGCGGGAACGAGCGCAACATTCACGTCGAAGGGATAGCTGCCCCAGCCCAAGCCGGCGGCCGAGTCGCGCCAGTTGCCAACGGGATAGGAACGCACTTTGACAAGGTTCTCGCGGCTGGGGTGGACTGCGAACTCTCGAGCCAGTTCGATCACATGTTCGGCGTTCGTCTCGAGTAGCTCTTTGAAGGTACCCTCGACGAGAGAAGAGTTGCGGCCCAAGAACTCGCTCAGCCGGCCTTCGCCCTGTGGCGACGTCGCGTACGCGGCGACTAGCGGGAGAAGGAGGAAGTCGGTGTCGACCATAGTATATGCGTAGACGGGCTTGTTGCCTCGCTCCGGCTGACCGGCCTTCGCGTTCAGGTAGCTCGCATAATCGCCCACCTGATGTCAGCTCTTGCGCCAGTATTCTAGCTTACAGTCTCCTCGTGGCAGAGCTCGCCGCTTGTGCTATTAGTACGCTCAATGGCGGCAGCCATAACTGCCTCGACGGCCTCAGACGAGAGCACAGGAAGCATGAGACGCGCCGCGATCAGAGTGTCACGTCCGAAATCTGATGTCAGCTCGCTGGCTGAAACGTGTAGCTTACTAGTCAAGAAGCGCCAGCCGCCAGCAAGGAACTCGGTGTCGTACGTGAGGAAGGACATTTGCTGTGCCACATCCGCGCCTTGGCCGTGGATAGCGGATAGCACCTTGTCGAGGTTGGCTGACGTAGAGCCAGATGTGCGGTTTCCCGCTCCAGCACCATTAGCAGCCGACTGCACCGGCTGAGAAGAGGAAGGTGCGGGCGAGGCGCTGTTGCCTGCGACTGTCGCATTCGGTGTCGGTGTGAACGCCACATTCGGCACCGTCTGTCGTGTCTGGTTCTCGTGCAGTGTGTAAATGGGGTTCGTCGTCGTCATGCCTGCCGGGTATGTTGTGGCGGTGATGAGCGCAGTCGACTCTGACATTGGCCGGCCAGCCGGCCCACCTGTGGCAGTGTTGTTGCCACTGCCGGTGGGCTTCAAGAACAGGTTATCCGGGCCAAGACCGTTTGTCTCGACCCATGGAGTTTCGGGCGTTGTACCGGTCCAGTTGAAGTGACTACGGAAATGCAATGTCATCGGATTCTTGTTGTCGCTGCGCCAGAATCTGATACCGGGCGGCCCGTCAGAGCGCTTCGTGACGGCCATGCCCGCATTGTTGCCAGTCTTGAATGTGAGGTACTGCACCGTTGTTCCGTTGAGCCAGTGGCGCACGAGCTGCACGGAATCCCTCGTAACTTCGCCCAGGGTGTAGTTGAAAACCGAGTTGAACACCTTACCACCCGATTCGGTATAGTCTCGTAGCGTCCTCACGCTACCAACTGCGGATGTTAGTTCCACGTCGGGTCCACAAACTCACTCAGAGTCACCCCGAAGCGAACATCGTTGTCGAGCTTCAGGTCGCCCTCGACACCCCGTTGCTCGTCGGCGTCACGGAAGGACTTGACAGACGACTTGTCCAGTGAGGCTGTGACTGTCGAATTGAAGTCTGCGGGTACGAAATACACTAGCGCCCCAGTGTTCGCCCGGTGGAATGCGGTTATGAACCTGGCCGGATGCCCAACTTCTGGCTCAGTGTCGCTGCTTGTCAGCTCCTTGGTAGCCTTCCGAGCTTACTCAGACAACACGATCTGAACGGCAGTGTTGTTATCGCGCAGCACGTAGTTGTCGTAGCCTGCGAAAGAGACCGGGCCAAAGTTCAGGTCGCCGCCACTTTGCGATGCCGCTGAACCGGATGTTGGAGCGGCCGAGGAAGCCGAGCTCGGGCCTTGAGCCGGTGGTCCTGCGGACTGCCCAGAGCTCGCTGAGGCGCTGGTCGCATCTTGCGCCGTGACTGTCAACAGACAGCTCAATGCAAGTGCTCTCCACATGGTGAGGCTGAAGCAACTGGGTGCAATGTAAAAGGGCGAAGGTGAACTCGTTGACTTTGTGTGCTCTTGGGGTTATAAAGTTGGATCCAGAGTGGGCCGCTAACAAACAAGGAACGGGAATTTGGTGAGCGGCGTAATGACTCTCGTCATAAACTTAAAGCCGGATGGTCATCTGAGGTGAGTTTTGGTCTTGGAGCGGAGGGCTCGGCGGAGATGATGACGCCTTAACGGTGAGTGAATGAGTGTTCGTGTGCCGAGAGAGACCCATGAGCGAGCGCATGATAAGGGACAAGGCCGGCCCCGAGGATGGTTTGAACTCGGAACTACTGAGGACTAACAGCTGGACTAGCGGGCGGAGGAGGAGGGAGGTGTTCTGGAAGCGGCGGCGAGGAAGCCCAGAGGAGTGGAATGCCGTTGATGACCCACGGAGGAGGGCCCCTCATGGCCTCGAAAGATCGAAGGCCGGGGTCAGGTGGGGTGCGCTCGCCCAAAACAACATGCACGTACATCCGTTCTAGATGTCTAGCTGCCGCGTGGTCTGTGGCGGCATGACGTACCTGTCCGACCCTTGGCCGATCCGCCTCAGCCAAGGCCAGTCCGAATGCTCAAGAGCTGACTGTGCCCTGGGCATTCTACCCAACATGGGTGGTCCCTGAAAGGGCAATCTAAGATCGACTCAGTTAGCCTCAGCTTCTAGTCTTTCGCCGCCTCCAGGCTCTCCCACCATGCCCTCACTGCCCACCGTACGTCGCCCAATGCCTCCACTTTCCCACCCTGGCCACCCCGTCTCTCCCCGCTTCGACCCTCTGCCCTGGTATTACCAAATGGACAAGTCCAAATAGTAATGACTGATACGCTCCCGTTGATCATGTTAATCATTCTTCCAACACCCACGTGCTTTTGATTACAGTTGCGGCTCAACAACCACCTCACTCCCGCCTCTCTCAGGTCGACGTCGGCCCCGTCCTGCGCGTTTCGAGCACTCGACACCATCTCATTCGCCTTCTGTGCTGAGCTCCTTCGACCATCTACTTGCTGCTGCCCATTCCCTCCTTGGCTTCCTTTCTGTTTCTATCCACCAGTACTCGACAGCACCAGAAACTCTTCTTCCGTTTCCGCTCTACGCACCGCCTTTGTAATCGCCGCCGCCGTCCCATTTAGCACCGTTTCACGAATCGACAGCCGTCGAGCCTCTCCGATGTCCAACCCCTTCACATCCCCGCCACAGCGGCGCCCGGCAGATCTCCTCATCTCAACATCAGACAACGAAGTAGAGTTACCAGACTTCGGGTCACCGTTAAGCTCGCCGCGCTCCCAGAGGTCGCAGAATGCTCCACTCTTGCACTCACTAAGTGCCTCACCAGCACCTGGCCAGCACCCGTGCGAAGCTGGTAGTTCGATACGACCTCGATCCCCGCCGCCGCACCTCGCCCGGCTGCTCAATGAACCGATAGACCGCCCTTTCTCTCCGAGCGCACGGTTAGCCGAAAACGGTGGCGCTTTGGCTGGAGATCCCGCGCAGGAGCACACATCGCTCTTCCCCGAACGCCATGGCCCCTCCGCGAGGTGGTACCATGGTCCGCTGTTCCAAGCTGGTATCAAGCTGGCCATTCTGTTCGCCGTATTCTCCACCCTCTGCATCTTGACATTCTGGTTCGGAATGCCAAAGGTAGAACCGTGAGTGGCCGCCGCGTCATTGCGCACGGCATTGCTGACATTCCAGTGAGGATCGCCCCGCTCTCAAGCTCCCACGCAGCTTCGATGACCTGAAGGCTCTCAAGTGAGTTGGCTGGAAGCAACCAATGCTAACTCTCCGCAGCTCGCTTTTGCACAAGTACAAGACGCTGTATCCTGCACGCATCATGCTCTGCGGCGTCGTGGCGTACCTCTACGTGCAGGCCTTCACCCTCCCCGGCTCCATGTACATCTCGATGCTGCTCGGAGCGGCGTTCGGCATCATCCCCGGCCTTCTCCTGTCCTGCTTCTGCGAAGCGACCGGATCTGTGCTGTGCTACACGCTGTCGGCTATCCTTGCGCCGCCGTTACTGGAGCTGCCCTTTTACCGTACTCGGCTGCAAACCTGGCGTACGAAGATCATGGGTGACGCGAGCAAGGGGCAGCAAGCGTCCTGGGACAGCGTGTTCACTGTGCTGGTGATTCTGCGCATCCTTCCTCTCCCGCCGCACTGGATTGCAAACTTTGTCGCGCCGCATCTGGGCATCAACGTCGCGTTCTTCTGGCTCACGGCGTTCATCGGTATGATCCCCATGTCGGTGATTCATGTCATGATCGGCTCGTCGCTTGACCAGATGACGTCGGCGGACGACTTCCACCTGATCAGTGTGCGGAACGTGCTCGGCCTGGCTGCTGTCATCGTTGCCGTCCTGATCCCGATCACGCTGAAGCGCATCTTCAAGAAGGACTTTGGCGACCTCGCCGACACTCCTGCCGGGCAGCAGGATGTGGACCACATCGACGACATTCCCGCCCCCCAGCCGATCGAGTTCGACGAGCACGGTCTTCCTAAGGGCTACCAGGAGGTGGACGGGGGCGTGCGCGTCGCCGGCGGTCCGGCAGAGGAGGAGGAGCTGCTCGTCGATGTCCCTAAGGCGAAGTACACGCCGCGCGGACGGCCAATCGATGTGCTCACGAACTTTGACGACGAGCCGCCGCAAGGCTCGTTCTACGAGCTGTCGATGGCACGCCCGAAGCCGAAGAGAGTCTTCGGCGGCAAGGCGAACCGCAGCTACGGCACGCTCGACGCGGGGCCGAGCCGCAAGAACTAAACTAGCATTGAAACCCATAGACTGTAGCGCGCCACATAGATCCGAGCTGTATGTTAGCTGTGTGTAACTGGAGCTACGATCAGTCACTGAGGGAGCGCCTGCGTGTCGCCAAAGGGCGTTTGCAGGGCACTAGACACAGGGCGATGCTTGGCAGCATGGCATGCGGCGATAATGCCACGGCACCGACCAGTGCGAGCAGTGAAAGGAGGGTAGAGGGCCGGACTTGGCTGGACTCAGGGACGGGAGCAAAACGTGTCCACCGCCCGATCACACACAACGGCCGTGTGCTGTGCAATGTGCGGGCGTGAGTCATCGAAATCTAGAGAAATCTCGTCCTTCCTCCTTTCCTCAAGCTTTGCATATACCACCCCCTCTCTCATCGTCTCACACGACCCACGATCATGGCGAGCTACCAGCGGATTCCGACGTCGGCGCAGCAGGCAGACGAGCAGGACGAGCGCGACACACTCTCGCTGCAGAACCCGCTGACGCAGAGCTCGATTGACGAGTTCAACCGCCCCCCGCCCGCGCTCTGGAAGCGCATCGCCGTCCTCGCCGCCATCATCCTGCTCGGCTGGGGAGCCGTCAAGCTCGGCCAGTGGGGCGAGAAGAAGCGCAACCCCGAGATCATCTACGCGACTCGGTAAGTGTTTGCTCCAACATGATCCCTCCGCCCTCTTGTTTGTGCTTTACTAGTCCACCTTCCTCTCTCTGCGTGTGCAGCTCTGCACACGCGTGTCTTTCGCCCTTTCCAGGACTTCAACCCCCACCCAAACCCCGTGTTAAGACTCGTGCGCATGCTAATACTCGCTGATAGATATTCGGACGAGTTCCGTTACCGCCCCGCCGAGTCGCCCGTGATCACAGAGTACCTCAAGGACGGGCGGATCCGGCTGCGGGGCGCGCACCCGGCCGGCGTCGGCGTGCCGCCGAACAAGATGCCGCTGAGGCCGGAGCAGAAGGCGTACCAGGAGCAGAAGAAGCGGGAGGAGATTAAGGAGCGCGCAAAGAAGAAGCTCGAGGACGAGAAGCTCCGCAAGAAGCAACGCAGCAAGGCTGCCCGCGCCAAGAGCAAGGCGAAGGCTGGCAAGAAGAATGTAGACGGCAGCAAGGAGTTGTAGTGATGCCCCTCTTCCTTCCCCCCTCTCTCATACCAGATCGCCCCATCCATGCCCTCCTTCGGGAGCGCACCCCATCGAACACTGTAGACCAGACATGATAGCACGACATGACATTCATCCCTATTTTTGCACTTCTATCCCTTTGCTTTGCTCTCAACTAATCGACCCAGAAGCCATTCTTCTTGTGCCACTTTTCAATGCCCTCAGCGGGTCCATAGTCGTCGTAGACCTTGAACCCCTCGGGGGTCGGGACATAGTCGGGGCAGCTGGCGCGGAGGATGGTGTACCCCATTCCGTCGGGGACCTTGGGCAGCTCACTGTCAATGACAGACGCAGAGGGGTAGATCCACTGCGGCCACTCCGGGTGCGCGTTCCAGAGCACGGACGAGCAGTGCTTGCAGAACCCGCGCTTCGAGGTGCAGGTCTTGGTCGGCTTGTCATCCTTGTCGAATGCGAGCGGGGGTTGGTACTCCCTGTGGTGTCAGCTGAGGTCTTGTACTGGCTTGGAAGCTTGGATGGGCGCAGCAGGGTGGTTATCAATCCTACAATTTGGAGGTGATAGGAGAACAGGCATGACTACTGTGATGGGGGAACAGGCGGGTGTGACCTGTCTCTGCGAGGACTCACGCAATGTCCTCCTTGCCCTGCGTGATCTTGAGCGTGTCCGTGTTGCCCATGATGTTCACCGAGCCCATGTACCCGCCAATCTTGCGGCAGATGGAACACTGGCACATCTGTCGTCAGCTGTCTACTTCAGCCGGACAGCTGTTTCATGAAGCCGCAATGAGGGAGGACTAACCTGGTACGGCACCGGCGTGTTGGACTACCCGTCAGCAACAACTCCCCCAATCCATCGAGTACTTTCCTCAAGCTCAAACTTGATCCTGCGGCAGTGACATGACCTGATGTTAGCTAACGCACAGGTTCTGTAGCTTACCCCTTGAGGTGGACTGGCATGGTTGTTGCTTTCCTTTTCTGTTTGCGTTGTGTGTGCAGAAGGGAGATAGATGCGAGGAAGGTGATGAGCTAATGTGATGTGTGATGTGGGCTGTGGGTTCCGACGGAAGTCGCTAGACACCGAGCACTTGTCGACGATGGTCCTTGAACAGCAGTTAGGTTGCTTTAGACAGCGACGATGCAGTTGCAGGCATGCAGTCAGTGATGCTGATGTCCGAAGTGTGACGCTGTGAGAACGAGGAAGATGGTCAGGCTGACTAGATAAGACACAGGCCGGTATGACGGTATGACGTCTCGGTCGAAGAGGTGAGTCATCTCCATCCGACCCCTCGTGACAACAACACGGCGCGGGCGTGGACACCGTGCCGCCATACCGCATCTAGTATCCAGTCGCACTTCACCCCTGGGCCCCTGCCGATACGCAGATCGCACAGAAGGATGAAGGAGCAAGGGACGGGCCGCAGACTAGCGCAGACGTGCCAGGCGAGCAAGGCGAAGTGCCCGCATACTCGCCGCTCGGTGAATTCAGCGCATCCGCTGATCAACCACCCAGCTGCACCCAGATGCCCAGGTGCACCATGTGCATCCACGAAGCACCCACTCACCGGCCACCCGCTCATCCCTTAACCTTTGACGTTTGACGTTCGGGCGTCCCTTGCAATCCCTTCCGTCTTCCTTCTCTCTGCGCCCTCCCTTCTCAATCGCCCTCCAGTCCCGGCCCTTCTGGCCCCTCTTCCGCCCTAGAGTTCACGCTGCTGATGTGCCCGTGTCGTGGCTATCGCAATCATATCAGTAAGATAGCGATAGAGTTGGCCAGCGCGCCGAGATAATGAGATTGATAGCGATCGAAGGTAAAGCACACTTGCATTTGGCATGTATTCGTTGTATCATGAAACAGACGTTTTGACTATTCTTCAGACATGTTATGCTCTTCTTCTTCCGTTTCCTCGACTACCTGCCGGATCGGCGACGTCCACCTCACTCTCCTTGCGGCCGCCGGTCCCGCTCCGCAACCAAATCGCCGCGGAGCACCGCCATCGGAGTCCGCAAGCGAACTTCCCTTACTCCTGCGCGGCCTTGAGCGCGCGAATGTGTTCGTTGACGACGCCGCGGTCCTCGAGCTGCTCCAGCGTGAGATACTTGGCGCCGCGGATCTGGCCGAGGCACTGCTCAGCACCGCACGAGCAGTCGAAGCCCTGCGCCATGTCCCACTCGGTGCTGGGGTAGAAGAACGTGATGTCGTCGCCGGCCTTGAGGCCCTTGGGACCCACGGTGACCTCCCACCTGGACGGCGAGCCGGGGTACAGGCGCATCTCGGCCGTCGGGGCGCACGAGTGGTTCACTGGTTGTTAGCACGGGATTCGGGTTCGGTGGGGTGGACCGGGATCGGCGCCAGTGCAGTCGTCGGACATGAAAAGGTGAAAGGAGTGGGGGGTATGGGTGATCTGCGTGCTGGGGAACTCACTGAACAGCAGGTCCGAGTTGAGCTCGAAGTGGTCGTGCTCGCCGGGGCCGAACTGCACGGACGAGTAGGCCTTGACGGGGGCGATGGAGATGTTCTTGAGGGGCGCGAGCTGCTCTCCGGGGGCGTAGTCCTATTTTGCGTCAGTCACCATACCGTAACCGTAAATCATGCTGCACTCACGCGGTCAGCGACGAGCTTGGACGAGTAGGCCTCAACGCCGTCCTGGGCGCTCTCCTGGAAGACGACATGGAAGCGGCCGGGGTGGTCGGGGCTGTAGGCCTTGGCGTTGCCAACAGGCTTAGACCAGGCCTGGGGAGCCTCGCGGGGGAGCTGGGAGGCAACGTCGCCGTTCTTGAGCGAGGGGACGGGGACGGGGTGGCCGTTGATGAGGTCCGCAGTCATCTTGATGGGAGCAATGGAGCCGGTTTTGGGCGGGGGAGGCGCAGAGCACGGAGCAGGAAGGGGAAGGGAGGGAGAGGAAGGAGGGGAGGCGGGGGTGACCACTGGGTGATAGGAAAAAGAAGGAGATAAGACAAGGGCGGGGAAACCCAGTAGATATATGGCACCCGAAGTAGCCTCGCGTTTGCCGTCTGCAAAGAACCTGGCATGTGCCGACTCGTACAGCCGGCAGTTGCACAGCGGGCTTATTGCCCGGCTATCTTGATCTCTTGGCGGGATGTACGGCCATCCGCTTCCTGGCGGAGCGTCACTCGACCACTGCCCATGGCATGGGGAAGCCCCAGCGCCTAGAGGAGGTGTGCAGTGTGTGTCGCCCGTGCAGACCGGCTCCCAAGCACTGTCTCTGCACACTGCTGTTGGTCGCTGGGCACAAGGCTGGTCTGGTTGTGCGGGGGCATGCCAGTCCGGCACGGCATCAACCGCCTGTGTTGTATGCAGCAGCCTGCGTCAGTTACGCCAACACTCAGGGCGGGCCAGGGTTGATAGCGCCAGGGGCAGAGATATTCTCGCATTCTCAGGGCGGCGTGCTCTGCATCCTCTGCGAGACTCATGGGGGTCCACGGAGCCTAAACGGCATCAGACTGTGTCCAACCAGAGCGCGTTCTTGCGCTTGCAGAAGCGGCCCGGCTACCCTGCTTGGAACAGGACCACGCCTGCGCCTGTCTGCACCGCGAGGGACATTGAGGAACGCTGCTTCGCCTCCTATGTCCTGGGTGATCGGATTGGTCAATCGACGCACACCAACCCCGTCTGACATCACCCTCCCGACGCCTCCCAGCCGCCTGGGACCACAGGTACCAACCAGCGCAGGGAGCGAGCAAGATCGCGAAATGCGAGATCGAGTGTCGGCCACCGGAGCATGGCCGCTCGTCAGCTGCGACGACCCAATCCCTCGTCACCTCCGCCCGTCCTCCCCGGCGTCGGCAAGATTGCCCAGATTGCACCCGCTTGGCTCCGCTCGAAGTCTTTGCCTCCGCTGGCGTTCGGCAAGTTCTGGACCGAGCACTCCGGGTCGGAGGACGCCCCGCTCACTCCCCAGGCGAGGGGGGACGCAACCTCGCAACATGCGCATGACGCCGGGCGCCGGTGGGAGCGGAGGAACTGCGTCGCAGTGCTGCTGTTACGCAACCCCTTCACGTCGTGCCTTTCCGTCCACAAGAAACAACGCAAAGAGCCACAGTGGCTTGGACGATAAGGATAAGCTCGAGCGTCATGTGACACACCGTTCGATGTGTGATGTGTGTTGGCCGTGTGTCTCGGGCGCAGACTGGGCTATACTGGGTTGCGGAACGCTCCGTGCATCGTCTGATGGGTGTTCTGTGAACCCACAGCCGAGTCCACAGAGTGACCACGCTGGCGGGTGCACAGAGCGCAGTATTCGGCGGCGCCTCCCGTCCTATTTCGAGCGAGGGCTGGACACTACGGCTTCCTCGCGTTCGAGAAGCAGTACACTGTGAGGAAGGGCGTGCGTCGCAGGCACTGCCGCGAAGCCCTCCGAGAAGCCGTCCGAGAAGGCTGGAGGCGGCCTGAAGGGCGTCACTGTGCGCCGAGCCAGGTAAGCGTCCAAGAAGCATCCCGGCCGGCTACCCCGGCTACGTCGCACGCCCCTTGCGCCCGAGACAATGGGACGAAGAAAGACAAGCGCGTCGTCACCGTTGCCTCGGCGCACAGCTCACTGGCGGCACCCTCCGTCCCGCTCTGCACCGCGCTGCGTCAAGGTCTGTGCATCGAACGGCCGAGTCGATCGAGTCGACTCTGACCGCGCCGCAGATGCGTGCACTCGGCGGCGAGAGCCGCTCTGCATTGTTGTCTCCCTCGACGACATCCGTGATGGCCACAGCGTTCTGGTGCTCGACGCTGACGCTCATTGTTCGTGAGCCCCGATCTTCAGTGAGGTCCTTCGCAGAGAATAGCTATTCCCACGCCTCTCCACGCCCCCTTTCTCCGGTTACCTTACCCGCGGTAACGCTGTGCACCAGTGAATGGATCGACATTACTCCGCCCCTACCCCGCGTTCCTCCACTTCGTCACCTCGATCACGCTCGGCATTCCTCCGCTCGTTGAACAGCAAGGGGCACCGTGATTCGCCCCTAGCCCCCTGGACAGAGTCATAACCCGTGCACCTGCTAGGCTAGAGGTATCGGAGACGGGGAAAATAGCACCTCACCTCCACACTTGACGGTGACGTCCACTCGATCACTGGATGTGCTGGGCGGCACAACCTCCACTCTTGTGGCGGAGGGACGGGGCGCAGCGACGCGCGACGGAGGTATAGCCTCTGCGGAGCGACTGCCTCCACATCTTTTTCGCGCTCGCCTATGTCGGCGGCTCCTCGATAGCGAGCGTCCAAGGCTTGCCGACCTGTGGCCTCTTGCCTCTCCCCGCCCCTCTCTGCCTCGCCGTAAGGCTCTGTGTCCTCGCGTCCTCCCCATCCTCTTGCCATTTCCAGACCCCCTGTCTGCTGTATGTGTGCACTACCAGATATCGGGGTTTGAGTCAAGGTTGCAAGCCTCCGCACAGGCCTTTAGTGAGCCACGTCCGATCGTGATCGGTCCCCCAGTCCAGTGGTGGCGTGTGGACAGTCGCCCAAACTTGTGCGCCAGGATGTGGCCCTCAAGCCGAGCTAGACGGTGGCCGAGGTCAATAAGCGATCGACGGCTGTGGATCACCAATACGGGGCAGAGTGCATCCCTCCCATCTGCCGTTTGTCCGTTCCGAATGCTCATGCACACATCCATACTTTGCTTTACCCGGGATACTATGTACAACTGGTGTTCTTGGCTGTCTCATCCTTCTGTTTCGTTCTACATGCGGCGAGCCCCGCCTGCGCTCGAGCTTAGAGGAACGGCCTCTCCGCCTGAGGCGTCACGCGTGCGCCGTGCCTGCGGCTGCCGGGGACGCCGTCAAAGTCAGCGAGCGCGCTGTGCGCCGTGATGCGGTTGTCCCAGAGAACGACGGTGCGGGGGCGCCAACGCACACGGACCTGGAAGTCGAGTCCGCGCTCGATGATCTGGTACAGCAGCTCGAGGAGCGCGGAGCTCTCCTCGTCCTTGAGCTCGACAATCTTGCGCGAGAACACGCGGTTCACGTACAGCGCCTTCTCGCCAGTGACGGGGTGGCGGCGCACGAGCGGGTGGATGTTCTTGACGGGTTCGCGGCGTACGTGCGCGTACGCCGTCAGCTTGGGGTCCGCGCCGCGCTCGCGGGAGAAGTTGGCCTGCTCGTGGCCCGAGTGCACGACGTGGAGCGTCTCGAGATACGCCTGGAAGCTGGGCGAAAGGCGGTTGTACGCCGCACGAGCGTCGACGTAAGCCGTGTCGCCGCCAGAGGTGGGAGAGTCGTAGAGCCACAGAGCGGTGAGACCAGGAGGCTGCAGCTCGTAGCTGACGTCGCTGTGCCAGCCAACCGAGGAGACGCGGCCAGGAGGCGCGCTGGAGCTGCCGCTACGCTTGTCGAGTCCGTCTCCCGGGTCCTCGCCCCAGGCGCGGTAAACGAGGTGAAGCTCGGGGTAGCCCTTGGGCTGGCCGCTGGTGGGGTGGATGTGGTTGCGTCCGAAGAAAGATCCCCAGTCGTTGACTTGCCAGCTCGGGTCCTGGTCGATGAAGTCCTGGTCACGGAAAGCGACAACACCGCGCTGAGCAACGTAGAGGGCAAGCTGCTGGCGGCCGGCAGCGTCGAGCTTGTGCAGCTGCACTCCAGAGACCTCCGAGCCGAAGTCGGGAGTAAGGAGGTCGATGTCAGCCTCGGCGAGGAAGGCGCGCGGGTCGGAGTGCTCCTTTGCGGCATGGCCGGGGTCGACGTGCTCGAACGGCTCGAGAGTTCCGTACGTCACATCGCGGTCGAAGGAGGGGAGAAGGTGCTCGTACGGGTAGGCGGACTTGGGGAGGCCAGTCTCGGAGAACCACTGCAGCTTCTTCTTAGCCGGCTGGACCGTGTCCTTGTTGCCATTGGCGTTGTTGGATATCTTGAGGTCCTGCACTGAGGGCAGGGCGGTCTCGGGCTGGGTCTCGGTCGCGATGGGGGCCATGATTGCTCGTTTGTGCTCGCTGGCTGTGTTCGTGTGGCTGATGAGGAGCAGTCGTTCTGAGCCTCCAGCTGTTATATGCGAGAAAGATCGTCGTGGAGAACACCTCGCTGTCGGACATGAGCGGCAGCGGAGACGAGCACGCAACTCTTAGTGACGAGTTGACTGGTCGTCGGCAGGCTTCGGGGAGAGCTTCTCTTTGCTATCTGATATCGGGCCGACCTCGACGAGGCCGTGGAGCCCATCTAGTGGTCAGACCTTGCACATGACATACCCCGGATGTGACCTCATGCCTTCTGCCAGCATCCATCGATCATGTCCAGGCGCCATCAAGCGGTCGGCTGACGTGCTCGCGGCGCTCAGGCACATGCGTCGGCGGTCTGCATTGCCCACGAGCATTCACGCACTGTGTATATTGTCGGAGTCTGCTGGGTAAGCAAGAGGGGTTGCGTGGTGGAGTCTCGAGGGATGACAGATACAGATTACGGTGTGGATAGAGAATGAGGCGACTTGACTCCGCGATGGCGTCAACGGAGATCGCCGGCACCGCGTGCACAGTCGCGCAGTTGCATGCCTCCATCGCGTGAATGCATCACCTCTGCTCGCGCGACCACTCTTCAGTGCTTGGCGTACTGCGCTAACGCTCATTCGCTGCCTGGCGCCATACTCTGCTGGGGGTTGCAGACTTGTGTGAGAACACCTATCACAATTGATCGTAAGGCGGTCGTTGGACTATCGAATAACCCGCGCTTGTACATGAGTATGCTATGCCATCTAGTTTACAAAATTCTATGCACACTGCCTAGCCCGTCTACAATTCAGTCGGTCATCGACCGAGGTGATGCTGCATGCTCTTGAAATGCGCAATGTGCACTTCGCTCGCGGCCATCATCTCCTTCGCCATGTCGGAGACCTGGCTCCCTCGCCCATTATATATCGTAGCATTCGCGAACATCAGGCGGACGTCGCGCTCAAACTCTTCGATGTTGCCGACGCTCCCGTCCTTAATTCGCGCGCGCAGCGTCTTCAGATCCATCGGACGCTTGATGATCTCGTAATAATCGGCCGCCTCGTTCTGATTTCAGCCGCGATCGGACAAGTTAGGCTTACCTTACGGACGGGGTTGGCGAAAACAGGACCATACTTGTGCTGCTGAATCGAGTCCAGAAGCTGCAGGAGGAGCTTCTGCATGGTCTTCTGGCTCTTGGTGGAGGGCGGAGCAACGGAGCTGGCGGGTGTGCTGACGGATGCACTGGGACCAGAGTCGTCCTCGTCGTCAGCCTCACCGCCGGCCGACTCTCGTGCGGCTGGCCGGGGGGCTACCTGTTAGCCCGTCAAAAGTTGTTACATGATTATAACACATCACACAGTAGAAATGAACTTACTGCGGGTGCGTTTACTCGTTCGCTTTTCGACGGGGGTTGACGCGGCGCTGGCAGCAGCCTCCGCCTTGCGCCGGCTGCGCGTAGACCGCTTCTCGCCTTCGGCTTCCTCCTCGGAGTGATCATCCTTCTTCTCCTCCTCTTCCTCCTTCACGCTGATAGCTTCGGAAGCGGCGCGGACAGACTTGGAGACAACGTCATCACGCATAGAGCCGCGAGGCTGTCGGGTCCGTCTGCTGCTCCGGCCCTCGGTCTGAGGTGTGCCTGAGGCCGTAGAGCTCACCGACGCACCTCGTTTCGCGGGAGGACTTGCTTCCTTGGCGGGGGACTCGCCCCTTCGTCGACGGCCGCGGCGACCTCGGGGAGTCTCCTCTTCAGCCTCCTCTTGAACTTCTTCCTTGACCTCCTTCTCTGGCTCCTCCGCATCTGCATCGCCGTTTTCTTCGCCCTCAGCATCGTCGCCATCGACGGCGGATGAGCCCTTGCGGCCACGCTTAGGCGGACGTCCAACCTTCGGGACGGTCTCCCCTTTGCGCTTTCGACCGCGCTTCGAAGCAGGGGTGGGAGAAGAGGGCGGAGCGTCTGCGGTTGCAGACTCGTCTGCCGGGAGAGGGGATAGCTCAACATCGGAGAGAGCTTCCGACCCGTGCTCAGAATTCGGGGTCGCAGCCTGCTCCTCGATATCGATGTCATTTTTCTTGTCACCGCCATCCTTCTTGTCCGCACTTGGGGTAGACTTTCGAGGTTTCCGCCTTGAAGATCGCGTCGTAGGCTTCTCCTCCTCCGCTTCCTCCTCCTCTTCCTTGTTGTCCTCTTCGTCCTTCTGATCACCCTCTCCATCCTCCTTGTCGCGGTCAGCTCCAGGCTCAGCTTCCGCGGATGGCTCCCTGGGGGACTCAGCGCTCTGGACCTTAGCCTCGTCCTCGGCTGTCGTTGGCTCAGCGGTCGGCTCCTTTTCCGGCTCCTGGCTGCGCTCTACCGTGGAAGCCTCGGCCGTCCCCTCAGCGGACTGGCCAGCAGAAGCTTCCTGAGCGTCTCCTTCGGGTTCCGCGGTGAGCTCCTTGGTGGGAGCCTCTGGGGCCTCGTCGACGTCCATGGCTTCAGGTTCGTTCGGTGTGACTTCTGTCGGCGTCGGTTCGGTCTCAACTGGAGCAGCTTCCGCGGCTTCAGCTTCTCGTTTTTCCGCTGACTCCTCAGCACCAGCTTTGTCGGCGTCTGCGCTCTCTCCCGGCTTCTCGTCCTCCGAGTCCTTCTGAATGGCAGGCTCGGTTGCCGGTTCAGGAGTCTTCGCAGACTCTGGACCAGCCTCGGCGACTTTCTTCACCTCCGCGGGATCCGGGACCCAGCTGTCAACGAGTTTCTTGCCATACTTCCTGTTAAGAGCGGCACGAATCTCGGCTTGAATCTTGTCGTCGATCTCTCCGGCTTTGATTCCATTGATGTCGCTCATAAGCTCCCTGAGACGTTAGCTGCATATGTGACTGACCAACTTACGTGAACCGAGCCTCATATCCCATGATTTTATCCTTCAACTCCTGCATGCGGGCGACGTAGAACGTTTGCGCGAGCTGCAAATGAACCTTGGCTTGGGGTTTCGAACCGTCGGGAGCCGGCCTGACTGTCAGCCTAGCAGGCACTGAACAACTTACACGTTGACTTCGATGCCTTTCATGAGCGAAACGTAACTGTTCTCGCAGTTCTCTGGGGTGAAGAGCTCGGAGCGATCTTTGCAGCAAGGATGCTCTGTCAGCAGCTTACTGACGACCGTCCAATTCGATGCTCCAGTCTTGTAGACGGCCTGAGCCAGAAGGAGCTTGTCCTGCACCGTCATCTTGTCCACGGCGACCGCCATCTTGGATGGCTGCTGGACGAAACGACGGGGGAGGTGGATGACGAGTGGAAGACGTCGACGCGAAACGAGCGGAAGTGGTGTGTGTAGTGCAGTGCTCGTTAGCTCCCCTTACCACATTTGTTTAGGAGGCCGGGCAAGGTCGAGAGCAGACGGTAAGGAAACGGACTCAAATTTCTAATCATAAGTCCACGTGACTATTAGAACTCTCCCCTATACGCATTCCTATGTCAACCCCACACTTTGCCCCGGACACATGTAGCGGCGTCCAAGACATGACGTTGACAAGACGTCAACTCACCTCAACAACAATCCCGTCTGGTCATCGCCGCCAATGACAGACTCCCGACTTGAACCCTTCCTGCTGCTGGCGCGCAGTGCCAAAGGTGCCGCTGCGGCTAAAGTCGTCGAAAATGCGACTGCAGCGGTGAGTCCAGCCCAATCCGATCTAAGTGGAAGCTGACGGACAGAATGGTGTGTATACCTTCAACGCGCTGATGGATGTTCCGAACGTCAAGGAGGTGAGTCTGGTAAGGGAGTAGCCGCTGACCAGAAGCTCTCCCAGTCGTCAGATTTGCAGAAACACTGGAACCTCCTGCAGCTCTTCGCCTATGGAACTCTCAAGGATTACATTTCATGTATGTCCATGGTGGCCTTGTGCAGTGTCTGACTATGCAGCGCCCGATTCATACCCCCCTTTGTCACCTCAGCAGGTTGCCAAGCTGAAGCACTTGACACTTGTGTCTCTAGCTCTTGAGCACAGGGTGAGCTTAAAAGTCCCTAACCATAGCTAACAGCAGTCGCTGCCTTACTCCGACCTCTTGCAGACGCTCGACTTGAGGACTACGCGGGAACTGGAGAACATGATTATCGACTGTATCTACTCGAATCTCCTCACAGGGAAGATGCACCACCACGAGCAAATCTTCTACGTCGACCAAGTCTCAGCGCGTGATCTGAACGAAGCTGAGGTTCGCAAGGTTGAGTCGGCTCTGAAAACATGGTGAGTTATTAGCCAACGCCACCCGTCGACTCTTAGCTGATAAGCAGGTCGAGCAACGCTGAGTCCATTCTGAAAGCCCTCGACCAGCAGATTGCTGAGGCGCGCGAATCGGCCATCCAGGAGGCAGAGCAGGCGGCGCAGTATCAGAAGGAACAGGACGCAGCCTACAACCAGGCGAAGGAGGAGCTGCACAAGCGTGACCGGCACGCTATGAGCGGCCTATCGAACAGGACCAACGAAATGCAGGCTGCCCTGCCGAAATCCTCAATGTCTAGCCTTGGCTACGGGATGGAGGGCAAGGGCGGGTGAGTTTGATAGTATTGGGGGTCCAGCTGACAGTAGCTTTTTCCGCAATCTGAGCGACAGCAATGAAGAGATGTCGCACAGCAGGGCGAAGAGGACTCGCGCTTAGTGAGCGCATATCTCCCCTGTTACATAGACACCAGCATAAGATTGGGCGCGCAAGCGCTGTAGATTTTGTATTTCACCTGTACATGACATGCAACAATGATAACAGATACATAATCTAAACCTTCTGCGCAACCGTGATACCAATCTTACAAGCGGCGCCGATGGCAGCGCTCAGCAGCGAGTGACCCGGCGCTTTGAGAGCGCCCTCCTCGACAGCAAAGTCGAGATGCTCGAGCTCGTCGTCTCGGAACTCCTCAAGGATGTTCGCGAGCAGGGGGAGGGATGGGTCCGGGTTCGCTTTCTTCGCGTTCTCCTCGAGGACCGGCTTCAAGTCACGAAGTTGGCTGTGTGTCAGTCTACCAGCACCTACGAATCCCAAACAGATTGGTCAGATACTCACTCGTCGTAATGCTCGCCGATAACGGTCTCGACAGCCTCGGTGCACGCCATGGCAGCCTCCTTGCCCATCAACGCCGTGACAGCACCCATGCCCCAAGCCAGTCCCTGCCAAACAGGATACAGCGCGGTCGGGCGGACGTTGTGCTGCGCCGCAACCTTGGTCATAACCGAAAGGTGGTGCCGCTCATTCTCCCACATCTCCTGAATTGTTATTATTGACACACAGTACTCAGACTCACCTCGACCTGGCCGACGGTCTTGCCGTCGCCTCGCACGGCACTTCCCCATTTCTGTCCTCGATAGATCCAGTTTGCGCCGAGCTCTCCAGCGTGGTCAACACGAACAATCTCCTCGAGAAGCCGGCGCTGCTCAGGCGTGAGGGAAGGGGAGCTCGTGGTCCCCGGGTGCTGCTCGGGCTGCGGCGAGATCGGCAGCGCAGCGCCGCCAGCGGGCGCACCCGGAGCCGTAGGCGGTCCCTTCGGTGTGGGGGGCAGGTAGGCGTGCGATGAGAGAGCGCGGGAGACGCGCAGCGTTGGTCGGAACATAGTGTTGCAGGAGTGAACGAGTGGAGGGCGTTGGGAAATGTCCGGAAATCGGCGAGCAAGTCGCCTCTGGTGGATGGAGATTGCAAGACACGGACCCTGAACTAAATCATGTCTTCCTCGTCATTGCCATCCGGACCTTTCTTGTCTTCTCTCCATCGCCCATCTTCCGTCTTCGCCATGACACAGCTGACAGCATGAACCTACCGCTGAAATTTCGAGCCGCCTCTGTAGCAAGGCTTCTCAACACGGAACAAGGTGATAGGATGTTGCTAACACGCCAGGCAGGTGCTGTAAGGAAGACAAAGCTCTTTCAAGTCGTCGCCCTCGTCACGCCCTCCTCGGCACAGTCTTCCCCAAGCGCGCCGCAGACATTGCTAGTAAAGCACTGATGAACAGGCTTACGGGTTCGTGTGCGCTCACTCTTGGGTCATGTAAGCCGCACCCAAGCCGCGAAGCGTAGAAGGCCTGTGGAAACGTGTTCAGTGCGGAGAATGGCTGTACATGAGCTCTGACTTTCTATCACTGGCCTGCTCAGATCTGACTTACCAAGACGGCCTACTCTTATCGAGGGAGTCTGGGACACCTCTATCCCGTGAGGGTTCTGTGTTCCGGAAAGAGAGAGGGTGAGGTGACATGCTGAGGGGAGGAAAGGACCTTGCGCCATTTCTTTCCCCGGGCGGCGGGGCGGTGTTGACCAACCTCAGTATCCAAGCAGCACTGGGGCGCCGGGCTCTCAAGCTTACAGGATTGTCCTGGCGCGGGGGTGGTCACCGCATGCGGTTGCCTTGGAGCTACTCGACCAGCTGCTTATTCCGCATTCTTCCCCACCAACGACCACCCGAGCGCACGAAAGGAGCAACAAAACAACACTCACCTTCCAGTTGCTGGTGTTGCTGAGGAAGTCCCCCCACCCCAGTCACATGGGCCGTGCTTTCTGCTCTCTGTCGCTCGGAGAAGGAAGCAGGCTTGCTGTCAAGGAAGTTATTGACAATGATGCTGTCGCTTTCTCCGTCTGCTGCTCCCTCTGCAAGTTTCCGTCGTTCCTTGCCATGATCCTCCATGCTAGGGATTATCGGAGAGATGGGGTGGAGTTCAAATTGATACATACACGCAGTATCCAATCCCGACAACGACGCGGTCAGCGAGCCCCATTGCGTAGGCCGGCTGACAGCTGATGGATTCCCTATCTGAGCATATGTCAGCAAAGGATGTATAAGAGAGTGGTCAACTACTCTTCACAGTCACAGACCTAGTGTCCATGGCCAAGAACCACGGAAATCATGCTGTGACGGTCACCTTCGACGTGTGTGTGGAGTGCGAAGGCAGTCACGCCCCAGGCTCCGACCCTCTCTGCCCACGACACCTGGACCACTATTCGAGCAGCACGTGACGCATGAGGCCACCGGGTAGGGAACGTACACTGTAGAACATGCCCACGTCAGTAGGGCACAGTCTGGAACGCTTGGCGTCTGTGTTCGAGCAGGAAAGATCTCAATTCATGGGCGGCACATGGAGTAAGACAGTAAGGACATCACTTACAGTCCGACCGATGTGTTTCCTCGTCAATCTGGCATTGTGAGCTCACAGCTCACGATCGGTCTCGCCAACGTTGCATCTGCAGCGGGTGGTAAATCATATTGTAGCTCATATCAACAAAAATGCATTTATACACGATCCTACGTAGCTAAGCTCGCTGCTGCTTTACTCGGTCCTGGGCCTCTTGGCGGCGCTGCCGTTAGGAGAGACGTCACGGGAGGCGTGCTCCTCAAGGAGACGGTCGAGGACCTCGGGCTGGCCGACCTTGAGCTTGCCCTCCATGACGGCGGTGTGGTAGACACGGAGGATCTGGTCGACGTCCTCCATGGTCTGGGTGCGGACGTCGGCGAGCTCCTTGATCTTGGCGGTGGCGTCCTTGATCTGGTCGTCGTTGAGGACGAGGTTGAGCTGCTCGACACGCGACTTGACGGCGTTCCAGCCGGTGAGACGGTGGCCGATCGAGACGTAACGCGTCATGCCGAAGTCGGCGGGGTTGAGGATCTCGTACGTCGCCGGGTTGGCGAGGATGGCCTTGGCGTGAATACCAGCTTTGTGGGTGAAGGCGCAGAAGCCAGTGATGTAGTTGTTGAACGGGACCTGGATCTCGACGGCCTCGGCGACGAGGTTCTCGACCTCACGGAGCATGGGGAGGTTGTACTTGCCCTTGACGAACTCGGGGTCGGCAACCATCATGCGCGCGATGAGACCACCGAGCGGCGTGATACCGTTGCGCTCACCGATACCGAGGACCGAGGTGTCGATGTGGGTAGCACCGGCCTCGAGGGCGGCGTAGGCGTTGGCGATGGCGCATCCGGTGTCGTTGTGGAAGTGGCACTCAATGTCGCACGAGACGACACCACGGAGGGTACGGACGAGCTCGTAGACCTGGCGGGGGTCGGCACAGCCGACAGTGTCGGCAACACCGACACGGTTGACACCGATCTTGTCGACGGTGCGGTAGATCGAGAGGAGGTCTACGAGCTCCGAACGGAACGAGTCCTCGGACGAGAAACGGATCTCAATGCCCTTCGACTTGACGAACTCAATAACCTCAATGGCGGTCTTGGTGATCCAGGCCATGTCCTTGCCGTGCGAGTGGTCACGGAGGAACGACGACGTTCCGATGACGACGTCGACACCGTCAACACCAGTCTCGACGGCGATACGGGCGTCGTCCATGTGGCAACGGATGTGGGTAAGGATCTTGGAGCGCTTCAGGCCGAGCTTGCAGATAGCCTCGCAGTGGGCACGCGACTCGGGCGAGGCGGCGGGCGAGGTAAGCTCGATGTAGTCGACACCGAACTCGTCAAGAGCCTTGGCGATCTTGATCTTGGTCTCAAGGTCTGCAGTGTCAGCGGTAGTTCAAACGCGGGCAGGGGGAAGGGAGCGAAAGAACTGCTGTTGCTGAGTCGGTCTGCGGCCAATCAACCTTAATGCTGTGTGTCGTGTCACACGAGTCGTGTGAGGCCGGATACACAACACAGGGTGCCCAGAATAGCAAGACTGACTGTTCTTGAGCCAAGAGAGGAGAGATAAGATCCTTTTCTCCTGGCTCCAGAGAGTCCCGACGTTCTAGGATGCTCATGGCTTCACAGACAAGGCAGGGAGAGGTGCAGAGGGCCGAGAGACGAGCGAGGAGCCACAGTGCGTTTGCGAACTGTTCGCCCTCTCCGCCACACCGAACTTCCTGGACTTCTAACCCAGATTAAACCTTCCAAACGCATATTCTGGCGCCTAGAAGCCTACGGCTGAAGTGGGGGAGGTCTGCGGTAGACCCCCAAGCCGTTCGCTACCGTCTGGGACCCGTTTCTTCGACTTCGGACGTCGTTTTTTCTGCTTTCGTTTGTCGGGGAAAACTAACCGAAGAAGGCGTTCGCGAATTGCTCGCCCTCTCTGAGCGTGCTCTCGATGATCTGAGGGTGTCAGAGAACGTGTTGGAAGGAGTAGAAGATGTGTAAGAAGAAGGACGGGTGGTGTGGGGGTGCCACGGGGTGGAGGTGCCACTTTGCTGCGGCAGTGCCACACTCGTGCCACGCCAAGCATGTGCACGCGTTCTGGGCTGCCCGGCGTACGTGCATGCGCTGCTGGATGCACGCGGGAGCATGCATGGGGTGGTGTAGAAGGACGAAAGGCGGTCGGAGGGGCGGGGCGGAAGTGAAGTGACGGTGGCTTTAAGGCCACAACACCGCACACTGGCCGCCCACTCTGGGGCCACGGCGGAATTGCGTTCAGCACTCGCCAAGTCGAGCCGCATGCACGTCCGCCGACTCGCGGATTAGACGCAGAATGCAGACAGGACAGCGAGCGCTGCACAGAGACAGCCCAAGCACCTAGCATGGGCCATGTTTGGTCCTCCCGGGTGAGTCGCAACCGATGACGGTGACCGACCGTCCGGCCGACTCCACCTCCACCCGAGCGCACGAAAGGAGCAACAAAACAACACTCACCTTCCAGTTGCTGGTGTTGCTGAGGAAGTCGGAGGGGCGGGAGTAGAAGCCCTTCTTCTCGCCGTGCTTGGGGCCGTCGTTGGTCTTGACGGCAGCGCCGAGGTCGACGGGAATCATCTCGGCGTCGGCACCGTTGGTCTCGGGGGCGGGCTCGTGGGGGCACATGGTTGCTGTGTCGTCAAAAGTAGAGGGGGGGATGAAGTGTCAGAGGTTCGCTCGACAGACTGGCTGGGAGTGTCAAGCGTTTTTGAAGAGTAATGAGCGGTGACGAAAGTCGTGGTTCAAACTCGAGTCGGTTAAGCCAAGAGGCCAGGCAGAGGCCGCCGCTGGTCGTTAACCTGAAGCTTTTACTTTGCGTGCGAGTCAGAGGCTTGCTTTGCCTGCAGAGCCAAGGTGAAAGTGCGGCTTACTATGAATTAACCGCGTAATACAGACCGAATGCCGGATCGATTAGGGCCGACGAGTCGAGAGCTAAGCAAAAAAGTTCGAAATGATTAGTGACTCATCCGCCTGCGGCAGGGATCGGCCAATCAGAATACGCCGAGCGGCCGGAAAGAAGCTCCGCCACGCGCCACGAGTCACCCACGCTCTACATGTCCGGCCACACCGGGCGGAGGCTGCGGGCCCTGCGTCACAGCCTACAGGGGGGTAGCGTAGTCCGACGCGGGGAGAGGCGAGTCTGGCGCCTGGCCAACCGACGCTCAGGCACGCCCCAGTGGCGATTTCTTTTTTGTGCGTTTCGCATCATTATTCCCACATTCCACAGACCAAACGATTAGCAGGACAATGGCGCGCTGTGTGGTCCCCCCACTTACAGCCTGATTGGCCACTCGCTCTCGCCTCAGCGCCTCCTCAGCCAGCTACCTAGCTTGCCTGCGCGCGCCTCACTCACCCAGCCAGTGAGCCTGTGAGCTAAGGAACCACCGCTGGCACTGGCAGCTGGCAGGCACTGACATCTCGTCAACTTCGTTCTCTCTCCATCTTCATCTCTCTCTTACGACAACAACCAAGTACGAGGTAGAGCATCACCAGTGTCGTCGCCCATCCGACCTAGCTCTCACCCTCACCCTTTCTCCTTCCCTCGACGCCTGTTCCCTCTCCTTTATAATACGTCTCTAATCATCATCACCAGGCAACTCAAAAGCATCGCTCTGTAAACATGGACGCCGCCACCCTCTTGACGAACGCTCTCTCAGAAGGTACGCGCATACCGAGCACTCCCCGAGACACTCAGCTGACCCCCCGCTCAGACGCGAACACCCGTAACACCGCTCAGCAGCAGCTTGAGGCCGCCGAGCGCGACAACTTCGTGAGTTGGCCTCCCAATGTTTTGTTTCTCTTGGCCAGGGTCCAACCCCACCTACCCTATGGTAATTGACGTGGTCAAGCGCTGACAACCTATAGCCCGCCTACCTGCACACCCTCGCCAACGAACTTGCCAACGAGCAGGCCCAGCCGCATATCCGTAATGCTGCCGGTCTCGCTTTCAAGAACGCTCTGTCGGCTCGTGTATGTGGTCATGCGAAATTTCAGGTACTGACTTGCATCAGGACGTCGTCAACCAGCCTGCTCTGAGCGACCGTTGGATGGCACTTCCTGAAGATGTTCGCACACCACTCAAGCACACTCTTCTGCAGACCCTTGGCTCCCCCGTCCACAAGGCTGCTTTCGTTTCCGCCCAGGGCGTCGCCGCCGTTGCCGCCATCGAGCTTCCCCGGGGACAGTGGCCCGAGCTCATCGGCCAGCTCCTCGAGTTTGTCGGAAATCAGGAGAACACCGGTCTCCGTATCGCCACCCTCCAGGCTGTTGGATACGTTTGCGAGGTTATCCAGCCTCAGTACCTGTCTGCCCGCTCAAACGAGATCCTCACCGCCGTTGTCCAGGGTGCCCGCAAGGAGGAGCCCAGCACCGATGTCCAGGCCGCCGCTATCCACGCCCTCTACAACTCGCTCGAGTTCATCCGTGACAACTTTGAGCGTGAGGGAGAGCGCAACTACATCATGCAGGTCGTCTGCGAGGCTACCCAGAGCCCGTCGTCCACCGTCCAGGTCGGCGCTTTCGAGTGTCTTGTCCGCATCATGAGCTTGTACTACGAGCACATGGAGTTCTACATGGAGCGTGCTCTCTTCGGAGTAAGTTCGACGTCTACGACTTCAACTAACGCCAGCTCACCATTGCTGGTATGAAGAACCCGGAGGAGCCCGTCGCTCTCCAGGCCATCGAGTTCTGGTCGACTGTCTGCGAGGAGGAGATCGAGATCGCTATTGAGGCGCAGGAGGCCCTCCAGTACGGCGAGGAGCCCGCCCTCGAGTCCAAGCACTTTGCCAAGGCTGCTCTTCCCGAGATCCTTCCCGTTCTTCTCGAGCTCCTCACCCAGCAGGATGAGGACGCTGACGAGGACGAGTGGACCAAGTCCATGGCCGCCGCCGCCTGTCTTGAGCTCCTCGCCCGCAACGTCGGTGACGCTATCGTTCAGCCCGTCGTTCCCTTCGTTGAGGCCGGTATCCGCCGCCCCGACTGGCAGGGTCGTGAGGCCGCTGTTATGGCCTTCGGCTCCATCCTCGACGGCCCCAGCTCGCAGACTCTCGCTCCCCTCGTCAGCCAGGCTCTCAGCACCCTCATCGGCATGCTCCAGGGTGACTCTGACCTTCACGTTCGTGACTCGGTTGCCTGGACGCTCTCGCGCATCACCGAGCTCATGCTCGACGTCGTTGACCCCAGCATGCACCTCCAGAACCTCGTCACTGCCCTCGTTCTTGGTCTCCAGGGCACTCCCCGCATCATCAACTCGTGCTGCGCTGCTCTTAGCAACCTCGTCACCCACCTTCTGCCGGACGCCGACATTGTCTCCGAGGACGCTCCCCCCACCTCGCCCATGTCGCCGTACTACGAGGGTATCTTCAAGGCCCTCATGCCCGTTTCGGAGCGCCCGAACAATGATAACAACTGCCGTGCCGCGGCCTACCAGACCATGGCTACGTACATCACTTGCTCCGCCGCCGACACCCTCCCTATCGTGGACCAGGTCGCTGCCGCCATGCTCGCTCGCCAGGAGTCCCTCATCGGCATGGAGAACCAGCTCGTTGGCATGGACGACCGCCAGAACTGGAACGACATGCAGATCTCCATCTGCGCTCTCCTGCAGTCGTTCATCCACAAGTCGCCGGCTCTCGTCATGCCCTACGCTGACCGCCTGATGACCAACCTCCTCACTATCCTTTCGTCCTCTGGCAAGCACGCCGGTGTTCTTGAGGACGTTCTCGCCACTGTTGGTGCCGTCTCTGGTGCCCTCGAGGGCGGTTTCGTCAAGTACATGGAGGCCTTCTCGCCCTTCCTGTTCCAGGCTCTCGGCTCGTACGACGACTACCAGGTCGCCCAGGCCGCTGTCTACTGCGTCTCCGACATCTCGCGTGCCATCGGAGAGCAGCTCACGCCGTTCGCCGAGCGCATCATGGTCGCTCTCATTGACATTCTCCGCTCCCCCGCTATCCAGCGACAGGTCAAGCCTACCGCCATTACCGCCATCGGAGAGGTTGCCCTCGCTATCGGCCCTGCGTTCGTCCCGTACCTCGAGACCACGATGGGCATTCTCAGCCAGGCGGGTTCGACGGCGGCCTCGACTACCGATCTTGCGCTCAACGAGTTCGTTTGGACCATGCGCGAGGCCATCGTCGACGCCTTCATTGGCATCATGAACGGCCTCAAGGCTGGCGACCCCACGCCCTTCCTGCAGTACGTTCCGGGCATCCTCGGCTTCCTCCGCACGTGCCTTGCGGAGGAGGACCGCACCGAGGAGTTCGTCGGCGCTGCTCTCGGTCTCATCGGTGACTTCGGTGACACCTACAAGCAGGCTGTTCGCGACGACATCTGTCAGGAGTGGGTCCAGCAGGCCATCTCGATCGGCCGCCAGCGTGGTGCCTCGAGGTCATCTCGCACCAACGCCGCCTACGCCCAGAAGGCCATCAAGGAGCTTTCCAAGTAAACGCTTCTCCGGGAACATTCGACTCCGACTTTCCCAGTATACCCCTCGATACCCCGTTTCTTTTGCATCAATCACGACCTAACTTGAAGACCTCAGCAAGATTTGCATTGGCTGTCTGAGCCTGCCTCAGCAGTCACCGGCCGCGCCCTGCTTGTCCAAGGACTCGACATCGCCGCCTCATCACCTCATACGCAATCATCAAGTGCCACCACTTAGCATCTGCACGCGTGCAACCGATAGAAGGAAGAAGAAGGAAGCCGCAGGAGTAGTTTGACAGGACCCATCGAACCATTTGGTCACGGTTCCGTGCACGGGCCGGAAGCCCGGCCAAGAGTGATAGAGTGGTATCCCGTGCATGTCAAATGTCTTAGTGAACCGAGCGGTGCACGGGCGAAGCAAGTGCGAGGTGTGTGCATGAGCAAGCCTCAATAGCATGAGCGCAGTATACGAGACCTAACAGTCATCCGGCGAGATGCGGAACTCAAAGGTGCTGACGGCAGCTAAAGATCGCCCGCAGCAGACTCCATAGCCTTGCGAAGGTTCTGCCTGTTCCCGGCAAGCTGTGAACGGACCTGCTGCGCGGTCAGGCCAGTCTGGACATTAGCTGATGAACCCATCCGCAGCTCACCTCAGCACTGACAGCGTCAATGTCAGCGAGGGCGGTGGCGACACCGCGCTGAATCACGGCGGAAGCGAGTGCAGCGCGCGCAGCAGCGTCGATGCGTCCCCCGCGCTTGGCCTTGGTGCCCGCCTTGGTGTCGGGCTTGATGTCCTCGCCATCAGAGGAGAGCGCGGAGGGCTTGCGCTCAGGCGAGCTCGAGCGGCGGGGCATGGCTTGTGCTGGGCCTGTGCTGAGGCGCTGGGATAGATCAGGGATTGAGGGTATGACCGAGGATCTAGAAGTTGGGAACTAGGGTAGGCGGCTGAAATCGGTATGGCAGAGGCGGCGAATAGTAGCTGAGTGTAGATCTGGGTAGGTGTGAGGTGAAGAGAGAAGAAGTGTTCGTCGCTGGTGGGAACTGACGAGGAGGAAGACACAGTCGTGCCCTTGAGGCGAGACAGGTCCTTTGGAGCGCGGAGCGGAGGCATGCGACGGTGCCCAGGCGCTGATGGGGCGACGCTGTGTGCTCTGTCGTGCCGATCTGTCTGCAGGATCCCACCATCAGCGGATTGGGCCAAGCTGACCGTACTAACGACAGGAGGACTTGCACTCCGCGAACTCGAGTCCTTCTCGCTCACGAAGCTGTGGGGAGGAAAGGTCACATCCCATGCATGCCTGACCTCTATTCCTACTCCTCGCTAGTAGCTCCCTCCAGCACCTTGCGCAGATTCTGACGTCCAGGCTTGAGTTGGTTCCGGACCTGCTGCGCCGTGAGACCAGTCTGGGCGTGAGCTGCGAGCGAAACCGGCAGCTTACCGCGGCAGTAACGGTGTCAATCTCGGCGAGGGCGGAGGCGATACCGCGCTGGATTACGATCGAGGCGAGGACGGAACGAGCGCTGCCGTCGATGCGGCCACGGTACGCCTTGTTGTTCGATTGGACCTTGGGCTTGATGTTGGGCTTCGTGTCCTCGCTGTCCGAGGAGGGACGAGAACGCTTGCGCTCGGGAGAGCCTGAGCCGCGGGGCATAATCATAGGCTGGTTGAGATGGGTGGGTAGAGGATTGAGTCGACTGAAGAGTCACTCTATGAGTGGTGAGTGATGGGTGGTACTGAACTGGCCGGGGGCCGGGGGCATGGGATACTGAGAGCGGTGTTGTCCATCCTCAAGATGATGCAGAGGAAAAAATAGGGCGAACACACACTTCGCACTTGCGACGAAAGACAGATTCTAGTTTCGCAAGCCGTCAAGGAAAGTTGGGACAGATGGTGCAACGGGGCGAGGCTGCAAACCCGTGACCCCGCTGCCCCGATCAGCGTGCATGAGCGGAGATGACTGGACCGCAAGAGACGAGGGCGCAACGGTGAGACACGTCCTTCATCAAACGCAACTTCGTCCCTGCGCACTCCAGCTTGCGACAATTGAGAAAGCACTATGCAGCAATGTTCAACTTCCAACTCAGCAAGAGACGTGGACGAGTACCAGCCACAGCAGCATCGGTGTCACAGTCGATCAGAAGACCAACAGAAGGTTGCAGAAAGGCAGTCGCGTCGCTTCCACCACGTCATCCGCCACGTCCGAGCCTCCGCCAACGCTCACCCGCTACGTTCCACCAGAAACTCCAGTCGCAACAGCGCCCAGAGCAGTCCCCAACATGATCCCGCATATCGAACGTAACGAGCCGACAGCACAGCCCACGGACGTAAGCGGTGCCTGATGTCGCGCGCAGAGGACAAATGACCGACACGTCGAGAGAACAAGGTTGGGTGTGTGCCGTCCTCTCGCTGGCAGAGCAGCCGTCTTACACCCCGGAGCTTTGCCAGCAGTGCTCCCTTCCTTACGGTCGTGCTGGCTGCTGCAAGAGGCAATTCCGTCTCGACCCAGACTCTACGTCCACTCCGAGAAGGCACTGTTCCTTGCCCGCAGTCAGCGTTATTGCGGTCACGAGAGCCCGCGAGAGCGTCATGCTACCTCTTGTCATGCATCGGCTATGCACCACAAGCATGCTGGCATGCAGGCTCCATGTACTACAAAGCAGCATGTAGGAGGTCGATGTCCACTCCATTCTCCCTCCCTTCACAAGCAACTATGGAGAGTACCACCACAGTCGCCTCTTCGCAAGCGAGTACGGTTTGGCTGCTCCTGCACGTCGCTCTCGGCTGCGCGTCTGCCTTCGTGCTAGCCATCTGCGACTTCGCCGGAATGGTCCTGCTCGTCATTCCCAGGGGTGCGTGCTCTCGTACACTGCGATGCGCAGTCACTAACCATCAGGCCCTCACTACTTTGACTACGAGAAGAACAAGGTCATGTACATGGACGACTGGCATCGTATCTGGCGCACAGCTGTCCCCGTGCTGCTCTGCGCGATTCCGAACACGGCCCTGTTTGCACACAGCATCAGTGTGCTGACTGCGATCGTGCGGAAGCAGTGGGGTGCGCGAGCATTGCAACCGCGCTTTGCCGCCAGCATGCTGCTCGGGTGTGGCGCAGCAAGTGCCGTGACTGGCATTGCGCTGCTACAGTCGGTGCTCACAAACAAGCAGACGAGTATCGCGCCCGGATCAATCAAACCCATTGCTGTCCTCTATTCGTGCGTTGTTCAAGTGGGTGAAATCTGACTGCAGCCTGCCCATCGTGTTCGCTTTGGCCATTGTCGCCATTTCCATGTTAGGGCTGGCCATGTCAGCTCAGGAGCCATTGCAGCCTCTACGTGAAATAGACTTGAAAATGCCTTGGGCGCAACGCATGATCGAAGCCTCTGCCGTCAGGGTTGAACCTGCGTCGAACGACTTTGGAAAATGGTTCAAGGTCTTGGCCATCGGTGTTGGGGCCAGAGCCAGACAGTTTGGAAGCAATGTTGCGAGCGATTTCGCGAATCGAGACTGGCACATGCACCAGTCTTTCCCAACGTCGGAACTGCTGCGTACATTCAATTGGTGCCACAACCTCGCGCTCGCCACCGCCGGCGCCTTCTTTGCGGGATATGCCATCCACGCGCTCGGGGTCATGCTTGGGCCTGCGGTGCTCGTAATCGGTGATCTAGGCGACATCTTCCTGAGCTGGTTCGGGGGCAATGAGAGTGAGTGAGTCGGCCTGCAACGCTGACGGCTAGGAGTCAGGAGCGCGGCAATCGTCAAGGCAATTGATGCTGTGAAGGGTTTACTGAATGATGCGGACCGCATCACTGTACTCATGTCCACCGGGGCCATCACTGCCTACTGCCGGAAGTTCTCGCGGATGAGGCGCCGGACAGCCCGACCTGCCTTCCTCAGGGCCAAGAGAAACGTGCCTCTCCTCCTCACCCTCGAACTCATTCTTTACAGCAGCGTGCAAAAAATCCGATGGCCTTTGCCCAACATCGTGGGCTGGACGCTGAGGAAGGTGTGCCTCGTCGCGATCGGCATTGCCATGGTTGCTGAGCTCATGCTCGTGTTCCGCAGCGACGCACCGGATAGATGGAGCCTGGACGTGTTCAGCCTGGTCGAGGGTGAGGTAGCGCTTGACGAGGACGACTTGCTGCTCGACGCCAAGGACGAGGAAGAGCAGCTGTTCAGCATGGACGAGAAGGTCAGTGTCCTGGACGAGAAGCCGCCCATGGGCGGCGATGAGCCGAACGCCACGGCCCCGCTGGTCGATCTCCCTGCAATGCCAGCGCCCGCGGTACTCTCGAAGGTCCATGATGCGCCTGCTGGCAAGCGCCCCTAGTTGCCGTTGATCAATTAGCCAAAGTAGAATGGACTTCCAGATGCACAGTCATAATCAAAGGGCACGCATGCATCAAGCCTGCCGTTTTACTCGTTGCGAATTGAGCTGAGAACACCTGAACAGGCGGATGGGGCGGTGCCAGTATGTTTCAGGTGCGGTCTGGACTCTTCTCCTTCGGTGTCCTATTCCAGAGTCTCCGCCAACTTCTGCAGCTCCTTGCGCACGCCCTTGCGCGGATCCAGCTGATTGCGCACTTGCGCAGGCGTCATGCCCGTCTGAAGTTGTCAGCTGACCCTCACTCGCAGCTGTCTGCTTGCAACCCGTCTCGCAGCATTGCAGTGACTCTGAACCCAGCAAGGATGGCTGGCAGTATAGAGCGGCTCGACTCACAATCTCGGCACACTCAGCGTGGCTGGGAAGCGATGCGAGGCCGCGCTGCACGATGAGCGACGCCAGAGCCGCCTTCGAGCCAGGCGGGAGCTTGCCACTACCACCGGCCTTTGATGGGCTGGCACGCTTGGTAGGCGACTTGGTGACCTTCGGTTTGATGTCCGGCTTGATGTCTGGTTTGACGTTCGGCTTCTTGTTGACAGGTGCCGGGGTAGGCGACGGCTGGAAGTCTGAGCCCGAGTCGGCCGCCGAGTCAGCCGCTGAGTCGCTGCCAGAGTCGCTGCCGTGCTTGCGCTTCATGTTCGCTGCGGATGCGTGCGAGCCTAGGGAGTGGTGAAGGATGATGATGACCGCGGAACGATGTCTGCATGTGAGTGAGAGTGCGTGTGGGCGTTAACGGGGTCAGTTGCTGCTCTTGCTGGTCAGTCGCCCCTCGGTCGCCCGGTTGCGCCCTTGAGGGCGCAGGCGAGTGTCTACACAATACATGCCATCATGGCCCAGAGCTGATATTATAGAGATGACAACGTGAAATAACCTCTGGAAAAGAACGACACTGGCTTCTAGGCTTCCTATACTTCCTGACAGAACCCGACAGACCTTACCATGGGACGTGCGCGCGTGCCCAACTTCGCGTGGTCAAACCACGACATCGCAGCGGAGCGCCCGCTGCCACCCGTGAGCTGCCAACCGTGAGCTGCCTACTTCGCGGCGATCCGCTTATCGGAAGAGGCCCTTGAGCTTCTTCATGGTACTTCCACGCTTGAGGTTCGGAGCGAGGCCACCGCCGAGGTTGGCCTCGTTAAGGGTCTCGTCGCGGCCGTCGTAGCTTGTGTCGACGGGGCCGAGGAGGAGTTTTGCAAGCCACTCCTCGCGCGAGAGGGGCGACTGAGTCTTGCGCATCCACTCCTCGGCCTCGAGTTCGTAGCGCGACGTGCAGTCGACGAGGTCTCCGATGCGGCGGTCCTCGTCCAACTCACCCAGGAAGTCCTGGGCTTGTCTGTCGTTTCCGACCTGGGCGAACTGGTACGAGATAGCGTCCCTACCGTACCTCGTCTTGCGGAGCTCCTTGTCGGCCTTCAAGATGACATCGTAAATCATGTTGCGAGGCTCGCCTTGCGGCTCTCCGTCGGTGATGGTGATGAGAACGAGGGGCTTCTTCAGCTGGCCGCGCTGGGCGTCGCGCACGAACGGGTCCAGGATCTTGGCCCGCATCTGCGTTCCCAAGCGCGTGTTGTACTTGTACTGCACACGGAAGAGAAGGTCGTGCACCTGGTCAGCGTTGCGGATGTTCTTGCCGTTGAAGGGCGCGTTGATGAACTCGATGTCGATACCGTCGTCGTCCAGAAGAGCCGTACAGAATGCAATTTGGCTGAGGATGTTGTGCAGTTGCTGCACACGCTGTCCGCCCTCCATGCGCTCCATGGAAGCGGAGTCATCGACATAGATGACCACGTCAAACAGGGCGAGCTTCACAAGCTTGATGGCCTGGTCTAGCGGCAGGTTCCAGCGCTCGGCGATGTTCTCAACAGCCTGGACGGAGACGATACGCTCCGCAATCGCGCGAAGCTGCTGCTTGCTCGGGTAGAATGATGCGATTCCTTGCTGCTTGTCAGTCCTATCTCCGCCGATTGACTCACGTCTGCAACGCAGTACTCCAGCTGTCGGAAGATGTTTTCGACCGTGGGCCAATTACGGTCCTGTCCCGCCGGCACAGTCGAGGACGTCGACATCATGCGCGCAGCTGGCGGCGGAATCGACGGCGGCGCATAGGTGCCGGAGGCTACCTGCTGGTTGGCCTGTCCATACGTCGGCGGCGGCGGTGCCATGGGCGGCGGCGCATAGGTGCCGGAGGCTACCTGCTGGTTGGCCTGTCCATACGTCGGCGGCGGCGGTGCCATGGGCGGCGGCGCAAAAGAGCCGTCCTTCTTCTTCTCAGTCGCGTACATGGGTAGTTGAATGAATGTGGATGAAGGTGGCAAGGGGGATGTGCGGTGCGTTTGATGTGAGAAGTGGTGGATGGATGCGAGATGCACGAGGCGTGATGATGTTACCGACGAGGTCAGATCCTCAGGTCCCAATGTTTTAAGCTGGGGCCTCGATCAGCTGCGAACATGAGCCGCCGCTTGGCGCCGAGCTACCGAACGCCGGTGGCCGCTGGGCTGCGCCGCTGCTGCCAGGCCATGCGCGCGGTGCGCCCAGCCATCGTCTCAGGCTAAGCAGCACTACCATATCATCGGAAAGCACCGCCCCGTGCCTTGTTCGCCAACAAACGTGACGTGTACAGCAAGGTGATAAGCAGATTGCCGACCCAGCCGATATCACAGCGCGTCTGACGTCAAAGGTCAGTTTCATCGCCACCACTCGTCGATCCTCGAGCTGACCGTCACCAAGGCGGTGCATCGTCGATCATCCATCAGTCACCTTCGGCGACGTCGACCTATGATGGCTAAGCAAAGCGTAATCATATCTGCCAGAACTACTCACCGAGCTCCCCATCCGAGCTCTACTTCTGAGAAAGCTGTGCATCCTTTCATCGACTCCGTTATCTCCGCGGAACACGGCAGTGGGGCACCAAAGCTCTCGCCGCCTTCAACCTCCAAAAACGACATCCCGATCGGGTCTCGCGACACCTCGCACATTAGTCTTCAAACTCATAACCCTCAATCTCCCAGCGCTGGTTCGGATTGTGTCCCCCTTCATCGCAGTACCAAATCTGGACTGCACCGCCATTGAGCCGCCCGTCGCGGAGATCCATACAGGACTCTGGTGCGTCAGAAGGGGAAGACGGCGATACGTACTGCGACCGTCGACGAAAGCGCCGAGCTCGATTTGGTGGTGTCCGTTCTGCTTCCAGTCGTTAGCGCCGTCGTTATAGCATTCGGTGATCGCGAGGTGCCGGCCGTTGTAAGGCGGCGACTCGAGGCGGTCTGGTGTCAGCGCCTGACGTTGCTACTAACGTGCAGGTTCAATGAGCTCAACGAGTGGGATAGGGGACTCACAAACCTCGGCGTTCAAGCACAGATTGTTGGTACCCGCGATCACGTTGCGAAGGAAGTACCCCGCATTGCGCGGGAAAGGCATGAAATACCAGACCTGCCCGAATGCCGGGGGCTTCGCACATCGGCGGACATAGGCGGATGAGCCACCCGAGTGCACCTCATCGATGGTGAGGCAGTAGTCCTTGTTTTCGTTGGGGTGGAGGACGAAGCTTCGAGGGCAGGTATCGGCGAACACCTGGAGTGTTGCGAGGATGACAACTACGAAGTGGAACAGCATCTTGACTGGGTATAGCGGCTGATCTGCCACTATCATCTTTATACTGACTCAGCACTGACACCAGGGTTCAGCTATGCGGTAGTGCAACACTGAACATCGAAACAGATTGCATTCCACGGAGTCTTACGGGCCCGTAGCTGGGATATTTAAGTGTCCGTTATCCTCTGTCACCATTCGACTTTTGCTCGTTCATCGCTCTTCTTCGGCAACCATCAAGATCCAGATCTGCCAAGCCATTCCTTCTTTTCGTTGCTTCCGAAGATCTCTCCAGAGCTCTCCTCCCGAGCAGTTTGCACTCCTTGGATGAGAACCTACCAGTCGTCGACCGTCCAGCGCTGGTTGGGGTTTCCGTCGTAGCAATGCCACATCTGCACCGCGCCGCCATCGATCTGCCCATCCTTCAAGTCCATGCACACCTTGCGTCCCTGGAAGGTCTGGGCGAGGACGATCTGCAGGGCAGTGTTTTGCTCCCATTGCATGGTAGGTTCGGCGAAACATGGGGTGATGAACAGCTGGCGGCCGTTGTAAAGCGGCTGAGGGTCCGTCCCATCTGGGCATGAGCACTGGACAATGTACCCGATCGCGCAGAAATGAGAATTGACTGAATGAAGGTGCTGCCAAGAAGATGACTTACGATACTTCGCCGCTAAGCACCAGTAGCTCATACCAGTGCCGTAGAGGCGCAGCTGACCGTTTGAAGCCCAAGTCCACGACTGCCCAGGCGAGGAATTGCACCGCTGGCTGGACCATCAGCGACAAGTCAATCTCACAGCTCACATGCTGGCCTTGGCGCCATCCGTAATCGTGTCGACATGCAGACAGGCATCGGGATCACCGTTGGGGTGTAGCAGAAAGCGAGCGGGACAAGTGTCCGCTCCCGCAAGCGAGGCGAAAGCCAAAGAGGTAAGCAGAGGAGTGAGCATACGGGTAAGGATAGTGTGTTGTTGGTGATACTGAGGCTGTGATACGAGTATGGAGATCTATTTATGCACGCCTGATAGAGTTTGAGCTTCCTCTGAGCCACTGCGCAAGAGAGCCCGAGGAGCTGTGAGTATTGAGCTGAAATGCTTGAAGAAGATCCCATGCCGCAGGCCAAGGTCTAGAGCGAGAAAGGTGGAGGGAAGATGCAGCGACGTAGTGCGGATCTCGGTAACTTGGTCTCGGTTCGGAGGCTACTCTGCTGCGGATCAAAGTCACCCACGCCTGGCTACGTGATCCCCTGCGAAGGACAGCCACTCCGTGCCGGAGAGCGGCCTAGATTTCTGCATGCTACCAGCGATAATCAACGGAGCACGTGTCTGCGTCCGGACCTGGATCTTGCACCGTTTGTCCCCAACTTCCGTACACCGCCTTTTCGGAGGACCTCGGCCGTATCGGTTCAGCCAGTGTATGACCATGGAGTGTAGAGTCAATGTCCAGCTCATAACATAGTAATGTCCAACTGCCCACTCAGGCGACGGTTGACTACGTAGACGGCCGACACCTAGTGGGTGCCATAGCTCTCCAAGTTCCACATCTGGTTGGTGTTGCCGTCGGTGCAGTACCAAATCTGCAGAGCGCCGCCGTTCACGTTGCCGTCGCGGACATCGAAGCAGACAGCTATCAGGTCAGTTCTGTCTCAGAGTGCCAACTCACGGCGACCATCGACCTGGCCGACCATCTTCATCTGCCCGGTGTACTCGATGTAGTTCCAGCTCTGGGCGCCGTCATTGTAGCCCACAGTTAGTATTGAGCACGAATGTCCCCAAACTTACATCCAGAAAGCGCAAGCTGGCGACCGTTGTACGCACCCTCGACGCGGTCTGCTGTTAGCTCTTCGAATCGAGAAAGCCGTCTCACAGATCTCAGCGGCAAGACATGAGCCCTGCCCTGCGGCGGCATCGGCGGTGCGGATGTGGTGCATGTCTGTTGTGCCAGGGGGAGTTTCGAACTTCCAGAGCTGGCCAGCCGAACCGTCGCAACGGGCACTGATCTGTCAGCTAATGCGGCACCCTCTTGCTCACACGTAGGCCGGGCCAGGATTGTCCGTGGTCTTCGCGACAGTGACGCAATAGTCATCGTGTCCCTCGGGGTGGATGCGGAAAGTCGAGGGGCAGGGTGCCGCCATGGCGACACCAGTAAAGGTGAGAGCGACGAGAGCCTTGATCATGTTAGATGGAAGTTAGAGTGGATTGCGGTGGGGGAAGGCCAGTCGGTCGTTAAGTAGACCCAATTGTTGGGTGTTTGACCGGCGCGTGGTGTATTTTCGGTGCAGGGCGGCGGCGATCGAGCAACGCAGGCGGTTCGCCAGATCCATTCCGCAGAAGCATGCTGCCGGATCCGGCCACTACGTTCAGACAACGGCACGTTGCGGATGTTGCATGCATATTGCATGCTGGGCGGTGTATTCTGAGAGTGACATCTGCTGCGGCGACGATCACATGCCTAATGCACGGCTCCGGTTGCTGTCGACGGGGAGAAGGTTGGTATCAAAGAGATCCGTCCCGCCTGGTGGCCCGAGGTCATCTGCATGAACGACCCATAGCACCAAGAGAAGGTGTGGTATATGCACTCATCGACAATGATGCAGGTTCCCGCGAGACGGACGCCTTTTCCGAACCAGACGTCGCCGGAAACAGTGAATCAATTCCTCTCTCCACGTGCCATTCCCCTTTGCCTACTTGCTTGTCTGCGAAGGTACGTACAATACTGTGAATGTCAGCAGCATCCGACAATCGCTATCTTATCTGCAAGCTATGACGTCACGCGGGGGTCATCAACATGGTCCGACGAGACCATCAAGTATGCGAATGCTGACCCGTCGATACTTTTCAATGGTCCGCTAGGGCTTGCGATCGGGTTCTGAGACGTGAACTGACGCTTTTGACTCTGACGATACGCGCTATGGACCTCGCTGTCCGATCGCAAGGTGAGATGCTCTAACGGTACTCGAGAATAGGGGGTCATCCAGTGCGACTGTCCACCCAGCCTCCGCCTCTCGAGGGGACAGTGAAAGACGGTTAGCATGCCCACAACACTGTCAGAAGAGTTCGGAGAAGCATCATCCTGATCACGACCAGAGAGATAGTCACGTCCAAGGCATAAGGTTGATTTCATAAGCCCATGCACAATGCAGGCTGCTAATGAATCGTAACGATCGCACCAATCGCATTACAATGAGAATGAGTTCACACGCCATAGGTCTCGCAAGGCGCATGGGGACCCGGATCCGAGAATACGGGACTGAACTTTAACCTTAAGCAGATGCAACTTTGACTCTGAGCATGAGGTACCCCTGGCGGTCAGGGACGACATGACCGCTGGTGATCAGAACATCCTCTTGAATATCCGTATCGCGAGCGACGAATGGGACCAACTGGCCAACTTCGCTCAATACATGGTCTGTAGCGTACACGGTCTGTAGTCTCTGAGCATCTTCTGAAATGCATAAACTCCTATGCGACTGGTTGCAAAGCTCTGGAGCATAGATGATCCGGTTGCCTTTCCGTTTGGCCCTCAGATTTCAAGCTTCTTGGTCCTACCTAGCGTCTTATTGGGAAATTCTGACGTTTTCGTAAATCCTAACGGTCCACAGCTGTTCCTCGGCACTCCTAACCTTCCAAATCTCAGGAGTAGGCTGCTCTCCGTATCCAGTCCGGTTCTTGGTCCGAAGCTCAAGACCCTTGTCTGCGTTGTTAGCTTGTCCTGACGGTTCTACCTACCAAGACCATAACGACCGGCCTTGGCCTTGCGGAACTTCATCGCATCATTGCCCCACTCATCGAACCACCACTGCGCCCCGGCAACGTCGTCCTCGGCGGTGGAGCACTCAGTGACGCCTGGCGGGCTGCCACCCTCGGGGAAGACATTCTTATCGTCTGTCTGTCAGCTTTCCAGGCCTGTAACTTGGGTACTCACTGGGAATGTAGTCGGCGAAGCAGCCGCGGCCGCCACCGGGGAAGAACCCATAAAGTCTCTCCTTCATTGGATGCTCCGCTAGGGGGCTCTGGTTGTCGAACTGGAACAATTGTGTCATGATTGGCGAACCATCCTTATGGTACTCGCACGGCTGCCTATCTTGTCAGCAGAGTTGCGGGATGGGGCTCACAGAGACGCATAGGAGAGGTCTGAACCAGAGAGTGGGCGAGTGTCGATGCACTTGCCCGAATCGGACTTGGGTTGAATTGTGAAGAAGGGGCCGTCAGCCAGCACCAAGCTGAGCGTGGCGAGATGAATGAGAGTCTTGAACATGATGACAGGGTCGAATCTTAGATAGATGATGTGCTGATGCGAAGCTAATCAGTTTGTTCTTTTATATCTGTCGGCCCATGCCGTCGTCTCAGAACGAGTGACTCAGAATGTTCCTCGGTGCCGGCACGGCAGCCAGCCTCTTGACATTGACGGTGCCGTTCTCACATGAATGCGGCGGTGCATCCATGGCCTTCGCCGATGCCCATCAGCGGGGCCCAAGAGACACCGCGACCTGAACTCTAACCTTGGAGTTTGGTTGTCAACAAGGCAGCGATTGTGCCAGGGCCTCAGAAAACACCCTTGTGCTCACTGAACTATACGTAAGAAGCTTGAGGCATGATTCGACCGTGCGGCCCCCTTATCTGCATGCCGAATCGTGAGAAAGCGCTCGGGGAAGTTGGCCATGAGCTCGCTGTCCGAATCCCGCTCAATGCGTGATCACTCTCAAAGTGCCTGGTATTGTTCGTGGGTAGAGCCTGCCCATTAGAGCGGGTAGATCTTCCTCAAATGTTTCAATCACACGGCCCAGGGACGCATTCTGTGACGGGCATGCAGGGGCCTTGACGGGCTTGCAAGGGCATCCGGGTATCCGAGGGGAGCCGAAGTCTCGGGCATGCGGGGTTGATGGCGAGAATTGTGCAATTAAAAAACGGGTCCGGGAAACTGGATCACGACCTTCCTCTGCAATTGAATGCACCGCGTTGGGACCCCGACCCAGTGTCCTGGGGTCGTCAAGGTGTCATACAGAAACATGACCTTGGGGCCAGCTGACGAATGCGGCCATCCATGCCGCAAGTGCGACGCTCGAAACCCACTATCGCTAGGAGCGGTTCTACATCGCTTCCTCTGGATCGATCGAAACGACAACGTTACATTACATGCTTTTGGCACTTCTCGGCTCTCGGTGCTCCCATAGCGGTGTATCGGAGTACCGAACGTCATCCGCGCTCATAGATCGGACAGTACGCCGAGTGACATCAGCAGAGTTCAAGGGATGCATATGGTTGGTCTACACAATGTCCGATTACACTACTACCTATACCTACGACGCTCTGGCCAGGCTCAAGCCTTGATGAAGACCCACTTCATGTCGTCGGTGTCGCTGAACGACTTGAGAGCTGCGACGGTGTTGGTCTGGTTGTTGTCCTCGCGCGCAAGGCTGATCATCCTGAGTCCAGGGCGGAGACCGCGGGGGCGATAGATCTGCAGGCCTTGGTTGTCTGTCTTACGCCAGCGGAAGTTGTCGTACTCCTCGCTGTCCTTCGCCGGGCAGGCCGCAACCGAGGGCACGACGCCGGGATAAGGGGTGTCCTCCGCTGTAGCGTCAGCGCAGCTTCGGCATGGAGCAACTCACGAGCCTCGGTCCAGAGACATCCGGGTGCGCCGTTGACCTGGTAGCTCGTGCGAAGGAGCTCTGCAGTGAAGTCGAGCGGGTCAGCATCCGGTGCCTGCGTCTCCCACTGGAACGTTTGGGAAGCGACAGCGCGACCGCGCTCTTTGCGGCATGGCTTGCTAAAATGTCAGCTGAGTATCTCTATGTGACTCACACCAGGGCGTAGCCGACGCTCTCACCGGAAGCGGGCTCGACGTCCAGGCACTTGTCTTGCTGAGCGATGGGACGGATCGTGAACTGGTTCTTATCCTTCTTGGGAGGCGGAGCCGCTGAGACCAGCGCGGCCATGACGAAGGTGAGTACTGAGAGGCAGAGCATGTTGATGAAGATATTCTGGACAAGCAGATACGTGCAAATGCTTGCTATATATACAGCGGCGAGCGATGATACGGCCAGTGGCGCTTTGCCGAGCAACCTTCCTTCCCAGCCCCACGGAAACACTCCCAAAAACCAGGATATCTGTTTTAGGTTCAGCCCATCGCTTGATACTCGGTTTCAGGCTTCAGGCTTCAGGTCCCACGAAGGCCCGAGGTGCGTCAGCAGTCGTCGCACTCAGCTCAGGGCTTCGGCGGGCAGTGGGCTGATGACAGTGTCGAGCTTTCCCAAGCCAGACGTAAGCTCTGACGGGTCATACTCGCTCCTGACGAGGAGAAGTGCGAACATTAGCAAGGAGGAACGAAGCTTCGCTTAATGACCGCGGCGGACATGTGATCTCAGGGCACCAAGGCTGCAAAAGATGGGCACGGCCATGGGAGAATCCTCGATACTCCGAGAGCACGCTCAAAGTCTGGCAAGAGGCCGACAGCACACATACGGGATAACGTTGCACAGCTTTCGTGGCCGGCCCCTTGAGCGACCATCCTCTCAGGTCTCCTATATAACCAGGGCGACTACGCCTAGAGATGGTAAGATCCGAGGCTCCAGTACCGAGAGAAGGCTATGACATGAAACTATTGATGTCTGTAGCATGGTGTGAGCTGCGTAGGTTCCTTCCAGCAATAAACATGTCCAAAACTAAGTGTCCTGCCTTCATGGGACGTGTACTTCGTAATTGACCACATGGGTTTCGGAGAGGGTTAGTGATCTTATCGAATCATCTCAGGGTTGAGACGGATTTTGGCCGAGTTGCCGAGATTGGGTCGGTTGCAGATGACATGGCGCACCATCCCGCTTCTATACAGCGCAACGTTGGCATCAGTAGTTGGGATCACAATAAACTCCTCGGCTCGGGGCCTTGCGGGAACAGATGAGATTGAATTCGACATCCGCTACACCTCGGCTCACCAGTGATCCCGGGAACAAGGGTGACAGCGACAACGACTGCGGCGGCGCCAAACAGTGGTGACAGCGTCGACAGCGAGAGTGGAAGAGGGCGTTTGCGTTTCCAACCACCGATGGCGGCTGCTCGCACAACTCATCATTCTTCCATGTCTATAGATACCGAGCTCGGAGACCCGGCTCGCAATAGGAAGGTCATCACCACCCGAGATGCTTGCATCATAACTGCCTCAGGCGGGCCGCCTGGCGCGCCCGGCCCTTTGCTCGGCGTCGGGCGCGGGCTGGTCCGCCTCGGCGGACAAAGGCTTCCTCTTCCAGACCCACCTCAACAGTCCGAACCGCTTCACGGTCGCGGTTACATAGCGTTGTCTCTAGTGAGCTGGTGATGCTGTCCCGGGCTACTATGTGCGCGCTGTTCGCGCACACATGACTGCGGATGAATCTTCCAGCCTGCCGTCAGGTCCCATCCGCACCCCTCCCAACGCCCTCGCCCTCCTCCACCCACACAAGTTATCGCCCCTCCCCCTCCGCTGCGCCCTCCGTGCACATAAGTACGAGTCCACGTCCTTGTCGTTCACATTCCCGTCTTCACCATCACCTTCCTCACCATTATCCTCATCGCCATTGACAAACACTGGCACTCGATATGAGGATCAAGGAAGGACCGTGGCGCGGCTGGGAGGTGAGCTGTGAAACGGCCGCCTAGCTGATGCCCAGGTATGGCTGGAGTTTGCGGATGGGAGGAGACTCAGTCAGTTCACACCCCATCAGGGTTGCTAATACATCAGTCGAGCATGACCAGAAGTACACCGAGGTCAAGCCGCGGCCGTCGACCCAGGTCGAGTGCAAAGCCGAGCTCATGGTTGAGTGCGAGCATAAGAAGGTACGGCCGCCAACACTGCAGGTAGTAACACAGCAGGACTTCAAGATCATGGTCCAGCCTCCACTCGGCAACCACCGAGACTTCAACTTCTGGCCGACAATAGACGGGATCAGAATCCAAGGCCTGGCAGGGTACGGCGTCAGCTTCTCGCAGCGTTGCGCCATCTCGGACAGGCTCGAGGTCGTGCATGACGGCTCGATTGTGCGTCGGGCATTGCGCTTCAAGAAGCTGGTACGTCGTGTACTGTAGGACGATGAGGAAATGCTAATGGGGTCTAGGAATGGACCGAGGGCGAGAAGCCCGATAAGCGCTCCTCGGCCGACGAGCTGGGTACCATCGAGGTCAAGCTCGGCTTGGGCACGCTGGGGCCCAGCTCGAACCATCATCCGCACGTCTCGAAACCGCCGCGGCCCACCATCGCCGAGAAGGTGAAGAAGGTATGTGTCATCGTTGGGGCATGGCTGATGCGTAAGGTCCGCTTGACGTCGTATGTCGGGTAAGTCTGTAGCTGAGAAGTACACTGACGGGCAAGTGGCAAGGTGCTTGGTCCGTACGAGTACAACCACCTAGTCCGCCTGCACCCCGACCCTCACACCCCCATCTGCTCGGTCAAGTTCACCGTTAGTTGTACTTTCGTGCTTGAACTGACCTGCGCAGTATGCGACCAGCAACGTTGTCTCTGCCCTGCTCAAGGAAGCCAAGGAGAGTACCCGCAACCGCGCGGGATACCGTAATGCGACTTGCTCCCCCTTCGAGGACGACGAGGTCACCCTACTCGAGTTCCGACCCCCGGTGAAGCGCGAGCGATCGAGCAGCACGCTGTCGACTGCCCCTGAGAGTTCGGCTGAGGGGAGTACCGGAGATGAGAAGGGCAAGCGGAGGTCCAAGAAGCAACGCGTGGAGAAGGAGACTACCAGCAATGGGACCAGTACATCCGGTGAAGTGAGCCGGGACAAGGGGAAGGTGGGACCAAGACGCGGCAAGGATGGGCGTTTCGTTCGTTCTCGATGACCCCGACTATGCTCTCGATCCCCTGATCTCGCTGGATCCATTGTTCTCTTTGGATCCACTGTTCTCGCTGGTCTCCTCGGGGATATCCATACGGGAATGAGGCTGCCGCTGCTGCCGTGAGCGGGGGTAAACTAAGGATATGCATCTGTTTAACTGCTGAGAGTGTCTAAATGACAACTGGCTTTCATTTTTGTCAGTAGGGCTACAACGGGATCTTGGTGCTTAGTTGGGGCGGATGGCGAGCTTGAGGGCCTTGCGCGAGTTCATCTTGTCCATGGCCTCCTGCCACTGGTCAAGGGTGTAGACGTCCGTGACCATGCCCTTGACGTTGATCTTGCCTCCGTCGAGCAGGGCAATGGCGCGGGGGAAGCAGTAGGCCTGGGAGAAGGAGCCGATGATGCGGAGCTCGTCGCCGAAGATCTTGGCCGGGTGCCAGGTGACGGTCGCGCTGTCCTCGTACACGCCGTAAACGAGGAGGGTTCCGCCGCGGGCGACGTAGTTGATCGAGTCGTTGACAATCTTCTGCACACCGGTGCACTCGGCGACAACGTCGAAGCCGTACGGGTTGTCCTTCTTCAGCTGCTCCCACTGCGCGCCGGGGTTAGAGCGGTCGAGATCGATGTACTCGTCGGCAGCGTCGAGCTTGCGCGCGAGGTCCATCTTGACACCGGCGTTGGCGGCGATGGTGACCTTGGAGGCACCACCCATCTTCATGAGCTGGGCGAGAATGAGACCGGTCGGGCCGGCACCGATGAGGAGGACGGTAGCACCGAAGGGCATCTTGAGCTTGTCCATGCCGTGGATAGCGCACGAGGCGGGCTCGAGAAGCGTGGCCTCCTCGTCGGAGAGGTTCTTGATCTTGTAGCACTTCTCGAAGGGGTAACGGATGTACTCGGCGAAGCCACCGTCCGAGCGGACACCGGCAGCAGCAAAGTCCTCGCACATCAGGACCTCACCGCGACGGCAGTAGTGGCAGTGGCCACAGGTCGAGCCGACGTCGGCAGCGACCTTGTCGCCAAGCTCAAAGCCGGTAACCTCGTCGCCCATAGCGACGACCTTGCCGACGGCCTCGTGACCGGGAATGAGGGGGAACTTGGGGTTGAAGTCACCCTGGTCGTTAGCTGTGTTCCGTGTTCAGACGGGAGAGCTGAGCAGTTGACGTGGTGGGATCAGGAGGGCGCATGCCGATCGCCAGAAGCAAGTGACTCAGGCCGGTGACATCCGCGGAGCAAGCATTGTAAGGCCTTAGAGTGACCAGTTGCTTGGAATTCTCTGGGTGGTGTCCGCCTGATAGCGATGGTAACAATCTACCGTGCCACCACACTCTGCCCTGCCCATCGTATCGCTCGCACTCACCTCGTGGATGTGTCCGTCAGTTCCACAGAAGCCGCAGATGAGGACTGGGGGTCAGCTCCACATGTACTTCAATCAAGCTGGTTGGCGAGCACACTCACCCTGGAGGAGGATGTCGCGAGGGCCGACCTTGGGGATGGGAACCTGCTTGACCTCGAACTCGCGGGGCTGTTGTTAGCTCACTCTCAAGCTATTGGATAGCTTACCTTCTCGTAGACGAGCGCCTTCATCGTGCCGGTAGGAACAGTACCCTTGACCATTGTCTGCTGTTAGCTCGCTGCAGACAGTACGAGAGCTAGGATAGAGCGACTCAGTTGAGGTAAAGGTGTACTCACGATTGTTTTTGTGTAGATAGGTATAGAGAGCTAGAATCAGGAGAGATGAGAGAAGTCAAAAGATGACACGTTGTGAGGGTTGATAAACTGGGGAGTGCCGAGGGTGGGGTTGGAGGACTGGAGGGTGCAGTGCTGCTGGCGGCAGGCGGTCGGGTGTCCGAGCTCCCCCGGTCCTTCACTCGGGGTGCCAAGGAACGGCCGGCGTGTCAGGTGTCGGTGAGCCGAGCTCGCGTCGGGCGCAGGCGAGCGGAGCTTGACGTTGGTACGTTGGGTGTGTCTCTTGGTGCCTCTGGTGCATTTGGTGGGAACAAGACAAGTGATCCGGGGTGACAGACGCAGCTTGTGACGTAGTGTGCGCCCCCTGGATGCGCTATTTTCTTCCCCTTTGGGCAAATTACCGCCCCAGGTGTGCCCAGCTGCTCAGGGTCACGCCGGAGGAGGATGCCTCACGCCCTCAGGGCAAACCGGGGCTGACACCGCGGGTTTCATCCTTGCCCAGTAGACCGCACGATAGCCCGCATTTATGCCATCCTCACTCTGGCACACGGTGTCGTCGACGCGGACGCGTTCACGCGTTCTGCAGCTCAGCAGTAGCGTCCCACTACACTGGTACGCTGGGCCATGTGCTGCGCCCGCCAGTCCGAAATAGACGGATGAGAGGGCCGAATGGCCATTTGAAGGAGAAGACTAAGGGCAAGAGCCCTTATCTTTGGGGTCTGTCTGTGCGTCATGCTAGCAGCTGCGGCGATGTCATTTCGTGGGGACCCCCGATTTCCCCTCACCGCCCTGCGAGCTAGCGTCGAGGGCCCTCGACCAGCCGCCGAGCCCGCTCAGCCCGCTCAGCCAACCACGGTGCTCCGAGTCCGCACAACTGCCCCCCTCCCGGCCTCGGGCGTCACGGCGTGGCGTCCTGCATGCCTCCCCCACGCCGTGCCATGTCCCGCCCACTTTGGAAGCAGAGTCTGTCGGATGCTCGCCAGCTCGATCGTAAGTTCAAGTGGTCGCTCGGCTAGGAGCCAAGTAACTGATTGAAGGATGGTCGCGCGATCACTCAGAACGAGGAAGACAAGGCGGACAACTAGCAGATACTGGGGACCACGGACAACGTCGCCGAGCACGCCCCAAGCGGGGACCGGTATCTCCGGACCCTTCCGAGCACCCGTCGAGCTGGCCTCGAGAAGTTGCGAGAAGCGTCGAAGAAGCAGCCGCAAAGCCCGCATTGGCCGTCCGAGAAGGTCGATCCCTAACCTTTGCGCCTGCATCGGATAAGCAAGTCCACTGATCCACTGACTACTGGTTGATGCGTCATCTCGACGGCTCCAGGGACCGAGGACTGCTCATGCCCATCGAGGAAGGCACACAAGATAGTCCGAGGAAGACAAACCAGCGGCATAGAGCAACAATTCACGCCGCGCCAAGCCGCTTGCCGTGGTACCGACCTCTGCAACGCCACCGCTTAGTAGGTCTACGCCGCGTCTTCGAAGCCACCCACGCTGGTGCCCACATGTGCACCTCCGTGTGCCTGGGTGCAGTGAGCGTCAGCCTCTTGCGGCAGGTACTATCGGCGGTCGTCCGAGTGTGCGTATCTCGAGTGACCTTGGTCTTCACGACTTTCTCTACGAGTGCGTGATGGAGATCGTCGGACCCCCTCGGACGCTACTATCGATACTATCCGGCACGCTGGCGATCGGCTGAGCACAATAAACGGAGTACCTCCTCGTGGCCTCCATCTCACCCCTCCTCAAATCGCTCACCGACGCACTGACGCACCGACTGCAACCTGAAACAAGGCCGTACCGTCCTGTCACGTTGGCTCGCACGCTTTATCCGGCACCAGCACACCCGTTGCCCAACCGTAACGGTGAGTCTGAGCCGGATAGCTTGCCGCGAAGCGTTTAGTGGAAGAGACCGTGGAAAACGCGTAATCGTGCATACGGCGGCATTATGTACTATACATTATCAACTATGTCGGTGCAGGGTATCATATGAACAACTCCGCATCCTAAGCGGCGGTAACGGACTCTCCATTGACAGCCGCGGGGGCAACAGGCGCAGCGGGGAGTTTGGACGCGACAAACTCCTTGATCTGGGGCATCGAGTCGTTCAGGACATCGACGACCTTGGCCTTGTCGCTCGTGTGGATCTGGCCGCCGAGGCGGCGCCAGAGCCGCTCCTCGTTCATGAGCGGGTGGCTCTTGGGGATGTAGATTCGGTTGCTGGCTCGGAACCAGTTACGCCTCGTCTCGTTGTTCGGGTCAACGCGGACGAGGGAATGCAGTCCGCCCACTTGCACGACTGCCTTGACCTTGCTCTCGACGTCGCGGTGGTTGATCAGCTCCATCACCGCCGCACACCCCGAGCCGTGACCTATGATCACCACATTGTCCGCGTCGCTCAGGTCGACGTAGTTGTCCCACAGATACCGGAGCAGCTTGCCGTCGCGCGGGTCGCCCTTGTTCGCGACCATACGTGGTCCCTCGCGGGGCAGAGTCGTCGGCAGAGCGCGCAGCATGTTCACGTCGATCAGAGTGTAACCCCGCTCCCGCGTCCAGTCGACGACGGCATCGGTCGTGTCGAGGAGGTACGAGTTGGCAAGCTGGATATCCGTCGTGGCGACGCCGTCCGTCTCGACGCGGAGGTTGCCAAAGTCGTGCACGAAGAGCACGAGCGTGGATCCGGGTGCGGCGTCGAAGAGTCCCTGAGAAGCGAGGACTTGGTTCGCGTACGCCTCCTCCAACTCCTCACTGGCCAACGGGATCGGACACAGGCGATACTTCTCGAACAGGTGGTGGGCACGGTAAATTTTGAGGATATCCGGGATCGCGACGACGGATGCCTCGCATCCGGGCTCGGGTGGCTCGCACGCCTTCACGTCCACGCTCTTCCAGAACCGGCTCTGCACCTTTGCGACCTGGCGCACGACCTCGGTCGCCGCCTCGCTCGCCTCGACGTGCGTCAGCTCCGCCGGCGTCTCGCCCAGCAGCACCTGCGCGACGGCGAGCGAGCTGTCACTGATAGCACGCAGGTTGTATCCTCCCTCGAGAGCGACGACGAGCCGACCTCCAGCGAGCGCGCTTAACATGTGCGTCATGTGTCCGTAGCCCGCTGGCGTGACGTGACACTGTCCGAGGTGGTCACCGTCGGCCGCGTCAAAGCCGGACGAGATGATGACGAGATCGGGCTCGAACTCATACGCAATCGGCATCACGATCTTCTGGAACGCGTAGATGTAGTCTCCGTCGCCGAACCCTCCACTCGGCCACGGAATGTTCACGCTTTTGCCCTCACCCGGTCCCTCGCCGACCATATCGAGCGCACCGAAGTCGGACGAAGGGTAAAACTTGCCTCCGTCGTGTCGGTGAAGAGAGATGTAGAGCACGTTCGGGTCATTCCAGAATGCGCGCTGCGTTCCGTTTCCGTGGTGCACGTCCCTGTCGTTAGCTCAATGAAAACCGAACTCGTAGCTCAGAGAGCGAAGATGGCCCTTCTAGCTCGCAGACTCACCAGTCAAGAATCAGCACCTTCTTCGCCAGTCCCTCTTTCTGCATCTCGCGCGCGGCAACCGCGACGTTGTTGAAGAAACAGAAGCCCATGTGCTCGTCCGGCTCGGCGTGGTGTCCTGGTGGGCGCACAATCGCGAACGCATTTCGGACCTGTCCGGTGCACACTGCTCTGCACGCCTGGATGACGCCGCCGCATGACAGGCGCGCGCAGTGTGCCGTCTCTCGGTTCACGTACAACGACAGGTTCTCGTAGTACTGCTTCGTCTCCTGGATGTACTCGTCCGTGAACGCTAAAGTTAGCAAACCCGTAGGGTGACAAGACAGCGTCAGAGCACTGCATCTACTCACTCTCCGTTCCCTGAACCTTCAACCAGTGGTCATCGCCGTGGACAAGACGGACCTGCTCGAGCGTACATTCCCGTGAGGGCAGCGCCTTCATCCGCCGGATGAGACCGTTGTCCTTGAGGCGCGTGAAGATGCGCTTGATACGCATCGGCTCCTCGGGGTGGCCCTCGCCCGTATCGTGAATGTCCTCGGTTGGCACGTATCCGTCTTGGCAATGAAGCATCATGAGCGGGTCGTACACGTATCCCGTGCGGGCGATGCGAGCGCTTCCCCCGTTAGCATCATCGGCTTTGACCGTTGTTGTGTTTTGCACAGTGGCGAGCGCATTCGGGATAGGGCTGCTCGTCCCACTCGGCTCAACAGTGAGCACGGGCGTCTCCTTCTGCTGCGCTCCAGCCTCGATTGGCGGCGCAGTCACCACGGGCTGCAGGGGCGCACTCGGGCCGGCAGCGCCGTCAATATCCATCGCATTCGAGTCCATGACTGTCGGCCGGCGATCGCGCTCCCACTGGGATGTTTTCAGGCTTAAACAGCGCCGCTGAGGTCAGTACTCTTGATGCCGGCTGCTGAGTGAGTTGGGTGGAGACCTGCGTCCCGCGCCGAAGGGAGTGATGTCGGAGTCGATAGGGAGCAGAGGCAACAACAATGCCTGATCGGCGGACATTTGAAGAGCCACAGATGATACATCGACGCACGTGGTATTGACTCCGCTATTAGAAAGTGCCAGGCTGAGGCTAATGGGCATTACTCAGGAGATGATAGGCAAGAGTATTAGGGACAAGATGCATCCGTGGGAATGTTGAGACTGGTTGGGAACCGTGGGAAGGCTGCAGATAAACGTGCCACCGTGGGAGACTACCATTTCTGTCTCACGTGATGTGCTTTCCCCAGTACGGCAAGGATGAGCCGCGCCCTCAGCGCGAATCAAGAGCCGCAGCCGGCTCTTATCATCGGGGATGGAGGCCCAGATTTCCCACGGTGAGACAGAGGATCCGCAGGAACGCCCACCGGGGCCACGTGAGTGGAGGTGGGCACCGTGTCCGCCTTCGGGATGTTGGCAGAGTGTGATTGGAGGAAAAAGCCGGGTGACGTTGCGCCGTGCTCCTATCGCGCAGTGACACTCGCAGTCTCCTGGCGGCAGTGGGCTAATCGGGATATGAAAGAGCGCATCCCGGACATCTGCCATATCTGCCAACACGGCGAAATGAATCGAAATACAGCGCTCGTACGCCTCCACCTCCACCACAGAACGGCCCTCCGTTCGAAATTGGGCCTGGAAACTCGGCCCGGCTCCAAGTCAAATACACTAGAACGGTGGAGGCTCGGTGCGTCGACAAGACAACCTTGCCGCATGACCCGTACGTCCCAGATCAGTAGAGCAGCTGTTGGCGCTGCGAGGGCCGCGAGCCGCCCCTCCTCCGGTTCCCCGGGCGGCCAGTTCGCTGCATCATTTAAGCAGACCCAGAGCCCCGCGGCCCAGGGTCTCGCTCCCAGGAATACCCCTAGTCGCACAACGCCGACTCTACGCCAACCCACCCGCCAACTGTATAATTTCTCCACTGTATCTCTTCCCACAGCCCACATCTCTTCATCCCACAACATCCGCAACATGACTACCGACTTCAAGCAGCAGCCTCACAAGCTCCTGGTCATCCCTGGCCCGATCGAGTTCTCAGATGGCGGTGCGTTTCGAGAAGAAGAAAAGCTGTCGGAGACGTCGTCGGATGAAAGGAGAGCTCCGAGAAGAGGTGGATCGGTGTAGAAGTGGTGTGTGGCACCCCAGCCGTCCTCCTTCAGCTTCCTAGCGGCGAGCAAGGCACTAGCGCCTCCCCGCTGCTGTAATTTGGCGCTGCTCGCTATCTTGCGGGTCTTGCAGGTCTTGCAGCGCCGTATTACAGCTATCGGAGTTGTGAGCTCTCCGGAAGACCGGCTACCGGACAAGCTCGTGACGTGGTCCCGACGAGATCACCAGCTAACCCATCCAGTCCTCGGCGCCAATGCCGCCCCCGGCATGTCCCACGTCTCGCCGGCGTTCATCCCCGTCTTCGGTGACTGCATCCGCATGCTGAGGAAGGTCCTCTACGCCCCCAAGGGCCAGCCCATGCTCATCGCCGGTTCCGGAACCCTCGGCTGGGACGCTGCCGCCGTTAACCTTGTTGAGCCCGGAGAGAACGTCGTAAGTACTGAGTTTCCCATCGCTGCCTCTGCCTCGTGATACCTTGCAACCAGTCACCCCGATCGTTTCAGCTCCGTCTTGACTCAATGTGGCACGGACTGCGGGGTGTCGGGGAGTGGGGCAGCTGGCATTTTGCGTTAGGCGCACCTGGATACGGCGGACGCTGACCACGCAGCTCGTCCTCAACCACGGCTACTTCGCTGACTCGTTCGCCGACTGCCTGAGGGCTTACGGCGCCAACGTTGACGAGCTCAAGGCCAAGGTCGGTGGCATCGTCGACCCCAAGGACCTCGAGCAGGCCCTTCAGAAGAAGAAGTACAAGCTTGTCACCATCACCCAGGTCGACACCTCGACCGGTGTCCTCGCCCCCGTCAAGCAGTACTCTGAGATCATCCACAAGACCTCGCCCAACTCGCTCATCGCCGTCGACGCCGTCTGCGCCGTCGCCTCTGAGGAGATCCGCTTCGACGACTGGGGCCTTGACGTCGTCATCTCGGCCACTCAGAAGGGTCTCGGTGTCCCCCCTGGTCTCTCCGTCTGCATGCTCTCTGAGCGTGCCATCAAGACCATGGAGGCTCGCGACAGCATTCCTTCCTACTACATCTCGTGGAAGCGCTGGCTCCCCATCATGAAGGCTTACGAGGAGGGCCGCCCGATGTACTTCGCTACTCGTGAGTTGTCTTGACCGTTCGGTGTAACTGACATCCAGCCCCCGTTCAGCTCATCTACTCGCTCCGCCAGGGTCTCAAGGAGATCCTCGAGGGTGACCTCTCCTTCGAGGACCGCCTTGCGCGCAACCGCGAGGTCTCGAACCGCGTCAAGGACGAGCTCGAGAAGCTCGGCTGCGGCTTCGTTCCCCTCTCGCGCGACATCGCTGCCAACGGCATGTCCGCCGTCCGCTACCCCCAGGGTGTCACTGCCGCCGATGTCATCCCCAAGCTCGCTGAGCGTGACATCGTCGTTGCTGGTGGTCTCCACAAGGACATCGCCTCGGAGTACTTCCGTGTCGGCCACATGGGTGTCACCTCTGCTGACCCCTCGCGCGGTGACGTTGACAAGATCATCAACGGCGTCAAGGCTGTCCTTGACGAGGCCAAGAAGAACAAGGCCTAGGGGCGTCTCTCGACTGCACCCGTCATGGCTAAGCTTTGATTTCTGATCCAGTCAACTTTTCAACAAAGTGGGAAACATTCTTTCTCAACAAAGTGGAAATTACAATCTTAAGGCCGCCTGAAGAACCTCCTCTCCTCTCCGCCCTCCTAATAACATTATTCATCCCCTTGTTCGATCCGTTTCTCCTCTAAAAGAAAGAAGGAAGTGCCAGTTTAGATTCGTTGATTTGTGAAGATTTTGTAACGCGATGCATGAAAAGTGTATGGTCGAGCTTATCCCGGGGTATATGCATGAGCAGCGGACTTGGACAGGAGATCGGACTAGCAGTCGGACATGACGACTGGCCATATACTGCCAACATGAGCGTGTCTTGGGTGGAGGTGAATTTGGTTCCGGTTGCGCGGTGAGGCAGGCGGCTGCTCGCGGCTCGTTGTTGATTCACGCGTCGCTTGTGTTCATTGACTCCAGACTTTGCATCCATCCACACCGTCGACCCGAAGTTCCGCGACACAAGAGATGGCCCACCCGCCAGTCATTGCGCATGTCGACAGCGACATCATCCGTGCCTCTAGGGGCGTCACGGACCTGTACTCGCTGCCTACACTCGTGAGCTGCGTTCTGCTGAACTACCACTAACAATCAGACTATCAAAGCCTGTTACGGTGTGCCGCGAACCGGAGGGTCGAGCAACCACGCCGCATCGGGATCAACAGACGCTAATGGCGATGTTTCCATGAACGGGGCGAACGGCAGCGAGCCGACGACATCAAACCGGTCAGAGTGGCTGATTGGAGACCGGTTGGAGAGCGCGCTGAGGGAGGACGGAGGCAGAGAGCGGATCGAGGTGCGATGGCCGTTCGCCAATACGCGAGGAGAAGAGGACTGGGAGGGAAGGGAATTCGTCCTGTGAGTGGAAATCCTCCATGTGGAACTGACGGCCAGGCTGTACATGTACTCGTTGATGGACCTGCGACCAACGAACAACACCTCTCCGCTACTGCTCGTTCCGCCAGCCGCGCCCGTCGACTTCCCCCTCTCGGTGCAGGAGCACTACTGCCAGATGGCTTTCGAGAACCTCAACGTCCCGCAGCTCGCTGTGCTCCCGTCACCGCTCGCGTCTCTGTTCGCCATGAACGCGGTCTCGGGAGCTGTGCTGCACATCGGGCGTGAGGCGTCGGAGGTGAACATTGTCTACGACTCGATCGTGCGATGGGAGGCGACAGCAACGGTGGATGTCGGTGAGGTGGACTGCGAGCGGCATCTGGAGAAGCTTCTGCTCGCGGACGAGAAGCTGGACAAGGAGCTGAAGTCTGTTGCTGGCGTCGAGAGCTTCGCCCCGGGCCAGAAGGAGCAGTACGTCAAGGAGATCCGGGAGTTCATCTTCGCCGAGTGTGTCGGCGACGACATCGAGGTGCCGATCGCCAAGACTGCCGTCAAGGCCGCAGTCGTGACGTCGAACAAGAAGCCAGAGGAGGAGGATGACGCCTTTGATGTCGCGAAGAAGCTCACGGCCGATGCCGTGCCGCAGGCGATCCCGAACCCATCGCACAAGTCGAAGAAGGCGCTGGCTGCTGCTGCCGCTGCCGCTTCGAAGGCCGAGGCGGACGCCGCGGCTGCTGCCGAGGCCGCGGACGTTATCGTCGTCACGATCCCGTCCCTGCCTGAGAAGGAGATCACGGTTGGCAGCGTGCGCCACCGCCTCGCCGAGCCGCTCCTCTTCGGCACCAAGAAGGGCGGCGACACGGTGTGGGAGGCGATCGGCCGCGCGATCGAGCACGAGGGCCTCAATACCTGGGAGCGCCTCACGATCTGGGACTCTATCGGCGTCATCGGCAACATGGCCCGGTTCAAGTGTAAGTTTACAAGGCAGATCCGTAACTGACAAGCAGCGCTGCCTCCCGCGATCGTGTCGTATCTCTCGCCGTACCTCCTGACGAGCACGGATCTGCCGTACGACTCGCAGCCCGCCCGCCTCCGCCTCCTCAACATTCCCGACTACATGGCCAACTTCAAGGGTCAGACTAGCGACCTTGCGCCCTTCCTTGGCGCCAGCATGGTTGCCAAGCCCATCTTCAACGAGACGCAGGGCAAGCACTCAATCTCGAAGGCCGACTACAACGCCCACGGTCCCTCGGCCATCTATGGCGTGTGGCAGGACTAGCTAGCGATGACTTATGTATGACTAGAATGTGTCCGTGTAATCTTGCGCCTGCTGCATAGTAGGAGATGTGCCCTGCAGGTCAGCAGAGGTCCTCGGTGCAGCTCAGGGTGGTCTGACGAGTGCTAATCGCAGAATTCGACGGGGCTTTGGATAGCCTCCGTCGACGGCTCCAGGTAGAGCTACACAGTTGCATGGATCGTTGGTTTCTACAGGTCCTGATGCTTACATACATGGAAAGATGCGAAGGACTTCTAATGCCAGTGCCGATGTTTGATGCACAGATGATGAGTTGAATGATGTTACGGTTCCTTCTTGATGCTGAGCTCCTCCTTGACGTCGGGCTCCTTTTTGATAAACATCTCATTGGTGGCGCTCGGCTCCTTCTTAATGCTGAACTGCTTCTTGCTGTTGAGGATATTGTTGAGGCCGAGTTCTCCCTGAAGGCTGGGCTCCTTCTTGACGAAATGTTCCTCCCCAATGCCAGAGTCGCTGGCCATCGCACTGACGGGTCCGACATTGAGGGCGACTCCCGAGTTTGTCTTAAACTTCTTCTTCCGGTCTACCAGTGGAGTGAGTGGCCCAGGGTCTGGGCAGAGCCGAACGTTGTACTCCGCCACCGACAGTTGTGCTTTGACGGCTTCCTGTGTAGCATACTGTGGTCAGTTTGCAGTACAGTACGTGACGCCGCAAACTCACCAAGAAGCGCACACGGCATTTGGGAACGCTTGTATCGACCTTGAGATGGTAGACCCTACTCGGCTCGGCCTCTTCGATGATGTCTCCGCTGCCAGTTAGAAATGATGATTATCAGATCATCGACTCACCCAACATAGGACGTAAGCCCCACCTACATGTTAGTTCTCGTCGTTCAACACCCTTGCTACTCACATCCTCTCCTGTCCCGTGTATGGCAGATTGTGGCGCAATGGACACGCGGGGGAGGCTCATGCCACCCATGGTAGCTTTGCCTTTGGAGAGTACGACTTCGATAGCCCCCATGCCCACGCCGGGGCGATAACTCGGGTCACCAGTGTGCTCCTTCAGTGGGTCAGCTCTAATCAAAGCACTCACAAGCTCACAAGCTGTGCGAACCTCAACGTTTTCTTGACGACTCTCTCACCACTAGCCTCATAGGCGTAACTGATGCAAGTGGGTCGTGTAACACGGCCGCCCTTCGACGCTGTGATGCACCCCCGGATGCGGCGCCCGTCCACAAACGGCGTCACGTTATATTCGCTCATGTTGAAACGGGGAGGCTGTACACAGATCTGGAAGTCCTAAGTTCAGCTTTCATGCGCGGCGGAGAAGCCTCACCTTGCCGTGCTCGCAAGCAATCAATACGTCGACTCGGCTCTCGCGAGGAGTGAACCTGCCGCTGGTTGCAGGGGGAGGCATGTACTTGATCTTGTACTCGCCTTTCGTCAGTAGGGCGCCGCGAAGGGAAGGTCACGAAGGAGAGGCATCCTGTCGTCGCCAAGGTACTCCAGCCACACCTGCTGGTTAGCGCAGCGGGTCGGCTTGGCTGACCTTCCACCCCTTCCATTCCCCTTCGTCGACCTTCATGGTGGACAGATCAACAGGACAGTGAAGTAGGGATGAGTGATAAGGAGAAGCAAACAATCAAAACGAGGAAGGTCAGTCGCCTGTGTGGGCGGGGCGCAAGTGGAGGAAGTTTAGTAGAAGGGCATGGCCGGTCCCGGATGCAAGGGGCATGGGGCAGGTTGGCGCGCGCTAGGTGATCGGCGTACATGGCGCACCTAACACGGACGGAGCGCGCGAGACAGCAATCCCATCTACTCAATCTACGCCTCGCCGATGTCGTTGAATCTATGAGCGTCACACTCAGAAGAAGGCTCAGTGCGTTTTCGAGGACCAGCCGGAGAAATGTTTGTGACTGCTCCCAGTGGTGACAAATAGGCACGGCTTGCTGACAATCAGCTCCCGACAGCCTCGGACCTCGGCCTCCAAGTCTCGATCGGCCTTTCCGTAATACCTGCTCCTCATCATCGCATAAGAGATCAAGCATGTCATCACCTCTGCCCTTGCAAGCAAACAATCCACAACAACCACAATGGCACTCAGACCAACGCGATTACTGCGCAACAAACTCGGCACCGTGGCCCCCCTTGAAGCGAAGTGGAAGGGCGTCGGTCCGTTCCTCTACGTGAACCATCATGTCGACCACTACCCCGCAGGCACCGAGACGCTTGGTCCTGACCCCAAACTCCTCAAGGGACACAATCCGGGCTGGGACTTTGAGAATGACTTCGGATGGCGTACATACATGGCGACTGGGCCTGTTCCGGGATTCCCTGCGTTAGTTGTGCACGTCGAATGGAGGCTGACGTCAGGCACCCGCATCGCGGCTTCGAAACCGTGTCGCTCATGCGCAAAGGCTTCATGGACCACGGCGACAGCACTGGTGCCGGTGCACGGTATGGGAACGGCGACGTCCAGTGGGTTACCGCTGGCTCTGGTGTGCGACACTCCGAGATGATTCCGCTGCTGGACGACAAGAACCCGAACGAGTGGGAGATGTGAGTGTGCTCCGCAAACCCAAGGCTGACAGCAGGTATCAGCTCTGGCTGAATCTGCCGAAGAAGAACAAGTTCGCCCCGCCCGAGTTCCGGATGCTGTGGGCGGAGGAGATTCCCAAGATCGAGAAGGATAACGGCCGCGTGAGGATTTCGGTCATGGCCGGCGAGTACGAGGGCCACGTCCCGCCGAGTGCACCGAAGAACTCGTGGGCGAACGAGCCTGGAAGCGACCTCGCTATCTGGCTGTTCGACCTGAAGGCGGGCGGAAAGGTGACGATCCCTCCTCCGAAGGGTGCAGACACTTTGCGTACCCTGTACGTCCACGGCAAGGGTGCGCGCGTGCGCCTAGGTGACCAGGAGGTGAAGGAGAACGAGGCCTTCGAGGCGTCGCCGGGAAACAGCGCCGAACACGCGATTCCCGTGACGGCAGAGACGGACTCGACGATCCTGCTGTTGCAGGCGCGCGATATCGGAGAGCCTGTCGTTGTCAAGGGACCTTTCGTCATGAACACGGAGGACGAAATTAAGCAGGCGTACGCCGACTACAAGAAGAGCCACTTCGGGTGGGAGGAGAGGTGGGACACGTCCGCGCCTGTGTATCCCAAGGACGCGGGACGCTTTGCCTACTTTGGCGACAAGAAGGTGTACCCTCCCGGAAAGACTCCGCAGCAGTAGGTTGATAGTACATAGTGAATGTAGATTTGATGGAAGCAAATCAGTCTGTCGTGGTCGTCGCCGAGGCTATACGTCTCTCATTCGAGCCCAGAACAGTTCCTTTCTTTCCTAACTTCTGTGTCCGTGCTTTGCCGCTGGCGACACGCGCGCAGATTTGTGCAGTTTAAGCAGATATGTAACGGTCTCTGCAACGTCCTCACGCTTTTGTAAGGTCAGATGGTCGGGCCGATTTGCTAGGGACCAGTGAGTTGACCAGGCTCGCGCCATTGCTACCGCATCCCTGGTAAAGGGGCGGTATGCGCTGCTGATCTTATCATTGACATAGTGGGTACCGGGGTTCCATCATATACGTACTGTCTCAACCTGGACAACCCGGCTACCCGGCCCTCATCGTCTATCCCCAGGCTCAATCCGGACAGCCCGGCCACCCGCAAAGTAACTTTCAGTTCGTTCTCGTGCCGAAGGACCAGGCCTACGTTGTTCCGCTTAACCGGTCCCAGATTCCCTTTGTAGCCAGAGGAAAGCGACAGGAAGCGACCTGAAGCAGAACTCACTCAATGGACCGAGGACGCAGAATCTCCAAGAGATCCTGGTAACCTGGCGGAAAGGAAACCGCACGTAATACGATATGCGGCTCCTCGCGAGTTCTGGGAGCATTGCTCATTGATGCCACCGAGAAAATGATCTGAAGGAGGCACCGCCATTCGCCACTACATCGAGGTAGTGTACCCGATATCGCAACCGAACAGAATCCCACAGGTCTGGGCCATCTGGAAGATCGTTTTGGTTTACGGCGATTGCCCATTTCGCATCGTGTCAAGTACCAGTTTGAAGCCAGGGGTATCGGTGAATGCAAGTCGAGCGCGGGCTTGGATGTCAATGCCTTCTGTCTTCTGTGAGTAGAGTCCACAGAAGCCGCGTTGAGCAGAGCAAGCCCTAAGTCCAGGCGGAGTGCAGACCCCGCGCAAACACATTCAGAACGCCGACTCCGAATCTCTCGCACGTGCCAAGCCGGCGGCAGCGCGGCGACTGGAACGTGGCCCCGGGCTGAGTGCTAGACTGGTCAACATGTGTCGGTCGGTTGAGTGGGTTAAATCTGCGGCTTGAAGTGCAGAGCGCCGATGGACGCCACAGCTCGATGCGCCAAGACATTGTGTCACGGGCGGCCGTGCTATCGGACTTCGGGGCCGCACTACCTGCGGCTTTGCTACTGGAGAGTTATTCTGAGCATTGTAGGAGCGCGCAGTTGAGGAGGGAGCCGAGACCTCGGCGCAGATCGCAGATCTCTGGAGGTTATGAGGATGCGTAGCCTGCTGAAGCCGTGGAATGTTGATCAAGGAGGCCGCTGACGTTGCGACAGGTGCAACTTTGGTCCACTCGTGGGTCGGGGTTGGGCGATCAGCATCATTAAGCTGGCCCTGGCTGTTCTAACTCCGGGAGCTGACTGCGGTTGCGTCCTGGTTGCGATCCTGTTGGTAAATGCAGCCACCGCCGCTGTTCCTTCGCCGCCGCCGACGAACCCTGCAAGCCACAGTCCATCAACACCCTTGCGCCACTCGCGACCCTTCATCGCACTCAACTCGTTCAACTTGATGCTTCCGCAACGTCAGTGGCTCGCAGTGAGCTTGAAGCTGAGAAAGATTATGCTTGTGTCATGCATACTATGGCGCATGCCGCAGCCATCCTGCCAGGCACAAGAGTGCGTTCCAGCCGAGGGCGACTCGCGTACTCAGTGTGGGTCTAAGCGAGCGCCGCCACATCTATCACAGGTGATAGCGTTCGGCTGGGGCGGGACGTAGCTGGGAGCTTGCAGTGAGCTGCGTCATGCGTCATCCGGCGCCGTCCGTGCATTCTCACATGATCTGTTGTGGAGGCGTGAAACGCCGGTGGGAGGTGGGAGGCAGCTGGAACACGGAACAGTCACGCTGGGACCTGTCTTCGTGGCTGAGTGAGGCGAAACAGAGTGTAGCTCAAGCACGATGCGGGTCTGAGAAGTTTCGCTGGCGAGCTAGCCAGTGGACGAAAGAGCGATGTCAAGAAGGCCCTCTTAGTTGCGGCGAGAACCTAATAGACCGCCAGCGCTTGCACCAAGCTCAGCAAGCTCAGTGGGCAGCCAACAGGCTGGCGAGGACACCCCGTGGGCTCTGACCAGCTCGTGATCCGGTCGTGATGTGAGCAAACTCTGCGACCAACATGCTTTCCCCAAGCATCTGAATAGCTCCGAGGCTGGGTCGGCTCTACGTGCAGTAGTGCACTCGCATTGTGAACCGGGTACAGCATGTGAACTTGGATGGCCGTTGCTAAGGTGGTGATACCGGGAGCCTAAGCCAGGGGATGATCATTGGCAGCGTGCGCCTGAAGGTGAGACGAGCTTGACACACACACACTCGCACATGGTGCGCCGAGTTCGGCACGGCCCCTGTCGTACCGGGCGCGTACAGCGCACACTCAAGCAGCAAACAAGCATGCAACGCCCTCGTAGCTCTGCCGCTGCGAGTTGTTAACCGTAATGCTTGAGTGTATGTAATGCCTCAGTGCAACCAGGTCCGAAGCGCAGCGCAACAACTGTGAGAGGATGGCACCTGCTGCGCAACACGGAGGAATAGGGGGTATTGAGGGATAAGCATAACGGTGCTTAACTTCATCTGCTGGCGACAACGAGAGTGTTGAACTGGATGTGGTTGAAAACGTTGCAGCGATGCCCATAACACCTGGTGCACACATCCCATGGTGCCGCTCCCCTCCATCAAGACGGACGAAACAGATGGCCAGATGCTGCCGCTCACATCAGATTCGGAGGGAAGAGCAAAGGGAAGACAGGGGCAGCGCGCAACCCGCCGATTAGAGTTCGTCGGCTCAAGCAGTCTGCCGTGTCACCAGTCTTGTCCTCCAGGCGGTCACCAGCTGCTGGCCAGCAGGCAGCGCGGAAACGGGCTGTGACCGCCGCCTCCGATGTTGTCTGGAACAGTTCTATGAGGGCCGCTCGCGTGAGGATTGTTTCCCGCTGTGGTAGCAGGGTCGCTGGCAACTGGGTCGAGTGTGTCCAGAGCCTATTTGCCGCAGGATCACATTCGAGCTGCTCAGCAACTCCATGTCGCACCATTCGTTCACAGTGCTCTACGACGCGCAACTCGGGCCACTAGCTTGCTATGGGTGCAGCTGCTCTCCTCAATGACCGATGCTTACCACTGATAGACGCTTTTGGCTCGTGAACATCACCGCAGTCGCCGCAGCCAACCTGCTGTTAGCTGCATCACGCTGCTGTTGCTGACGCACGCAACTGTGACATGCTTGTACCACCGTAGCTCTCCGACGCACTCCATTTGGACACTCTAAAGCGTACCTAAGTGGTCTGCTTCAGTTAACCCGCTCCCGGCACACGGGCAAGTGCGCCGGGAGGCCGTCGCGTGCAGCGAATTCAGGAGAACAGCTGCCTTGGGCGAATCTGCGGGTGCAGGTTAGTAAACAGGCTGTAGTCGTAGATGAATCCGCGTTGTTCCCGGGCATGTGCATGGCCTTCTGGACTGGAAGAAGGAAGGGCGCAGGGGCCCAGTGGCGAGCAGGTAGCTTAAGATAGACTGCGGAACGGACGTCGAGAACCTAAGTGAAAGCGTAATGCTCCATGCAGCATGCCAACAACCTACACGCTCAAACGTCCTCTGGGCGTGTAACCTACGCTCTCTGGCAGTCTTACGGTGGGCAAGGGGTAAGCTGGGTGCGACTGGCGGGGCGGCCCTGAGGTCCAGCGGTAAAGACAACCGTGCCGAAACAGATGGTCGAATCCCACCGTAGAGCCTGTGGCGTCCAGACGTAACGTGAGCCATCTGATCATGGGCGGGCAGAGGCGGGCAGAGCCTGGTAGAACTCGGAACGCTCGGTAAGCTGACACACGGCCTCAGTCTGGGTGGCCCAGAGTTGAAGTGTCGGGAATGCATGTTGTGCCGTGCATGTCTCGAGTTTCGTAGAGCTTGACTCTCCCCGCGCTCTCGAGAGTTTGAGTTGCAACACGGGAGAGAGCAAGAGGAGAAAGATGCCTTGACACTTGTGTGAGTATAGCAGACAGCGGGAACCACACTGTCTACGAGGCCAGAGTCAGAACATGCAACGATTGTTGTGCGACGACCATTGCATATATAAGAGGTTCTCTACATAGCCTCAAGAAGCTCTCTATCGAAGCCAACGCCTTTCGACGCCTTCTCCGACGAACCAAAAGGTCATTCACACTCTTTTTACACGCCTCGAACAGTCACGTCTGCCTCGTATAACCTCGACACTCGTTTCAACTCACGTTTGATCAACACCAACGATGAAGTTCCTCGCTGGTGCCTCCCTCCTCGTCGCGGCGGCCAACGCCATGCCCACCTCGCTCGGCGAGCGCGGCAGCGACCAGGTCTGTAACGCCGCTCGTTCCGTCTCGATCGTTGTCGACTCGTCGGCCTCGAACAAGGGCACTGACCCCAACAACCTCCGTCTCGTTGCCTCGACCGACGTCATCAATGGCCTGAACTTCCAGCAGGACCGCGTCTCGGTCGTCTCGTTCAACGACCAGAGCACCCTCCGCTACGCCCTCGGCAACGACAAGAACGCCGCTCTCCAGGCCATCCAGCAGATCGACGCCAAGGGCAACACCAAGATCTCTGAGGGTCTTGCCCAGGGTCTCGAGCAGATCATCAACCTCGGCCAGGACGCCCGTGACCACGCCGGTGTCGTCGTCTTCACCGACGGCCTCGACTACACCAAGCCTCAGCAGCTCAAGCTCCTCCAGAAGGCCAAGGAGGCTGGTATCCGTGTCTCGTGGGGCCACCTTTCGGCCGACGAGGTCCACCCCAAGAACGGCAAGCGCGACGTGATCGGCCCCGACGGCCAGCTCGAGGAGCGCACCTTCGGCATGCTCAAGAATGTCATGTCCTCTGTCATCTCGATGTTCTGCGGCATCGGCGGTGGTGGCTCCACCGGCGGCTCGACCGGTGGTTCGACTCACACCGGCTCCGGCACCGTCAACCAGGGCGGCGGCTCCAACATTGTTGTCCGCCCCTCGTCGCCTCTCGACCAGGAGATCTCGGCCGCCTGTCTCTCCACCGGTGGAACCGTCTCCATCATCGGTAACGCCAACGCTCAGCAGTCGTTCATCCAGCAGGTCATCAAGAACGGTGTCACCAACAACGACGGCCGCTGCTCCGGTCTCGACATTGAGGAGTCTGGTGGTCTCCTCAAGAACAACGTCACCTCGCTCGGCCTCTGCTCCAACAACGCCCACGCCGAGTTCACCTACACCCCCGAGAAGACCAAGGAGAAGCTTGCCTTCACCGTTTCGCTCGTCTCCACTGCCAACAAGGTCTCCCTCAAGGCCGTCTTCGAGAACACCGCCAACGGTGCCCGCAACGAGATCCTCGTCAACTCGCAGAACCCCTCTCTCATGCTTACCGGCGAGGCCAACGTTGGTGAGAAGGTCAAGGTCTCGATCCAGCCCAACGGTGCCTCCGCCGACACTTGCCAGTACTCTGTCGGTCTGATTGCCGTCGCCGATGAGCTCGTCCAGTCTGCTTCCTCTTCGCTTGTTATCGAGGGCACCCTCATTGAGCAGGGCACCATCGTCGGCGAGCACACCGGCAACGTCGAGGAGCACGTCTCGCAGACCGTTTCGCAGGGCCAGGAGACCGGCTCGTACTCTGAGACCATCTCATCCGCCACCGCTTCGCAGACCGCCACCTCCGAGACTGTTTCCAAGACTGCCTCGTCGTACACTGAGGGCTCCTCCACCGTCTCCTCTGTCACTGGCACCTTCCCTACCGACATCATCTCGACCTCGCACACCGCCTCGTCCGAGACCGTCTCGAGCTTCACCTCGAGCGCCACCTCCGAGACCATCTCTTCGCAGACCATCTCGTCTGCCACTCAGTCGCTCGAGTGCCCCACCCCCTCGGCTCAGACCGTGACCCAGACCGAGACCAAGACCGTCTCCGTCACCGGCTCTGCCCAGCCCACCGAGGCCATCTGCCTCTGCAAGTGCGATGTCAAGGGTGCCAAGCCCTTCCCCAAGGTCAACGAGCTCTAAGCCCGTGCTCGCCATTAGGGGCCTGTTGCGCGCTTCACTCAGCCACCACCAAGGCTGGTTGAAACCGCTGCAGTCTCAAACACTTCCGAGTCGAGAGTCCGATCGCACTAAGCAATCGGACTCTATCCAACCCGGAAATCGTAGATAGGGTGTGAGAGAACTAGACGTTCCCCGCCACCAAACCTCCCCGAACCAGAACAATAAGAATAATCAAACGTACACTTTATCAATAACACGGATTCACGCCACGAAACATTCTTCATGGACTGAGGCATGCATTGGGGTCGATTTCCGCAAGCGTAAGCGTCGAGGGCGACCGAGTGAGTGGGGAGAGGCAACTCAGAGACGAGATCGAGATCTCAGATGCAACTTGAGGAGATCGGGATCTCGAGCTGCGACTGTAAGAGGTAGAGGTGGATCGAGGGTTGAATACCACCAGCTTGAAGAAGAAGCAAGTGGTGGGGAATGTCAGGCCGATGTCGAGATCGCAAAGAGGCAAACGGACGAATGAGGCAACAGGCGGTGTCAGGTAATCGTAAATGAGGCGGCGGGTGGGTGAATGCACTTGGCATATTCATGTCTTCTTTCTGGTCCTCGAATGTCTCGGTGTGGTATGCAGCCGTGGGAATGGGCCCGATACGCGCGAGCTCTTCTGTATCAGGTACCAGGCAGCGATACACGCCTTCCTTGCTGGTGATTCGTGTCCGTGCGGCATGTCCAGGATCGGGGTAGGCTGGCTCGACGCGTTCCAAGCGACGAGCCGACGCGTCGCTGCCTCGTGCACCGCTATCTCTTGTCACTCCTGTATCTCCTTTCTCCTGCCGAGACCCAGAATTCCGGACCGGGCGTGCGGGCGTGCGCGCCTGCCCACCACCACATGCTACAGTCCAGCTAGTCCAGGCCCGCCATTTGTCTCCATTGTCTCACCGCACGTCCCCCGCGCCTCGAAGATGGACAATTGCCATCCCCACATTGCGGGTAGCGGGTCGTGCCTTCTTCTGTGGCGACAGGTCGACCACCTCCGCCTTCATTTCTCGGAGGCAACCCATTTCTGCAACCGGCAGCCTCGGCACGCATGCCCCACAGTCCTCCGCGTGCTCCGCGCACTCCGCATGCGCCGCCGCAGTCCGTGGCCCAGCGCCGTCCCACAGTGGGCCACGCTGGGGCAGCTGGGGAAGCGTGCGAAGTGATGCACGCAGGCACTGGGCGCACTGGGCCGCATGGCAGCCCCGCAGAGGTCTGACAGACCTGACAGGTTTTCGTAAAGCGCGGGGTGACGGATCAGGTGGGGGCGGGGGTGTAGATCGAAAAGCGAGCGGAAGCGAGCGCCCGCTCGCCCCGCCCAACCTTACTGTGCGATCAGCCAGCACGCCAGCGCTTTCAGCTTAGGCTGGTTTAACCCTGCTGGCCCTGCTGGTACCTTGCTCGTGTCCTCATGCTTTCACCGGGTTTGCCGTGGCTCATGATAGGGAATGCAGCGGCTGGAGATAGTGTTCTTGATGGTGATACGCCACCGGCTGGTGGTCGTGCGACTCGAATGCTTGCCGATGCGCGGCCACGATCGCACGAGTGGCATCTGACGGTCGACTTGAGTCAGATGGGGACATTTGGCTGCGGCAGAAGCCGTTCAAGCCAGGACAAGGAGGACTTCTGCTCCTGAAGCTGCACACGCTAGGGAACGCCTCTGCGGCAAGTCTTGGACATGTGTGTGACTCGGCTGGCGGACAGCTGTCACACAGAAAGGATGGAACGAAGGCGGCGTATCCCGCCAGTCTTGCAAGCTGCCATGAACATGAACTGTCTGTCACGCAGCCACTCGAGCCAGGTTGAAGATGGTCTGCTCAGCGCATGACTTGTGCAAGGTTTGGAAAATCTTTCGGCACGGCGGCACGGATTCTCGGCCCAGACGACTCAAAGTGTGGGAACACGACTGGGACAGGCACGATGTCTCTGCTGTTTCCGCGGGATGGATGCGGAATGCGAGGGTGAGCCGTTAAGTCTAACTCAAGACTATAATAGGTGTGCTGCGTAGGTGCTGTCTGTTCCCAGCTTTGCTAGCTCTGCTAGCTCTGTCTCTCGGCGCGGGGCCGTGTGAGTCAAGTTGGAAAGATGGGGCGGGTGAACGTAACTCCTATCGCATCGGATTGGACCACGGGCGTAAGAGAATCGAGGAACAGCCGGTCTCCTGATCTTGTGCCCGCCAAGCAGCGATACGATCGACTGGGACATGGGAAGGTTGAAAAAAAAAAAACGGTAAAGCGAATAGCATTACGCCCAGCTGAGTGGGGAGGATGGGACCCCAGGGGGAAGCACGACTGCCGCAGTTAGCGTCAAAGGTGAGCGGGACGGACGCGCCCGCCTGCGAGTGCACGCGCGCACGTCTTCGGGAAAGCACGAGCTCAGGTGCAGCGATTCGTAGCTGTGCATGCTGCCGGATGCAGAGACTGAATGCATTGAATCGTTTTACCTTCTGCTCCTGACAAGCAAAGATGCATACGCCTGCCGTGCGTGGAAGGTACTGCCGTATCACTCTGCACATGAGGCAGGGTGTCTGCCGGACGGGCCCGTGACATGAAATTTTGATCGTCGAATTCTGGCCGTGGCCTTTGGGCCGTTGGCGCTGGGCGAATACTCCGTGCACCCAGCGAGCATGCGCACTGAGCGCACCTTTGGCTGCCTGGCGGACCGCACGCGCCGCACACGCCCTGGGCTTCCTGCCCTCCCAGACGCGCTAGTGCCAGTGCTAAAATACCCCACCGCTTGGAATCCCTGATGACGGGCCTGGCCTGATCCCACACTCAAACGATCGTCGTCCGCGCAGATGCACCAACCGTGCCAGCCTGCCAATGTGCCAGCTTGCGTGCACTCGTATCCTCGTCTGCTGACATGAGCCTTTGCCTCGGAGTACCAACAGCTTGGTTTATCGACCAGAATAGTACCAACTGGCACTGCAGACGCCGGCGCATGCACCACATACCGCACGCTGCTGTGCTCGCGGGTGCGCCTGCTCGCCACTGCTCCGCTCAACAGGATGCATTTCGTAATGAGCGGGTGAGAGGCCGTGGAGGAGGGGATAATTTTCAAGGAACGAAAGGAACACATCGCTGCCCCTCGGCGCCCTAACAGGAACTGACAGGAACGTACAGGGACTGGCTCTGTTCAGGACACCGATGGCGGCAGTCGGCCAAGTCCCAATCACAGCCGCACCCCAGCGCCTGCGACCTGCACCGGCCTGCACCGGGTGGGTCGGATGCCTGCGCTGCGGCTCGCCTGGGATGAGCGCTCTCCTCGTCCGCCGGCCCGCCCGGCCGCCTGCTGCCTGATCTTCAATGCAACCCGAAAGAGAAGAATAGCGTACGACAACTGCCCCTTGCCTCGCCTGCAGCCCTGCGCCTGTGATTTCTCAGGCCCAGAACTCGAGACTGACACCGTGTCGATGCAGCCTGACCCGCGCTCCTCTATCTCCCACCTGTGCTATCCTTGTCCGCCGCTGTAACTCGTACTACGCGTCTCATCCGTCGACTCTTGTGCAACTTCTTTCATTTCTTTCCTTCACACAACCCACTCGCACGTCTCATCGTCGGCGCGCGCTCACGCACATACCTCGTCACGAACACACATTGCCCCGCTCGCTGTTGTCTCCGACGCGACAGCATTCCCTAAATCAGCGACGGCGACGCCACAGATAGAGCCACCGAACGCCCAGCCGCCAGCCTCGAAACCCAGGTCGAGACAAGGACAAGCCAAGCCCCTTACCCAACCCAGCAAGCCCAGCCTCTAGTGTCCGCCCTACCGAGCGAGGCAAGTGCACCTAGCGCCTGGAACCTCGCCATTAGTGCGCCATCGCGTCGTCGACAGCGATCCCCTGTCAAGCCTCGGTGTCCTTCCTCGTATAATATCAAAGTGCCCCGTGACCTGTAGTGGGACCTCCATACCTACACACACCAAGCCGTTCACATTCCTTCAACCACCCGTGCACTCGACCACGAAAATCTACATCCTCTCAACAGCATCATTCGCATTGTAACACGAACGCATCGACACTCGCATCTGTGCATAGGTGAGTACGGCCTGGCGTGCCTGACGCAAAGACAATCACGAATATCACACAATCTCCCTCGCCCAAAAAACCTTATTATCTCTTCCCCACTTAGTCAACTGTTGGGGGTCGACGGTGTCCTGCGACCGTGCAGTATCTGCTACACCGCGGGGAGATTACCGCGCTCTGCGAAGCTTTTATTTCCATCCCGTCCACTGGCACTCCGCTGAGTGACGTTGCTGACTTTGTGCGCAGCAACGAGTGACACACATCCACACATCTCAGCATTCCCACGTACGCCATCCAGCACACAAGAGTGAGACAGGTCTAATATCAGCGAAGAAAACCTGTCCAAATCACCCTCACGTTCCCTCCACCCGATTCCCACAACAATCTTCCACTCCATCGGCGCCCTTCCAACACCTGGCTTGTCGCCAGCAGACCCAGCGCCGACCGTGCCAGTGTCTCCCTCGATCTCGACATAATACGCACGACTACCACCATGCCGTACTCTTCGTCGTCTCTCTCGGCAGACACCGACATGGTCGACGCGGTCATGGCCTCTGAGCGCCTGGCCGAGCAGATGCCGATCCGTGTCGATCTTCGCCGCTCAGCCTCAGAGACGGCCGTGCCCCAGTTGGGAACAACAAAGACGCAGAGTCTGACCGCCGCCTCCAACATCCTTCTCCACCCTCCCACGCCCTCCCCCACGCTCAGCGATAAGACTGTTACGACGCCTCCCGCTATCGAGGAGCGCAAGAGCCCCAGGGTCCTGTCTCCCCGTAGCTCTGCACTCGGCATCACCATCGCTTCCAACGTCCTCCCGGCAGTCCGCTCCCCGAAGCGCAACACCGAGCCCCTTCCGTCTGTCCCGACTTCTCGTCGGTCACGTCGCCCGCGTATCTTTGGATTCACTGGCCTGGGAGACCCGGCTTCGCCGCAGTCATCGAACGGCTCGGTCGCCGGCTCGCCCACATCGGAAGAGCCCCAGCCGTCCTTCGGGCCGTCGTCGCAAGCCATGATGCTCCCTCGTCGCGATCCAGTTCGTGTGCGTTCTGACACATCCCTGTACTCCCTTCGCCACGCCATGTCGCCGCCGCCGGCAGCTCGCACGCCTGAACACGAGTCACCCGTGGCTTCTCCCGTTCAGACTCCTACTCTCGTTCGCCGCGACTCTGGTCCCAAGATTACTCCTCGCGAGCGCCGTGACACCGGACTCAAGCTCGACCTCGGTGGTCTCGTCCCTGCCCTTCCCGCCATGGCTGACAACGCAACCTCCACCCGATACACTGTCATCCGCAAGAAGAGTGGCGAGGTCGTCAAGTCCGCCCTCAAGTTCAATGGACCTCTTGGCCCCAACGGCACACCGCTCGAGAAGCGCCCGATGTTTGCTTCCAAGAGCTGCCCGACGACCCCCAACTGCCCGAAATACGTGCACTTCGACCCTCAGCTCGAGCGCGTCAAGCTCTTCTTGCAGGATCAGAAGCCCAAGGTCGTCAGCCGACAGGGGTCGCCCACCGAGATGTCTGAGGACGAGGATGAGGAAGAAGAGGAGCCGCCGAAGAAGGTGCTGCACGTTCGCATGCCCAACTTTCCGACGATTCACGGACCCGACGAGGATGTCTATCTCGAGAGTCTCGGTCTCAACGAGGAGCGCACAGCTCTGCGTGGTGTTGTGCTCTGCCGCAACATTGCCTTCGAGAAGTGGGTCGCCGTTCGTTTCACGTTCGACTGGTGGCAGACTGTCTCAGAGGTCACTGCGTCGTACAAGGAGAGCATTCGTGGCGGCTCGTTTGATCGCTTCCAGTTCACTCTCAAGCTCGACGACCTGCTCGACCGCATTGACGAGAAGACGCTCTTCCTGTGTATCCGCTACAACACTGCCGGGCGCGAGATTTGGGACTCGAACGGTGGCCAGAACTACCATGTCCTGTTTGACCTCAAGGCACCCAAGACCCCGTCCTACATGCCCAAGCGCACCAAGGTGACTCTCCCCGGAACCGGAAAGAGCGTTTCGCGCGGCACGTGGGGCGTCACGAGTGCCGATGCCGACCGCATGGCCGATCTTCGTGCGCGCCTGAATCGTCTCCAGGAGGAGGACGCCGAGCTTGCGCGGCCAATCTCGCCGAGAAAGAAGAACGCACGTTTCTCCCCGCGCCAGTCGAGCAAGGAGCTCCCTGCTTACGACTTCGCGGCCGCGTTCAACTCTTCTAAGCGCTCCTCGACCGGCACGACGCCTCGCAGGGCTGACTCTGCTTCTGGTTCCACGGCGGCTGCTCCTGCTACCGGCCGCCGTCGGTTCGCGGCTGCGGACTTTTACACGCCCAAGCTCGCGCACTTTGGTGGCCCTATCTCGCCGATGCCTGGCACGGACTCGCCCACGCCTACCTCGCCGCCGATGTCGCCGTTCTCGTTCGCGAACCACAACCCCGCCTCCCCTCGCCCTGGTGTACTGACGCCTCGCGGCAGTGCGAACAGCAGCTCGACGGCCTCGCTCGATTCGGTCGACACCCTTACGGCCACGCCCTCGGACTCGCCGTCGATGCCGATCCACAATGTTTCCGAGGAGTCGTCAGACGCTACCGAGTCGGATACGCCTCAGCCCAGCCCTCTGTCTCCGTCAGAGTCGCCTCTTTCACCTTCCGATGTGCTGCCGCGCTGGACGCCGTCGACGACCGCGAAGAACCAGAGTGTCGACGACATGAGCCTGAAGAGCTACTCGACTTTCATCGAGCAATTCTGTTGGGGCGGCGCTGCGACTGGTCCCGTCCCGACGCTCGACACACCCGACTTTGGCCGTCGTGTGCACTCGACTTCTAGCCTGGACCACTTCTTCTCCTCCCCGCCTGACTCGGCGACTCCCGTCGCACTGAGCCGCACGAACACCCAGACTGGCACTGTCCGCGCTCCCTCGCGCGAGGACCTCGAGCACGTTGACAACGCCATCAAGAGTCTTTCCATCTCACTTCCCAGCACTCCTAAGGAGCCGTCACCCCCCATCTCCCCCTCGCTCAGTCACATGAACTCGAGCCGAAACAGCACCATACTCGCCATTTAATCACCTAGACCCCAAGTTAAAAGCGCTGGCCTCCGCCGCTCAGCATAGAATCAATCAACCACCCTCAACCACCATGCTTATCCACACCCACTCCACAACCACCACCCTCTAGCAATCACCACCCCACACCACACTAGACACCATCTTGATCCGTGCGCTTCCCCCGAATTCCACTCTCGAGTTTCGTGAACATCAAGCCCCCGTTGTATTTCTAGCATATCCACCGCACACCTGGACAATCTCGCTGTTGCCACGTACCCCTCATTGTTGCCTAGCGCACCCCAGCACCACACAATATAGACGAATCCTACAGTATTTGCCATGCATAAGTGATTAGAGCGTATTTTGAGCGGAGTGAGCAGAGCGAACCCTCGAAAAATCCGCATGATGAGAACGAGGAAGCTGTTAACTGGAAAGTTGGACGACTGCCACTAACAGTCTTCCCCGCAGTTGAGTGCGGCCAGGGCAAGGGCCGGAAGAAGCTTAACAGGTGATCGTCTGCACAAGGAAGCGCAGCTACGACGTCATCAGCCTCCCTGCGCAGGGAGGCACGGGTGGTCCGTCAGGTAGGCAGTTGCAAGGTTGCAGGGTGAGGCGGTGACTCTGCGCGCAGTCTTGACTCCCTGCGCAGAAGCACAGATGCAACAGTTCCGATCCCTGCAGCAATGATGCGATATCGCATGTTCGTCACTGCACAGTGCACAGTGCCATCTGTCGTCGAGGAAGGCGCGTCGCGTGCACCACCTGCCATGCCCGCCAGATAGCCGGACCCGCAGACCCACCCGGCCGACCCACCCAAGCGAGTCTGCAGGTGCAAGGGTAGAGGGTCGGTGAATTCGTCAAGACTGCAATCGGAATAATTGCGGAAACAGAACGCGCTTCTCCCCTTCGTGCTGGGACGCCGGCTACAGGCGGGGGCCGACGCGGGGAAGCGCCAGGCTAGCCAGTCCTTGAGGTCCTGAAATACAACCCGTGACCCAAGAAAAGCCAAGGTGACCCAAGCCAGCAAGCCGCGCAAGCTGTGCATTGAACGCGACTCTCTCTGTGCGACATATCAGATATCACTCGTGCCCTTCCAGCACTCCGTTTCGCTGCATGCAGAGCTATATGGAGGGGGCCACGTCATGGATATGCCAGGCTGGAAGGTGATGGTGGGCGTGCTGAACAAGGCGACATCGGAAAGGCTCGACGCGTCGCGCCACCAACCACGAACCCCGGCTGGCTGCCCCGCGGCCGACCGGAGTGGATGACGAGGTTCCTCACTCGTCGTTCCTCGCCGCCACCACTCGAAATGTTGGGGTCTTGACGGATACACACACTGCGTGCGGACTGGTCAGTTGATATGTGTGCATCATGAGTCACCAGGGTGCGAGCGGACAGACGGACTCGCTTCGCCATATACCAGGCATACTTCAGGCACACCATTAAGAAGCGTAGCAGCCCGCTAGCCCCTCAAGCAGGTCACGAGGATGCTCTTCGTTGCATCTAGGCCATGGACCAGCCTGTTGCATGATCTCGGCCGTTTCACTATAGCCTCTATCGCTGCAGATTGCACAGCTCAAGCAGTGCAGAGTGCGGACCACTGAATCGGCTGCGACTCGAGGGGTTCGGCCTGACAGAGCGTCGGACACCAGGGGAAGGAACAGCACCCAAGGGGACGAGAGGCAATGACGATAAAGTTCAGAGCAGCTGATTACCTCAACTAAGCTGGAGCAACCTGCTCCAGAATCGATTACGCTCGACACTACGAGAGGCTGTGTTTTATGCATGTACCTGCTGGTGACTGGTCGACTGGTACTGCTGCCCTGCATAGGCTGCGGTTGGGGTACGGTACGGAGACTAATCAGGGCGCACGCCCGTTGCTGCATGGCCTTCCTTGCGTTGGCACGCTTGTGCATGGCCGCATGACCGGCGGGGCTAAGCTACCCAAGGCGTAAAGCGAAGGGCGCAGGCCATAAGTCAAGGGGTAAGCCAAGGAGGTAAGGGGATAAGGGAAGTAATAGAGCGAAATGTAATCACACGTCGTCACTCGAGTAGCAGCCTACTGGTCCACCTGGCCACTGGTCGTTCCTCCCTGGTCCTCCGTCCTCGAGGTCCTCGTGTTCTTTCTTTCTTCTACCACTTCCACTCCATCGACTAATATCATTCACGTCTTTCCTTCCCCACCCCGTCCCTCTTACCCTCCTCCCCCTTCGCTCCTCTTAGTCTTCCACACCCCTAATCCCTAATCCGACACACTCACGACGAGCGGCTCTTGTCGGACCGCCCGCGAGATCCTTATAATCCAACAAACCCCATCGACCATCCCACTAGCCTCCTTGAATTCACGACCTCGTCGACTCTGTGTACTCTTCCCTCATCGCTCTCCAGCACGCACATTCCATCCGCATCGTTCACTCATCCCGTCATCATCCAAAGCGCATTCATTCGTCTTCATTTTCATCAAATCCAAAACGCATAGGACATCTTCCCCCCGTTCAGAACCCGACCGACCGAAAACCTAGAACCTGCAAAATCCGCCCTCTGGCAGACCAGACAAGAGGAACAAGCCATTGTTTCACCCCGCGTGCCCGACAGACGACAGACGAACAACTCGAGATAGCCATGGCCAGCAGCCTGCACGCAGCAGAGGCGAAGCGCGAGGGCCGCACCCCTCCTCCGGCGCCCAGCGCCGCGTACGCTAAGAGGTGAGTTTTGAGTTCGGAAGGACCGTCACCGGTTACGCCTGCTGCGGCAGCGACATTTCATGTCTTCCTCGCTCTTCCGAAGGGTGCCCAAGCGACAAGAGAGCCCCGTTCTCTCACGACCTTTGGGGGAAAGGTACTTGGTGCTTCGTCATGCCATCGGCCACGAAGCCCCGGTTGCCGAGGCTGCCAGTCCAGCTTGCGCTCGCGTGGACAATGGTGCTTGCCCATTCTCCGGAGCGCAGAATCCCGCAATGACCCATTGTCACCTGTCACCTTAGATGTCGGTCAGCCTGTGCACTGGTGATCAGCCAAAGGCTTTTTCGCATTGCCTTCTGTGCGCTCGTGGCCCATACCCACAGCCCACAGGGTCTCACGCTACGCGAACTACGTCGCGCGACACGCTCCACCTCGAGCGCACCTCGGACCGGACGGTGGCATCTTGGGCCGTCTTCCTTTCTGACCTGTGCCCTCCACCAGCTCTTCCTTCCGTCCACAACACCACATGAAGTACTGCGCTAATCCATACAGGGCGCGCGAGATCATTGAGGACGAGACTGGCTTTTCCCTCGACAGCGCTACCAGAGGGAGACCAAGAGCTGGGTGAGTGCAGCTAGCCACCTCATTAGCTCCAGCTGACCCCGCAGAACATTGCCCTCGTCATTTCAGGAGCGCGAGTTGGCAGACAACTCGAAGCAGTCTTCTCCCCAGCGCACCTCGGCTCTGCAGCCCGCCTACCTCCCTCAGCGTCCCTCCCTGCGCCACGCCACGTCCTCGGCTCCCGCTCTCGAGCACGAGCATCCTCGCCAGCGCTCAGGCTCAACTTCGGAGGTCAACACTGCCTTCGCTTCATCGGCTTTCTCTAACGCCTGGTTAGCCAACCCCGGTCAGGCTGGCGCCAAGTCGCCCCTGGGACGTGGAGGCGATGACTACATGGAGACGCCCGTCTCGAACGACCTCAACTTTAGCACCCTCGACTACCTCGGGCTCGCTGACACCAATGCTAGCGACGACATGGGTCCCGCGAGCATCTCGGAACTTCGGAGCCAGCACCGTCGGGCGATTGACGCACAAGGTCCCGCCAGCCGCATCCGTGCTTCGACCGTTTCGAACGTGAACCGTCCCTTCAGGCCCAGCGTCACCTCGGCATTTGACGACGCACCGAGCAGTCTCGCGAATGCTTTCGAGCAAGTCTCCATCTACGACCAGCTCCTGCCTTCTGCCCAGATTGGAGGAGGCGGCTTCCCCAGCGGCTCTCTGCTCCACCCCAAGGTCGCTGCCGCTCGTGGCGAAGCTAGCAGACCTCGCGCGACGACTATCGGGTCCCTCGACAACATCTCTGGCCGAGGCGGTCTTCGCGGCTTCCTTTCGAGCATCCCTCAGTCTCCCCTGCAGGGCGAGTATGCTGCCAACTCGGCGTTTGGCGAGGCCTCTCGCTTCGGCTACCCTCCCCGTTCTAGGTCGGATCGCGACTTGACGCGTTCGCGCGAGGGGTCCCGAGACCTCCGCGGGCACCGCCTGTCGATCTCGTCGCAGAACTCTAGGACTGGCACGCCTGATAACGCCGGGTCTTCCACTCCCCAGATGCCGACTCGCTCCCTGTGGATCGGAAACCTCGACGTGAACGCCACCAGCGAAGCCCTCCTTCGCGTCTTCTCGTCCTACGGTGCCATCGAGAGCCTTCGCATGCTTCCGGAGAAGACTTGCGCCTTTGTGAACTTCATGGACAAGGCGGACGCCGTCCGCGCCCGTGACGACGTCTTAAACCGTCTCGGTGGCCAGGTCCCCGAACTCTCTGAGACGGCCCCCGTCCGCATTGGCTTTGGCAAGATCGACTCTGCGCCTACCGGTCCCACTACGAGCACCGTCGCCCCCGCCCCGCCTGGTCTGGTCTTTACCAACGGCCAGATCACCATCACTCAGACCCAGCCGAGTGCCGGTGGCGCCACCGCTCCTGGCCCCGATGCGGCTGGAGACCAGAGTGCCCTCCCCACGCGTGCTCTTTGGATTGGAAGCATTCCTAGCACGACCTCTTCCGCGACCCTCCTCCAGATCTTCTCTCCCTTCGGACCTGTCGAGTCTGCTCGCGTTCTGACCCACAAGTCTTGCGGCTTCGTCAACTTTGAGCGTCTTGACTCTGCCATCTCTGCGCGCAACGCTCTGAACGGCCGTGACATCTTGGGCTCCGACATTGGCCCGATCCGCATCGGGTTCGCGCGTGTCCCCACGAAGTCGCCCCAGATTGGCGGTCCCGAACCCGAGGAGGGCTCTTCTCCCGCCAAGCTCGGCGAGGGCCTCAACACTGTTCGCGGTGCGACCGCTGTCACGACTGAGCAGCAGTTATCGACTGAGGGCGGCGGTGTTGAGAACTACCGCTCGCAGCTCGTTCTCGATCTCGTCAAGCAGGGTGTCCACGAGCAGGTTCTGGAGCGCGGTCTCGCCCCCGATGGTGCGGTCTCTGAGCAGCAGATGATCATGCAGGTGCTCAGCGGAAGCAGGGAGGAGGAGGAGGACGATGTCCGCGCCGCGGCCGAGGTCCGCCCCCCGGTCACTTACTACACGACCATTCCGATCATCGGTGACAGGCAGAGCATGCGCCGCTTCGACGTCTCTCGTCTTCGCGAGCTGCGCAAGCGCCTGGACTCGGGCTCGGCCTCTCAGGAGGATGTCGACACCATCACCCGCGACCTCATGGAGGACTCTGCTGATCTCTCGTCCGACTACATCGGAAACACGGTCATTCAGAAGCTCTATGAGCGTGCCAGCCCCGACCTGCGCCGCCAGATGCTGGAGCGTATCGCTCCTCACCTTGCCATGATCGGCATCCACAAGAACGGCACCTGGGCTGCGCAGAAGATAATCGAGTGTGCTACGACCGATGAGGAGAAGGACCTGATCACCATGAACTTGCGTCCGTTTGCGCCGCCCCTTATGTGCGACTCTCTCGGCAACTACGTGTGTGCCGGTACTCTCCGCTTCGGCGCCCCCTACAGCGACTACGTTTACGATGCGATGATCGACCGTATGTGGGACATTGCCCAGAACCGCTTCGGTGCCCGTTGTATGCGCACCTGTCTCGAGTCGCCCCACACGACGCTGTACCAGAAGAAGAGGATTGCGACGTCGGTCATTCTCAACTCGATCCCGCTCGCCACCAACCCCAACGGTGCCCTTCTCCTGACCTGGCTCGTGGAGCAGTCCAACCTCCCCGGTCGCTACGGCCTGCTGGCCAACCGCTTCGCGCCGCACGTTGCCCACCTGTGCACGCACAAGCTGGCCTCGCTCACTGTGCTCCGCATCATCAACCAGACCACCGAGCCCGCCGCTGCGAGTACGCTTCTCCAGACCATCTTCCACTCGCCCAACGACCAGATCCTCACCGAGATTCTCGGTGACGCCTCGAATGGTTCGCAGGTGATTGGCAAGATTCTCGCGGTCAGCTCGATCTCGAAGGAGGAGAAGCCCAAGTTGCTCGAGGCCGTCCGACGTGTCCTGCCCAGCATCAAGGCGGCCAGCACCCCGCCTTACCGCCGCCTCCTCGAGGAGGTCGGTCTCCCTATTCCTCAGAGCAGCTACCAGCGCTCGAACTCGACGGGTCCGGCTAGCACCCAGGCTGTCCCCATGGCTGCCGCCGGTTGGCAGCAGGGCTACCAGGCGCAGTTAGGTTTCGCCCCCGTCATGAACCCGGGCTTCCCTCAGCCTCTTGCGCAGACCATCTCGCCTCTTCTGATTCCTCAGAACATGGCTCTTGGTCAGGCCATGCGCGCTGGTTCGCCGCCGAACGGCAGCGCCCAGCCCCACACCCCCCGCCGGGGCCAGCGTGGTCGCATGAGCCCCATCTCGCAGATGCTCTCGCCCGGTTCGGACCCTTTCAATCCTGTAAGCTTTGTCCAACTTCGCCCTAGCTGACAAGCAGTTCGCATCTCCTAGCATTGACGTTCCATACATGCAGAGCCCCGGCATGGCTCTTCCGGTCCGCGGCAACCAGTCGCTCTCGTTCGACTCTCAGACGAATGTTGGCGGTCTCGGTATCCTCCCCAACCAGCCCTACTACCAGCAGGGTGGTCCGGGGATGTACGCCCAAACTGGGTTTCAGTGAATTACATCACAAGACATCAAATAATCAAGCAATACAACAACTCAAGCCAAGACGAGGGCGGAAGCAGCAACAACAAGTGGAAGACGCCGGACGTTGACCTCTCAACATTTCAATTATAAGCAAGCAAAGCAAAGAACACAACCGAGGTCGTTCGCGCCCCCGTTTTCGCCGTTTCCATCTCTCCTCTCTCTCTCTCTCAACAACATAGATTTTCTCTTTTCCTCTCTTATATATAGGGTGTATAGCAAAAAAGCCAGCGAAAGCGCGAAGTTGAAGCCAGACTGCCAACAGACTGCTGTGCATGCATAGAAGTGGCTGTGGCTTTCACACTGCTGGGCTCACGACAGGAGCTGGGCGAGTAACATCAGCAACCCAATCACTGTGCTGAAGCGATGATACGGTCTCCTACTTGCCTGCCCTCTAAACTCAAGTGGCGATGCGTCCCATGGCTCATGCCCGGAAAGAAAGCGGTCCGCGAGCATCACGCTGTCACGCCGCGCCTCTTCTGCGCGCGCCTGCCTGCCAACCCGGCAGGCGAGAGCTTGGACTCGTCAAACAAACCTCATCGCCCACTCGCCGCTGACACTTGGACCGTCTGTCCTGTCACAGATGTTTTGAGGCGTAAGAATCTTGCTTGCCACCAGTGCAAGTCTATAGAGAGCGGCGATATGGTTTGGGTGGTGAGCGACCCGCAGACGCCAGCTCAGCCAGCTCAGCCAGCTCAGCCAGCTCAGCCAGCTCAATCTGCTAGGCGAAGAAGCGTGCGCGACATGATGAATGGACAAAGTCGCGTGATCGACTCTGCATATCACGCACCCCTCATTACTTGCCCGTTATGGACGCTCCCACGCGTCCTGTAAGACACGGCCATCACCGCGCGTGTCCTATCTCACCTCACCACATCAACGCACATGACCTCTGACCCGTCTCACGATAACGACAGCCGACAGCCGATAGTCGTCCTCTTAGAACGCGTCGACGCGCATCCAGCAAACGCGCACTCCCCCGCAACCCGAATGTTTTGTTTACTCGTGCATCACAGAAACAATCCAGAAGGGGCAGAAAGCTCTACGAGTCTCTGCGGGGTAACAGACCGACGGACCGGCGACGGCACGACCGTTGCGCTGAGCCGAGCGAGCCTGCTGTAGTGATAGTAGTACTCTATAAGAGAAAACGAGATGGAAACAGTGAGAGAGAGAGAAAAGGGGATATCATGGGCACTACTGTATCTGCTTGCTTTGCTCGGCTCTGGCTCGTGCGGGTCGTCGGTTGGTCCGGGGGGGAATTGGCGAGGTCAGTAAGGGGGGGGGGAAAGGGGACGGGTGCGTTGGATGTTGGTTAGGTTGGGGGGGATGTGCGGGTTGGTGTGTGCGTTGCTTAAGTGTAAATGGAATGGTGAGAAGAGCGAGAAAAAGTTAATCAGAGGGAGGCATCGAAGGGAGAGAGAAAAATAATCAAGGTATATATAAACGACACACACACCGGGAACATGTAGACGAGAGATGATTGTAGACCCTCAACGCGACGCCGCGACGAACGACTAGAGCCGGGAATAAGCGTTAAGAGAGAAAAGAGGAAGAGCAAAATGAATGATTCAAAGAAACGAGCGTCTTTAAAGAACGACACATCTCTTCTTCTTGGGCGAAGTGGGAGGCTCAAGGGCGGCGACGATGGCCTGCAAGTTAGTTCAAATAAACAGACGGTAAACTCACCTCGTCAAAGACGTTCTTGAGGCCCCGCTGGGTCAGAGCCGAGCACTCGACGTACTTGACGGCGCCGAGTTCACGAGCCAAGCGCTCACCCTGCTCCGTGGTGATGGGGCGCTGCTTTTGGCGAGCGAGCTTGTCGAGGTGGCCCTGGTCATCACGGAGATCGACCTGGGTACCGACGATAAGGCAAGGGACGCCGGGGCAGTGGTGGTGGACCTCGGGGAACCACTTCTCCTTGACGTTCTCAAATGACGCTGGCGATGTTACACTGAAGCACACAAGGAACACATCCGTCTGAGGGTACGACAGGGGTCGCAGCCTGTCGTAGTCCTCCTGACCAGCGGTATCGAACAGGCCCAGAGTGTACGGATCCTCGCCGATCATGACCGTCACGGCGTCTACACGAGTCAGCGATCGTTCCGTGTGCGTGTTCCCGGCCCGCCACGGCTATCGTCATACTCACAGTTATCGAAGACCGTAGGGACGTACTCTGACGGGAACTTGTTGGTCGTGTACGAGATGAGAAGACATGTCCTGGATGAGTCAGTATGAAGTGCGGGTTGTGCCTGTTGCCGCCCGTGCTAACCGGCATCGCCCCCGCAGGAAGGAGCGTTAGGTAGCCGGCGCGATGTCTTTGGCTCATTTGTAACTCACTTGCCCACGGCACCGTCACCGACGACGACGCACTTGATGGTCTGCATGGCGCTGTTTCTGTTGTGAGCACATGGACTAGTTACGGGGGTGATAGAGATGGGACCGAGGATTGTGTATTGTTTTGTGACACGGTGACGCTCAAAGCCTCAAAAGTTTGGGAGTTCGCCGCTCGACGCGGACAGCTCTTGGGGGTATACCATGCTTGCTCTAGCGCGTCGATTTTACTCAACGGCCAGGTCACAGCTACTTCTGACGCGTACGCTACTCCAAGAGAAGTGACGAGGAGGAGGCACCGCCCCGACGGGGCCGAGCGCGGCATGGACCTAAGGAAAACACCTCCCTTTGATTTGGGTGTGTAACGTGGCGTGCTCCGCCTTGGAGCAACGACCAGCAGCATATCCGAGGGACGGTGGGCATGGCCGCTGAGAGAGAGAGAGAGAGAGAGAGAGAGAGACGGGCGACAGAGGATGTTGAAACGAACCTGGGAGAGGAAGATTAGGTCGGGGGTTGGTCGAGTGGGCCGGGAGAGATTAAGAGGGAAGGGAGAGCGGCGTACTCGGAGGGACGAGGTGATCGGGCGAGGAAGGCCGTTGGAGGGGGTGGGGATGCTGAGGCCAGTGATCGACTTGGACTTGATGGATGTAGGCGATGATGTCGCGTGATTGAGACAAAGGATGGATGGTTGTAAAAGAGAGGAGAGGTCGAGGAAGAGTGGATGGATGGAGTGGGTGGAAGTGTGGATGGATGGACGAGGGAGGCTGGCTGGGTGGTGGTTGCGGCGGCCACGGTGAGCGTGCGCGCTGGCTGGGCTGGCTGGGCTGGGCTGGCTGGAATTGACCTGGGTGAGCTGACCACAGAGGTGCAGGGCGGGCGTGTATGGGTTGGGCCTTGGTCGCACGCTGAGCACGCTGGAGCCGGTCCTGGCTGGTGTCTGGCTGGCTGGGTGTCTGGCTGGCGGGCTGGCCGGCGAACTGGCTTGGCTGGCGCTGCGAGACCGAGGAACAGAGGTCGAGGGTGCAGCGAGGGTCGCCGCCAGGGAAAACGAGGGTTGGCCACCCAGTCACCCAGTCACCTCACCCAATCATCGCAGTGGCCCCTTGCTCCGGCACACCCCCCGCCCTGCCCGTCCCACCGCTGACACTCGGCCCACGACCACCAAACACGCGCGCTCCCCTCTTCCGTCCCTAATTAGTCCATATCCTAATCCTCCTTCCCTGCCCCTCTTATGCTGGTCACCTGTCTATGCCTTCGCTTCTATTGCCCAGCTCACAACCTTCGTACCTGCAGTCTGACTGACTTGCGGCATGCACTACAGCTGGCGAGCTTGCGCACTCCTTTCAGCTCCTGACCCCAGTTGTGATCGTGCATCGTAACGGGTGCTTTTTCGCGCTTCTGGTCAGCTGGCGCGTGCTGACACACTCATGGCATGCTGGATCGTCGACGCGCCGAGCATGGGACTAGTGTCTCAACGCGGCGGACGCGACGGATGACTGACTCCTGGCCTACAGCCTAGCCGCGCTAGACCTGGCTCGCTCGCTGGGACAGACCCGCCCGATCCTCCATCCGGTCCATCCACTGCCGCCAGGTGGCCAGGTGCGCGCATGGGTGCATTTCTCCTTGTGTCTCGATCTCTTTGTTGTTTACCGCCGATTAGCGGAACCAATCCTCGCAATACACGGTGCTGCCGGCGCGGATTAATCGTCTCAACCCCTTTTTTCGTCCATACCTTTTTCACTGCCGACTTTTCCTGATTTTCTCCCGTTCCAGTACCCCGATTAAAGCTTTGGTCCCGTCCTCGAACACTCATGTTTCAACTCTATTTTTTGATGCCGTCAGAAGCATGCATGCCATGTGCGACGCCGAGCCTCAGAAATGTCTCGAGCTGGGCAGAAGTGGAGGTCGATAACATTTCCGCACGAACCAGCCAGAACGACGTCACTACCAAGTCAATCCTTCCTCCATTGTTCCGCGCACTTCTTGTCAATCACCAGCCATGGCGGAGCCGTCAAAAGACACACAACAACCCCCCGCCGATCAGGCTAACGCTCCTGCTGCGTCCTCCTCTTCGGCAGCCGCCGATGCTTCCTCGTCAGCTCCTGCCAGCGGCGGCAAGAAGCAGCCGATGACGGTGCTCGTCATCGGCATGGCTGGATCCGTGAGTCACCTAACCTCGTTGTCGAGTTGTGATCTGACAATATGCAGGGAAAGACGACTTTGATGCAGCGTATCAACTCGTACCTGCACACGGAGCAGAAGCCGGCATACATTGTCAACCTCGACCCGGCTGTGAGCCACATGGGCTACTCGGCCAACATCGACATTCGAGACACAGTCGACTACAAGGAGGTCATGAAGCAGTACAACCTCGGACCGAACGGTGGTATTATGACGGCGCTGAACCTGTTCACGACCAAGTTTGACCAGGTGCTCGGCTTCGTGGAGAAGCGTGCGGAGTCTGTCGAGTGAGTACTCCACATCTCAGAAGAGCTGGATATTCTTCGATAATTCCCAAAGCCTGCGCGCTAACTCAACTCAGCTACATCCTTGTCGACACACCAGGACAGATTGAGATCTTCACCTGGTCCGCCTCCGGTGCTATTATCACGGACGCTATCGCTTCCTCGCTGCCGACGTGCGTCGCGTACGTCATCGACACGCCGCGGACGACTGCCCCGGCGACGTTCATGAGCAACATGCTCTACGCATGCTCGTGAGTAGCTAGCTCCATTCCCTTCCCCGAAATATAGCTAACCAGCAGGATTCTGTACAAGACGCGCCTCCCGTTCATCCTCGTCTTCAACAAGGTGGACGTTGAGCCGTGCGACTTCGCCAAGGAGTGGATGGCCGACTTTGAGAAGTTCCAGGCGGCGCTCGAGGAGCGGGGACGGGATGAGAACGGGGAGAACTACATGAACTCTCTGATGAGCTCGATGTCGCTCGTCCTCGACGAGTTCTACAACAACCTCCGCGCCGTCGGTGTCTCGGCCATGACGGGCGAGGGAATGAAGGAGCTGTTCGAGGCCGTTGAGTCGTGTCGGAAGGAGTACGAGGAGTGAGTGACATCTCAGCTGTGGCGGCGTTCCGTTTAGCTGACAAACAGGGATTACAGGCCAGAGCTCGACCGCCTGAAGGCGGACAAGGAGGCAAAGGCGGCGGCCGCGAAGCAGGGCCACCTCGAGCGCATGCTGAAGGACATGGGCGTGAAGGACAAGCCGAAGAACCCCTTCGGGCCGCATGTGCGCAATGACCGCGCGGACGCGCTGTTTGATGACGAGGGCGGCGATGCCGACGAGCGCGACCCGGAGGAGGAGGAGGCGATCCGGCGCCAGATGGAGCTCGAGGAGGAGGCAGAGCACCACATGACCCTCGGCGCGGGAGATATCGTCGAGGACGACATCATCCAGGTCGACCCCCAGAGCCGATCGTAGACTGTATGTATTTGTGTCCTCTTGGCAGAAGGCTACGAGCGCGGAGTGTCGTCAGCTTGGCGTGGATAGCGCACTCAGAAACGTTGTCACTAGTCTCAGCCGCAGCCGGCATACCACCTCCGATTCCCCTACAACCCTCCAGAGCAACGCCCTTCTTCTGTGCATGCAATAACCCTGAGAGAAAGGCTGCTGAAGGCCGTTCAGCATCGATAGATAAGCCAGATAAGCACACCATGCAGCGCCACGCGGTGGGCTCCACCTTGTGAACCAAGGGTGATCGGCGCGGAAGAATCTCGGAACCAGGTCCCGATCCCGCCAACGCCACGGGGTACAAAGTTGATCGCGCGCTTGCGTACAGCCATGGCCAGCTTGGCGAGAGCGTGATTTTCTGAACCTTTGGAAACTAAAACTCTTTCAACTCTTTCACGATTCTCCGACCTACCCAGATCCTTCGCGCCATGTCGCCCATTAACGCGAGCGTGCTTGACCGGGTAAGTTGAGCGCTGGGCGTTGTGCTTTGCCTGTCTCCAAATATCACCACATGTCCCCCTCCCTGTGTCGGGAACATGGGTCGCTTGACCATTGACCATCAAACTCTGGGTCTGGGCAACAACACACCGTCGCCCTCTCTTCCCAGCTCCACAACGGATGTGCCAGCTGACCCTCCAGCCCCTGGTCATCTGCGGCCCCTCGGGAACCGGCAAGTCGACCCTCCTCAAGTCGCTCTTTGCCAAGTACCCTGATGCGTTCGGTTTCAGCGTGTCGCACACGACGCGCTCGCCGCGTGCCGGCGAGGTCGACGGGCGCGAGTACCACTTCACGACCAAGGAGGACTTCATGACGCGCGTGGAGCGGGAGGAGTTCCTCGAGTGGGCTCAGTTTGGCGGTAACTGGTGAGTTCCAGGGGAGTGAGCGCTTGGACATTGAGGTCGTCGGCAGACTTTGGATCTGCGAGGTCTTTCGCAGACCCGACAGAGCAGTGATGGAACGTCTGTTGAGCAAATTACAGCCCCGCTCATCTGCTGGCTGGGTTGGCAGGGAAGACGAAGACGATGTGTTGCAAGCTGCTCATCACTGACAAAGCTGCATTCGCTGACATTAGCTACGGCACGACCTTTGCTGCCCTGCGCGCGCTCACGCCGAAGCGCTGCATCCTCGACATCGAGCTGCAGGGCGTGAAGCAGCTCCATGTCGCGGCGCCGAAACAGGATCCCCCCCTCAACCCCGTCTTCCTCTTCCTCGCCCCTCCGTCCATCGCGCACCTCAAGTCCCGCCTCCGCGGACGCGGTACCGAGACCGACGACTCGATGGGCAAGCGGCTAGCGGCCGCCAAGGCCGAGATTGAGCACGCTATCTCGGGCGCGCACGACCTGGTCATTGTCAACGACGACCTGGAGCGCGCTGGGCGCATGCTCGAGGCCGTCGCCATTGGCGCCCCGGGATGGGAGGAGGTCGGCGACGAGCTCCCCGCCCTCGACGTGACGGAGCTTGTCCTCTGATTTTTAGTATTGGGTAATAATGCATCTTTTAGACTACAGTATGGCTACTGCACCGTCCAGTTGTACGGCTGGAAGCGCGTGCCGAGCTCGCGCGCGCGGTCCTTGTTGAGTGCGCGGTCGACGCGCGCCGGCCGCATCCAGCGCCGCGGCTCGGCGCCGATCAGGTTGCCAATGACCTCGGCCGCAAAGTAGGGCGGGAACTTGCCGCCGCCCCTGTCGCCGTCGTCGCCCTCCTCGGTCGCCATGTCCACACCCTCAATGACGTGCCCGTACCCCTTCTCGCCCTTGTAGTCCCACTGCACCATGAAGTAGGGCAGGTTGGGCACCATGGCGCGGCGGAAGGGCCGCTGCGAAAAGTCGATCACCTTCTTGTGCTGGCTCCACTCCGACTCGACCTGCATCAGGCTCTCGCGGAAGTAAGCCGGAAGGTCTGCAAACACATCCGCCGGCACGGGCACGCACTCGATGACCGTGTGCCGCTGCTGCCGGAAAGAGAGCACGGTCTCGAAGAAAACGACGCCCTGGTTCTTCTCCGCAAACATGCGCATGAGGCATTTCATAAAGTTGCGGATCTCGTCCCAGTCGTCATCGTCGAGTTCCAGCGTGCTCAGCGCATGTTGGATAGGAACGATGAGGCAGTGTCCCGGTGTCAGCTCCTCGTACACCGTGCAGCTGAGGTAGGTGCGCTTGCCGAGCGCAACGATCGCAGTCTCGGGCAGCCGCGGCGGATCCGCCTCGTCGTGCCAACAGTAGGGACACTCGTCGAGCGCCTTCTGCGTCCGCTTGTAGTCTATTGTTAGTTAAAACCAACTCAAGCAACTCACCATTGATAGCGAAAGCACGCTTCATGGCATCGGTCCGCATCCTCTTGCGTGCGAGCCGCTCAGAATTCTCGTCCATGTACTCGAGGTCGGCCTGGAAGCGGCCGTCGCGTGCGATTTGGGCGGCCATCTCGGCATCAAGGTTCTTCTGGTCGCTGGCACCGCCGCCAAACTTCTCCTGCCGCACCATCTCGTCGAGCGTCATATCATCGTCGTCCGCGTTGTATCGGATGATGTTGCCCTCCTTGTCGCGGCTCTCGAACTGATGTTAGCGTTCACTATCCGATTGCAACAACTTACCTTAGGATCCTTGTTGCGCTTCCGGCGGTTGGGATGCGGCGGTGCCTCCTCCTTGCCGAGGCCGACGTCGTAGAGCCTTCCTTGCCCATCGAGCGTAGGCAGGACCGCGGTCTGGACAACGACCTTGCCGCCCTCCTCCTCAACCGCATCGTTGATCTTGCGGCCTTCGAGCGCTGCCTGCGACTTGAGGACCTCCTTCTCGTACTGCTTCTCGAGTTCCTCAGCGCCTGGCTCGTCCATCAACTTGGCGCGCAGCACCTTGGCCTGCAGCCTGTTCAGCTCCTCCGTGCTCATGGCCGTAGCAGAAGTGATGCCCTGGGGCGTGAAGACGGAGGGAATCGGCGTCTTCGCAGGCGTGCCGTAGCTCTCCTGCCGCTTGAGTGCGTCGACACGGCTCGCGCCGGCGGCACCGCTAGACCCGGCACCGCCCGGAGCGGGGCTCTCGCCTGGCCGCCTGAAGCCCTGTCGACTGCCCGGACGTGAGTCGTCGTTGAACACCATGCGCCGCATTGGCTCCGGCGTCGCGCGGCTGGGCGTTGCTCGGCTTGGCGTCCCAGACTTGGAAGCCGTGCGGCTCCGGCGCCGTGAGTCGCGGTCGTCCAGGAAGCGCTTCTCCTCGAGCGCCTGCTCGTACTCCTCCATCGAGGCGTAGCGTTCCAGAGCGATTGACTCTACAGGGACGCCCTGTTCTTCCGCCTGCTCGTTCAGGCGGCGCAGCTTCATCATGCGCCATTGGTAGCCAGGACCGCCCGGGACGAACTTCTTCTCTGGTCGTTAGCGGGTTGGATAAGACTGCTGCTCACCTTCTGTAGCATACTCGTCCACGGTCTTTCCCTCGAGCAGCTGTGTGTTCAGCTCATACTTGCTGTGTTGCGGCTTAGGAGGTTCCTTATTGTCAGCTTTCGAACGTTCCGAGTTACTCACAACTTCCGCTTTCCGCTTGTGCTCGACGCCGAAGCCGGTGAACAGGTCGTCTCCGCCCATCCAGTCCCTTCCAGATCCACCGGCAGCTCTTTCGCCCTGCTCCTCTACCTCCACGGGCTTGTCATCGTCTGGGCCCTTCTCGACCCACTCGTCTTCCTCCGCCCGCTTCCGCTCCTTCTTCTCTTTGCGCTCACGCTCGCGGCGGTCCTCCTTCTCCCTGCGCGCGCGCTTGCGCTCCCTGCGCTCCTCAGAGGTTTCTCTCCGTTCACGATCACGGTCACGATCGCGACGGTCGCGGTCGCGGTCGCGGTCGCGGTGTCGATCCCGGTCTTTGTGGTCACGGTCACGAGAGCGAGAACGCCGTCTCTCCCTGTCACGATCACGGTCGCGGTGTCGGTCGCGATCGCGATCGCGGTCGTCCCGGCGGTGACGGTCACTCCTGTCTCTGTCTTTCCGGTCGCTTTCGCGCTCTCGTCTCGGCGACGGTGATCGAGAGTCGCCCATGGTTGGTCAAGTGGTTTGAGATGAATATTCCCAGTCAGTGATATGACGTCTCGCCAAAACAATCGGCGGCAACGGGACCAAAACGCACATGTCCAGATTGCCCTCAGCCATCGCTGCTCAGTGTGATCTGCAAACTTCATCTCGATGCATGTCCTCTCGACATACGTGCGGCATATGAGAGTGTCAATGATGGGGGGATGTGGATTGTGATGATGTCGAGGGGCTGGTGCAGTTGCCCTCGAGTGCTAGCTATTGCTATGTCCGATTGATACTATGGCAAGGCATTGTACGAAAACTCATGAAGATGTTGTGATGTATTCCTTGCGTACGGGATTCTAGGGGCGTCGACAGCCCGCGACAGATTGCTGTCATTATTATGGCCGTCGCACCATGACGATCAGAGAGGAAAAATAGAAAGTTGGTAATAAGACAGATACTAGTCAGTCGTTAGAGGAGAAACGGGTATATTGTCGAGTTTGGGTGGTAGGCTGTCGCTTAGTTGCCGCCGAAGTTGAAGCCGCCCTGGGGAGCAGCGACATTGGACTGGAAGGCGTACTGGCCAGTCGAGTCGACGGCGGGAGCGGCGTCGCCCTCCTCCTCGTCCTCGTCCTCGGGGAAGAACTCTGGGTCCGTTAGCAACCTCGTTCAACTGTAGCGGGAAAAACTCACTGTCCATGATATAGAAGCACTTCTTGTAGATCTCGAGGTTCTCGTGGTGCTGGAGGTTGTGGATGGCAACCATGCCACCGGCCTCCTCGACGTACTGGGCGTACTGGTTGACGGCACCGGGTCCGGCTTTCTCCTTGTCGATCTCACCGACCTTCAGGATGTTCTCAAGACCATCAAGGGCAACCTGGATGATCTTGTTGTCCATGGACTGGAGGAGGTCGCACATGGGCTTGATGCAGCCCTGGTTGACAAGGTAGCGGATCTGGGTAGGCTCCGAGAGACCGCCAGAGGTGGCGTTCGAGATAGCCCAGCAAGCCTCCTTCTTGGTCTTAAAGTCGGCGTTCTGGAGGATGTTGATGAGGGGAGGAATAATGTTGGCGTCAATGATGGCCTGGATCTGCTGGGGGGAGCCAGCGGTGATGTTGGAGATGGTCCAGCACGCCTCCTTGCGGATACCGTCCTTGGGCGACGACAGGAGGGAGAGGAGGGCAGGGAGGGCGCCAGACATGATCACGACCTGGGTCTGGAGGTCGTCACCAGTGACGATGTTGCCAACCGAGCGGAGGGCGGGAGTCTGAACGGCCGTCGAGGGGTGCATCAGAAGGTCAACGAGACGACGGCAGACACCGCTCTCGATGACAGCCTGGATCTTGTCGTTGGTTCCGTCGGAGAGGTAGGAGATGGCCCAGCAAGCATCGATGAGGACCTCGTCATCGAGCGAGTAGATGAGCTTGGAGAGAACAGGAAGGGCCGGCGAGATGAGCTCCCAGTTGGGCTGCGGGGACTTTCCACGGCAGAAGTTGGAAAGAGTCCAGGTAGCGTTGCGGAGCATAGAAAGCTTGTGGTTCTCAGAGAGAAGCTGAAGAAGGGGCTGGAGTGCACCCTGGTTGAGGACGTAGTCACGGCACTTGGCAGAGTCACCGGCGATGTTACCCAGAGCCCAGACAGCCTGCTCGCGGACGTCGAGGACGGACGAAGACAGAAGCTGGATGAACAGGGGAACGGCACCAGCGGCAATGACGACCTGGGTGTGGTCACTCGTTCCGGAGGCGATGTTGGTTAAAGCCCAGGCAGCCTCGAACTGGAGCATGGTGTTGGTCGACGAGAGGAACTCAACAAACCGGGGGACGACACCGACCTCGATCACACGGTCGATAGGGGGGTTCTTCTCCTTCGAAAGCAGCTTGCGGAACTTCGTGGTAGCCTCGAGCTGCGTCTCCTGGTCGTTCGAGTAGATAGCCTGGATCATCTGGGGGAGCTGGTCTCCGAGCTGAGCGTCGGCCAGGTCCTCAACATCGTCATCAGAGTCAAGGTCATCGCTAACGGGCTGGAAGTTACGACGCTTGGCGATAGACTCCTCGCGCTAAGGCATAGTTAGCATTTGCCACCACGGACACAACCAGCAGATTCCAACGAGGGATCCAGTCGGGAGGCTTGAGCTCGACGGAAGGTCACAGATGCAGCCGGCCACTGCCGTGATGCCAAACAGCACAGAGTACAATGACGGTGGCGACCAGAGCTAAGTGACGCCCTTCTCACTCATTCCGCTGACTGTGAAACACCTGTTCACTCACCTTCTGCCTTCTGATCTCGACCTGAGCCTCCTCACGCCTACGACGGAGCTGGAAGAGTCAGCGTATGTTCGCATGTTTGGTTTGCTAAGGGCCCGTTGACGGTGGAAGTTTGCCAGGTGGCGGTCAAGGGTGGCCACGCGGGTCGTCCAGGCCAGTCTACCGGATGGGTAGGTAAGACGGGTTGGGTTGATTTTGACGGAGTGGATCATCACGTCTCGGACGGCGGCGTACGTACCTCCTGCGCAGAGAACTGAGTGCGGCCCTTGAAGTTGGCACGACGGTGGTCGAGGTTGCGAGGCTCCATTTTTGGTGTTCGTTGGGGGGTATTAAAGTATGGAGAAAGAAGAAAGAAGAAAACAAAGTGTTGTTGTGACCAGCGGTTGAGAAACCAAAACGTCAGTGGACTCCCACGAACGAGAAGGTCCCAAACGCACCGCGCAGGGTCGGCCAGGTCAGGCCCTACGCCAAGGGGCGAAAATTGGCGGGACCAAAGCGACGTGCGCGGCGAGGAACAAATCCTGCGGCCTGCGTGCCTTCCCCCTGCGACCCCCCCACTGTCTACGAAGCGACGCCTGCATCGCACCCTCCCGTTGCCACGTGACCTACAATAGACAAGGCGCAAGTGGTGGGCTGAATAAAGGCGAGGCGGCGGTAGGTGACCTGGTCAATACCTGACCTACCAGCGACAACCTGGTCTAACCGGCGTGACTGGATCCAGCGACCCGGATGAGCGGAACGAACCAGCACAAAGGAACAGCATACAAGGGGTTCAGCCGCGAGCCGATCGAGACAGGACACGACAACGACGCAGGGTAGGGACGACGGGTACGGACTTAGCTTAATGCATGCTCTGTGTTTGTGTTTGTACATCAAGACGCCGCACCTGCAGCGACCGAGCCATGGGGTCGCTTGCCCAACACCTGGGACGTGCGTGCTTGACGAGCTGGGCGAGGCCTCTGCGTCATGGCAGGCTTGCACAGCTCGCTTTCCTCCACCTCTTTCGCGTCATCGTCATCGTGCTCAATTCCCTTCTCTTCCTCCAATTGCGCACGGTTCGCACCACCGTCTTCGAGCGCGCCAATGAGCCTGGTCGATCAGCGAGCTCCTGTGTCGTGTGACTTACTGAGTATATATTCTGCGCCTCGCAGTCCACTCCTTCCGCCACTTGACCCAGCTCTTGTCGATTTGGTCTGCCTCCGCGCGTGACACCGGGGCAGCGCTTGACTCGCTCGGCGGTTCGAGTGAGGCTCTTGCTGCTTGGTTCTGAACTTAGCTGCTGCCAACATCCCTCACTGGAACTCACCTCGGCATTCAAGCGAGTAATGGCGCCCTGAAGGTCGGCAGTGGGTGGAGAGCTCTCGAGCTCTTGTTGCTCTTGTGTGAGGCGCTTAAGCTCCTTGCGCTTCTCGTCCAGCGATGCCTGAATCGTCTTAATCCTCCCGTCCATGTCGTCCAGCTCGCCGCAGTCCAGGACGTCATGCTGAGACTCGTTGGTCAGTATGATTCTCGTAATACACCTACCTGCTTGAACACGAAGATGGTTTGCTTGCCGTACGGCTTCATAGTGAGAGACCCCTTGTCTAAAGGTCAGCTGCCCGTCGACGATAGTTTATCTCCCACCTGCAAGTGCAGTCAGCGCACGCTGCGCTTCGGGCTTGGTGACCTTTCCCTTGAGGTTCGCGGAAACGTCGGCTGCTGTTCAGTTCCCTTCGTATCTAGCACCCACTGCTTGCATATGGGCGATTAACCTGGTGTCAGACCTCAATGACGGTATACTCCTTGGTACTCACTGAGCGAAGGTACTGTAGAACCATCTACGGTCAGATGGACAGATCGCCTGCAGTTACCTCTTCGGCTACACATCAGTACCAGGTCGTAATGAGAGCAAACCTACCTTCGGCGCCCTTGATGGGCTTCTCCTTCGGAGCCGCCGACTTTGGAGGCATTATCTGTTAAACAGAGCTGATGTGTCAAATGCGACTTGCACAAACCGGCTGCTATGCATATCCCCTGGTCCTCATGTGCACAGCGAAGGAAGAGCGCTGATCATTCCTCACCGCAGCAACACTGGACCACCTCCACCTTGGCCATCAGTGTGAGGTGTCCCTGACAAATTTTGTTCCCAGCCAAAGCCACGTGGACTGTCACTGACACTCGATGTCAAAGTGGAGATTGCTTAGGTGGTGGTCTTGTGGTCGAGTGACATATTCGACTTTCTCAATAACTTAACGACCAGCGACGTGCGACAGCGTGTTGTCTCGACGCACGAGGACTAGACATATCGACCGGCATAGAATACACACCCCTCACTTAAAAGGCTCGGCCACGACCCACCCCGTAACCTAATCAACATGCCTCCCAAGAAGAAGGTTGCCGACGACAAGGTAAGAGTCGGCTGCTGATGCGCGCACGATGTGCTGTTCCTGAGCTAACGGGCAGACCTTTGGTATGAAGAACAAGAACAAGTCTTCGAAGGTCCAGAAGTATGTTCAGCAGGTCCAGCAGCAGCAGGCCCAGGCCGGAAAGAACAAGCAGGAGGTGAGTCATTGACTTGAGCCACCCAGGGCACGAGACTGACCACCAGATCGCGAAGCAGAAGGAGGCCGAGGCTAGGAAGAAGCAGAAGGAGGCTGAGGCCGCCAAGAAGAAGATGGACGCCCAGCTCTTCGCGACTGCCCAGGTCCAGAAGGTTCCCTTCGGAACTGGTAAGCTTACCAACGCATCTTGGAGCTGACATCGCCAGACCCCAAAACTGTTCTTTGTGTCTACTTCAAGGCTGGTCACTGTGCTAAGGGTGGGTGAGGTTTTGCTGCAGCTCGACTGACAGTCAGGAAACAAATGCAAGTTCTCGCACGACCCCAACGTTGGACGTAAGGCCGAGAAGGTCAACATCTACGAGGATGCTCGTGAGGACAAGAACACCGACACGATGGACAAGTGGGACGACGAGAAGCTGCGGGAGGTCATTACCCAGAACGGACGGAAGCAGAAGACGACCACGGACATTGTGTGCAAGTACTTCATCCAGGCCATCGAGGACTCGAAGTACGGATGGTTCTGGATCTGTCCGAATGGCGGTGACACGTGCATGTACCGACATGCGCTTCCTCCGGGCTTCGTGCTGAAGAAGGACCGCAAGAAGGAGGAGAAGGAGACGATCTCGCTGGAGGAGTTCGTCGAGGTCGAGCGCCACAAGCTCAAGCCTCCTCTCACGCCCGTCACGCCCGAGACCTTCGCCGCCTGGAAGAAGAGCAGGATAGAGAAGAAAGAGGCCGAGTCGCAGGCGATGGAGAAGGCCAAGGCCACCGCCCGTGCTGCCGGCAAGCTCACTGGCATGACTGGAAAGGACATGTTCGAGTTTGGTGGCGAGCTCTACGCCGAGGCCGAGGAGGACGCCGCCGAGGAGGAGTGGGACATTTCCCGAATGCTCGCTCGTTATGCTGAGGAGGAGGCTGAGCGGGAGAAGGAGGCTGAGGACAAGGCTAAGGCCGATGCGCTTGCTGCCGGCATGGAGGGAGTCGCGGTGTAAGCCTTCCGAGTCCGTAGTTGAGCACGACGATGTATTTGCATACAACATAAGCAGTTTGAAGTCAAGCGGGGTAGGGTGGATGATCTTGCATCCGGAAGAGCCGGCAGACGCGAGTGCCGGAAGGAATGACCCCCAGTCCCACAGACGGATGTCGATTACCCCAGTCCTCGCCGGGATCTGATCTAAGAGCCATGAATGATGGCCAGCCAGGGCATAAGGCAAGCGCACCTCTGCACCCCCGCTACAGCACCCTGCCATTCGAGACCATCCTGACGTGAGACGCATCATATTGAGCCAGATCTCTAGCAGACTAGGTCCAACTTTGATCCAACGACCAAGCATTCTTTCGGCCAGCGCGAATACAACAGCGCCTGACCAATTCACCACCGTGGATGCCCAAATCAAAAAGCAGGTCCTCGCCGGGATTTGAACCCGGGGCCACTCCCAATCGCTGTCCGAAGACAGTTGGAGGCAAAGCTCAAGATGTTAGATCACCCTAAGAGAGTATGATAACCACTACACCACGAGAACGTCGGAAGACAGGTTGTTGGAAGATTTCGCCTCTCCTGGACTATATTCAGTCCCAGGTGAATTTTAGCGCGGATTTATAGATCGGGCGGCCATGCTGAGGCTTGGGCGTACTCGCATCGCCCAGATACGGTACCCGATGTTTGAAATACAGTCCAGCCCCAACTATGGCTCCAATACGGGTGGTGTTGCAGAGAAAGTCGATGACGGCAGCGATAAGATAACATCCAGCAAGGGCTTGGCGGCGAATTTGACGTAAAATTCCTACCCGAGGAACTTCACATTAAGAACGCTCTTGCCCCGATAACTTCACGGATCACAAGGCGTGAGCACTTGCTGCAATGGCCGTTTGCTGTACAGTGGAATGAGAGCCATGGCCGTCAAAACATTGGAGCTCTGGCGGAGCGCGCAGTGACGTCTCTGTGGCGCTCAGCGCTGGAGCTGATTTGCAGTCCGGGCAAGTACCCGTCGTGGGCTGCGCCACTGAGCATCACACTCTCCGTACCCTTCAACCCATGATCTCCGGCGCTGTGGGCGCTCAAGGCGGTGCAGATCTGTAGTCCGCCCACGGCTCTACGCGGCGGCCGATGCTATCATCCCGAGCGAGCCCGTCGCCCTCTCAGACAAGGTGAAGTCCGGTGCGAGGAAGGGAAGCGCAGGTATATGTACTGTGGACGAGGGATCCGAACTCCCATCCTGAACAGATAATTAAGACTGTATCGTGAGCGAAACCGGCATTCCGACTCTCACTTTTCACCATGCGTTCTTCTACAGCCTTCGGCATTCTCTCTTTCCTCGTCACGGCCAACGCCACACCCCTCCTTGTTCCTCGCATCGACGAGTGCAATCCCGGAGGAGGGTCCCATGGCGGAGGTGCTGTGATCCCCTCCTATTGCTACCCATCTGTGTCCTTGGCGACGTCGTCAGTCTACGCTTCGCCTTCGGACATGACTCCCTCGTCAACGTCAAAATGTCTCCCTTCCACTACAAGCACCTATGTCACCGATCCTTGCAACCCTGGTGGCGGATCCCACGGTGGCGGTGCAATCCTCCCATCGTACTGCTACTCCTCGGCATCTGCCTCAACTTCATCAGCTTATGTGTCCCCCTCCAACATGGCACCTTCGTCGACTTCCAAGTGCCTTCCATCGACTACGAGCACATACGTCACCGACCCCTGCAACCCCGGCGGTGGTTCGCACGGGGGAGGCGCAGTGCTTCCTTCGTATTGCTTCTCCAGCACGACCTCGGTTGTAACCTCAGCGTACGCCTCTCCATCTGATCAGGCGCCCGGCACGACTTCCAAGTGTCCATCGGTAAGCCCATCCCCGACGAGCTCCTACAACCCCGGAGGCGGAGATCACGGCGGCGGCGCTGGCTCCCCCATGTCCACTTCCAACTAGGCCGCAGCCCTTCCCCCGCTCGCTGCACGGGCTTCCACTTCAAGCTCAGTGAATTCATTGTAGACTCCAATCTTGAGTGAACGGACAATGTATTATACTCTAGCCAAGTCCTTGGTCGAGAGTTGTCACCACGAGAAGCGCCACGTCCGGTGCTGCAGCAGGTGGAAGTTGTCGAACGCAAGAACTACCTGCTTGTTTGCTGCGAACAACCCCCTTCGGTCCAGCGACTAGACACTCTGTGTACCTCTCAAAGGAGTGTGCTCAGCGAGAACTGACTCGTAGCGCAATGATTTACTGCCTCTCCTGGCAGTATCGACACTGACCTTCTGTCGAAAACACATGATCGAGAATGATGGCCTTCCACCAGTGAGGATGGGTTCCTCAGATCGCTCCGCTGCTGGATGACTCGTCTCACGTCATTGGTCGCAACCTTCATAGTATATGAGCTGCGAGTATCGGCCTTCGGACTTGTCCGCTGGCAGTTGAGGTCCTCTCTTGGCTCAGCTCCTGAATTTTGTTTAGGGCGGAAGACAATGACAGCGACTGGAATGTGGCGATCCACATCGCCACTACCCGCCCTTGCTGCGCCTAAGAGTGCCGCTGGCGCTACAGCCTCTCAGGCTCTCTAGGTATTCCAGGAAGCCCCACTCGTCACGATCTTGGGTGGCGCTTGAAATGCTGATGTCACGCACTATACTTTGGCGAGGGAAACGCAGCAGCTCGGGTGTGCGACATTCGGAGCCTCCATCAGCTGATGGGTCTGGACACGTGCAGTGAAGATGAAGGAACTCGTTGTTCTGCGGAGATCGCTGCGAAGATGAATTGTCTGTTATACATGAAAGCTATGAGTGGCAATGCTAAAACCACAACCCCGGAATTGTAACTAAAGCTCCCCTGGCTCTGCAGGGGGAAGATGGATGAGATGACGTGCGTGTGTGGATCATGATGCGTGTATGTGGCAAACAAGTTGGTTGCAGAAGGAGACGGGACGAAAGGTGAAGAGCCTCATGGCTGCTTCTCGAAGCCGCCTCGTAGGCTGTCACCGCGGAGGCTGTCCATATCGACCGTTCGCTGTTTCCGCAACGCGTTCTCCTGGACGGCCATGTGGAGATTAGACAGGCTCTGGTTGATGGTGCCGTAACCTGCGCTGCTCTCCGCCAGCTCATACTCGCCCTCGTGTCCGCTAGACGACGTGCCCTCGAACTCCGTTTCGGAGATCTGACGGAGCTTGGGCTGAATCTTGTGCTCGGCGAACTCGGGGTTGATCTGGTGACTCTCGACGTACGTCTCGGTTTGAACGTGGATGGTTGCTGGGCCAGCCGGGAAGCGGTTGCGACTGCCGAGACGGAATTGGCTGGAACGCTGAACGGTTGCCTGCTCAAGCGTACGGTTCAGACTCTGCCTCTGATTCAGGACGTAGACCATTCCGATGATGTAGACGTAGCCTTGAATGAGCTCAAAGAACACGGCATACCATGTGTCACGCTGGATAATGATGTCGATGAGCAGAGCAAGCGCGAGGATGGTAGGCGGGAGCTGGGACTCGCACGCAACTCTGATCAGTCGACGGACGATGTAGTCGGTCTGCTCCCATTCGGATCGCGACTGGTACAGACCCCAGAGAGCTGTTCCGGTGATGACGATGTCGGTTAAGAACATTCCAACGACCCACAGGAAGCCGAAGAGGACGTAGGTGTCGTCGAGGTAGGTCCTGCTGGCCATGCCTTTGACGCAGATGCCGACTGATCCCACGAAGGAGAGGAGGAAAGGCATGATAGCCAGGCCGATGAAGATGTTGGAGCGTCCGGTGACCTTCCATGCCCGCTCAGCGTAGAACAACTGTACGCCTGCGGCCATGAAGAAGTCGAGCAAAGGGAACCAGGCGACCCATCGGTAGTCGATCAGCGTCGTGTACTTTCCGTAGTTGAACCCGAAGGTGTACATGACGAGACAAACGGAGCTAGGAGGTCAGCCGACATTCGCTCGTCAACCTGGAAGAGTGTAGCTTTGGCAAAATCTAGGTACACCAGGTACCGCGCCATGGAGCAGCGGGCGCCACCACATCGCCCCACTCGCGCCGCACAAGATCGGTAGGAAGCCTGGGCGTGGCCCAAGCGACCCCAGAATCTCCAAATCGAGAGCAACTCACATGAGCCATACTAGTGTGCCGATGAACGTGGAGAAAAGCTGGGTGGAAGTCAGCACTACGCGTCGTGAATGGGGTTGCTGTCGGCCGACGCCACAAAGTGCCATTCCGACCTCCTTGGTGTGCTAATTGCAACCTCGGAATGCCTGCTCATGCATGCTTCTTGCAAAGGAGGCAGGATAATGAGCCGTGTACTCACGAGAACCATTCGGACCCATCGCCGTTCGTGCTTTGCGCTTTCGCTGGTCCCCCAGTTCATGACAGACACCACGGCAGCGCCAAAAAGCCAGGACTGAATGATGATCCTGCGACAGTTAGAGTTACTGCAGACCGCCAAACTCACCCCATGATCAGTGGTGTCAGCATGAGGCCTGGCGTTTGACCGTTCAGCGTGAGCCACATCGCATCTTCCTCCTCTTGTGTCCACTCGAAGGGCATAGGCATCGTGGAAGAGGTGGAAGGGTGAAGTGTGCGAGGTTTGAGGTTGACGTTGTCGATGGAGGAGGGGGGCGGAATGAGAGATTGGCAGACTAAGGATTTGTGACCCAAAGATAACAAACAAAAGCGAAGGCGGTCAAAACGTGATCGCACGGAGCAGGTCGCGTCGTGAGGGCCGTGGGTCGTAAGACGGGGAAAACGAAGCGTAGGAAGCAGGCTAGGGCGTGTATTAGGACGGAGCGGATTGGGGAGGCGAAATGGGAAACCGGTATAGGTTCGGAGAGATGCGGTATGGATGGGCGCTTGCAGTCAGGTGCCGAAGCGCTTTGAGGCGAGGGAGGTTCTGTGACGGCCTGGTGCTGGCTCGTGTGCGTGAGGCAAGGGTTCGGAATGCGCAATGGTCAGGCCTGTCCGGCGAAGATGAAGATAGATGAACGAAAGTGGGCGCGCTGCCGCTTGGTGAGAACTTAAGTAACCTTGCGGCGCGCAAGAAGGAGGAGGAAAGAGAGCGACTGGTGTGAACAGAGCAGAGCCCCAGGCAGTAGCTTATTTCTCTTCCTGCTCGTCCTCCTTCTCGATGCATGCGATGGAGCATTGCGGGATAGACGCCTCCGGCAATCCTACGCCATCCTAGGAAACAAGGAAACCCAGGTCCGACGGCAGTTGGTGCGGGACGCCTGTGTTGTAGCTCGCCTGCTAAACTCTAGTAGCTCGACGAGCAGTGATAGATAAGGGCTTGCCTCCGTACCCCCAGGTTGTGGCTTACTCTTCCGACATGGGGCTTACCGCGACCACCCAACCACCGGTCGAAGCTGGACTGTTCTCCCGTTCTGGGCCGACGCGGTTGCACGAGTCTGGCGTTATTCGCATCACCTGCATGGTTGAACGTGGGCACTGAGTGATGCTCCGGAATCACAGGGGATCCTCTGCGATTCTTTGGAAGTAACTCCTGAAAGCCGCCGACCTGCATCCAATGCTCCTCGTAGCCTGTTGGCTCAGCTTGGCGCCAACGTTGATGGAGGCGTTCGCCTTCATGCCGAAGGCTGCTGATGGGATTGAGGTTCAGGGAGGCATTGAAAGGGCACATGAGGCGTACCTGCGCACTGGCCCCTCTGGCTGGCGCGTCCTCGCGCGAACCCTAGTCCGACACATCTTGGTTCAGCGCTAACGGCGAAGTCAGATTCAGGCGATCTGTGCGAGACTTGCGGGCGCGTACGGCGAATATCGGCACGTCCCACCAGTGAGCGAGAGAGAGCGGGCGAGGGAATCGTCGTTGGCGCATGCGGAGTGCGAGTCGGCCATCTGTAGACCATTCTGGCGGTCAGCGGCTCGTGATCGTGGTGGCCGTTCCTCGACGCCTCGATCTCCTGGCCCCATGCTTTCTCTGCATGCAGTAGCGCGATCCCCTCCTCCCAGTAGAGCAGTCTTTGTGTCTCGCGCTCCCAGTGTTCAAATATCGGAAGGGCTACGTGACACGCGCGGCCCTCATCCCCATCTCCCACTGGCTCCGAAGTTCCCGCCGTGCAGGAAAGCAGCACGTCCATTACTTTGCACATGCGTAATCTCCGAACTCGAGGCCCCAGACCTGTGGGAGAGGGATGAGTACGGGTTTGCCCGGCTGACTTGACGCTGAAAAGACGAGCAGCCCCGGCTGAACCCTCAGTGTCCTGTCCTAACACGGTCCGAGCCACGCCACGGCTACGCCACCTGGCCGCCTTGTCGCCGACGGCAGGCGCCACCCACTCCCGCTTTCATGTGTCAATGCACCCAGTGCTGGCTGGTCTCTGCGGCCTCCACTGACCTAGCGTTAGCTGCGTACATTCGTGTCGTCACTAGCGGCCAAGTTCTCTGCAAGTCGAGCAAAGCGTAGCTACTGAGTGCCTAGGTTGGGACGTTGGGAAGCGGACCTCTCAGTTCTTCCTCGATAGTGTTGATGCAACCTGGCTGCGGCCGCTAGAGGCCTAATCTCCGATTCTGTGCGTCTTCCTGTTGGAGGGGAAGTGTCCCAGTATCCAGGCCAAGAGCTTCGGAAAAGATCCGGTAGGTCGTGCGTGGGGTTGGCGGCGTAGACTGCAACTATGATGATCTGGTAGCCAGGCGGCCATGCTGAAGTCAACGCGGCTTGCAGGGGAACATCGGCATGGGGTACGTGCGGTGGTGGCTGGGGCTTTGGGCAGAGGCAGAGGGCCTGCTGGCGCAAGGCGGAGGCTATATACGGTCTCAACCGGGGCTGTGACCGCTTTTGGTGGTCCTAACGCAGCATGCGTCGCCGGTGAGAGTTTTACGCATTGTACCGTCAGTGCTACGATGATCGCATTCGGAGTGTGCAATACGGTCTCGGGCACAGTAGGCAGTCGGCGGCGCCCCGACCCTGTCAGCGCCCCGGCTCGGAGCGAAGGCCGGTCGATCCTCAGCAATGGGCCGATCCCCCAACCATGGACTGACTGCAATGCGAGGGTATATAGGACTTGAGATCTCCCCCAATGCCGGGGCAACGATCGCAACGTGTTGTCTTCATCACCTGTCATCGGTTTCCTGTGCTCTCTAAAGTCATCGAGTGCAGCCCAGAGCTGCTAGGGCTACGAATGTCGTTAACGGCAGACTGACTACCAGATCTGACCGGATTTAACCTTCACTCACTGCTGCTTAGAAATAGACATCGTAACTTAGAACTGCCAGTGCATCGGATTCAGAGCAGATGCGCCGGAAGCACAATACTCATTATCCAGCTTGACCAGCGCTAGCGGCAGCACCAATCCTGCACACGATTCTGTACTGGCAATGCACGGAGTCATGGCCACGGCAGTAGACATGTGCTCCGAAACAGCCAGCAGACGTCGTACACCACCTCACTCGGGTTAGGGTTGACCCTTCCGCCCTCCGCGCCTGTGCCTCCTCTGTCCGGCAACTCTGATATGTGCAGGTTTACTCGATGGAGGCCGGAAGGAGGATATGTCGCCCCCATTAGCCGTGCGATGATGTGACGACGGAACGGGTTTGGCGGAGAGCGGAGTAACAGCTCGCAGACTTCGACGGACGGCAGGTCAATGGTCCCTGCTAAACAGCAAATCCCAAGGAAGACGATCTCGGAAGGGGATTGACGACACGCTGCCATTGGGCAAGAAAGATTGAGCTTACCTCACCATTACCTACAGGACGCACGCCCCGCGGGCCACAGGAAACGCCCAGGAAGCATACATTCGCGATCGCGGGAAAGGTGATCTCTTGTGCTTTCATGCATAGCGATCAACCTAACTCCAGCTGGGCTTGGTACACCCTCGCATCGAGTGAGATGGGCCTCGTGGCGCATGAGATGGTCTGGCCTCGACCCAGCTGCGTCCACCTTGGCTTTAGGCTCAAGCTCTCAAACTGGGTGATGGGAGCTCTGATGTCCCATCTTCCCACCTGCGTATTGCCGCAAGCAGTGCCAGCAGTGGATCGGGTGATCCCACGTTGCACTGGACCTGCCGTGAGATGCGACTGGTGAAACGTAAATATAGTTACGCTGGAACCGGACCATGCGGGCTGGTACGAGAGCTGTCACGGCTGCACTCTGTGCGTGCAGTCGGCAGGCTGCCCGAGCTGAGACTCGATCCGAGGATGCTCGCAGGCGAGCGGGCCGTAAGCGTGCGCAGTGCGTGCGGCGGTCCAACGGTGCTGCAGCCGGAATGCAGGATCGCTGGTAAAGAGCTCTGATAGTCGCATCCTGGAACAAGAGTATCCGTCAGACCGAGCCTACGGATGCACTACGGTGGATCACAGGGAGAGTTGGCGTACGTACTCTTCAAAGGCTACTTGCTGCGCTCGCGAAGCAACAGCGAGGAATGAACAAGATCATCTCATATGGGAACGGTAGGATACAAAGTACAAGATCCGGTCAGGGCGTCCAGGGGGACAGCAATAGCGGGACTGAGCAGCGAGGGGCTCTTCGAAGCTGCAGCTGTGCTGGCAGAGAAGCATTCGAATGACATCGACACTCAAGTCCAGAGACTGCAATTGAGCGTGCATCACCTTAAACTCTGTTTTGGCACGCTGTTGTCAGCTGGAAGGCGGGATGTCAGAGCGAATCCCAGGGAGAGGGTCTTGGTGACACAGCAAGGTTTACCCGCCGTCGAACCACTGAAACGGGCCCAACCCCCGGCCATATAGCCCAGGGGTGTGCACCAGCACGGGACAGCGCGCGCGCGTTGAGGACTCGAGGAAGGGTGTAGGATCTTCAATCCGCCTGCCCGTGTCGTACATTTCGCGACTGAATAGCAAGAAGCGGTTCTGGGCTTTCCTTTTCTTCCTTAATGGCCCATGCAGCCCTTCTGAACAATTTGGAGGACATGTCATGCAATTCAGTCGGAGAGACAAGAGAGACACGCGCGCACGTCCAGACGCGTCGCGCCTTCTCCGGCACTGGTCGCACCGGTGACCACCCTGCACGCGCGACGCTTGATATTCTCCTTCCGTGAACTATCGCAGCTTTGTGCGTTCAAGCGGACAGAACCCTCGCATTTCACACGACCCTTGCACCACTGTCACGGTACGCTGAGGCACACAGGTCGCGCCGAAGAGTCATCACCGCTGAGCAGTAGAGGCGGTCTGTCGGTTTCTTGAGCGAATGGCCAGGGGTTCCAGCACGATGGCTAGACAGCTCGACCGCTGTGATAGGTACTTCGTGTAGGAGGTTCGGCAAGTGACCGAGCCCTGCGTATTCTCTATGCTAACTGCCATCAGAGCTCGCTCTTACGTGAAGCGGGTTTGTCTGTCCAGGACCGATTCGGCTGCCTCGGACGTTTCGCTCCTGCTCTCGAGGATCGCTTGGCCAGACCTGCGTTCCTTCCCATACTCCGCGTGCTCACGCGCTTCCAGGGGTCCGCCGTCCGCCGTTCGCCAGGTTGCCTCGAAGTTATGTCGCGGGAACCAACCTATCTAATCACTTTCTTGCTCGACGGTGACAGACTCAAGGAAACTCCCCCCAGTCACACTATATGCGGGTTGTACCCAAGACGTTGCCGTTAGAGCCTATGCGCCATGGGCTAAGCCATTCCCTGTGAGGTGGAATCTGGGGTAGTACTTTCGTGCATGCAGCCTTGCTCCTCTGCGCATACATTGCAGCTTGCCGCGGGGGGAGTCGGGCCTACGTGAGGGGGCGCTGCCGCCGCTTTCTGTAACAATTGGACGGACGGGGATATGCATGAGAGAGGCGTGTTAAATGACGCATGCGTGTCCTGTGAGTCCTGCATCGGCGTCAGCATCTCGGGAGGGGGTCGGCCCATAGTCCGCTGTTGTACACCTGTTGTAGTCGAGCGTCTTGTCGAGTGCCAAAGAGGGTCGATGAAGACATGAGGGACGGGGGGAAAATGAGGGCGTTCGAAATCGAATGGGACGTGATGCGTGGTTAAAGGAGAAGAGGGCCGTGAGGGTCTTCAAGGTGAGAGGCCCCGAGGGCAGAGGCGCACCGCGCACCGGGGGAAGAGAGAGAGAGAGTGAAGACGTAAAGGGGCTGCAGGGAGATCAGGATCTTCTGAGGGATGGTGAGGGATGGTCAGGATAGCTCGAAAGCTTGTTGACAAGACTGTGCCTGGTCCCTCCACTAGATGGGGGTCGTTTGTTCCTTGCGACTTGTCAGCACTCATCTCTGTCCACTGCACTCGCACTTGCGACCTCTCCAACGACGACCCCTGGCTAGACGTACCGCGTGTTGTGCGTTGTTACATCGAGTCTGCTTCATCGCCCCTCGTCCCATCTTGTCTTGCACAACGCTCTCGCAGCTCGGTGGCTGTAAATCACTCGCAGGCCGCTGAATTCCAAGTCGGCACGGCCTCACTGCGACAGCCCGCGCACGCGTGCCGCTCGACCGCGACCGACCACCACACCTCAACTTGGCTTCAAGCATACCACGCTCAACCCAACCTACGCGACCCCAACGACCAGCCAGCCATACGACCATCGTTTTCCCTTTCTCCCTCTCCCCCTTCATCTCTCCCTCCTCTCCACCCTCTACATCGCCTCCCTCGAACTCTCCCTGCACGACTGCGACTAGCACCTCTACCGACCAACTCACTGTGTCCTTCCAACACGACTGTCCTTCACTCAACACACGGACCTCCCCACACTCCCTATCACCGTTGCATGTGACCCTCGCTGTTGTTCGTTGGTGCTTCTACCAGGTGAACACCCAGCGACACTGTACGTCTTTCGTCGTTCAACCCGCGAATCTAAGCTTGTCCGCTATCGGCCATCGGATTCGATAGAAGGCAGACTCCAGTGTTCCAGAGACTCGGCCTTATATCACCTTCGAACGTTTACCCCCTCCCCCCACACACAAACACACCGAAACAACAAAAGAATCAGGCATTCTACACCCAAGCGTCCCGTCCGATTGTCGTTCAACTCAAGCCCTGCCCCAGCCGAGCCGTGCACACGCCGGACGCCGGACGCCGCGATCCTGACCCAGATCTCTCAGTTGGGAAATTCAGTGGCGGTCTCTTGCGCAAAGGCTGTCTCATCCAAGTCCTTCGAACGTCGGCACCACAGCCGCTCGCCCGCGCTCGTGTCACATTATCCTTAGCAGCCAAAGCGCAACCGAACACGCCACAATAACAACCAAGACATCGTCGACGACCTCTGTGTTCTTCACACCCTTCGCCGTGTGTGAGCGCCGACCGTCGGACCGCGACCTCGACTAATCAACATGCGCCGCCTGAATCAACGAGACGTCGAGTCGCTGTACGCGCACGCTTCTCGCGGCGGCATCGGCCAAGGTACAGCGTAAGTGTCGCTAACGGCTCTGGTCCTACCTCGACCGGCGTGCTGACTATCATAGGTTGACCGATTGCGTTGCCGAGGGTCCTGACCAGCTCATGTACATCCAGGGCGATACGTTGACGATACTGAAGGACTCCGGAGACTTCATCTTAGCCTGCTGTGAAGGCGAGGTTGGCTGGGTCAAACGCGAGAACGTGAGCTTCGATGCGACTGGTCCGATAGCGAGCTCCAGTTCGCCGAGCGCTGAGGAGAAGTACCCCGGTACTCCGCGGGACGCGCACCAGACGTTTGTTCCTGCAGATGCGACTTCCGGGCCGTTCAGCGGCGAGGAGCACGGATCGAAACGACTGAGCCGAAAAGCAGTTCCTCCTGCCCTTGTGCTGAACAAGTCCTTCAACACGTCGAGCCTGTCCAACTTCGACTTCGCGTCCCCCTCTCTGCCATCCCCGATTGCCAGCGACGAGGCTACAGTGAGCTCTGCGACGCGAGACGTCTTCCCGGAAGCTTCGATTTACTCCCCACAGCAACATACTGGGCGTATCAAACCGATTGCCGAGGAGAGCCAGGAGTCACTACGAGATATACGCAGGGTCACGTCGTACGGATCTGACTGTAGCGACCGCAGCTCTGGCTCCGGACGGATAGGCGGCATCGTTTTGGGCAACATGTCCAGAAGACATTCTGGTGCGTCGCCCTCTGGACTGCCGATGCTGACCGTTCCAGTGACGTCCGAGGACGATCGCGAAACAATTGTCAGCCCTACACCTGAGGCTGCGGCAAATCTGTCTTTGTCCGCCCTCGGCGTGTTCCCTTCACCGACATTACCCCCAACACAGACTCAGCAGGCTTTCAACCGACTCGCACCTGTGTTGACCGTCCCCAAGCGGCAATCACTAGCTGTCGAAACATCGCGGACAAGTGTCATGTCGAGCGAATCAAACGAGACAGAAGTCATGAGGATGGAGGATGTCAGGGAGGACGAGGAGCGTATCTCGTTCGACGGTACAGCACGATTTGCCTCTTCTCCTCCAGTGACATCGCGACCCTTCCAGCCGATCAAGGCTCTCAATCTTTCGGCTTTCTCGCTGGGCGAGTACCGGGATGCGGCACACGACACGACGGAGCAGATGTCCCCATCCTCGCTACACACATTTGGAGGTGACGGTCTCATGTCCAGCGAGCTTCTTCTGAGCCGTGATCCGCCAGGCACATTGTCGCCCGACCGGACCGGAGCGACATTCGGATTAAGTGCGGACAGGACTGGTACTAGCTTCCTCGACTTAGACACGAGTGGGCCGAACTTCCGACTGTTTGAGGACGGTGTCGAGATTCCTCCGCTGCCTCCTTATGTTTCGCAACCTCATCCGTCTGAGACTATCATTGAGGAGGAGCAGCTGGAGTTGGACACACCGAGAGCGAAGAGTACACCAACTTTCGCAGACACGGAAACGATGACTGGTTCTCCAGAATCGAAGCGCACCGTGCAGGGAAGGGGAAGCGTGTACGGATCAGAGGAGACCGTTCTCGATACTCCGCAGTCCCTTCCCCTTGCCGGCTTCTCGCACGCGCCCGCGGTTGGAGAAGTGCTGTCGAATGGAGCACATGTCAACGGCTCGGACTTGAATGAGCAGAACACCTTGGCGCCTTTCCCAACGGAAGAATCGTTCAAGCCCAATGGTCTTCTCACTCCGGCCATGTCTTCTGTGTCCCTCTCGCCTTCGCTCATTACACCCGGATCACCGAACCCGAACGAAGACCGATGGTCCATCGACTCTCGGTATATGGCCAAGGCAGCTATGCGAAACAACTTCTACGCTCTCGGCCACTCGCCCATGCTCACTGTGGTTGAGCGCCAGAAGCTGGAAGCCAGGTTATCGCAATTATCCATGATGTCGGGTAACAACCGGAACAACACCGACTCGTGGGTCCTAGTCGAGCCCCCGACACGGGGGGTTGCGCAGAATGACCCCAACTCTGCCACATTACCGACTGATGAACCGCCAGCAGGATACGAATTTGCGCCGATTCAGACCCCGACTCTGCGATCGTCGTCGGAGTCGCCCAACCGGTCGTTGACAGCGGTATCGCCTCCTACGGTTGCGCGGAAGACGCCGCCGCCACCCCCCATCCAGACGGGTTCGTCTCCAGACAGTATCGGACGACCGCGTAGCCGGCCGCGACCGTTAGCCATTGTTGGCACCCCAGTGGGGTCAGGCCAGGCGCAGTATGCGGAAACCAGCGGGTTGAATAGCAACCGCCCGTTCCGTCCTCTCCCAAGCTTAAACTCGTCGCCCTCCGCGCACCTTACGAAAAACGACCACCCATCTGGAGCGTCGCCTTCCCTGCCAGAGTCGGTTCCGTTCCGTCCACTTCCCGAAGTTCCAAAGGCGCCAGCCATACGGACTCAAAGCCCTGAGAACGTCTCACCTTCGACCCAGTTACGTCAGCTTCCCCCAACCCCGACAACCCATCGGGATCAGCAAGCTGCATTAGGTCTAGGCAAGCCCGCGCGCAATTCAAGCTCTGGAAGCAGGCCCCTTCCTGTCCCCGGCGATGTTCAACGTAGCATGACTGCGCCTCAGGAAACTATTATACGGTCCGACAGTCCTTCGGTCATCAGCGACGATTCTGGAGGACGGGCTGCCTCCCAACCAGGTGAAAGGATGTTCAAGGTGTCGCGTGTTCCTGTACCGCGAGTATCGATGGATCAAGAGGCCGCTGTTACACCAAGGGCGTCGCAGTTCCCGCAGAGTCAGGCCGCGCAGTACGCCGAGTCCACTCGTCGTGCGATGACTCCTGTGAAACAGTCGCTTATCAGTGTCTCGGCTCCCGTATCAAACCGGCCTTCGCCCGCACGGCACTTGGCCTCTCACCCTGTTGTGAACGGATGGAGCTCATCATCAGAGACGGAGCAACTCAGTGATCAGCCCATCTCTAGCACGCCCCCCACAGTCACGAGGTCGCGGTCCAAATCGATCTCGGCTGGTATCGCAAAGGCGTTCGGCAAGGACCGAAGGAAGGCGTCGCTTGACATCTCATCCCCGCTCCCGAACGTGTTCCGCATCTCACCTCCTCGCGCGTCAACGTCGTCCCGCAATACCGACGGTCTGCTTCGTGTGGGTGGGAACTCGTCGTCCCGCTCAGACTCCGGCTCCATCGGCGACTCCTCAGCCGGGGGCTCGGTGACCTCGATCCATCACTTTGGTAGTGACATTTCTTCTCCTACGGCGCGGACGTCAATCCAGAAATCGAGGTTCCAACCTCCCGTATCGCACCGCGATTTCGAAGACCCAACCGTCAAGACTGATGGTATGGAGTTCCAGATGATTCAGCCGCCTCGACGCCAACTCGACCCACCGGCAATAAAGCTGAAGGTGGACTCCAGTAGCCTAGGGCTGTTACCTCCCGAGGAGATGGCAGGCCTTGAACCGCCCGGCTCCACATCGAGCAGCAGCCATGGGCACAGCAGTCTGGAGAGTGAAGAGGCAGCACCAGAGATTGATGAGTGGGGTTTCCTCGTCTCTCGAAGCCCGACACCTGCGCTCTTTCACACTAGAACCAGCCCCGAAACCGTGCGCGCAGCTGAGCAGAAGTGGCTCAATATCATTGCGACACCACTGTCTCACGGCCAGCAACCGCCCAAGAAGGTCCGCCGCTTGGTTATCGAACAGGGTGTCCCCAACTCTTTGCGCGGTCGTGTCTGGGGCTGGTTCATGTCTAATGGCATGAACGGGCGTGTTGGCGGGTTGTTCCAGCGTCTCGTCTCTAATGAAGCGGGGCCGTTCGACGACCAAATCGAACGCGACGTCGCCAAGGTCTACTCTGACCACTCTGCGTTCTGTAGCCGCGACTCTCCGGGCCGCGCCGACCTGAGAACTCTTCTACGTGCCTATGTGCACTTCGCTCCCTCTGGATACCACTCCGAGCTTGCCTTGATTGGTGGTGCTCTGCTGATCCACGCTGTGGTTGAAGACGCCTTCTGGCTGTTGGCAGGATTATTCAACGGTGTACTCAAAACGTACTACGTCAAGGACCGCAGCGGGTTCCGTGTCGATCTGCACGTCTTCGCCGGCATCCTGCAAGGCTCCGAACCGAAGGTTGCGCAGCTGTTCCGCGACGTCGGCGTGGCGCCTCATGATTACTTGCAGCCTTGGTGGATGGGTATGCTGATCCGATGCCTCCCGTGGCCGACCGTGCTTCGCTTGTTCGACGCTGTCATCTCTGAGGGCCCCCGATTCCTGCTCATCGCATCGCTCGCCGTCATTACGTTGTCGCGTGACCGCCTCCTCGCGCTGCCCCGCAATTCAAAGGTCATTCTCAACTATCTGCACCACCTGCCGCAGGACTCGCTCATGCTTCCGGACACGTTCATGCGTGCGTGCGATCAAGTTAAACTTCGAGATGACGACCTCAAGAAGCTCCGCGCCTCGGTCAAGGATCAACTTGCTGCCGCGGGGCGCGAGTAGACGTATGTCAGGACCCATGAGCCTCACATTGCCCGAACCATCATCGCGACCGATCGGCTTGATGCCGCGTCGTTCAATCATAGACCGATCTCTGCCGCCCCCCTCCAACGAAGGCAGCCGACCTACCTATTTTTGCATTTGCCAGCTCAATGCGAGTAAGAGTATACACTACATTGTGTCTGTGCTTTACGACCACGAATTTACAATCTATCTCATACGCCATCTATACTTGTATCATGCATAAGCAATTGTTCTCTTGTACTGATCTAGCAAGCGGTAGGAGGGTAGTCCGGGATGTCCGCTACGCACTGCTCTGTGTGCTTTTACCCTAGAGTGGGTTGGGGAATTTGGGAATTTGCCACCGCAGAAATAGAAAGATGGCGCTGGTCTTGGGTGAGCGGTGAGCGTTGGTGCGGTTGAATGAAGGTCCGTCACTCGTCACGCACGTGCCAGAGCCTCTATTTTGAGCGATCTCAAGCCCTTCGCTTCGTCTCCAGTTACGCCTTCCTCGACTTTTCCATCTCACATCCTCATCGCGACACCTCTCATCTTGCGTCAACGCGCTTTCCCTCACTTGCAAATCCCAGATAACTAATGGCCTTACAACCATTCATGCCTCAGCCCATGGTTACAGCCCAGCCATGAGCTCTCAATTCTCCCGCCCGGGCCAGCCGTCACCCAGCCCGGGTCTCTCTGCTCCATCGACCCCACCTCGTCACCCGACACAGGACACGTCCCCCGCTGACATAAACGATGGCAACGCTAGCAACGTTAGCACCGTCGACCCCAACTCTGCCGGTGACGACTACGCCGTCCTTCCTTCTGAGACCAACACAGGGAGCACACCGAGCAACCCGGCAAACCCCACCCGGAGAGACTCAATGGAGGACCTTGAATTCTCGATCGGACCGCCGGGCCAAACAGAGGAAGACGACTCCAACATCGGACCTCAGGCAACGGCGTTCATGACACCTACTCCGGGGCAACGGCGTGCTTCGGAGGATCAGCCGCCCCCTGTTACTGTGAAAGACTTCGCGCGGCCATCCTCCCCGACTCCACACTTCCAGGAGCCCACCGACTCCCCGCGCCTTCGCTCCGATGATGCGCCCAAGCGCGCAGCTTCGACCAAGCGCTCTCCAAGCATCAAAGGTAGTGTGGGCGGCCGCAGAGGTAGCCATGGTCACTCCTCGCGACCGCATCGACCCTCTATCCTGACGAACACGCCTCGCACGCCGTGGAGCACCCAAACGCAGGCGGCCGCACCCTCGACTCCGCAACCGCCCATCCTCACTCTGACACCCGCCGTCGCTTCTGATCAACCCGAGTTCGCGGAACTTCTAACGCCCGCTCAGCTCCGAAAGCGTCGGAAGCAGCGCGTTCCTCCATCTCAGCTTGGTACCGGTCTTGGAGTGCTGGCCGGTCGGCCGATCCTCGCTGGTCCCAGCCGGCTCGGCTTCGCAACCCCTGACGGAGATCTGTATAGAGGAGCGACGGATAACCCCGTGGCTCCCACAGAGCCGACTGCTGTTGACGACGACGCGATAACTGTGGCCAGTTCGGCGAGCTCCGACTCCTCAGCGAGTGGCATCGGTGCGCGAGCCACAGACCTAGTCCACCGAGTCGGAGAGGCTATTGGAATGAGACGCGGGAGTTCTTCAAGCGGCTCTGATACTTCGAGCAGTTCTAGTAGCTCTGCCTCGACGTCCGGATTTAGCATCGGTCGTTTTGGACGAGCGTTAACCCGCACGATGTCCAGGGCTACAAATGACAGCGCAGCCGAAGAGCGCCCGAAGAGAGTCTACGTTCCCAGAAGACGAGAGTTCACTCTCCTACTCCCGCCTGGGGAAAAGCTCCCTCAGAAGCCGAACGAGGCAACCGTCATCACAACGCCCATGCTTCCACCCATCCTCGAAGCGATCCGCTCAGTCCGGGCAACGAATGGGATCGCTGGCGCTCTCGACGTCCGACCGACGCTGTCGTCTCGCAAACACCATCATCACAGCGACCTAGCCGTTCGACGCGGTGGCTCCGCTCCGGGCCGCAAGCGTGCGCAGTTCGTGAATCCACCAATTCCCCGCATGCCCAGGGTGGAGGCGCTTCGTGGCGCCGGGCCGGTGCGACCAAAGTCGGCATCCGATCTCCTTGGACTAGCCGCCGGGCCAGGAAGGAATCATTCGTCTCCCGACCTGGCGTCTGTGCGCAGCTCTTCTGGCTCCAGCACCGACTCAACTGCCCCGCCGTTGTCGCCGACGCCGACGTTGAGACCGCAACCGAAGCCGGCGTGGTGGTTAGACGTTTCATGTCCGACTTGGAAGGATCTGAGAGACATTGGCGAACTGCTGGCTTTACATCCGCTCACCCTGGAAGACGTGCTGCATCAGGACCCGCGAGAGAAGCTTGACACTTTCCACAAGCTAGGTTACTACTTCATTGTGATCCGCGCACTCGACGAACAGTACTTCAAGTACACGCCGGGCACGTCTGGTCCACCCGGAACTGAGCTCGAGATCACGAACCCGAACCACACGGGTTCACGTGAAGGGGATGGTGGCACGAAGGAACGGCGACGACGTGGCTGGGGATTCGGTCGAGCCACCGGTCGCGCAGCGACGAAGATCGGAGAGAAGGTCGAGATTGTTGAGAACGATCCCGGAAAGGAGGGCCTCGAAGGTGTTGGTGTCGGTGGCATCAACCTATACCTTGTCGTGTTCGCGGACGGCATCGTTTCTGTGAGTACCTAGCCACCCGGGCCGTAAGAAGGCGAAGCTGATGTTAGTTCCACTACGACGACGTCTCGAAGCACGTCACGCGAGTCCGCGACCGCGTCCTGCAGGTGCAGGAGTCTGTGCCGTCTCCCGATTGGATCGCACACGGTCTGATCGATTCCATTGTGGATGCGTTCTTCCCGCTAATGGGCTACGTCGACGGCGCCGTTGATGACATGGACAGCCTCACGATCGACCCGACCCGTGATCCCCGCATACAAACTGTGCAGCCGTCTCAGAACATCGAAGCGCCAAACCCATCGGACGACCCGTACTCGCAGTTCGGCGAGGAGCACGCATGGATTGACATGGAGAAGGACCCACAGAAGCTCGACGAGAAGATGGCCTCCTCCACTGGTGTCTCTCTATCCGAGAAGACGGGACTTCGACAACGTCGGGTCTCGACAAGCATGTTTGAAGCCGCTAAAGCGGCGTCCGAGAAGGCGGCGGCTGCGGCCAAGAGTGTGAGGAAATCGGCAGCTGTTGCCGTGCCTAAGAAGACGCGCCTGCTTGACCATACGTGGACCCGACCACTTCTTTATCTGTACCTCTACATGCTTCCAACGACCAGCGCGGTCGAGCATGTGCGCGAAGAGGGCGGTGAGGACGTTTTCGACCGGAGTACGATGCTGCGCAGTATAGCGAACATGCGCCGCTTAGTCACCGGTCTTTCCCGCATGCTAGGAGGGAAGCATACTGTCGTCGCAGCGCTGCTGAAGCGAACGCGCGACAGCGCGGACGACGTCGAGGCGTACCTCAGCGACGTGCACGACCACATCCTCCTACTGCAAACCTCGCTGTACCACTACGAATACATCCTCTCGCACTGCCAGCCGGCGTACCTATCCTACTTGCAAGTGTCGGGCACCCTGTCGCGCGGCGGGACCGACAAGCTGATTCTCGCACTGTCAACGGTCACAATCGGTATCCTGCCAATGCAGTTTGTGCTGGCATTGTTCAGTATGAACGTGCACGTTCCGCACAACGGCATGAGCGACCCTCCCGATGGAATCGACGAGCACCGAGAGCCGGACGACACACTCGCGCCCTTCAACTGGTTCATCGTCATCGTCTTCGTCATCACGGTGATTGCACTAGGTGTCCTCGGTATCATACGGTATTGGCGTTGGCTCGCGCGAAAGAAATGGACCATTCGTCGAGGCGGCCAACTTCCTGGCGAATGGGATGGGTTCTGGGGATGGCAGTAGGACAAGTGCCGCCGTCCCGAGTGCGTGCCCGGCCATGGCGCTGCTCAACATCGACTTGGCTCGAGCTCGGCGCCTCTTGTTATGCCGTTCCCGAACACCCGTCCCGGCGCCATCGCCATTCCACCCATGCCAAGCTCTCGTCTCCCGATCGTTCCCCTGCATCTATACCACCTTGCATATCTCAGCACATTTCCATCTCAGGCTACATTTTCATGCTGGAGCGGTTATGCCCTCCCTTGTTGTACATATACCTGTACCACTTCAGCATCTGCATATGCATCATTGCATCATACTTCTCCGCACCGGGCCGAAGCGTCCGCCTGGCGCGATTGACCTTCCCACTGATCCACCGCAAGCCCAGTCTGAGTCCAGAAATCAAGCCTCCAAGTTCCGATCCCAATTCTCTGATCCAAGCCCCGGCTCGATGTCCATATTCCAAGCCCCCCCCCCTCGCGCGCGTCGCGTCCAGTAGAACTTGCCGTTCCTGGCTCATCAATTCTCCGGTTCCGTAACAACCCAGGATGCCAGGATGCGAGAGTGTCCGCAGCGCGCCAAGACGGCCAGGCGACGGCCAGGCGGAAGCCACACCCTCGCCAACCCTGAAAGCGAGCCGGCGCACAGGCCCCCTCTGCGCCTCTGCATTCTTGAGGCCAGTAAGAAGACGAGGGCATGGTGTCCTGACTCCTGGACTTGCTCGCTTTGGGCTCCGGGTCCTGCTCCGGATTTGCTCCGGTTCTGGTCGGTTCCCCCTCTCTGCTCTCTGAACGACTTGCAGGTGTGCAAGGAAGGGCAGTGCGGGGCTGTCACCCCTCCCCTTTTCCCCCCTTCTCCTCCCCCTTCCGTTTCTCTCCGTTACACCAGCGCAGCAGCGCAGTGTTCTGCGTCGTTCTGTCCCCTGCCTATTGCCCGTTGCGTGCACTGCTGAGCGCACAGCACAGCACAACACAGCACAGCGGACGAGCGTTCTGCAACGGTAGGCCAGCTTGTATCAGACCGGTATCAGGTCGCCCAGGCAGGCAGTGCAGCGCTAGCGCCTTTCTGGAAACTGGAGGGCTTGGTGGACCTGAGCCGCCGCCGAATCTGGCCGCAACTTTCTGCCGAATGCGGACAATGCCATTGAATCATGCTCGCGCCTCGCGTTAGACGTTACAGCTCGGTCTGGTGACCTAACCCAGCTGACCCGCCTGTCTTGACACAATTGAGCACACTGGGGCTTGCGGCGCAAATCGCGCACGCGGCACCTCGAGTCTACGCGTCTGGAAACACGACGCCAGAACTTGGCGTTGCGTTGTGATCGACTTTGTGGTCAGCCGTGGCGGCGCACGACAACTCTCCCGATCTCCTTGGCACATGCACACTCTGATCCGCTGAGAGCATACGCACGCGCCGCTCGTCAAAGTTGAACGATCGATGCGGGATCTGCGATCGCTCCTGCTCACAGACCCGCTGCGTGACTCTGCTGCGCCTGGCGCCACAAGCACCATGCATATGTCTATGAACGGAGCCTACCAAATGTCCATGGCAACAAAACGGTGGGGTGGTGAGGGTGAGGTGTGTTTCCTAGACATGAATGGAGAAGAGTGCGTCGTCTAGCTCACCGATGCAGGTTAGGTTGATCGAGATGGTGGGAGTGGAAATGGGAAGGGGAACGTAACTAAAGACTACTACCAAATAATGTTGCTTTCTAGATTAGGAGTTGTTGTAACGGGGACGTGGTCGTTCATAAAATAACACACACAGAGGAGTCACAAAGGTCATCTAAGCAAGGAACTGCTTAGAGGAGAGCGAGGGCACCAAGAGCGACACCGCAGACCGAGGCGAGGAGGGCGGGGGCCGAAAGGGCACCAGCACCGCCGGCCGGCTTGCCAGCAGCGGCAGAGTCACCGTTCTTGGTGGTCTCGGCACCGGCGGCGGCGGAGTCGCTGCTAGCGCCATCCTTACCGCCGTCGGTGGGCTTGGCGTCCGAAGAGCCAGCACCGGCAGAAGTGGGGGTGACCGAAGGGGGAACAGAGGTAGGGGTGGTGACGGTAGCCGGGGTGGTCGAGGGGAGGCCGGTGACGGGGACAGCGGAGCCGTCACGGAGGACAGTGGGGGCGGCCTTGACCATGAGGTCCTTCATGTCGACACCGTTCGAGATGGTCGAGTAGGTCTTGCAGTTGGAAGACTTGGGCCAGAAAGCAGGGGCCGTAGGGGTGACGAGCTGGCCGACGGTGAAGACACCAGTCTCCTTCTCCTCGTTGGTCCAGGTTCCAGTGTAGCGCTGGCGGAAGGTCGAGGTCGTTCCGTTCTTAAGGGGGTAAAGACCAGGAGCCATGGCGATCTCACCGTCGCACTCGGTGAAGCCAGTGGTGCGCGAAGCCTCGAAGTCGGTGATGGCCATGACCCAGCGGCATCCCATGATGTCGAGCTCGTGCTCGCACTGGAGGGCAGTGGTGGTGCCGTTGACCTCGGCGGTACAAATACGGAGACAGAACTGGTCGAACGAGATGAACGACATCCACTCCTCGTAGAAGACATCCTCACCGGTGGCAAGGTTGGTGGTGACGTTTCCACCGATGGGGTTGCCGAGGTTCTTGGCTCCGTGGGGGTCGAGCTCACCACCAGAGTCACCGTCGACAATGTTGATGCGGGTACCGTCCCAGAAGCCGTGGATCTGGATGTAGGCGGGGGTCTTGACAAGGTGGGCAGCGGTGATGGTGCCGTCGGGGATAATACTGTGGTGGGTGTCAGCACTAGGCTCTCAGTGGAATTGGATCTGGGCGCCACGAGGCAGGCCCCTTGGCCATGGAGGGGAAGGAAGGGACCAGAGGCCTAGCCACCTCGTTGTAAAGCCTGGCAAACCTCGCCTGTGCAGCCCCCGACTGTGTGAGTTGGTGGGTGCGATGGGACGCACGCGCCACCAGCAAAGCAAGGCAATGCAAATGGGCTGTCGCGCGACGTGCGACACAGATCGCGGCTGTGAGACAAGATCGCACCGCACTGCCAAAACGGGCACAACAAGAGACCTGCTGAACCGAAACGCAGTAATAAGACTTACCGAGCGTTGTTACGGGGCTTGGTGCAGTAAGCGACGACACGGTCCTCGATGTTGCCAATAACGGAGTCGGGTCCAGGCTCAGGAGGGCCGTACATGCAGAAGTCGTCGATACCGTTCAGCGAAAGGAGACGAGAGAGCGAGGTCTGGTTGACCTGGGCACCGATGGGGTAGAACTCGGGCTTCTCGGGGTTGGTCGGGCCGTTGGGGAAGGCGGCGGTGACCTGGGCGCTAACGCCCGACGAAGCGAGAAGGGCAGCGGCGAGCTGGGGAAGCATGGTAGCAGTGAAGAAGAAGGGTATGGGGAAGAGAGAAGAGGGAGGCTAAGGTTGTTTACTATATAAAAGAGTGTGGTGTGGGAGGGCGTATGCCGTGGGCTGTGTGGGGAGGGCTGGAGCTTGGGAGCGGAGCGGAGTGCGTGTGAGGGCGAAGGTACGTAGGCGGGGGGAACCTAGGAAGGGGAGCACAGCGTTGAGAATTCAAGTGAGAAGGACAACTCTGAGAGGATTGGTTGAGGAGAGAAAGAAGAGAGGGGGAGAGACTGACAGCGTCGAGCGTTGTCCAGCCTTTGAGCACTGTGAGCGATTGGTGGGCGCAACCGGCACCAGCCAGGGCTAGCAGGGCCAGGAGGTGAGCCAGGACGAAGGGCAAGGGGAAGGTCAATTGGCAACGGGCGGGGCAACGGCAACCGCAGGGAGCAGACAAGCAGGCAGGCGATGAGAATGGGCGCTGGGCGCTGATGCTGGGCTTGTTGACCGTCTGGCTGTACTGACCGACGACAGGAGACGCAGACGGCAGACGCCAGTTCGTACACGGCTAGTCTTCCCTGCACGCGCCTGCGCGCCAACGCTCGGGCGATTCAGCGTGTGCGCGTCTTCCCACTGGCTCGCCGCCAGGAACACGTCTCATCCCCAGGGTTCGTTTAGGGATCGCGCCAGGGCGTGAGGAACCGACAGGTCTTGGCGCTTCCCAGTCCTAATCGGCCACCGGGCGCTCTAACGCCCTGGCATTAGGAATGCATTACAATCTCTTCTTATTACACTTGCCAAGAAATCGAGAAAGCACATCTCGCAGGGACGCGAGAGGCTGATGCATCGCCTCGACCATCCCTCGACACCGGACGGCATGCCCAGGCTGCTGCGACATTCTCGGCGCTCGAATGGTGACTTCTTGGCCACAGCAGGGCCAAGAACAACAATAATGCGCAGGCAACTGTGCCATCGCGGACTCTGCACACCCACACCCCGATCCCCGAGGGACAGGACAACCCAGGTCACAACCAGGACTTGGGAAATGCGAACACGGTAGACGAGCGTGCGAGAGAATGTGTGTGACGCGAACGTGCCGGCTCCCACCGGGGACCGTGCGCGATCTCCTCTATCCCATACGACCATTTGGACCATGCTACGGTCCAAGACGGGCACACCGGGAGGGCAATTCCTGTCCAGCTGCCTGCATCTTTTGTTACTCTCAGCCCCATCCGGGACATCCGGGCCAGCCCAGCGCCTGTTCAGACGCTTCCCCAAAGCCTGCCCAGCACGCTCAGAGCTCGCCGTGAGACGGACCACAGGCGGCCTTAGCTGTGTTTGAATGTCTTCGTTGGCATAATAATAGACCTACGACCCGTTGTGCCCCTCATGCCCATGTGCTACGCGTGCTTTCGCCGCCCGACCCGGCCACTATGCCAGGAACAACTCGACCGACCTCCCTGTGCTCCTTTTCACCAGTGGCCTTCGGCCCTTCATCCTCCCTTCCCCTCCTGCTATTCCCTATCATCCTGAGGAATCCGCCACTCCGCCCCGGCCGAGGAGGCGTACCAGACAGGCGTCCATTACGCAACGCAGGCGATGGCAGCCGATGGCCGCAGAGTTCCGCTCTGTGCGCCGGATTCGCCGGGCACTCTGGAGGGGGCAGTGTAGACTCTCACTCACCATCAGTTTGGGTACGCAACACAATTAAGATTCTGTGCACCTGCGCCGAACCGCATGTACGTACATACACTTCCTCAGATCCATGATCCAGCGAAGGGCCAGTTACGTGTCTGGAATCGGGCCCATTGTCATCCCCGAGGGGCAGGCGGGGCAGCTGAGAGGGAGAAACTCACATGACCTGCTGCGAGGTGTCTAATTTGAGCCGCAGCCCTCTTGGCATTCATGTCAGCCCCGTTTGCCCTCTAGCGATCTCGCCCTTCTCACACAGCGTGCACCGCCTGCCAACTTCGCTCCCCATCATTGAGTTGCAGTAGAGGGCCAAACTTAGCTCAAGGTCCCACTCCTCGCTCATCTCTTCATCATGCCCCGCATCATCGTTCCCATCCCTCACATGCGAGGATAAGCTTCGACACCTGCAATCGCAGGTACATAACCTCAATTCACCAGAAGGCTGGTCTGGGTCTTTGATCGCTCTGGAAGCTCCAGGCCGTGGACGTCTGACGTCCGCAGAACACATTGCAGTGGCTTCGACCGTATGGCTACCGACGCCAACAAGCCCTCGCAAGGATTTCGGGGGGGAGATGGCCCGTCGAGTTTCATGTTCACTTTTCACCCGAGAGCAAACGGCTGAGCACTTTCTCATGCATAAAACGGCCCTCAGAAGCTCATGCCGGCCCGGTGTAAACAACGCACAAACAAACAAACAATACCACTCACTTTGGCCCTCGCAAACCAACATCGCGGTGCATCCCCACTCGTCTCATTGTCCATCCATCACTGATCCATACAGACCAGCTCCACTTCTCCACCATCTAGCTCAACCTATACCGCACTATCGTCCCATGCCGGGAATGGAGGCTAGCTCCGGGACGGGGTGGGGGCGGCTGCCGGCTAGCTCGGCGACGTCATCGGCGTGTGCGGCGGTGCTGCCTCTCGACGTCCCATTGGCCATCTCTGGCACCCTGCGCCCCGCCCTGGAGCAGTAATGATGGTCGCAGCAGCTTGCTCATGCGACACTGATGCTGACACTTGCACGCTGCTACGGACAACTTCTGGGACTGCTCCCCGACATGTACGGATCCTTGTGATCGACACCTCCCTTCACCACAGCGCACCCACTTCGCTCCGCACACAGACGCTCACAGCAGATCTCGCCACCCCTGGAGCCGTAGACACACCTCACTATCTCCGTCTCCGCTGATGCACAGCATTGAGGGCCGTCAGAATGCCGACAGGACACCGTGAGCCACTCAGGAGTGGCAAGCCCTGGCAGCGTAATGACGCCGCCGAACGGAGGACTTTAGTGTCGACGGCTATGACAGACGAGCCAACACCGCAAAGCATACCGATACTGACGCCGGGCGTCACATACCCCTGCCTGACAGAAATGCCTGCGTTTGCCGTTGGCATTGTGCCGCGCTTGTTGGAGGCTTCCCCGTTCGTTGCGGTGCAGTATCGCGTGGGTGGCATTCGCTAAACCACCATTGACCAGACATCGAGCGCATTCGAGTTCCAGTTGCATTAATACTGACGTGCTGATAATGACGGCAGGCCACAGTCACAGCACGCATCACGAGCGCCAGGGGTCAAGGGGGGAAAAAATCGCCTGTCTGTGTCCAAGAGGTGTTTTGCGTAAGGGGCTAAAGATTGTTGGCAAGGGACTGTACCGCTACCGCTGACACATCTGCAATGCCCTCTCGCGTTTCGCGACGTTAGTGACTCTGTGCCGCACAACTGAGAAGCAGTGTTTGAGGTCTGGGAAGAAAACGCCAATCTCTGCATGCTGGTACAAGCTCGAAACACATCTGAACCAGACTTCTCCTGTGCGGTCTTTTGGCTTCTCAACACCGGCAGGCGATTCTGACGGGGACGTACGGAGCGGGCATCTGCACGGACGTCTGTCTGCATCGGGCACCGGAAGGACACACCATGACCTCCCCTGTCCCCCCTGTCTGCTGTCTTCGCTTCCTGCGTTGCTGATTACGCAACGTTCTGTGTGCACATACAAACAACCCAAGAGACGCCTCGCTCCCTCGCCCCTGCGCGCGATGCCTGCGCCCTGCGCCCTGTCGCTCGTAAGCCATATCTGGTCGGGCGTGTAGCTCAGTTGGTAGAGCGCGTCATTAGCATCTTCTAGCTCATTGACGAGGTCTTTGGTTCGATTCCTAACTCGTCCAGAACATCTGTTTTTGGGAACCGCGTCAAGGATGTTGATGTCAAGAGATGACGCCGACTGCCTAGTGTGTTGTCGATTGATCACTACAGGGCGAAACATGCTAGGGCGAAGAGAACGTAGACACTGTACATGGGAGGGTACTTGGGAGGGTACATAGGAGGGACGCGGTGCGAGGCTATTGTGTGGACGGACCGAAACAGCCTCTTGCCAGGTCGGATCTGGCAAAATACGGCCAGTGCCATGTTCGCTGGCGCCAGTGAGAGGGAGCGCAGGTTGGACCATTGTCCACTGCGGCACCAGACCGCATCGGGAAGCGTAGGCGTGCCGCGGACACTCGATTGACTCGAACCTCACAATCCCCGTGCCGCAGTGGTCTGCTTTGGAAGAGATACGGAGCGCAGAGACATGACAGTCAACGTGGCTTCTACGTGGCTTCTGCTTCTCGGTGACTGGGTGGAGCCTGAGAACTGCAACGGAGGGAGGGACTTGGCCGAGACTGCCTGACAGAGAAGGCGAGCGGTGTGAGGTGAAGAATAGACCGGCGACCACTGGACAGAGGGCAAATTAACGCTGCTGGTGTCGAAGTAAGACTGGCATGGCAGATGGGCGCGTCTCTGTGATGGAAAAGTACTCGCCTGTGAATGTAAGAGCACGAGGAGCTCAACAAGTAGCAGTCGGAGAGAGGTGGGGATTATCAGGGCCGGAAATCGGACACTGCACGTACGCTCATGGGACTGCCACTTTCTTGCTCGACCAGAGCATACGCCCACCAATGGCAAGTTATCACCCCTCGGCCTTGCGACCAGGCTTAAAAGCTGGACAAAAAGGTCCTAGCGACGAGAAGTTTCGATCTTCTGCCCTTTGGGTGAACTCATATGAGCCCAACGCTCTTCCATCTGAGCTACGTCGCTTTCGACGATTGGCGGGTGGCGATGAACGGTAGAATGGGCGAGCCACCTGGCTCCGCGCGTTTGGGGGCCATACTCTGTAGCATGTTATCACAAGCCTATGCGGAAGTGGGCTTGAGGAGTGGAGAAGGTAGATGCCAGGTTGTGGATTGGGCTGCCAACAGGTACACACACATGCACACGTAAACACACGCACGCCCCCGCACACTCATAAACACACAGGCACGCGCCCGCACCCAAGAACCTCATTCACGTCCTCATTTTCCGACGTGCTCTCCGTGGCAAGCTGCCGTGGAGCATCACACCAGCTCCTCACAACTATGGATGACCGCTCTGCTCGACGTCACAGGCAACATCGGCGCTTCTCCCTGGAGCGCTAGCGCCCGCGCTGCGCCCCGCAGGCGTCGTACATCACCTGGCGGGCGTGTAGCTCAGTTGGTAGAGCGCGTCATTAGCACGACCGGGCAGCTGTTCATCGCAGCTCCGGCGCAGTTACTTGACGAGGTCTTTGGTTCGATTCCTAACTCGTCCAGGTCTTCCTTTTTCGTGGTCGTGCATGAGTGTCGAGGGATTGGATGGCCGAACGAGCTTGTAGGAGAAAGATGAAGTGGTAGAGGATCGTTGACTCAGTAATTCAATAATGTGCCACACGCACACACTCGCGTACCCAACTGCTCACATGGTGCTTGCTACATACATAAACATGCCCGTCACGATTGGGTCTCCTCTGGATTTAGCCTCCTCCAAATCTCAAGCTATTGTACGGGATGCTTTTTCTGAGGCCGCGCGCCTATAATGTCACGAGGCATGGGGAAGGTCGAAGCGTCGACATGGGCAGTACGAGCTACAACGCTGTGTCCGTAAGCCACAGGACCTTGCACAAGCCCTTCGCGTTGTTAAATGAACCCGTATGGGAGCAGGAAAAAAGTTGGCTTTGGGCGAGCGCAAGCTCGCTTTTGACAAGAGTGGGATTCGAACCCACGCCCGAAGACTGCGAATTGGAACCTCCGAAAGAAGCAACAACCTGAACACAGCGCCTTAGACCGCTCGGCCATCTTGCCTTGATGTAATCAGGATGCGAAGCAACCAGAAGTCACGCGGCAGCACCACGATTCTGTCCTTGTGCGCCCTATCTATCGAAATGGTGTCCTCGAAGGTTGGAGGAACGACGGCGAAGGCTTCAGGGTGCCTTGAGAGGCTCGCTGGAACGTCGTATGTGATTGAACAGCGCACGATCGCATGGGGATTCGAGGTTCCTCAGTAATCACCGACTGCCGACGTCGCAGAGACTGAAAGATGTACAGACCAGCAGCTCAGATCTCAAATCGTGGACGCTACCTGTACCACTTTATCGGTAGCACTCCTTCGTGCACTGTCGCATGAACCAGTTACCGCGCAATGACGCGCTTACCGTCAATCTACGAAGATCGCGCTTAGTTGGGAATTCGCCGCAGGAGCCCGGCATATTTCGGCTATCTCGGTGGGCAACCTGCGGGCGAATCTGGCACCAAGACTTCCCCTGCCCGGCGCCGGCGGCGCCGACGCCGACGCCGACACCCGGCCGCCGGCCAGCTCTGAGGAGATGCTCGTATAGGACAGTGAGTGCGGTGTTGAGAGCACTTGACGGGAGGGTAGCTCGCCTCCGAGACACGCAGAAAGGCTGAAGAACATGCGACCACTTTCCACTGCGACAAACGTACATCGAGAAGAAACAGTTACAGACAACCACTCTAGTCCTTCTTGAGGCTCTCATGCTCCTTCTTGACCTTTTCCATCTCGTCCTTCCAGGACTCCTTCACTTTATCGGCAAACTTGTCGTCGGTCATGAACTTGATACCAGTGCAGGCCATGCCGGTGGTGTGTTTCATGGCCTCACCGTGGGCCTGTTCAGATTTGCTCGCATCAGTGAACTCGACAGTGTGGTTCGAGTTCTTCGACTTGATGTTGAACATGGGGTGGCAACCGGGGAAGGCATGCGTCACGTTACCAAAGTCACTGGAGGCGCCCATGCACTCCTCGGTGGCAACTCGAACGGGAATGTCGTACATGTCGCCCATGATCTCAGAGTAGGCATTCTGATGTCAGTGGCCTTTCGAGATTCGACTCACGGAAAGGGACACATCGTTGCGCATCTCCTTCAGCAACAGGCCACCAGTGATCTCAGCTTTGCAGCCAGTCTGCATAGCTGCACCCTCGAAAGCGGCGGTGAGCTTCTTCTTCAGATCCATGACGAGGGCGGCACTGGGTGCACGGATGAGATACAACATCGACGCCCTATCCGGGATAACTGCTGTCAGAAACGCAACTCCGGCGCAGGACTCACCATTCGGTGCAGAGCCACCGTCAGTAATAATGCCCTGGATTCTACGGTTAGCAGTGCTCCCGACGATTGAGCTCACCGGCAGCTGGGCTGGATCTGCTGGCGCAGCACACCGATAGCACTGTAAGCGAGGACGGCGGCGTCGAGAGCGTTCACTCCCTCCCAAGGAGCCAAACCAGCGTGCGCGGGGGAACCCTTGAAAGTCACCCGGAGGTGGGTCATACTGAGAGTGCGGACAACTTGGCCTCCACTGTTGTCGCCGTTTCCGGGGTGCAGCATCATAACAGCGTCAATGCCATCGACTAACGTCAGCTGACCCCCAATCTTGCCACTCACAGGCTCCAATGTCCATCAAGCGGACCTTGCCCGCGTCGCCCTCCTCGGCAGGGGTGCCCATGAGCACGAGGTTTCCGTTGACGTGGCCCTTGTCCATGGCCTCCTTGATGGCGAGGAAAGCACCAAGGCCACACACGGCGATGAGGTTATGTCCGCATCCGTGGCCGATCTCCGGCAGAGCGTCATACTCCGAGCAAAGCGCGAAGGTGCGTCCGTTACCGTTGGAGTATGTAGCTTTGAAAGCGGTGGGATACTTTTCGAACTCCTCGACCTTCACACCGCTGACTCCCTTCAGATAGTCGACAAGGGCGTCATGTGCCGTGTGCTCCTTCCATGCGAGCTCCGGGTTCTCGTGCACCTTCAGGGATATTTTGCGCAGGTCGTCCGACACTGAGTCGACCTTCTGCTGCGCGCACTTGTAAGACTGTCTCGTCAGCACTGACGTATACATGCACACACCTCTGGAACAGACATGATTGCTTCGTTTTTAGTAGACTTCGGCGTGAATGCATCAAAAGTTCCTCTTTATAGCTATGAATCAGCGGGGCCGGACCTGCCGATAGGCTCACCAACGTCATGCCGAGGTTACCGACCTCTGTGTCACCCTCGGCGTTCTAACTGCTGGCATCCAATCTGAGGACACATATACTCCCGGCCAGCCTGACGAGACCTAGAAATGTGGGCATGTCAAGGGTAGTCGTCGCCTGGAAAACAAACCCCAGTTCGCCGCATGCTATTTCTAACCCGCTGCAGTCGGCCCCGTTAGCAGCCCCGACCCCAGCGATAAGGGCAAGAACGGCCGGTGGTCGGCCGTCACCACGCTTGATTCAGCGAGTTGCCATTGGGCCACCGTGATCACATCCGAACACTATGGAGCGACACCTTCGCAAGCTTTGAAGGGGTGGAAGTGTGACAGGAAAACATGTCGATCTCAACTGTTAAGGACGCTACTGTAAACGAGAAGAGTACTGGCTCCGCCGACAGTCCGCTACTCTTACACCACCTGGGAGGAAGATGGGGCGGCCTCCAGGTCACTAGACAGCCTACGATCGCATTGTCCCACGCATCCATGACCTCACGCATCCGATCGGCTACACTGTTTGCAACTAGTACGGGCAAGACTGCAAGATGATACGCCGCTGTTGGCCGCAGTATCTGGACCTGAGCGCTTACTGAAGAGTCCACGACGCCATGTGGCTTGAGCCGCACAGTCCGATTTTACAGAGGTACCTGAGGATAAACGCATACGGATACTCAGCATCAATCCCCGTAGTCTGAACTCTGGCAGCTGCCTGGAGGCAAGGGGAGGTGCTGGGTTACACATTGCATCAGCAGGTGCAAGCTATTTGACGACATCGGAATTACCACACCACCCAGTCCGGGATCGACTACGATAGCTCGAGAAGGGAAGTACAGTATTTTTCGCTGAGTTTGTGAGTTGGGTCTGTCGTGTTCGGCTCGAGTGTGGCCACGCGGTCAGGTACTGAGTCAGGCGTGCTGAGCAGGCTTACTACAAGTCACAGTGATCCGCGCCGCGTGACGACGCTTTGCACACATCGTCCAATAGCAGCGGTAGAAAGGATTGCAGTCACATGTGATCTACTGAATCTACGAAAAGAGGTCTGGAGGGGAGATGAGCGAAGGAAGGCGTCGTTAATGATCAGTGGAACAGGCGAGACTCTATTGGTTGCGTCGGTGATTGTCAACGGCGCTGCCGATCAGGTCGATGATCCCAGAGGCGCGGTCAAGCTTTGAGGAAAGATGCGGTATTTCGTCCTCCAGCGACAGAACCCGCGCCTGTGATTGCTGGAAGTCGACGCACAGCTGATCATGCTCTGCGATGAGTTGCTCGTGCTCCGCGGCGAGTTTGATTTGCGAGGCGCGTAGCTTTCCGCAACCTCCTCGCGGAGCTTCCTATTCTCCTGATCCTCGTCGGCTTCGGGATTGATGACGGTGCCAAAGCTGCTGGGGGCGGAGATAGCGCTTTCGGGTCGTGCCGAATCGTTAGCGCTCTCCGTGCCCTGGCCCACGCCCGAGCCCACGATGGCGCGAAGGGGGTCATCGGCATCGCCACAATCGATGAGATCACCCTCATAGCTGAGAGGGGTCTCCTGCTCGCAGAGGAGAGTCGGGGCAGACGGAGCCCACTCAGCAAGCTCGGCGTCTGCGAGTGCGAGTGCAGATTCCGTCAGAGGCTTGCCGTGGTCGTCTTGATCGTCAGGGGCGGCGACAAGGGCGTGGGAGTCGACGGGCTCGCCGTGATCGCCGTACGCGCCGTCGGTCCGCTGCGCCTGAGCGGGTTCAGAGGACCCTTCCCTCGTCGCCCTCCTAAATGTTATTTCCGCCGGCGAGGATGACCTCGCGGGTCAGGTGCAGCCATTGGACGAGAGCGTCCCATTGCCTGAAGCTGCTGGAGTGAAGGGAAGACTTGTCGTACGTGAACAGCGGCGTACCAGCAGGCGACAGGACCTAGACTTCGCGGAGTGAAGAGAGCAGTCGAGAACGCTCTAGGTCGCCTGTGCGCTTGTCGCGGATACAAGTACAGTGTCCTGCCATCCAGAGCAGGGTGCTTTTCCAGCCACGCTTCTGGGACAGGGAGGGCGAGTTGCTCGAGCTTTTCGACCTTGCCACTAAGTGTCTTGCGCACGCGCCTGCATGCCGCCCGCCGACGACAGTATACGAGAAGTCCTGCCCTGGCTTTGAACTATCATCAGCACGGATCAACTTCAAGCGATGCACAGGTCGTCTACTCACAGACTTGAGGCCGTAGGCGAGCTCCAGGTAGGTCTGCCGATCGGTCGGCTTCTCGCTGGCTGTCCAGGCCTGAGTGTCAACGGTCTACTCAAGCGAGTAATTGACCTACAGACTGTTGAGGCTGCAGATATAACTAGCTCGCTGCCGGCCTCGTCGCCTCCGTCTGTGCAATTCGATTCCACACTACCCGGGCGGGAGCGACTCATCGAGACGACGTCGCAGGCATCCTTTATCCCGCTGGCATAGTTTAGTGCGCGAACGGCGGGGTCGAGTTCGACAACGCGCACACCCTGGCGTCTCATGGCGAATGTCACAATCCTTCCGGTGAAGAGGTCCATCAGCCCAATTGCCAGGGCTTGGAGGTAGCACAGGAGCACTTGGCGACAGATGTGTGGCGAGTGTGCTCTGTGCAGCTCGCGAAAGTTGGAAATCAATGCTCCACCTTGGCCGCTGGCGATCCAGCTCCGACAGCGACGCGAATCGCGAGCGGGATGGCGCCTGAGCGACATCATCACCGCGAAGTTTCTGGAGACGCTTCTGCTGGTGGGGGTTGAGCCCTTGGCGTTGGGGGGAGACTTTCTCCAGCTGCCGGCGCAGCTACTCCTCCTGCCGCTGCAGGTCACGCAGCTCCTCCCATGCCACCGAGTCCTCCTGCTCCTGGTGGAACATGTCGGTCGCGTCCTCGACTTCTCGAGACAGGCGCCAGACCTCGGCTTGCGCCCAGCGGAGTTGGTCGTAGATCTGCTGACTGGTGAATCGGCCTCCGCAACGATGGGGCTTAGATTTGGTCAGCTTTCCGAGCGTGCCGGAAGAGCTCCAGGACGTACTGTAGACATCAGCCCATGGGTGAAAGGAATAGTGAGAACGACGGGTAAGTGGAACTCACCGTCTTCTCCTGTCTGATGCCTGGGCAGACCTCCCTGTTCGGCAACGGACCTGAACTTGGGTGCACGCTACACCATGGCTGGACATATAGGTTGGGCTTGTGACAAGCATCCTTGCGGTGACGCTTCGGTTAGCGGAGTTGAAGCTTCTTCCTTCTCGAGATTGTGACTTGAAGCAGTGACTGGGGATCAGAAGGAAGGCGGTTGAGGAAGTCAGGCTATGTAGCAGGAGCACAGTGAGCGGCGGAAGCATTCTCCAGGCATGCAGAGCAGGCGCTCAGGCCGCTAGCGCTAGGCAACGAGGGACGGAGGGCGCAACTCTGTAGGAGGCAACACGCAGTCGTCCCTGGTGTGCTAGTCGATCTCACTGACGACGGGGGCGTCGCTCTCCCAGCCCGGCTGGCGTACTGGTATTCCATGGTCGGCCAGGCCTGGGCACGAATGGATTCGAAGATGCCACAGCATAGCGCGTCCAGCCCATCTGTTTTGTGGAAGTCGCGGTGTGACTTCGAGGATTCTCAACCCTGCAGTCGCTCAGCCAGGAAGAGAGCTACGTTGTCGTCCCTCATGTTCCCTTGACCTGCACGGGCACAACCTCGACGCGGAGTTGGTTCACGATACGTGAGCGTGGTACAGGATATACATGCAGAGATCAACCTCTATCGTTCCATGTTGACAGAGTGTACGATGTTTACGAGAAGCGCTGGGGCTGCGGCATGTGCGCCTCTGATCATCCTTCGTGTGGTGTCAAAGGCTCCGGAGCCCCAGGCTTAGTGTGCGCGTGCTGGGACAATGGGCAGGCATTCTAAAGCTGCGTGTATGATCCGCGCAGTCACTAGCGTTGAGGTTGCCGCCAGGCAGACAACACTGCAGAGGGGGGTCGTACGTCTGGACAAACCACTCCGAGGAGCTCTTCCTCGCTTGAGATGTCTTCTGTCTCGTCTTTGTCTTCGACTTCGCTGCCCCACCACGGCGCAGCGCTGCTGGCGTAGGCTGGGACGTACGACTGATACGCCCCACACTCGTAGTCAAGCTTCTCGGACCCGTCCCCACAACTCTGAACGACCGGCGGCTACGAGCGAACCGACAGCTACAAAAGAGCAACAGCGCCCACCGTCATATCGCTGCCCGAGGGCGAAGCGCCTTTGCTCCTCTCATACTGTCGACCGGACCCAACCCACGATGCTTGGCAGCGCGGAGACCGAAGCGCAGCGGTATCAGCGAGTGGTCCTGGCCGCACAGCCGCATCCACACCCAGCGCCAACACGAACGCCGCATGACGGACAGCAGCAAGCATCACCGGGGCCACAGGGCCCCGAGCTGCCCTCGTGTTGCCACTACGACTGGCGCGACGACCTTGATCCGGACGACACGCCGCGGTGTTGCCTCTTCCGGAAGCCCGAGACGTGGCGGGGACGCTGTCTCCCACCGCTGAGCTGCCGCTTGCGGATGTGAGTGTCTCCAGCTCCACGACTATCGGTTCGATAGCGCTAACCCACTGCAGTTGGATTCATTGGTTCATGTGCGACAGCGTCTGTATGCCCGTTGGTCGGAGCTTGGAGAAATTGTGTGACCGGGTTCTCCTGAGGATGTTTGACTGCATATTCTGTTGCAAGTAGTGCTGCTCGTGCGGAAGGAGGCGGGGAGCTGGCAAGGAGGTTGCACTCGACAAAGTGGCCAGAAAGTCAAACTCGGCGACGCCCTCGCGGATGATGATGAAACGCGTCAGAAGTTGAGGTCACTCTTCGGTCCAACATGTCATAGTTGCATTCCCTGCGACATTGACTTAAGCAGGCTGTACAAGCTGTGCACACGCTGTGAACACGCTGCCGGACGCGTCGGTCCGAGTGAGGTCAAGTCTACCTTGGACGAGGTTGACGTACCTCGCAGCCTAGCATCGTTTACGACATGGGCACGATCAAATGACGGAATATGAAAACCTTAATCTGACAGAGTCTGGAAGGTGGATGGATACTGAGCCGAGTCAAGCGGTGGGTGAGTGGGAAGGTGAGTGAGCAGTGCCGGCTGGGTGCGAAGTCGGGCAGGCAGCAGGCTCCGGCATACCGGCAGGCAATAGGCGAAACAAGGCGAAACTGGTCCTGGACTGAACTATGGACTCCTCAGTGTGCACTGGCTAATGCTGCAGGCGCTGGAAGGATGGTAGAGGATCTGACTAGGAAGGCGGTCCGTGCTCAATGGTGTGCGCCGTCAAGAGGTCAAGAGGTACTAGGTCAGGGCTCAAGGGATTGCGAGGCAAGGAAACGCTTAGGCCTGGGCTGAGACGCCGAGGGGGAAGGCTCTGCTCCGTGTATAGAAGGACGAGCGGCACGGCATGCTGGTATCACGCCTTGCACGATTCGGCTTCTTGGATCTTCTGGTCCTGGGAGCGTCCATGCCTTCGCGCTGTCCAGGCTGCGACCCACAGGTGGTGCACGGATGAGGGTCACCGGAATCGTTATGGCCTGGTCAGGCTGTTCTCGCCCCGGTCGCCCCTCAGCCTGCCCGCGCTGCCCGCTTCGCCCTCTTCTCATGGCCAGCCCGTGGAGACTAAGACTCGGTCAGGTCCGGGAGAGGTGTAACGCTGTCTTAATTACCCGGGTACGGATCAGAGGACGGAGATCGAATGTGAGCACAAGCATCATATGCATCGCACCCGGTGCGGTCTACAATCAACATGACTGGATATGCATCGCCGCCATCCTGCGCTGCGCCATGCACTAGTGACCGAGCTGATCGGCGGTGGTTACAACGAGCGAGCGCGTATAAAAGTCAGGCGGGTCTTCCTGGCAACCGAATGGACATCTCGGTCACTATCCCCTCACGGCCAAAGCCACCTCCTTGAATCTTCATGTTCAAGTTCCCACATCAAATGCCCGCCTACAATTCCGCGTGACGACTTAATGTACTGGGCATAGCCTGAGGCGTTCACATTTCGCGTACGACAAGCGAAGTACCTCGAGCTTGTGCAGGTGTATCGCCGACTCCACGCGGGTGACTCTAGCTCCAGACGCTGCGACAGCTGGGTTATACATCTGCGACTCTTGAAACAGACCTTCGACTCTGCACTACACAACCGCACGCACCGACAGACACTCTTCCTCAATATCTCTGCAGAAGGCCGGCTTCCTCGCCGTCCTTCCCGTCCCGGACGCAAGTACGCACCGCGTAACACCCAGCCCGTCTCCTACCCGGCGCCGCCAAGCCGTCGAGGTTTGAGCCACCTGCTTCCTTGCTTCGGATCAACGCCTCGTCGATACTGCGCGCTATCTTCATTGTTCAAAAAGGGCCAAGACGTCCGCCCGTCCGTCCCGTAGGCCTACTAAGTCGCTCGACATCTTCCGACTGTTCTCTCCAGGCATCTTGCTTCCCCTTCTCGAAATGACCACTCTGCACATGGTACGTACCGAAGTGCAGGTCAGAATGCCCCCAATCCATTTCGTCCCTGCACCACCCTGCGTTCCCCCATTACGTCAAGCTCCCCATGCATTTGAGCGCTGACGCCCAGCAACAGGTGGCTCCTGCCTACACTGGGGGCGGGGGTCCCCATCTGTACCCCTCCCCACCGATCGATTACTGCGAGTCACCGCTATCCATTAACGCGTGCTTCGATGACCAGGAGCAGCCGTTGACCTACGCCGCCCAACAGGCTTTATACGATCAACAACAGTTCCGGCGAGCGTCAGGCGCGCCTTCTGCAATCCCTTCCCAGACGACAACGGCCAACATACATGCATACGCCCGGCGCGCTCCCTCGCCCGCACCAACGGTCGACCCCAGCTGCTTCCCACCGCAGATCCGGGTCATCCTACTGTTCCCCTTACGGCCACTGCGACGGATTCCGCTAAAGCGTCTGGGCAGGACCACACGGCGGCGTTTCCTTGGACATCGTCACAGCAGTAGCGACGTCCAGGGGACTGGTCGAGGCCGCAACACCCAAACAGCACGCCAGATCCCTACGATCAACGAGGACGAGGAGTACCAGCCTGATGGGGATCGAATGCAACGGCCGGACTTTGAGCTCTCGCGCTCCTCGTCACCAACTGGGACTACTTTTACGAGGGACAGCTACGGACCCGTCGTGGCCATGCAACACCGGGCGTTACCGCGCCGAAACACGTTCTAGCTTCCCTAGACCTAGAAAAGCAAACGCATCGTATACACCACACATGTACACACCAACACTTATGGCATGGAATCTCGACTAGAAGGGCAAGGGCATCTCATCAACAGCATTGAAAACAATCGCAATCTTAGACTCTGGTGTTGTGTATACACGTCCGCTCTGATGCGGAGAATAGTTGTCTCATAGGTGTAAACGGGTAATCTATGTATAGCTTGGGTTGATCATTGCGCATCATTGCACGGCACGCACGGTTCGTGCACAGCTTGCATACGCGGGTAGGCGCAGCGTACGTAGTGTGCGTTAGTGCACACTGGGCAGGCGATGATCGATCGTCTCGTGTCGAGCCATGAGCTTCGACCTTGATACGTGTGACCGCCCGCGAAGCAACAGATGAATCAACAGCTTCTCATCGATCTCAACTGCTCGCCCGACGACGCATGAGTATGCGCACAAATTCAGCAACGTCTGCAAAGTCTGCGCAATCCAGCTCAACCATCGTGGCCACCCCAAATCCCAACAAAGTAAGTGATGAGCCAAGGTGAATGCAGCTAGTCGGCGAAGGATGTCGTACATTGCGTAATTGCAGGACCAGGTGAAAGCCCACTCTGAGTACTGGAATTCAGGCAGAGTCGAGATAATTGCAGGAAAGTCTCCGTGCCGCGGCCCCGCGTCCCTTCTGCAAACCAGTGTGAGACCTTCAAATGAGCAAGGAACGGCAAGGAGGAGTATGTCACCCCTTGGCATCATTGCCCCGCGTCCACAGAATAAGGGTGGCCGGGTGGTGAAGATGACGAACAACGGACCATCGCATGACTCGATTGGGTATAACTTGAACCTTGTTGACGAGCTTTAGCCCGAACAAGCCGGAAATCCCGAGCAACAGCAGCGGCCTCCGCTGCAGGACGAGAACTTGACGGGATGGTAAGTTGGAGAACGTATCGTAAAGGCGTTTTACTCTCGGAGTCTGACTACGCGCAGCATGACCCGCTTCGTGCATACCAGGTTAGGGCACGGGCTATTTCGATTGTACCTCTTCATCATTCTGCGGAATGAGAAATAGAGTTGCCTTTATTTCCCTCGATTGTGAATATTACCTTTCAACCCGCTGCCCGCGCTCTGCAAGCCCTTCAAGATGTCTACAGGCTGACATAGCCAATGTAACGTGCAAGCTGTGCGACCTCCCCGCCTGCAGCTGCAACCGCAGCGGTTGGTCGCCTGCCAGTGTCAGCTATTGCTTCTTGACCCACCCTCTCTGTCACTACCAGTCTCCCGATCCGATCTCATTCATTTCGCACTTCACTTCGCACTCCTCTCAGACACACACTTGCTCCCTTCCTTGCAACTCGCATCAAACGCTTGAACCACCTTCCCTTGTTTGAGCCTCGCGCCCGGTCCTTGCTTTGTCCACATTCTGTCCCTCTCAGCCCCCTACTTTTCTTAGCGTCCCCCATGCCTCCATACAACCACCAATGAATAGTTTTGGATGCGTCTCGCGTCGCTCGCCTTGCTCTGGTGCTTGTTCAGTCCAGCTTGACACCAGGCCGTGTGGGCTGTCGGAGATGTCGGACGTCTTACGTCGACGGGTGATGCAAATTGTAACGCTCCTTCGTACGCCACGCGCACAAACCCGTGGGCCTTAGCGAGTTCCAACGTCACCCGAAGGCAAGCCTGCCAGCCCTAGAGACGCAGAGTCAGGCATGTGCAAGCGCCTCCGTCTAGATAAGATGTCACGATATGCGCCATGATCGTTCGAGACGTCCTGGCACGGTGAGTAGGCTGGTCTCACTCAATGTATAAAAGGGCGTTTCGTGTAGACTAAGCAAGCCACACGCCGCGACATCTGATCTTTCAATTCAACACCATGTTTGCCACTGTATGTCCTGAGTTACTGCGCGACAGGCGTTATGGTGATGGGGCCTCTGGGCGTCGCCCCCGTTTCGCGCTTCGGCGACACACATAGCCCCGAATATCCAGGCGCTTGCGTGCACCATCCCTCGTAGCGAAGGTTGCGGAGACTGACTGTGTGCACAGGTTACCCCTCCCGTTAACGCCTGCGACTGCGCTTGCGGCTCCTCGTGCGCCTGCGAGGCTGGCGCCTGCTCTTGTCCCAAGAAGTAGAACCAAGCCCCGGTCCTCGAGGGTCAAGACTATGAACCTGAGGATTTCATGACGATGCTTTGTGCATGCCTCGGCGGGCTCTCGGCGTCCTCTGACTGAATGAACCCTTTCGGGGTCCCCTTTGCGTTTGGCGTTTCGAATGGACGACTGTGAGCTAGCAGCTTTCGCTAGCAGAAAAGAGTGACCTTATGACCTGAGATGCCATTAATGACCTCAGCCACCTGCCTAATACGGTAAATCTGCCTAAAATCATACAATTCAGTAACGAATGCCTTGATGAAGAAGTGACACGCCTTCGGACCTGAGCCATCTCTGATCACCGAGATACCGCCTCGCCATTCGCACACGCAGCGCAGGCATGGGTGCGCGTGCGCGGCGGATCTAGGATCCATGGAACGAGGGTGGTCGCTGGAACGGGCAAACGTTCAGTTCTGACTGGTCGCGAAGCGCGATAGAGTTTTGTGTTAGCGGTGTTCCTTCTCGAAACAATCCATCAGACTGTCATAGATCAGAGACTATCAGAGAGAGGCTGAGACAGGCAGCTTCTGTAGAAAACAGTCCACCCACATGCACCAAGCCTGTGTCGTTCTAGACGGTTAATTGTATAGCCGCCTGCGAACGCATGGGTTGAAGGTGCGAGGCGCAAGTGTGCGTTAGCATGTGAAATACGGATGGTTGGGGAATCTGAGGGTCTTTCGGAGCTTCGCCGCCGCTGAGTCATGCTCTCTTCCTTTAAACAGGTGTGTCAACATAGGATCCAGCGCTGCCAAGCCGCCCTGCGCAGTGTGCGTGTGTGTATACCGTACAGATTACCAGTTCCGCCCGCTCCGGAATGTCCGGGTTTCGGACCGCAGCGCCGAGCAGTGTGTATTGCTTCTACCATCTAGCAGGGCATGGCAGTGCATGCAACCCCTACAGCCTGATAACGATAGTGGTTTGGGGTCCTGCTATGCCCGGGTCATGTGCTCTAAGAGCTCTGTAACGTGAGCTGGATTGGAACGAGGATCGTTCCGTCCAGGCTCAAGAACGTGCGCGTTCGTCGCGCACAATTAGTTGACCGGAGCTAGCTCGGATGTGAGGCTTCAGGAGCAGATAAGCTTGTCTGCGTGATGAGATATGGAGCAAGCGCTTGTCTACGGGGAGGGGACCTCGCCACAGGACGCTGCCTACACTGCTGTGGCAGTGTGCTCGAATGACTCCAGCGTATTCCTGTCAGCAGCAACGATCACTGGTCGCACCTATGAGACTGAGTGGGTGGGGTATGGCCACGAGCCATTACAAGTTGTTGGACCTGCAGCGCGTTACCAACAAAGGCTTAGCATGGTACTACTATCATCTTCGCAGCCAATGCAGATAGGCGTGGAGGTCCACGTTAGGATTGACGCTGTGTGGTGCATATGTAGAGATCCACAGATGTCACAGGCGCTCCCAGAGATCGCATGAATGCCTCACGCTCCGCCCTGTCCGACCGTATTCGCGTTCGTGTGCGTCCCCGGCTGCTGGCTGTCTCTGTCCCCAGCGTTAGCATTCAACGCGCTTCGGACTTTCGGCCACTTGCCCTCCAATCTGGCTTATCGTACGAAGGCTTAGCGTGTGATCGTGTGGAGTATGGACGTCCATCGGTGTGCAATGCCGAAACATTGCGGATTTGGGATTCCCGAGCAGCGAGATGTGCTGGGCCAGTGCCTTCGCATGAAGCAGGGCGGGTCGCCACAGCAAGATCACATTTGTCAACCCACATGCCTGCAGCTATTCGTCGTCGGGACGAAGCGGAACACCGACTGGTGACAACGCCCTCGGAGATCCTGTTTCCCCAGGACAGATGCCCGCTAAGCGCGAAGTGGGGAATCTCACCGATGCTCCACGCAGCAGGAGCCGAAGATCGTGACTGTGCTGACGTTGCTTCGCTCCTTCGCTCCTGACTGACTGTCCTAATTGCGCCGACTGTGCCGGTGCGGGATAATTGCCGCCTAGCATCTGGAAGCGATCCGGTGTGACTTGATGGTATATAAGAGGCCCCGAGAGGCCGTAGTCCCCTCCACTCACCTCCAATTCTAGTGTCCGCCTAGTTCTCCCCTACCAAACGCAATGTTCACCATCGTAAGTTCTGCCTTTGCCCTTCGCCCCCAGTCCCAGCCATTCTAACGACAGACCAACTCCCCCATCAACGCCTGCGGTGGCTGTTCCGGCAACGGCTGCTGCTCCTCCGAGTGAGTCGCAGTGTCGCCGTGCCTGCTGACCTATAGCTGCTCCTGCACCTCGTGCAGCTGCTCGAAGAACTAAGCCCTTTACGAGCTCACGTCCCCGTCCTCCCAAGACGGCTTACGCCTCTGATGAAGTAGTCACGAACCGTAGTTGACGTATGAACCGATAACCCCAGCCCTCCTGTTGCCCGCCACTTGCAGGATCTGCTAGTCCACGGCGCCTCGTGCGCTGGCGATACGCCCGCCCCCGAGCGGATGACGTAATCAGTCTTGGGGCATGTAGCTCAGTTGGTAGAGCGCGTCATTAGCAGCAGCGCTGTCTCTTGAAGAGCTGCGTCGATTACTTGACGAGGTCTTTGGTTCGATTCCTAACCTGTCCAAGAACGCTCCTTTTTCCGTCTCGTGCGGGCCGAGAAGAAGCGCAGCGCTTGCCTGCAGAGAGATTGATCGGAAGGAGAGTTCGGAAAGTGTGGTGGAAGAGATAAGGACCCGTCAGGGGTGATTGTGTAGGGCGCAACTGATAGCGTGTCAGATAGTGTTTCATCGCAACACACGACACACCCCAGCTTGACATCGTCCCTCCAGTCTCTTTCCTTCCCCAGCTGCTCGCCGGACATCCAAAAGCAACCTGAATACGTGGCTAGACCCAAAAAACAGATGTTCTGGACGAGTTAGGAATCGAACCAAAAACCTCGTCAATGAGCTAGAAGATGCTAATGACGCGCTCTACCAACTGAGCTACACGCCCGACCAGATGTTGGCTGACGTGAGAGGGCGCAGGGCGCAGGCACGGTGCAACAGCCCTGAGCATGCTTCATGTGTGTCGCCCCTGTGTGTTGCTTGTAGTGTTCTGCTGTGTGATCCGTATTTCGCACATCCTTCGTTTCGATGACGCACAGCTAGAGGGCAGAATGAATATTGTGCTGAGACGAGCTTACCTCGCGTCGGGCCGATGGTTGCTGTGATTGACCTGCACTTGTGCCAGCTGTACCTGGCAGGGCGACGGTTACACCTCACAAGCTGCTCAAAGCCGTGAAACGAGTGGAAGGTCTCTGCTCTTCTGAATGAGTACAATGGCTTTTCAGCAGGTGCAGTCCTACCAGCTCTCTACATCGATCGCTCCTGGGCCACATATGGCTGGACAAGGCATTCCCAATCAGTAGGAGCAGCTCGAGGCCTACAGAGTGCGAATCATTGAATCGCGTTTCGCAGTGTAGGCTGAGAAAGTTTCCCTATCGAGCGCGCCTAAAGGCGTTCAGGAGAAGCGCCCCCTTCGCATAACTTTGATGAGGTACCTTTATGAAGCGGAGGAGTAGCAGTCGACTCTTCAAGCTTTGTGTCCGTCATAGGCACAGTAGGTTGGACCCCATGGCTCATGGGGTGTGAGGCTGGCTGAAGCGGGCATGCATGCGAAGGGGATTCCGCGCAGAGGAATAGACGTGAGGAGCACCTCGGTGGTGGGCTCGCAGCCGCAAACAGGGCTTGACATCACCGCTTCGGCCGGGAGGCGCGAAAGAGGGGTGTCAGACAGTAAGTGAAGGACAAGCGGGTCGTGTTCATGCGTCAAGCAAGGAGTGAGCGGCATATTGGGGTTAGATCCAAAGGTCAGTAGAAGGGCCGCAGATGCAGATGTAGCGGTGATAGGAACGTGGAGCAACTTCGTGCCAAACCGACAGTTGAGTTTACGGCCCGAACCTTGCCACCCGGACGCGGACGCGCGGTCCCGAATTGGTCCCGTGGATAACACTTCCGTTCTGGCAATGGGGCTTTGGAGACCGTGACCGGTGGTTGAGCGGGACAGAGATGACGTGCGGGATCAACGCGCCTGGCCTAGCGCGGTTGCCTGTTGACAAAAGACGCGCCACCCTCTTATCAGTCTCCAATCTACAACCAGACACCAGCGACCCGCTGTGAACCCTTCGCCCCCCATGAGCGCCGACCCATCGCCTCAGCCGCCCTCCAATCTCAAGCTCCTGTTGATCGGCAACTCCAGCGTCGGTGAGTGCTCCACCGAAGCCAACGGGCGGCCGATCTCGTAGCATTGCGTACCTCTGTGGCGACTCAAGACCAATGTGTCGGAACTGACTGTTAAGGCAAATCCTCTCTTCTACTCCGGTTCACGGACGATGACTTTCTCAGCGAGGAGGAAACCGCCGCCACCATCGGCGTCGACTTCAAGGTTAAGAGCGTAGAAGTCGATGGCCGAAGGTACAAGCTTAGCATCTGGGTGAGTTGGGTGGTGTAGTGGGACAGGGGCGGGACTGACCGTGACAGGACACTGCCGGCCAAGAACGGTTCCGAACCCTCACGTCGAGCTACTATCGTGGAGCCCAGGGCGTCATTCTCGGTGAGCAGGGCGCGACTGAAGCGTGATCGAAAACTGACCGGGCAGTCTATGATGTCACACAGCGCAACACCTTTGACGAGCTGATCAAGTGGTTCCGCGAGATTGACACGTACTGTGCCGAGGACGTTGTCAAGATCATTGTCGGAAACAAGGTCGACAAGGTAACGTTGGTGGCGATAAGGCGAGCTGACGAATCTCAGGAGTTCACGCGCCAGGTTACAACCGAAGAGGGCCAGGCGTTCGCCGATCGCATGGGCACTCTCTTCATGGGTGAGGTGTTTCTGTTTCCGATGAACTGACCATTCCAGAGTGCTCCGCGAAGACTCGGGTCGGTGTCAACGACGCCTTCCAGGTACTTGTGCGGCGGGTGAGTGTTGAGGCGCGCTCACGATAGGCCGTGACTGGTACGGAAGCTTGGAGCACGATGCTGACACTTCAGATCCTGGAGACTCCGTCCCTTTGGACTCGGGGACCCCAGCCTGTCCGAACGCCGAACGTGCAGTTGCAGGAGGACGCCCCTGGTTACCTCAGCGGCTGTAGTTGTTAGTATGTGGCACGCATCGCCACGCCTAGATTCGCATCAGTGCCCATTCCGTGGGCATTCCACATGTTCGCCTTTGCTCATAATATCCTTGTTGTACACGGCTACAGCCTATGTTAGACGCTAGATGATGATCGAACACGGAAAGGACACAATCCTGGTACAGGCCGATCTCGAGGCAATGTTGACTGGACAGCAAGCAAGAACGCCAAGCGTTGGTTTGATGCGTCGTACAGACTCCCGAGTCCAAGTAAGCACATGCAAGAGGTACTGCTCGCATCAAAAACATCATGCACGTCGAGCAATTTCGATCATGGTTCCTGCCCCGGAGCCCACGAGCGTCAGGCACGACATCTCGGTGTTCTGAACTCTAATTCGACAGTCAGAGTCTTGCTGGAACTCTTTCCTAATTGGCTTACTAATCAGGAATACACGCCTCTGACGTGGTAGATGCGAGCGTACGCTGGCAGGAACCACGTGGTAATGACCACAACGCGGAAGCAGCGTGAAGAACCTTCTGGCGCCTCCACCCAGGTTTCCACTCGTCACCGACTTGTAATCCCGGCAGTATATAAATCGTCATCACCACTTTTCGCGTAACCAGCAACTTACACCTTCCCGTCTTTACCCCCCAACCACAAAAGACAAACCGCAATGCCGGGCAAGCAAGAGACGTTCGGTTTCCAGGCCGAGATCAGCCAGCTTCTGGACCTGATCATCAAGTGAGTGGCCGTTGGGTGGAGGTCGTCTGCGAGATCGTCGAATGTCATCTTTTATGACTTCGTCGAACCTCTGCGACCTTCAACAACACTCTCAGATAGCTTTAAACACTACTAACATTCCGCAGCACGTTCTACAGCAACAAAGAGCGAGTTTCTACGCGTTCTGCTCGATTCTGAGCAGAAGAGAGGCAAGGCAGAGCTGAAAAGCTCGAAAATTGAGTTGGTGGTTGGTGAGATCGTGTCAAACACGGTTGCGCCGATCCCTTTCAAAGTGCCACTCTCAGCATTATTTTCGTGGACATAGTGCTAACCCCTCGCAGTATCTTCCTGCGTGAGCTTATCTCCAACTCGTGAGTGATCTGGACAAGGCAGAAGTCGATTGGAGCGTCGAGGAAACAGAGCTGGATCTACCTCTGTTGGATCAGCGCCATTGCCTCACGTCGCCTTCGGTGTCCCCGCCGCCTCCATTCTGCAGAACAACTGCTGACTCTTCAGTTCGGACGCTCTCGACAAGATCCGCTATGCCGCCCTTACCGACCCTTCGCAGCTCGACACTGAGAAGGACCTCTACATCCGCATCACCCCTAACAAGGAGGAGGGAACCCTTACTATCCGCGACACTGGTCTCGGTATGACCAAGGCCGACCTTGTCAACAACCTCGGTACCATCGCCAAGTCTGGTACCAAGGCGTTCATGGAGGCTCTCTCCTCGGGTGCCGACATTTCCATGATTGGACAGTTCGGTGTTGGTTTCTACTCGGCCTACCTCGTCGCCAACCGCGTCCAGGTCACGACCAAGCACAACGACGACGAGCAGTACATCTGGGAGTCTTCTGCCGGTGGCACTTTCACCATCACTGAGGACACTGACGGCCCCCGTCTCGGCCGCGGTACCCAGATCAAGCTGTTCATGAAGGACGACCAGAAGGAGTACCTCGAGGACAAGAAGATCCGCGAGATCGTCAAGAAGCACTCCGAGTTCATCTCGTACCCCATCCAGCTCGTTGTCACCAAGGAGGTCGAGAAGGAGGTCCCCGACGAGGACGCCGAGGAGGCCAAGGACGGCGACTCGAAGATCGAGGAGGTCGACGACGAGGACTCTGGCAAGAAGAAGAAGACCAAGACCATCAAGGAGACCACCACCGAGAACGAGGAGCTCAACAAGCAGAAGCCCATCTGGACTCGCAACCCCAACGATGTCACCCCTGAGGAGTACTCTGCCTTCTACAAGTCGATCTCCAACGACTGGGAGGACCAGCTCGCTACCAAGCACTTCTCCGTTGAGGGTCAGCTCGAGTTCAAGGCCATCCTCTTCATCCCCAAGCGTGCTCCCTTCGACCTCTTCGAGACCAAGAAGAAGCGCCACAACATCAAGCTCTACGTTCGTCGCGTTTTCATCACCGAGGACAACGAGGACCTCATGCCCGAGTACCTCAACTTCGTCGTTGGTGTTGTCGACTCTGAGGACCTCCCCCTCAACATCTCGCGTGAGACCCTCCAGCAGAACAAGATTCTCAAGGTCATCCGCAAGAACCTTGTCAAGAAGACCATGGACCTCATCTCCGAGATCGCTGAGGACAAGGAGGCCTTCGACAAGTTCTACCAGGCCTTCTCCAAGAACCTCAAGCTCGGTATCCACGAGGACGCTGCCAACCGCAACAAGCTCGCCGAGTTCCTCCGCTTCTACTCGACCAAGTCTGGAGACGAGATGACCTCGTTCAAGGACTACATCACCCGCATGCCCGAGGTCCAGAAGTCGATCTACTACCTCACCGGCGAGTCCCTCGAGGCCGTCCGCGAGTCGCCCTTCCTTGAGGCCCTCAAGAAGAAGGGCTTCGAGGTCCTTCTCCTTGTCGACCCCATCGACGAGTACGCCGTTACCCAGCTCAAGGAGTTTGACGGCAAGAAGCTCGTCTGTGTCTCCAAGGAGGGACTCGAGCTCGAGGAGACCCCCGAGGAGAAGGCTGAGCTCGAGAAGGAGCAGAAGGAGTTCGAGGACCTCTGCAAGAACATCAAGGAGACCCTTGGTGACCGTGTCGAGAAGGTTGTCGTCTCCAACCGTATCACCGACTCGCCCTGCGTTCTCGTCACTGGTCAGTTCGGCTGGTCCTCGAACATGGAGCGTATCATGAAGGCTCAGGCCCTCCGTGACTCCTCCATGTCTTCGTACATGGCTTCCAAGAAGACCCTTGAGATCAACCCCCAGCACCCGATCATCAAGGAGCTCAAGAAGAAGTCGGACGAGGACAAGGGTGACAAGACCGTCAAGGACCTTACCACCCTCCTCTACGAGACTTCGCTCCTCACCTCGGGCTTCACCCTCAACAACCCCCAGGACTTCGCTTCGCGCATCAACCGCATGATCTCGCTCGGTCTCTCCATCGACGACGCCGACGTCGGTGCCCCCGAGCCCTCGACCGAGTCCGCCCCTGCTCTCGAGGAGGCCGGCGGCTCCATGGAGGAGGTCGACTAATTGTCGAGTCAGCAGTTGAAGAGCGATAGAAGCAGATTCTTACATCAAGTTAAACATTAGTTCAAAATGGCAGCGTGCCAGAGCGGTCGTGCCATCTTTCCTGCATTATAGCAAGGATTGCGCAGTTAATGCAATGCATTGTGTCATAGTCGTGCTCTGAACACCGAACAACTGAAGCACAACGGGATTTACTGACTACTTACGTATCCTTTCGTCCGGTCTTATCGCTTTACTCTTAGTCGTACAGGAACCAAGTTATTACATTGAATGTTGATCGGGCTACACTTGTAAAAGCTACTCCGGGTCTTGCCTACCCAAAACGTCGCTGTCTTCCCCCTCAGCCCTCTCCTCCCAGCCTCCGTAGTTTCTAACAACGCCCTCTTCGATGATACTACTGAGCATCATTCTCTCGCCCATTTTCTCAATGCCATCAGGGACATCATCTGGATTCTCGTCCTCGTCCTCGTCTTCTCTCGGAGCAACACTCGGGAGCCTGAGGCGCCCTTCCCGCAGTGCCTGTGTGTACTCCTCATGCGCCTCCTCGTCCTCCTCGTCGAGATCGTACGACGTATCAGCGGGGTAGAACAATGGTGTCGCACTGCGTCCACCACCAGAGGCGCCCGGGCCTGGCGTCGCGCTCCAACCCCTGCCTGACGCCGACGGCCCTGGGGTTTGAGCGACGGACACAGAGCGGGAAGCGTTTCGCATGTTGCGCATCGAGGGCGTCGGGCCCCGTTGCGGCGGTGCAGGGGTTGCAGACGTGTATCTGCTCGCCCGAAGGGTTCCAGTCCTGCTGCGAGAGCGCGCGAGCGACGCACTGCGCGTCGACAGCCGTGACGCCGGCGGAGCGTATTGACTGGGCGGCAAAGGCGGATACGGCTCTATGATAAGGACCAGCTGTACCGACGATGTACCGAAGCCTGGAGTCAGATTATTCCGTGCCTTGCATACTTGCCTTGATACGAGAGAGAAACGTCAGGTTTCATCTGCTTAATGTCGAGTTCTCCGCGTTCATCTGGGTCCTCCTCTGCCTCTGCTTCAATCGCCGTTGGCGGGGCGGTATCGTCCGCTGGCTCACCCGGAGGAGTCACAGGCTCGTCCTTAACGAGAACCTCATCCTCCTCGATGTTGACCTCCTCTTCGCCGTCCTCATTGTAGCTGATGCTAGCTCGCTTGCGCTTTCGCGTTACGCGTGGCGCGTCGGGCTCGGGAGCTGGGGCCGGAGACGGCGCACGCAGAGAATACGTCTTATTCTAACGGTCAGCTACTACCGCAGTGTCGTTGCTTGCCTTCAGCAGGACGACTTCCGTGCGTGTCGTTTTGCGCAGAAAATAGCAGTACTGGTATGTGTCTGTTGTGAGCTTCACAAGTCTCATTTTCAGCTTACCTCCGCGCTCTACGTGGACTTTGTGTTTCTTGTCGTAGCGCTCTTTTGTCAGTAGATCCTTCATTCTGACTGTCAGCTTCCAAAGGCCATTCTCACTAACAGCAAGTGCATGCATATGCTTGCTGAGTGAGTCTGTGCGCATGCCAGAGTGTCAAGGATGTCATGACAAGCATGCAAAAGTGCTGGAAAGTGTGCAGGATGGATGGAGGCCAGTGCATAGGTGTGGTTGTGGCTACTCACTTATCCTTGAGGTCTGCGATGACCAGCTGGAGCACACGATCCGACATCCAGTCCACATGTCGTTCGTCCAAGTACAAGAACAATGGCACTATCCGATAGTTCGAGGCTCGGAGGTAGAAGGCGTTTCGAGTTGAGAACTTCATGTCACCTTGTCGCGGATGCGCACGCAAGGGTGGTGCTGTTGAGCTTGTGTGAAGTCTGCAGCTGGAGACGAAAGCAGTTCAGAAGTCCAGTCAACCCCGACCTCCCTCCACTTTGAGGACTGCCATCAATGATGCACGTCACTCCACGTGGCGTGGCTTAATCCGGCGCTAGATGGTAATAGAACAATTGCCTCTCATTAGAATTGTATTACTAACCAACTTGAGCCGCCCCCGCTGACGAGTCGCATTTGCCTCCGCCATGAGCTGGCCGCACTCCCTGTCGCCATCGAGCAACATGATGACCTAGCTGCGAATTGATCATCAAGACCTCCAACGAACGACCATGTCCGCCCCTGCAGGTGAACCGCCTGTACCCCCCAACCAGCCTTCGAACAACGACCGCAAGGAGGAGTCTCCTTCTTCGCCCGGGCAGGCGACCGAGCAGGCTGCCGCCGGCGAAGATGTCAAGATGAAGGAGGCGAAGCCGGAGAAGCCGGAGGAGACTTGGGACGACATCCCGGAACACGTCCTGAAGGTGAGCTATCGCAGTCATGAAGTTTGAACAGTTGCTGACAAGAGCTAGGGTGATGCGCAGGAGATTCGTATGCAGACGAGGATGATCGACAATGAGGTCAAGATGCTTCGTGCGGAGAACCTTCGCCTCTCACATGAGCGTGAGCAGATGGTCGAGAAGATCCAGGACAACATGACGAAGATCAAGCAGAACAAAGTGCTGCCGTATCTCGTTTCGAAGGTGGTGGAAATTCTCGACGTCGACGCCGAGGCTCAGGAGGGAGCGGCGCACAACGAGCAGAACGCGAAGAAGTCCAAGTGTGCCGTCATCAAGACATCTACGCGACAGGTGGGTGCGCGAGCATTTGATGTTATCTGACTCCAGACTGTGTTCCTCCCGATTATTGGTCTGGTCCCTCACAACGAGTTGACGCCGGGAGACCTTATCGGTGTCAACAAGGACTCTTACCTGGTCCTGGACAAGCTCCCCGCGGAGTACGACGCGCGAGTGAAGGCGATGGAGGTTGACGAGCGACCCACCGAGACGTACACCGACATTGGTGGTCTGGACAAGCAGATTGAGGAACTGGTGGAGGCTATGTAAGTCCCCTTCCAGCTCTTTAGACTGACCGCAGTGTCCTCCCCATGCAGCAGGCCGAGAAGTTCAAGACACTCGGCATCAAGCCTCCCAAGGGATGTCTCATGTACGGCCCTCCGGGAACCGGAAAGACGCTGCTTGCCCGTGCTTGTGCTGCTCAGACAAACGCCTGTTATCTCAAGCTTGCCGGTCCGTCGCTTGTGCAGATGTACATCGGTGACGGTGCCAAGCTTGTTCGTGATGCCTTCGAGCTTGCCAAGCAGAAGGCTCCTGCCATCATCTTCATCGATGAGCTGGATGCAGTTGGAACCAAGCGTTTCGACAGCAACAAAGCTGGTGACCGTGAAGTCCAGCGTACCATGCTTGAGCTGCTCAACCAGCTCGACGGCTTTTCAAGTGACGAGCGTATCAAGGTCATCGCTGCCACTAACCGTATCGACATTCTTGACCCGGCCCTGCTCCGATCTGGTCGATTGGACCGCAAGATCGAATTCCCTCTCCCCAACGAGTCCGCGCGTGAACGCATTCTCCAGATTCACGCTCGTAAGCTGAACCACAAGGGAGTCAAGTGAGTTTCCTCGACGAGTATATCCCAGGCTGACAATTAGCTTCGAGGAGCTCGCCCGATCAACCGAAGACATGAACGGTGCCCAGCTCAAGGCCGTGTGTGTCGAGGCTGGAATGGTAGGTGATCGTGGATGGGGTTTCGCTGACATGCTGCTTGCTCTCCGTCAGAACGCGACCCAGCTCTCGCATGAGCACTTCATGGGCGGTATCCTCGAGGTTCAGGCCCGCAAGGCCAAGGAGCACCACGTGAGTCTAGCGATTCCTGACGAGAGCTAACCTTCAGTACTTTGCCTAAGCGACGTCGATCTGGACGTAATAGACGATGGAACCACGTTAGGTTCCCATATTGTGCGCTCATTAGGAGCATGTGTGCATGCGATCGGTCGGAAGCAGTGCAGTAGAAGCAGATGCATCATGTATTGTGAACAGCTACGAAGACCAGCAGTGAATGTGAAAGAAGACTGTGTTGAAACGCGGGTACGCGTCGGCCGATGGAACTGGCCGGTTAGCTCGGTCCCATCGACGCGATTGCGTCACGGCCCAGTTGCCGCTGTTTCCATATTATGCCGATTCAACATTCTGCTTTCCATCGTTACTCCTCTTCATCATGTCCAACCTACCCCGCCTGCCGCCGTTGGCGGCACTCTTTCTGACGCACTTCCACGACTTGAAGGGCCAGGAGGTGTCGTATTATGTTTCCCTCGATGGTGAGTTCACAAACGCTAAAGAACGCCGACGGTTCCGACATCTGTCTCCTCACGCCCATCTCGCCAGCCCACTTCATGCTGACGTTGCAGACAGCATTCCGCCCGGGCGCATCGAGCACACTTCACTGCCCTCTGGTCTGCACCAGCGCGATCAGGACCTCGTCACGTTTACACACTGCGGACTTCCGGGAGCAGGGCTTTTCCGGTCAAGAGCTCAAGAGTCGGGTCGAGGAAGGCGGATGGGAACCTTGGGTGTCGTACTGGGTGAGCATAAATAGCGATGTGTTGGCCGGTGAAGCAGTCACAGGTTCTAAGCTTGCCTGAGGTCATGTCAGACTGACTTAACAGCGCCGCCAGCAACCGGCACCGACGTCTTTGAACTCGAGGGTCCTCTGGAGGATCTCTACGATCGTCTCGAGGGTGTCAGCGACCCCTTCGAGGATGACGGAACAGACAAGGCGGCTGTCAAAGCCCTCTTGGACGAAGTGTGGGCGAATTCGAAGGCGAAGAACCGGGAGGCTCCAGAACCCCAGAGCGCCAAAACGCTTGCGGGCATGCTTAGCAAACGCATACGCGTCAGTATCACGCTGAATGCTTCTCACGGAAAGCTGACCTTTAGCCTCAGCACCCGATCACATACATGCCCGCTCTGCTTGGCATGATGGGCCCAGAGCTCATCACGGTCTACAAGGCATCGCTGGCCGGCCAGCGTATAGTGAGTAGCTCCGTATGCAGGATCTGACAACAGCTTATCTACTCACCACCTCCACTCCTTACTAGTGGCGCGTTTGCTTGGTGCATCTGGGCTATGGGACTCCCTCCGGCCGCAGCTTTAGATAATGGCGCGCGGCCGTCGGTTCTGCTGGGCAATGTTGGACTCATGGACCCCGACGACATCAAGAAGAGAACGGGCGGATGGGTGGCCAGTAAGTTTCAGATGTGTGCTCTCAACTAACCGCAGCAACCAGCGACATGGTGTACAAGTCTCACACTGACGCTTACGACATGTTCATTGACATGTCGGACGTGCTGTCCGTGCTAGGCGACATCGACGTGCGCTCACTGGACAAGTTCCAGTCTCCGCCTCCCATTCTGCAGTGCCAGCCTGAAGTTGGCAAGAAACCAAGCACTCGGGTTGTGACTTACTCGTTCGCTGATTTGGGATTGTACCGAAGCTTGGTGCTGCTCGATCAGAGTCCGCGCGGTGTGAGAGCCACCACAGTCGGTTTCACGGCCACGAACCGCTCAGGGGGCATGTGGCTCGTCGTGTTCGAGCTCCTCGAAAGCATGTGGCATCTGTGCGTCGGGGTCTGTGACTTTGCCTTAGGCCGGGGCCGCGTCGGGATCCAGCTCGAAGACTCGGAGGACGCGCGCCTGCTGCGCGACGCGGACGTGCACTCTCTGCTTGACAACTATGACGACGAGGACGACATCGCCATGTCGACCGAGCCCGATGACGGCTCCATCCCCGACGACACGGCCCGCCGCGGACGGCTCATCCTCGACCAATTCCACCACAACGCCTACCACTTGTACGCCCGTCTCATATCCGTCAGCGCGGGGTCCTGGGAGCTGACGCCTGCCCAGTTGAAAGAGCTGACTGGGCGCTGGACGGGAGGCAATGAGGAGGAGAGACAATGGCTTGCCTTGGCCAGGAACTGGAATGTGGAGCCAGCCATAGGCTCGGAGAACACGGAGGGCGGCGCCAGCGTGTCGGAGCAGTGAGGAAGGTACTGGTGAAGCAGAAGGCGAGGAGCACAGGTATGTCGCTTCTCCAGACCGGAGGGCCCGGGCGTCTCCGCGATCTGCAATTGGGTGGCAAGGGTTTGGCTGTCTGGCTGGCGCGTATGGCGCTTGATGGCGTCGTGCACGTCGCCCTAGCATCAGCGCTAGTCGAGTTCTCATCCAGCGCTGCGCCCATTCTCTGGCCAGCCAAAGCTCAGCCAGCGCATGCAGCGCAGCCAACCAGCCAACCGCTGCCGGCGCACGCAGCCCCGCGGTGGCACATTGCGCTACTGGCCGCAGCACCTGCACCCACACTGTACGCATCAACGTCTCAAAAAGTCCAGCTTTGCTATCAGAGCATCCAATCCTGAAGCAGCGCCGCGCGCAGTGCGCCGACGGCGTCGTGGCGTCGCCCATTTCTTATAGCACTGTGCACATCATGCAGAACAATAAGACAAGGCCAGGATTAGTGGGAGAGATCTGCCATTCCACGGCGTCCACGGCGTGCAAGCCGGCGTGCTGGAATTGGTGGGATGGGCGGGGAAGACGACGGACAACTGGAGGAGGAGATTAGGAGATGCCCGGTCTTACGATAAGGCATGGGAGCATGTCTCCCGGAGCGCGGAGGCCGGAGGCTGAGCCAATTGAGAACTGGGCCGGCGGCTAAGTTCGCATGGATGAAGCCCAGGGAAATGTGGAAACGACTGGATATGGGCCTGTGACGACGTTTACGAGAAGAGGGCTTTATTCGGCATGTCAAGAACTCTACAAACGCGCGCAGCAGGCGTGGGGGAAGGTCAGAGAAGGTTTAGCTGGCCGCCGGGCGCCGCGCCGGCGACGGAGACTGCGGACATATCCGTGTGCTCATGCATGTCGGCATGTCCGTTGGATGGTACGGTGAACCGGAGGCAAGGGTATAGTCCGGAGGATAAGAATTTGAGGGGCAGAGGGTTAATGCAGGTAATATATGACAGGGTCGGAAGCAAGGATGCCTTTCAAGGTATGCAGAATGGATCGAATGGAGCGTGTGGACGCGTGTTAGTCGAGTTTATCGTCCTAGTCAAATTCCGCAGGTCGGTCCTGCCTGGGCCTTGCGGCCTCGATGCCTGGCAGCCTGGTGCCATAGTGCCGCCTTGTGTCAGCGCCCGGACGACGGCGCGGGGCGCTTGCATGGCTGCTGCATCCTGGCTGGAGACGCTAGGTAAGCCTCAAGCCCAGCCAGGAGTCAGGTACACAGGGACGGCTCACTCACTCACGCGCGCCTGCACCAACGGCGGCTCCTGAGCTACCTGAGCCTCCATCCAGGCTGCATGGCTGCCTGCAGCTTTGGCTCTGCGAAAGCCGTCACGCACGGCAACCCTCCTGCAATCACACTCACTCACACTGACCGCACGCACATCCTCCATTCCTCCATCCTCCATCTTCACACACTCGGACTCTCGCCGCGACCTTGCAACCACCACCACCACTGCTCTTTCCAACCCCACACTCATCCACACTCTTCACCCCTCACCCCTCACCCCTCACCCTCGACGGCCTTCGATACCCCCTGCAACCGACTATCCCCTCGTCCCGACTTCACACATCGCCACCCCGCCGCATCCACACCGCCGAACGCTACTCATTCCACACTGCTCGCCGTCCAATGCGCTGATGTCGTGGCTCGGCACCAACTCGCTCCGCCATCGGCGCGGCAGTAGCGCTAGCAGTGCCGGCCCCGCTGCACGACCGAGAAGACGACGATCCACAAAGACCTTCCAGCAGAATGTTCGCTCCTTCTCTTCCCCGCGAACCGTCATCCGCGAGGCATTCAAGCGCTTCGGAGAGCACTGTGCCAGGAATCAGGTGCGTTCCCGTTCCCCGCAATGCCTTATCTCTCAATGCCGAGTCCGTGATCCGTGACTCAATCCAACTCGATTAGCCTGGGCCTCGCGTCTCGGACTCGACGTCCGGGTTACATCCTCCCCACATCTGGCCGCTGCTCGATGCAGCTAGCGCTGCTCATCCCTCGCTGCTAGGGCGGAGGAACAGTGACAAGCGGCGAAGCATATGTTTGCCGCGCATGCGAACCTCGGCGCGGCCACTGTCTGTAACCCGAGCCCCTTGCCTCTCACACCTTGTTTTGCATCAGCCATCCTCAAGTGCGAGCTAATCCCCCAGATCCGAACACTGCTCATCGACTGCTTCGTGATGACCACACTGTTTTATCCCTCAATCGCAGCTTTCATTGAACGAGGTTTCGATGCCCCATCCGCCCACCCCGCCTCTCCGATACCTTGCAGCACCACCGCGAGTACATCATGGCGACCCATCCAGGACGCCTTCTATCCCGACCCGCCACCGCTACTTCCCAACGTTGAGTGGGGACCATGGTGGGCGCCGGAGGGGGATAGAGCATGGGTCGCTGCCCAGTCATGCTCAGCAGGAGCCTCAGCCAACACGCCTGAGATCGACGTGCTTCGGATAGCCTGGGCAGATGTGGGAGAGGTTCTGGACGGGGAGAACGGAGAGGGCGTTAGTCTGCTGAGACAGGTGCAGAGATTGGCGGATGAGTGGGAAGACGGCGCTCGCTGTGTGAGGCATCTGATACCTCACAACGGCCAAGTCAAAGAGGACGGACCTTGCTACATAATCAGCCCCGACGGCGCAGAGGGCACGACCGCGCACGCAGAGCTCTGGGGAAGTCCAGAGGAGTACAACTCGATCTATCGGACGGTCGCCGTCCCGTTTCACGTCCAAGGCGACCGACAAGTCTTCGAGGATAAGTGGAACGCTAAGCTGGCGCAGGTGCTGGCGCCTCTTGGGGCAGAGGTATTCACTGAGTCGTGGCCCCGAGGCGTTGGCAACAGTTCGACGCTAGTCTCTGTAAGCTCGCTGGGACGTTTTCTTAGCTGACAATTGCCAGTTCTCGACGACTCCGCCGCCGACCGCTCCCGCCCCGAAGTCAAACAAAACGCCACGGATCGTGTTCGTCCTTTACGCTCTTCTGCTCGCGGGTCTGCTCTACCAGTTGTCACGAAACGCTACCAAGGTGCACTCGCCCATCGGTCTCGCCTTCACTGGTATCGTGCAGCTCTGTTGCTCGGCCCTCATGTCGTCTGGCGTACTCGCGGTGCTCGGCTGGAACGACCTCAGCTGGAAAGGATGGGGCTGGAGCAAGGGCCAGACTGTGCTGCCTACCTACGTCCTGCCTTTCGTCATTGTCGTCGTCGGCGTCGAAAACATGTCGGTTCTTACGAGAGCTGTCTTCTCCGTCCCCTTCACGCACTCGGTTCCCGAGCGTATCGGTATCGGTCTCAGCAAGGTCGGAGGGACCATGTTCCTGACGTCCTGCACGGATTTGCTCATCCTGGCCTTTGTCTCGCTCTGCGTGCACCTGCAGCCGGTCCGCGAATTCTGCATCTTCGCCGCAGTCGTCATTATCGCCGACTGGTTCATGCTCAACACGTTCTTCCTCACCGTTCTGTCGATCGACGCCCAGCGTCTTGAGCTCGCCGACGTGCTCGCCTCCAAGGGTGGGCTGTCAGCCACGGAAGCCAAGCGTCGGGAGGAGGACGCCGCAAAGCGTCGCGCTGGTCGACGGGCGGCGCGCATCAACTGGCGCAAGATCTTGCGTGCTCGTGTTGCCAAGAGCGGAAGCTTGATTCTCCTGCTCACTTCCGTTGGTATCATTTATTGGTACACTGAGCGTGGACGCATCAACCCGGCCGCGGCACTCTACGGCTACGTCCCGACAGCGACTTCATCATACGCCCTCTCGGCTAGACCGACCACCTTTGCCACAGCCGCCAGCAGTTTGTTCTCAATCACGCCGTCCGAAGAGCTCTGGCGAGCGATCAATCCCAAGGGTCTGACCTCGGTTCGGATCGCCATGCCACCCTCGTCGATTGTGGTGCTCCCACGCCCGGGACATGCTCTGGAACCTTCAGACATCAGGCTCATGCTTGATCCCCTGAAGCCTGCACGAGCATTCGACATCCGCCCTGTCTGGCACCTGTTCAAGTTTGTCATCGCTCCGCTTCTTTCGACCCCTCTGGCACTGTACGGTCTCTTGAGGTTCCTGCTGAAGGACTCGGACAAGCTCGCAGTTCAGCGTGACCACCTGAAACACCCTGACGATGACCACGGATCAGACGAGGAGTCAGATGACGAAGGCAACCGCAGCTCGAAGGCCAACTCGTCGATCAGCGTCTACATGCTCCCAGCCAGTCACGAGTTCGACGTCGATGTGATCGCAGCCAGCCCAGACGGCAAGCTCGCCGTTTCGATCGGGATCGACAACTCGATCTGCCTGTGGCGCTTCACCGACGACGATCACGCGTCGGGCACCCGAGAGATGTTGACGGTCGACACCTCCCTGAAGGACAGCCCTGCCATTGGGGCTGCGGTCAGCCGGGACAACAACTATGTTGCTGTGGCAACCCGTAACGGTCTGGTTCAGATCTGGGCCACTCCTGAGGACGGAAAGACGGACAGCATCAGCGTCACAAATCTGTTCCAGCCTGAGTGCTCGGACCGAGTCGTTGCTGTCGCCTTCGAGGACGTCCCTCCTTCAGACGATCCGTTCAGCAGCCCAAGCCCCACGTCAGGCTCCGGACGCGTCACCTGCCCCGCTCTCTTGGTTGCTATCTCGAACGGCAGCGTCCAAGTCGTTGCTGGCAACCGGTCATTCGAGATCATCCCGGCGGTCGTGAAGAGCGAGCTGCTACCGTGCCGTGCCGACCTGTTCGCGACCGAGAATGGGTCCGTTGTTGTCATCAGCAACGCCGAAGGCACGAACATCTGGCACAAGCATCACAGCGGATGGACCCCTCTGCCGCTCGGCACCGCTCTTCCGCTGGGCGACCGCGTGACCTCTGTTTCGCGCTGCACCATCCCGTGGCAGGACAGGATGCCGGAGCTCTTCGTGGTCGGCCGTCGATCCGGTAGAGTCGACGTCTTTGACGCCTACGGCGAGCCATTTGCGGCCGTGCACCAGGCTAGTGAGCCCATCAAGGAGGTCAGCATCGCTGCTCCCGGAAACACCCGCTGCGCTACTTGCGGCACCCAGTCGTCGCAGGGTTTCTTCGTTATCGCCTCGACCGCATCGCAAGTGTTCATCGACCGCGTTGCCAACAAGGACCGCACCCAGTTCTGCCGCTGTCAGCCCGTCCGGCGATCGGCGTTGGATGAGACGCTCGCCAGCGCCTCTTCCATGCGATCAACCAGCATTGTGTTCCAGCCTGCGGGACGCCAGCGTTCCATGTCCGGCGGCCTCAGCACTGCCCCTTCGCCAATCAAGGCCAGCTTGGCCCCACCCAGCGACTTCCCGGTCTCCTCTCATGGTACGCGACGACTCAGCGGCTACCGCCTCGACGACCGGCCACCTTCGCCTATGGAGCGGAATGGCTCGTTCGGGGCTCTCGCTAGTCTCGCCATGTCGGCCGAGGACTCGGCCTCCCCGCTCACGCCACTGAAAAACCTGACGCCCATGGAGGACTCGTCGCCGGTCGTCATCCCGCTCGGCGGTATTCTGGCCAGCGACGGTGGTTGGGCCGTGCTGGATGACACACTCGTGGGTGTGCGCCGCAACGGAAGCGGTATCGACGACAGCCAGTGGCAAGTTTGGAACGTCGATCTGCGTAAGCCATGGAACGGCTCTGTGCTCTTGGTGGACACTTCGTCGTTGGAGGTTCTGGAACGCCGCACGGGCGTCCCTCCCCGCACAGGGGAGGCTGGCGAAGTACCCATGCGCCAGCGGCGAGCGGAACGCATGCTCAGCCTGAACGGGCGAGCCTCGTTCCCGCACGGCGGCGCGAGCAACGTCGTGCCGACGCACCAACCCCTGGGGTACGTTGCTGTCCGCCCGCTGTGTCCTGCGGGTCGTGGCTCGAACTGCGTGCTCTTGGCGGGCTTCGGAAACCGCGTCGGGATCCTGGGCACGGTATCTGGCCCGAACAGACCGAGTGCGACGCCGTTCGCGAACGGACACGCGACTCCAAACATCAACCTCGCAACCCCGCGCCGTCCTCACTTCCCCCTCACGCCTCCGCCGCCCATGCGCGCCAACAGTATGAGCCCGAACGGCAGCAGTAATGGCTTCCCGACCCCTGGCACCCCGGGACTCGCCGTCATTGTAAACGGCACGGGCCCACTCTCGACAAAATAACGTCGACCTCTTTCTCACAACTATAGACATCATACTCTCGATTTCCCTCATCTGGTCAACTTCCTCATCCTTACCTAACGCAACCACCCCAAATATACTGCAAATGATAAGCCCAAGGGATACAGATACATCAATGTTGTTGTAACGATTTCATGCATTCGCATAGATAGAGATGCTGGTGGAAGCGCGGTCCACCTGGGAGTGATGTGAAAGTACTGGGCACAAGAGGGGCGCAAGTGGCGAAAGGAGGGTTTGATGGAGCGCAAGGGGGCGGCGTCCAGCCTTCGTGCAGGCCACAGGCGTGCAACGTGCACGGGCGCACGACACACTCGCAACATTGCGATTCAGAGGCGTGTGCGTGGAGGCGTGCAGCACGCAGTGCACGTCAGCGCGCAAACATCTGCATATCTGCAAGAATCTTTCAACACTCTCATCGCACTTCCACCTCGAAAACTCTGGACAACGTCCCACGCCGTCCGCATCTGGTGCCACCCTCACCCTTATCCTCCATCCCAGCCAGTCAAGGAGCAGCAGGCACCATGGCCACGCCGCCGCGCATGATGGTGCTCAATTACTACGGGTATGAGTATTTCTGCGCTCTGCCCGAGACCTTTGACGTGAGCTTTCTTGGCTGAACTGCAAGCTTACAGATGCAGAAGACGGTAGCGCACATCACGGCCGCGCTGTCGGTGCCCGCCACGCACCTGATTCGCCTCAGTCTTCCCGCCTCCGATATGCACCGGTACGGGCTGCAGCAGTATCTTGCCGGTAACAGTGTGTACATGTGCGTAAGCTTTGTAGGCAGCGCTACCCTGTATTTCAACCTGTGCACGTAATGACGAGCCAGAGAGTTGAGAGGGAGGCTTTGCGTGAAGGCGGAGACAGCCGCGACGCCGCCCCCGAGCTCTGGTACAGAGAAAATAGCTGACCTCAGTTCGGACAACGACTCGTTCTACTACGCGATAGCGGGTCGGCCCTTTGTCCGCTTCGACGTGCACGCGTTTGAAAGAAATGTGAGCTTCTTTAGTCATTAGAAGCAGCTGACACGCAGCCCTCGCCTGGCGTGAGCTCCAAAACTGGTGCGCTCGAGCTGACCCCCAGGCAGGCGCTAAGAGTGCCGAAGCCAAGCCCGGAGCGAAGGAACCAGGCAAGGAGGCACCCAAGCCCGGACCAGCGGCGAAGGAGAAACCGAAACCGGCGCCGAAGACTGTGGAACAGACGCTGCACGCGCGTACACTCGATAACAAGGAGGTCAAGTGCACCGCGAGCGTGACTGGGTGAGTCACCTTAGGTTGTTGTGCAAGCTGGATGTATGCCAATATTAGCTAACCTGCAGAGAACTCGCAAAAGGACCTCCTCCCGGGCGTACGTCTTCAGTTCGAGGCGCATGCAAGCTGAAACTGACTATACAGGGTATCTCGGCACGTTCAGTGTCGACAAGGATCACGCTCAGGCGTTCCATGGCAAGCAGCTGAGCGACGTCCAGCACGCCGTCAAGAGTGAGCTATGGATCGTGGACGGTGAGCTGACCACAGTCGTCGAGCAGGACCAGAGCATTGTGCGCGTCCTGTTTCGTCCGAGTTCAGATCGGTCCAGACTCGAGATGATCTACGGGGGTGGTGAGAAGGCGGTGAGTTTGCTATATGCTCGCGAACGAATCTGATGTTGCGCACTTCTCGACGCAGCTAGTGAGTCCGGATCCTTAGCTGATATCACAGGTTGAGGTCAGCCTTACGTTGAAAGGATGGACCGTGTCGAGCACATACCCCTACACGCCAATTCGGGGCACAGAGGGGAGCGACGACAGTCTGCGGTGGTTCCTGCGCGTCAAGCCGAATGGGGTGATCGAGGACGTCCTGCACTCAGTCGAGATGAGCGGTATCTTCTACGAGCTCATGTGAGTTCCAGCTTTCCAAAAGTGGCCACACTAGCTGACCTCACAGTCCAAAGCAGGCTCCCCAGCCCAAGTCGATGAAACCCGACAGCCCACTCGTGCCGGGTATGCTCTGAAAACAGGAGGACGAGCTGACGCTCAGCATGGCCCGACCTCAGCCCGGCGACGGGATTCTGCCTGCCCGTCAAGAACTTTCTGACACACATGGATCGCGTGCTCTCCACCCTCTCCTTGCCGCCGGATACGCGCACGAACATGATTACAAGCTGGCTGCCGGGCGTTAATAGGCATAAACACGTTGTGAGCTGTATATTCCCGACCAGAGCTAACGACAGGCGTACCGGTCAGTAAGCACGAGGATATGGCGATGGGCGGAGACGATCATAGCCTAGCTACACATCCATTCGCGGTACGCAGCTGACAACCCAGCATTCTGAACCAGAAACAGCTCGAGCCCTCAAGCCAACTGAGCATCATCCCGCGACCCGACATACTGATCCGATTCTTCGTGCGTGTACCAAACCGCACCGCGCCTCCGCTACTTTACGACCTTTTAGTGGCATCAGAGCTGACTGCAGATCATCTTCAAGGGTGTGCCAGACTCAGAGCTCAGCGATTGGGATGGCCGAAGTCTGCGCGAAGTCGAGCTCGGCCACGACTGGGTTGACGCGCTTGGGTGGCGCGAGCAGTGAGCTAGCACGGGGATGGAATTAAGCTGATTGCCAGTGTCGGATATTCGGAGAAGGTGCTCGATGACAACCTCTTCCGCGTTATCGAGTATGGGTCAATGTGCGTTGCTCACCGACGTCTTGCAGAGCTAACGACAGGGAGATCTTTCCATACTAGGCGCAGGTGATAGTGTTTGTTAGCTACAGTAGACAGACACCTCTTCATAGCTGACCTCCCGCAGCATGGTGGGAAGCGGAGATCCGCTCCCAGCGGCGAGTCTGGTGAGTTCAGGTGAGCTTGAGCTCTCGAGGTCCAAAGTGAGGGAGACGCCGACTGGGCAGCTGTTTTGATGTGCGTATCCGAGCTGAAATCCAGTCGTGCGAACAGTGACACTGTACGAGTCATTGGGCAACTTGATGATGCAGACATGTAAGCTCTTGCAGAGGTAACTTGTCAGCGTTGAGCCTGACAGAATGGTTTGCGGCCGGACAAGATCACAGATGAGACTGACGAGATCCGAGCATTACTGATCTGCGATGAGCTGACGGGGACCACACTCGGACGTGGGTTGCCCCTTCCTCTAGGTCTTCTTCCAATGCCAGCTATCTCGGGGGGAATCGTGCTTCCTGTGCGACTTGAGCTGCGGGCCGCACTACGGGCATGCGACTTGGATCTACGATAAGTGACTTTCAGACCCAGCTTTACTGATACGTTGGTGTGCAGCATCGTGCGAGGTGAGGTATTGACGAACGGTTGACTTGAGGGAAGAGACTTCTATGGCTGCGGTAGGCGGTAGGGCTAGGCCCAGTCTGATGCCGGTGATCGACGAGGCGATGCTCGGTCACTCACTCGATCCCTTGTAGGATTCCCTTCCCTTTGCGCGTTTCGCTGTGGCTCCATGGGACACATTTTGCGGAATCTGTGCCCCACTTAGTGCTGTTGAAGCTAGCGCACCGCCGATGTTGCCGCGCGCGCCATTGGGTGCCATATGGCCGGCCCGGCAATGCAGTGCTTTGCGCAGCACAGATCTGCACTACTTCGCTTGCTGACAGCATCAAACCATTCAAGGCACGTTTTATTGCCCGCAGGAAGACGCGTCCTCTTGCAAGCATGTCTCTTACGTCATGCCAAATGGCCGGCCGGCCGAGCATTCATACGACAGCCTAGGGTAAAGGTGACTCTGATTTGTTTATTTCGGTCCGCTGGCCGCCTGGCCGCCTGGCCGCCTGGCCATGGCCTCTGGCTTCTTCGGATCCCACCCCCCACCGCGTCTCGGTCCAGAGCTTGATTCCCTTGCTCCAGTACGACGTTCTTCGCCCCCAGTTGACGAAACCTGTTCGATATCAGACTGCGGACTGATCTAATCTATTTCTTTCACCACCTTTCATCCTCATCTTCTTTTCTCACACGCTCTTTACTTCTTGTTCTCACCCAGCGTTTTCGCTGTTTCTTGACAGGAGCTACGAGCAATCCTCCGCGATGCTCTTCTCCACTCTCCTTCTGGCCGGCCAGCTCGGCCAGGCGACGGCGCAGCTGAAGCCGTCAGGCGATCCCTGGTCGCCGCCGGATGCCTCGAAGGGCTCGGAACCCAGCAAGGGCCAGCCAAACAGCCAGTGGACGACTGTCCTCGGTGACTCGCTTTGGTTCTACGACGCGCAGCGCTCCGGAAAGCTGGGTAAAGGCTCGTATGGCAACCGTGTGCCATGGCGCAATGACTCCGGACTGGACGATGGGAGCGACTATGGCGTCGATCTGACGGGTGGCTGGTACGATGCAGGCGACGTAAGTCCCCTACTCCCGCCTTGCCGCGGTAGCTGACCTTCCCAGTACATCAAATGCACGTTCCCGCTCACCTTCACGATGTATGCGCTCACATGGAGTGCGCTCTCCTGGGGCACTGGTTTCGAAGACGCCAAGCAGACGGCGTACCTCGACAGCACACTCCGATGGGGCTTCGACTGGTTCCAGAAGGCGCACCCGAAGGACGACGTGCTCTTTATGCAGGTCGGTAGCTCCGAGGTAGACAACGGCTATTGGGGCGGCGACCAGAGCATCCCTACGCCGCGTCCGTCGTACCCTATCAACGCCTCTCACCCCGGCACTGACGGCTGGGCGTCCGTCTCAGCGGCCATGTCGCTTGGCGCGATGCTCTACAGTGGATCGGCGCTGAACTCGTCATCTGCGTCTACGATCGCCCCTCTCCAGGACCAGAAGTACGCCGACGCCCTCCTGAATCACGCCAAGACGCTTTACAACACGGCTAATGGCACAAAGCCGTATGCCGTCTTCTCCGACTCGGTCAAGGAGATCGGTGACGCGTACGTTTCCTCGGGTTACCAGGATGAGCTCGCCCTTGCTGCCCTCTCTCTCGCGCTCGCCACGAACCAGAGCGACTACTACGCGGACGCGTACTCCTACTACAAGCAGTACGCTCTGACCTCTCAGCAGAAGGTCTGGAACTGGGACTCTAAACTGCCGGCGCTGTACGTGATGTTCGCCGAGGTTTCGCGCGCACGTCCTGGTCTTGCCGCCGATGCCGGTCTCGACGCGAACGTGACTGGCTGGCAGAAGGAAGCCGAGCAGTACTTCGACGCGATCGTCGACGACAAGGTGAAGAGTGCGACGATGACCGATGGTGGGCTGCTGTTCTACGACGGCGACTCCGACGAGGCCTCGTTGAACCCTGCCATTGCTGCCGCCACTCTCATGCTGCACTACGCGCCCATCGCGTCCAGCGATGACAAGAAGAGCAAGTACCGCGACTTTGCGCGTAGCCAGATCGACTACGCCCTCGGCAAGAACCCCATGAACGTGCCGTACATGGTCGGCTTGCATCCCAACTCGCCAAAGAACCCGCACTCGGGTCTGTCATCGGGCGGCACGAACCTGAACGACATCCGCAACTCGCCGGAGGAGGAGGCGCATGTGCTCTACGGCGCGGTCGTTGGTGGACCCCTCAAGAATGACAAGTTCTGGGACTACCGCGATGACTGGGTTCAGAACGAAGTCGCGCTTGACTACAACGCCAATTGGCCTGGCATCGCTGCCTACATGATCGCCAACGGTGAGGACGACCCTTACTACGTCGGCGTTAAGGACTCGTTCCAGCGCCCGAGCGACGAGCCCTGTGACGCCGCTCTGCCCTGCGGTGGTGGCGGCCTTTCCGGCGGTGGCATCGCGGGCGTTGTCGTTGGAGTTATCTGCGGTGTCATCATCCTCGCCATCATCGCCCTCTGGTGCTTCAAGAAACGCGACCCTTACCGATGGTCGCGGATTAGCCAGAAGTTCAAGCATTGATGAGTACGGACAATGGACAATTTGCTTCGCCAATAGATTAGATAAGACTGGATCCCTTGATTGTATGCATTTCTTGGTATTAGTACAAACGTGACGAGCAGCGGGGGTGCTCTCTAAAAAGGAGGAGTCTATAGGCGCGACTTGAGAGATCCCAGCTCGGTGCGAAGGTTCGCCATCATGGGGGCGAGGATCTCTCCGTAAGACTTTGGGGTAGTCTGCCATGTCAGTTGCGAAGCAGACCTTTCTGAGCGTACCTTCACTCTAAGCATCTGCTGAACTGGAACGACATGTTTACTGCTGGGCTCTGGCAGAGCGACCGCTTCAAACACGACACCACCTAAACTCGGTCAGCCGTGTTTGTACTACGCCACGTACCAGGTAGAGCCTCTGGGAATCTGGCCCGCAGCTGGAGCTCATACCACGGGCAAGTCTTCGCGAAAACGATGCCGAGTCTCAAGCATCCTTCCACAGCCACGAGGATGGCGTTGATGATGAAGAAAAGACCGTAGTAAGCAACCAGTGTCGGCGCCAAGAAGACACTGAGCGTGAAGAGAAGCGTACCGAGAAAGAGCGTATCAAGGTCGTAGGCATGAGAGTCGGTGCGATGCCGGAGTGTGTTCCATCTCTTGCCGCGGAAGAGATTCCACAGACCACCAAGCGCAGACATCTGCCAGCGGTATAGGGCGCGCGTAAACAGGTATCCAGCGCGGAGATGCAGGGTCATAAGGCGGAACGCGTCCAGCGCATGCGAGAGGAAGGTGAGTAGTCCAGCGATCGTTCCAGCGACGACGAACATGTACATGTACATCTCTGGGAGGCGGGGAAAGATGAGATCTGCCATTAGCCACCGGGGATAGTTCAAACATACCCTTCCAAACATTCAGTCCGAATCTCAGCGTTGAGCTCATAAAGTTGCTGAGTTCCGTGTTCAGCTTGAAACCCACGGGCCACGAGTTCAGCCAGTCGATGGCTGCAATAACGGGGTCCACAAAGACTGTCGCAAGGTTGTATCGAGGCTGCAATGTGTGGAGGATGATGCCGCCGATGATGGGACCGATGTTGTTTTCCATCTGCGCGGATTAGCTTCAGTTGGCGCCTTGTAAGCCTACATGGAGTCTGAGAAGGTTCTGCTTGTACGCCAGACTGTCCTCGCGCACACCATCGAGCCTCGCTGCCAGGCCCCACGTGAACATGACAGCGTCCACAGATGCGCACCATTGACGAGCGTTAGCAATGATGTGCCAAGCCCTCAGGAAGATGGCTTTCACGAAGTCTAGCCGGCCAGACAGGACAGCGAGACCTTTCAGAACGCTGATGCCCATCTCATACACTGCCCACGCCACGATGACGATGATGGCGAGCAATGTTTGCCACACGAGCGGCAGCCAGTATCGGCGGCAGATGTACAGCAGGACGAAGATGATGGGCAGAACCTGCTGCAGCGTCACATCGCTCCAATGGCCATTTCCGCCTCCGTGAGCCATATCGGACCTGTAACCGAATCCATGCCGACGGAGCCGGGGAATCGGCATCTGGGTCGCAACCTTCCATTCTTCGGAGGTGCGCCAGCCAAAGCGTGGTAGGCGCGCGCCGCCCGGACGAGAGAAGGTCGGCGTGCCGCGATTGGAGACAGGACGAATAAACCGAGTCACAGAGTTGCCGAGGAACACGAGGTTGCGCGGGACGTCCGCCATCCAAGCCCACGACCGGCGCTTTGGTATTGTGTCCTGGAAGATGTATCGTTGTATGCTTGTCGATTTAACCAGCTGCACACGTCAGCTTTTTAGCGCCCTTATCCCACTCACCATGGCCAATATGTCATCGTCAGGCACATTATCCCTTGAGCTTGCATCTCTGTCGCTCTCGTATATGAGAAGGTCGGCAACACTCGCGGCCGGCGTGTAGAGCACCACATCTGCCGGCTCCGACAGAGCGACCGGAACGCCGTTCTCGCAGTAGACCACTAGCCTCTGTGCGGGGTCAATATTTTCGAGGGGCTGGTCGACAGCTTGGACATGGGCAACAATACTGAGGCGATCAGAGGTAATAATGTTGAACTCGTCACGCTCGGAGTTAGCTGTATACATCGCTCACGACCTCACCCATGCCGGCACGACGGCGGCCACGAGCAAAACGTCCACTTTTTGCCATCCGATGGCTATCCCACCTGCTGGGGGGGCTCTAGTGTTTGTGGGCCAGAATATCCGCATCTCTGCTTGCGATTCCGGTCCCGCCCCGTGACGCGTACGACCACCACCTGACAATTAGCTCTCTTGACGGGGGTGCGAGCTTACTCAGATGGCTAGAAGTACCCTTATACGTTGATCGGCATATGGTCAGCTCGACATGAGCTCCCGATGCAGGAAAAGTCTTTACAGGGTGCCGGGTAAAGACTGAAGATGAGGACTAAAGGCCGTCAACCGCAGACCGGTTAGGTGGAGGTCCGAGATCGAGATGCGGTGGCAACGGAGCCATCCAGATAAGCAGCCCACGTGGACGCCGAACCTTCTCCTCCACCTGCTGACATCGAGTCGAGCTCGGATGTCGCCGACAGCATGCCCTTCGACCGTCGACTTTTCCGAGGAGATCGCGCGCGTCACTCAAACCTGGACATCGCTCTCACGGATTCGATTGAAAGTAAGAGACAATTGCGACATGTCGGAAGCTCTCTCCGCCCTCCAGCTCCTGGCGGCGATGTACCCGCTGCCCGACGAGCTGGTATTCGACTCGGCGTCCCAAAGCGCACTCGACACGGAAGAGGACACGGCTGACGTGTACAACGTTGTGGTTCGGGCCCCGATTGACGACGAAGAAGACCCGAGGCGGATAGAGCTATCTGTTGCCATCCCGGTGTCTGGTCAAACCAGGATAGCCCCGCGTCAACCAGACTTCCTGACGCGATCGGCTTTCGAGCAGCTGCTGGCAGACATGCCGGGACCTGTGGAGGCGCCTACAGATTACATCATGACCGTGATAGAATACATTAGAGCTACGGCCTCGGTGAGTGCCGCTTGCGACGCTTCTAAACTGATGGATCAGTCATTAATACTAGAGGAGCCGGAGGTGGTCGTCGCTCCGACGCCTGTACGAGATGAGGGACCTCTGTGTCGGTGCTGGTTCTGGCTGCCCTCACTCGACTCGAAGGACAAGACGAGGGAGATCGTGACGTATACCTTCGAGTATGGGCTCACCGGTTTTGTGCTGGCAGGCAAGCCGGGTCTTATTTGCGTCGAGGGAGGTGGCAAGGACATCGATAGATACATGTCCAAGGTGAAGAGCGAGAGCTGGGGTGATGTGCCAAGCTTCCAGAAGAAAGTATGTTTCGAAGGCTCTCTCGTAAGCGTCTCATCCACTAATTTGAAACAGGTAACGGAGCGTCTTCGAAGTCCGATCACGACCAGGGCTTTCTCGGAGATGAAGGACATCACTAGCATCATCACGCACTACGGCCGGTTCTCTCATCGCGGAGACATGGGCGAGGTCAAGAAGCTCATGGATGAGTGGGGCGTTGGTGGAGACTTTGGAGCGGCTGTGATGGGAAGCCACAACTAGGACGGATCAAGAGCCATTCAGCATACACACATACATCATGCTCCTCGATCGCACCGTCATGTCAACATTAGTCACTGCAGCTTTTGAATGTTCCATCAGTCCACTAGTGGCTGTGACGGTTGACGTCAATATCGGAGCGTCCATATGCGTTGTAACGCGCCTATTGCTCTTTCTCGTGGACGCTCCTTCTGCCCGTGACATATGAAAAGGGCTGCTTAAAGCACTAGATGGTCACTGCCTGCAAGGAGAGTGATATCGTGGGCAGCTCGGTGCTGCCCAGACAGTGGCCGAGCGCATGACGGTGTCCACTGGCCATTCGCTCTAGGTGGGTGAAGCAGTCCGGGTGAACGCTTCATCTACGTCGGCCTACTACCGAACTACCGAGGGTGGGAGAGCTCGTCCGTCCGGCGCGTCAGTGCTGTGTCGGGTAGGCTCTGACACCTCAATCGTGCCTCATCCGTATGTCAGGGCGTTCGATGAGGCGATCTTCAAGTGCACGAATTCTTAACGCTTAAAGCACTCGCGAGACGTGGACTCCTCGGGTATGTTCAGGAGGTTTACATGAGAATTATGAGAATGCGCGGTCAATTCGTGGGAGCCCGCCTGCCAGAGTTTCAAGCTACCCGTCTACGTTCTCCAATTGCCGGTCCGATCAGCCGTGGCCCGCCTGGCTTGAACATCGCCGAACGGAGATGTAAACAGACGGCCTAGTGCCAGTTGCACCTGCCAACACGTTCACGTTGTGGGTGGCGTCACCCTCGTCGCAACCACGACCAGTCTTACCGCTCTCTTGGGACGCTACGTTTTGTACTCTGCGTTACATTTTGGGAGCGGAATT